TTAAAGGTTTAATAAATAATTAAACTTTTTTATATAATATATAAAAGGGTTTTATAATCTTTAATAATAAGTTTTATTTAATAAATATTAAATTTAAGTAATAAAAGAGGTTTTAATATTATTTTTATTAATAAAGTATTATTTATAAGATTAAAAGGAAAGAAAGAGAGTATTATTTAATATAAAGGAGTTATATAATTTTATTATATTTAACTTTATATTATAATAAAGTAAATATTTAAATTATTAAAAAAATAAAAGATTATATAAATTTTATATTTAAATATAATATTAAATAGTAAATTAAGTTTATTTATATTTATATAATATTTTAAAACTTTTAATTAACTTTAATAAGGTAGAAGAAAAGAGGTTAAGGTAGATAACTTATAGAGTTTAGAGTAGATTATTTTATATTTTTATTATTATAGAATAAAATATATAATTAAATAAATAAGTTTATTAAATTTAAGGAAAGTAATAATTATAAATATATAGTTAAATTATTATAAAAATAATATAAAGTTAATAATTAAAAAGGAAAAGTATAGTTATATTATTTATAAAAATAATATTAATTTATAAATTAAATAGTTAATTAAAGGTTTAAAACTTAATTTTAGAGTACTTTTTAAATAAAGTATTTAATTTTAATATTATTTAATTAAAATAAAGTATTTTAATTTAAAAGAAAGTTTTATTTATTAATTAAGTTTTATATATATATAATAAAAATTAGAATTAAATTATATTTATTTATGAAAGAGATATAGGAGTTTTAATATTTAAAATAAAAATATATTTTATAATTAATAAAGCTTTATAATTTATAGTTAAGAATATTAAAATTTTAACTTTTATAATAATATTTTAATATAATTTTATATAAAAGGAGTTAAAAATATTAAATTAGGATATATAATAGAATAAACTATAAGTTATAAAATATATATTTTAAAATTCTTATATAATATAATTTAAAAGAATTATATATATATATATTAATTATAATTTTAAGGTAGCTAATAGCTTTTAATAATTAGTAATTCCTTAAATACTCTATTAACTTACTTACCTTATAACTTTAATTTAATCTTTAATTTAATAAATTTTTCTTTTATTAATATTAATCTTTTTATTTAATATATTATTTTAAAATCTTTAAAGCTTTTAATAAAATAATTTATAAAATTATATTAAATAATATTTATTTAAACTTTTTATTAAAATATAATTAACTTTATTAAAAATATATTTAATTAGTTATTCTTTATTATATAATACTTTATTATATTATATATAATTAGTTTAACTATTTTAGATTATTAAGTTTTATTAGTTAAATTATTAAAGTAATAATTATTATTATATTATTATTAATAAATTTTTATTTAATTAAATAAAATTATTAATTTATAAAATAGATAATATTTTAAAGTTAATAGAGTATAATAATATATTATTAATTTTAAAGGTTTAATTTAAATTATTAAAGTTATTCTATAAGTTATAATAATATCTATATAGTTATTATTCTCTTTTCTTTTAAATATATTAATATTCTTATTTTTAAAGATAGGCTTTAATATTATTATATTAATCTTTAATTTAAATATTATCTCTTATTAAAAATAATATTATATATATTTTTATTATTAAATAATATAGTTTTTAATTAATAAAACTATTTAAATATTAAGTAAATATAGTTTTAAAGTTTTAATTTAAGTTTTAATTAACTTTAATTTTTATTATATATTATATTAAAATAGTTAAATAAAATAATAAACTATTTATATTTTTTATTATATTTACTTTTAAATACCTTAACTAATTATATCTATTAAAACTACTTTTAAATAACTTATAAACTAATTTATTTTATATTAATATTTACTACTTTAAGTTTAATAGTTTAAATAATCCTTTTATTATATACTTTCTTAATAACTCTATAAAGTACTTTATTTAATTTTATAATATTTTAAAAAGAGCCTTATAAGTTATTAAAGGAAAGATAATATCTTTTAATTAAAATAGATTACTATTTAAATATAAATACTATTATAATTAATAATATACCTTTTACTTTTAATATACTTTTAACTTAATTAATTAAAAGCTTTATTAATAAATTTATTAATAAAATAATTATTAATAAACTTAAAAGGTCCTTATTTTTAATTTTAAATATAGTTTTATTCTTTATAAAAGTATTATAAATATACTTAATAAGAAAAATATATCCTTAATATTCTTAATATTATTATTAATTTAATTAATAAAAGATTTAAAGTTTATTATAATAGCTTATAGATATATATATATAACTAATAATATTTTAATAAATAATAATAATATTTAACCTTAATAAATAACTTTTCCCTAAATATCTAAATAAATATAATATTATATATAAGTAGCTTAATAAGAAAGTCACTAAATAAGGGTTTAGACCAGACTAACTTTCCTCCTACATTACACCCTTAATAAGTTAAACAAGGGCGCGACGCCCTGAGATCACAGGAGGCAGCCTACTTAATAACGGACGAGACCAGGTCCCGGTGGCGCAAGTGGGGTGAAATGCACGTGGAGGTATCTCTGTTCGGAAAGAAAGCCGCGAGGAAACCAGGGTGGTGATCGAGATTGTCCGTTGGTTGATGCAATCTCGATATTGTGCAGCAACAAGACTAGTAGTACGGCCCGTCGCCGGCAGACTGAAACGTTGGGATTCCATTCAGAAGGAGATCGAGCAAACCTAGCACGTCTATTGTAAGACTCCTGCAGTAGGGTCCCATGGGGTAGTATCCATGGATCGTCAGAGTTCAAAGCCGACCTGGGTTCGAGATATCGCACCGGCAGCTTCAAGTTCATCTCACCAGGGCCTCGAAGTGATTACATCTCTCGTGTTTGAATTAGTTCACAAACAGTTAATACTGAACTCTGCCGTGTGTTCGCATTGGACGCACTGACAGCCAACTGGCCTAGAAGATGCACCTGTCTAGTTCCCGTGAGTCTAGGACAGGAGTGGTTTCACTTTCGACCCAGCGCTAGCACAGCTGTAGACGTTCACTTTGTATTCATATTCCAACAGAAGCAATCAGTAAGTGAAGTCTCGCATCTGCACCACGTGTTCCGTCGTTACACGTTTCCAGTATTCGCGCGCCTTTCCAGAGGGCAGACATTCGTTTGTCAACTTGTTCATCCTCAGTGTGTGTGTGGTTCCCAGCATGTTTGAAGCCGATTCACAGCGCAGATTCCTTTTGAATAATTCAGGCTAGCTTTCTCAAGCAGGCCGCCTCTTCATCTCTAAGCTCGGGAAGAGTCTGCGAAGTGTAAAGCGTTTAGCGTGCGTAGTCCCGCACATCCAAGACAAGCCTCTGGATTTGAGACGAGACAGTTCATGAGGCTGTGTGTACTATGTCGTTGAAGGAACGATGCATTCTTTCGCAGACCGTACGACCACGTGCTTGCCCATTAAGGGCAGTCGAGGTCATTTTGAGTTTGGCGGCGCCGTGCCAATATTGCTATCATTATGCGGCTCGTCTCCCCGGTGGGATCTACGAGAACATTGAGAAAACACGGCCGTGTATTGATAAGCGAGCAATCCTCGCCTTCTGGAGTGGAGCCAAGCCGTGCTGGAGAGCCTGTCACCAGATGTGAAATACGATGCTGGCCTCCACCCATCGGGTCATCTGCACAAGGATTGTCCGAAGGCATCGTGCACAGGCCTGCCGGTATGGCACGTTATAACGTTGCGGTACTCGCCTGGCATCCGAGTCCAGCGGAAAATAGAGGGCGTCGGGTTTTCTGACCAGATTGGCCGGCCATGTAAATAAATGGGTTCAACGCCGGCATAGACAGATTTGGCCTTGCGCGACATTTTGATCCCGTGTTTGAAGTCTCTTTTCATCCCTTGTGGCTATACATACACGTGTGCTTCAAGGGAGAGACTTGTCACCCGAACACATGCGACCTTGCCCTCACCGTTCTGTCACAGATCTACAAGGCTGGGGGGTTACCATGGGAGGAGCCCTAGCTGCTTAAGTGTGGTTTTAAGCGGGGCTGAACTTTGCGTCTGCCGTCATGGGGTTGCAAGGGTGCGTGCAGTCATTCCATCAGGTCGGATCCAGACCTCGGATCTAGACCTTGGACATTGGATTCTTCCAGAGACGAACCCTACCCGGGGCTTTCGATCTTGACGTACACCGTAGGCAGCGCTCGCCAAGCCCCAGAAGGACATTACGGGCCTCTGGGGATTCCTAGGTCAACTGGTCCGCGGGATGAACGAGCTGCGGACCGGAGGTTTTCCCTCCCCAGGACGAAGTATGGCAGTCGCCCGAGCGAAACAATTTCCATAAATAAAGAGGCGACTCGCTCTGCTGGGCCTTGAGTCGTACCGGTTCCGCAGAGTGATGTGACGAGGTGACATCCAAGCACGTGGTGCCGCTCCAAGGACGTTTCAAGGGGCACCTGGTACTCCGTACTTTCACAAACAGCTGGATCTGCCGCATGGGACCCCGTTCGCCAACGGTGCTAACAGCCCTGGAGCCCTGATGACCGCAGCGCAGCGCTTGGCACACATTGGGGTCTAGCCCGGCCGAGCGAGCACAATTTTATGCACCAATGTGCGAGAGGATGTGCGAGGGGGATGCCTATCGATGACAGGATGACGGCCACTACGCCCCTCTAGCGGCGCACAAAGAGGTGCCACGGCGTGCCTGGGTCGTACAGTGTACAGTACACACCTGCAGCTTGTGCCTTGCATGCCCACGATGCAAGAAAGGGGGGCCGCGCGGGCAGGGCGGGATGCTCCGCGCCACAGGACTGGGCAGACTCCCTCCCATCTTTGATGCGTGCACGGCCGTCTGCACGCTACTGCGTGGCATGCCGGTTGGCGACACACCGGCCAAAAGAACGGCGCGACAAAACCGGAAACAGCCCCGCGATGTGTGGTCGACCAGGACTCGGGAGCCCTGGAGGGCAGGAAGAAGACCAACGAAATCACAATCAACTTGGTACCCAACCGAGCTGCCCTGGCTGCCTTGGCCTGGCGGAACCCTGGCTCCGAGTCATGTCTCGCAAGGTGTTTTGTTCCGAGACTGACGCCTCCGGGATGAGCTGACGATACTTGTGGGTACTAGCCACGGCTCCGGGCGCGCTGAAGCAAGACACAAAACTTCTATGAAATCCACGGGGGGCGCAGGCCGGTATGTCACTTGGCCCCCCGTACCGTTGGTGGCTCCTGGATAAGTCATCTCCAGGCCCCATGTCTCCTACATAGAGTCCCCACGAGCCTGCATTTCCCAGTCCCGTGAAGTCCAGTCCAGCACAGCCCAGCTCGATCGATGTTCGTCCTTTAGCCGCTTGCGACATATCTGCATCCGTCCGTTGGCCACAATGCTTTCAACACGTGCAAGTTTCAAGGACGATGTGGTGCTGGTAGATCCCACGAAGGAGGTCAACGCGGGGCTATGGACTCTCTTCGCAGCGACAACCCTCTTCCTGGCTGCCCGCCTGTGGTGCAAGATCACTCGGAGACACGGCCTGTGGTGGGATGACCATATACTCATCTTCTCCTGGGTATGCTACCACCACTGGGGTTGCTCATCATCCACGATAGCCTATTCTAATATCCTCTACAGCTGATAGTAATCTTCAACGACGTCCTGATCACCGTCGAGTTCGCGACCGGATATGTCACCAAGGGGGAGTGGGACGACCGCATGCACATCCTCATCAACATATCATCGTGTGGGACTCTCGTTGGTCAAGCCATATCCAAGACAGCATTCGCCGTCTCTCTGCTTCGCATGACCGAACGATGGCAACAATACTGCCTGTGGTTCATCATCGTCACGATGAACTCATACATGTTCATCAAGGTCATCTTTCAGTGGGCTAGGCAGTGCAATGACACCGACTACGATGTGTGGTACCGACCGCACTACTGCGTCGACTCTAAATTCCTTGACAAATTCAAGGAGGGTGGAAACAGTGAGTGCCCTCGCTGAAGGAAAACTTGAGCATGGTTACTGAACGCGCCACCAGTCTATAATATTCTGATGGATTTTGTACTTGCACTCTTTCCGTGGGCCATTACTCGAAAGCTGCGCATGCGGAAATATGAGAAAGTTGGTCTTGCTCTGACGATGAGCCTAGGAATGCTGTAAGTGTACCCATGTCAGGAGGATACTATTACTCGTTGGCACATGCAATGATATTGATACTGAGAACGATTTAGTGTTGCCATCATGTCTGCCGTTCGGACGTGGTGGGTGGGACGAGACGTCTACGGAGACAAGGACGCGTTCTACTTCTGGCGAAGAGGCACGTCCATGATATGGTAAGTACATCCCTCACTCGTGAGATCCCCCGGCGTCTTGAGCCGCAGTCTCAGAGACCCAATGTGCTGACAGCACTCTCAGGTTCTCGGCTGAGATTACCGGAACTATCATTGTGCAATGCATTCCTGTCTTGCGGCCATTCCTACAGGAAGTTCACGCTGCGATATCTTCCAAGACATTCACATTCGCCCGCTCGTCACAAAACGCGAAGACGACCCTATCACAAAACAAATTTGACCCTAGCGCCGGGACATACTCAGTGACAGTAACGACCGTCACCGCGGAGAAGTCTGCTGCACAAAAGGGCGAGAGCTACGTACCTCGTGGCCAGGTCTCCCAGGAATTCGATTTTGAACTGCAGCCTTCAACACGAGGCCCTCCCGTATCACGAGACACGTCGGATGAGTTCGAACTACCCATCCAGGACACGAATTCGAGTAAAAATTGGAGCCCTGTGAATACCCGAAAGTGAGGGGTATTAATCATGGAGTCAACGTCGCGACAGACGTTGCGCGCCCAGAGCCAGCACCCCCAAGGTCGGGAGTTGCTCTTATCGAAGGGCTTTAATCCCTTGGAATTATACATGTATATTACTCAGCGTGTACTAGCGTGTATTTCATAATGTGATGATTTATTACTCCATGGCGTGGCGCCACTGATGACTTCCAGAGGTTCGAGGTCCACCGCAGCCCGGCGAGCTCACCACAAGTCGTCGTGGCCTTGGTTCAGAGCTAGATGGCGGAATCGACGAGGAGGATCTGAGGGAAAGCTAGCAGCTAGGCCCACTTCCCTAGCACGCCCATCAGGATCATGCCAGCGCAAAGGGATATACCAGCACCAAGTGTCTTCAAGATACCGCTCGAGAGGAGCTCGCCGCCTTCGATCACCCAATCTCTCGCCCACATGTCCACCACCCCAACCCAGACGAGAATGCCAGCAGACAACGCATCGAGAGTACCAAAAGTGATGACTGTGCTGGGATTGTTTCCATTAAAGGTGTTCAGCACGCCAATACCGATGGCCATCCCTATTGGCGTGATCAGAGCAAAGGCGATAGCCATGGCGAATTTCCACGGGAAGATGGAGCCCGGCAGCAGGGAGATTCGGGCACCAAGGGCAAGACCCTCAAAGAACTGGTGGAAGACTATGACGATAAGGAGTGTCTGGTAAAACGAGTCCCCGGCAACGACGAGCGTGAGACCGATCAGGATGCTGTGGAAAAGGATACCGGCCTCCATGACCAGGACGGAGAGGTGGCTATTCGGGCCGACATGATGGTGGTCGAGCGACTCGAAGGCCGTCCGACTCGCCTCGGGGGTCGGACTGCTGGAGTCGCTCTTGCTTTGCTCTCCGATGACGGGTGCGGCGGGGGGCTGCGGGCTTCGAGCTGCATGCGCGGCAACGATGCGGAGGCCGATGTACTCAACAAGGAATGAGAGGAAGATTCCGGCCATGACTATGGCGCTGGTGGTCCCTTCGTATCCGAGGTCGCCGATACATTCATTTGTGAACATTAGGTTTGCGTGGGTGTAAAGCTGCACACATTCAGCTCAAGTGTTTGCACAGGAGGCACGGGGTCACATGTGCACAGGATGGATGGTTTGGTGGATATGGACTCACGTGGATGAATGCCGTAGAGATGATGATGCCAGTGCCGAATTGCTTGACGGCCATCAGGATATTGGCACCGATGCTCCCGATCACGAGCTTGTGCAACAGTAGGGGGGCGAGGACGCCGATGGCGCTGGTGACGAGGACTATGAAGAGCGAACCAACCCGCAGTCCCACATTGTATTCACGCTCACGGAGGCCACAAGAGACCTCTTCGCTCGCACCGCCGACACAATGCCTGCGAATAGTGTGAGCAATAGACGAATCAGCAGGATGGGGTAGAACATACTCAACGCCGGCGTGGAAGTGGCAGTTCTGTTCCTCTGACTCTTCGTCATGGGAGTGTCCGCCGTGAGAGTCGTCATGGCCCTCTTCCGCAGCCTCGCCCTCGGCATGAACGGCGACGTCGTTGCCATCGGGGTCCATGCAAAACCTGAATAGCCATTAGTTATCACGAAAAGGAAAATCGAAGATCTCGTCCGATGTTTCATACATCTCCGTGTCGTGCGCATGGCAGCCCGTGTAAGCCGGAGGGACCTCTCCTGTCGGAGTAGCCTCAACGTGCACCTCCTCGCCCGCTCCGTTGATGCAAAACACGGCCGTTTCGTGGCTATGACATCCTGTCACAGCAGTGGTTTGGGGCTCGGCAGTAGCTGACGCGCTCACGCTCAGCGGGAGGGTCGCCGACCCGGTGAGAGCATGAGTCGCGCGGGCGGTCTCTGCGCCATCGGGGCCAAAGCAGTACTCGACGGTGGAGGAGGCCTCGGTGTGGTTGTGGCAGCCCGTGTATGTTGTCCTCTGGCCGCGTGCGAGCGGTGCTCGTGTCGAGACGGTCCACAGCAGGGCGATCGCGGATAAGTGTTTAAGAGACATCATCATCTTGATGCAGGCGGATGTGCTGCACATATCTGCTTCATTGTGAGTGTTAGTGACTGATGGCACGGTCCTATAAAATAATACATGCCGGAGTCTCCTCGCCCGTGATTCTGGTGGTGGACGGGGGCCATACGCGAAATCTCCTCACTCGGTTTGCCCAGCCTTCGTGGGAGCATATGCAAGAACCTCTATGGTCTGGCGGAGGGCTTGCCATTCGCTGGTTCTGTGTTGCGCCGCGTCGCCAAGTGATCTATGGGGGTCGCTTCTCGGCGGTTTTTGCTTGGCGGAGAGCTGAACACCAGCATTCGATATCACTCATAACGTATGGGTTTCCTCAGATGCGGGAACTTCAATGTGTTGAATGGGATGAACATCCACATCCTTCCCACATCGCCCTCATAAAGTGGGGGCTGGGTAAGTAAGTACTTTTCTGTTCCCTGCCCAGGTGGTCTCAACCAGTTGACGTTCAACACCGACGGCGGCTGCCCTTGCCCACTTCTGTTGCCCCCGCGTCACTGTCGGCGCCGCCCTAGGGCCGGGCAGCTTCCTCGAAGGAACCTGGAAGTCTGAGCACGCTGCTTCTTGCCCCTAGTTCTTGCCCTCCGTCATCGCGTGATGTCCCTAGTGGGGCCTCCGCGGGTCGCTGGTCTGCTGCCCAGCGATTAGTGACGCTGTCATGCCAACTCCTCGGTGTCCTGCGCGTGTTGGGAAGCGTGGTTTTTTCAGAGCCCTCCCCTCTCCGGTCTCCTGATCAGGCTCTACATAGAAAATCTCCTCACCTTTGGCTGCACTGCAGAGCCATCAGGGTTCTTGCCAAGGTTGTCGGATAACAAAATGGCTTGTTTTCGGCATGGTCACGGTCTTGGGGGTGAAGGTGGGCGGCGGTGACATCTGGATCCCCTCACGATGAGCTGAAAATGCATTCCGAAGTCTACGATGTGGTTTGGTATAAAATGCTGTTGGACCTTTCGCAATGTGACAAGTAGAGAAGAGCGACCATCCTCAGCCAATACTCACAAGTCTGCCCAGGTGGTCACGAATAGCCAAGCATGCTTTCTTCGCTGGTCTTCACCTTGTCCGCCCTGACCGTGGTGTCAGCGGCCCCAACGTCTCTCGGTGGAAGACAGGCTGCCTTTGAGGTCACCGAGCAGCAGCCGTGGAATGCGGGAGCTGTCACTGAGTTTCGTATTCACCCCAGTTGCAACGCCTCCCAAGCATTTCAGCTTCGCCAAGGTCTCGACGATGCGGTAGCACTCGCCCAGCATGCCAAAGAACACGTCCTGCGCTGGGGGAGCAGCAGTGAGTTCTACCGCAAATACTTTGGGAATGCTCCTACACCGGAGGTCATTGGTGCGTTCGACACCATTGTCAACGGAAACAAGCAAAATGCCCTCTTCCGTTGTGATGACCCGGATTTGAACTGCCAAAATATGCCGAGTGAGTAATTCGAGTCCTGTCTAATGTGTTACTTGCAGAGGACTGACTCTGTGACAAAGCTTGGGCTGGTCACTGGCGAGGCGACAACGCAACTGAGGAGACAGTCATCTGCCCTACCTCGTTCTTTGAGCGACGCCCTCTTTCCACGCTTTGCGCGAGAGGTTACAATGTCCGAGAACACTCCCGCCTTCTCTACTGGGGTTCCGACCTGCTCCACCGTCTCTACCACGTGCCCGCATTTGGCCAGGAATACATCGACCATTACTCCGAGGGATACGAAGGGATCATAGAGTCTGCTGCCAACAACAGTCCAAACAGCACCCATGATTCCGACGGCCTGCAGTACTTTGCCCTGGACGTTTACGCGTACGACATCATCCTTCCCGGCGAGGGCTGTCCTGGCCCAAGTGGCCCGCCCAGCACGGAGACGAGCTCAGCATCAGCCCCCTCGCCCACGGAAACGTCCTCTTCTGCCAGTGCTACCAGTACCGCAACAACAACTGGTGCGGAATCAGCTGCGTCAGAGACTACGCTGCCAGATGTATGTGTTCCTGCGTCTCTCCAAAGGCTTCTACCGTTATCACCTCGATTCTAATGCTACCCAGAACTGCCACACCCACTCAGATGGGTCTGTCCACTGCACCTAATTTTCAAATGGAACAATTGCAACGACTAGAACGCACGAGTAACGATAGGAAAGGGGGTCCCTTCCACGATTGGATTGATCATGGCGGAGTGAAATAGAAAGCACAAACTCTAATTCGGGTAATTACAATAATTGATTAGATATAGGACTCTATCTTTGTGGATTTTCCACGGGAGGATGCTACATCACTCCTTATATGAATACATCTCTCTCTATCATTGTCTCCCATATTTCCACCGCTCTATCTTTTCAACGCCGTAGGTCATCTCCAGCAGGCTCATTGTGAACTCGTCCAAATCTTCCGGCCTGCACTCCTCAAATAACCGGTGCTCATGCCTTCGTACAAAGTCTATGCCCTGTTTGTGACCCTCACAACAGGTCTCCCAGGCAAACGAAGACGGTGCCTCAAAAGCGCCTTTCCGGGTGGTAAATGGCAACCCACCCGGACACGGCGCCCACAAGACCTGCAGCGTTAGGTATATGGTTTGCACGCCAGTAGCGACGACCCACGTCCGGCGGATGGTCTCGGCGAACAGCCACGCACACCAGGCGATGTCCTCTTGGGGGATGATCAGGGAGCTCGCGAGGCCCACCCACTCACCATCGCCGTTGTTCTGCCCGCCAATATGCTCTGCCATTTGCGAGAGCGGGTCCTGTTGGTAGCCTGGCGGGGTTACCATTGGGGAGGCGAACGCCTCTGGCCCCTGGGCGGCGGTGTGCTGGGCGGAGGCGACGAGCTGCCGCAGCCATGAGTTCAGGGTTGGTATCTGTGTCTCTGCGACGTGCCGGAGGCGGATGTCGCCGTCGAACAGGCAAATGATCTGGTATGTGAGGAGGGCGTGGACACGAGCTAGGTGTTCGAAGGTGTCGAGTGCCACCGCCCCTGCATCGTCGTCGCTGGTAGTACCTGGCGGTGGATGTGGCTGATCTGCCAATAGTTGTTTTACTCTTTGTTCGAGAAGGGAAGTGATGATGGCTTTGTTTGATTCCTTTCTATTTTGGTACGTTGACAGCGCGGTGAACGCATCCTGGACGCATCGTGGCATATGGTGTTTGTACGCTTGTTGATGTATAAAAGGACAACAACCGGTCTCGACCCAGCGGGTCAGCCATTCTTTGGCATGGTCTGTGTAGCTTCTCAGCACTGTGCTACAGTAAGGTGCCGCGCTATGTGCTGATGCCATGTGGTCAACATCCCATGAGCCCTTCTCCAGATACCAAGGCAGTGGATGCGGGTGGGATCTCGGACCGGGCTGGGTGCTGCTCGGGTTCCCAATAACGGCGTCCAAGCTGTGAGATAGAAGTCCGTCGATGGTTATCATGTCTCCGGACGAATCAAAAAGAAGGTCGGGCAAGGGTTCGTCCGAGACGGTGCCCAGTCCGAGTCGTTGTTGGACTTGAGGTCGGCCCGGGGGTTCATAAATCGCCGTCGGATACTCACAACGCCAGCCTCTGGACTGACACCTGCGGCAGGCTGGTATCTGCCGCTCACATTTTCTCTTGGCACGGGCACATGTCAAGCAAGCCTTGCTCTCAACAGTCATATCGATCGGACCCATCGCGAGAAAGATGCAGGTGTTCGGCAGCGACCCGGGTAAATGTCTCTTGGTGAGAAATCAAAAGGTTCCAGGGCAGCGGATTCAGACCGACAACGGCCCTCGTAAGCACCAAGCCCATGGTCCTACGGACCAAGTGAAGACAGACTGAATGCAGCATAAATCCCGCCGTCTGACAAACCTTGGAAGTGGACGCCAAACTTCTTCGGGGCTGGTGCCCGCTTCTCTTCACAACCAACGGCCCTATTATGTCAGCTGTATTGCACCACTACTAAAGGCTTGGGTACGCCCGTGGGCTGGCCCACGCAGACAGTCCGCATTTCTGCCGACCAACAACCAAGCGACAGAACGATTTGTCGTCGTTGGTCTGCGCGATGGGCCAATACAGGAAACCAACTCGCATCCTGTGCCCGAGATTGGTACCTCGAGCTGCGGACAGGTGCATTTCGCGGGGGATATAAGACCACTGCTCCGAGGGCAACATTGAACGCTGCCCCGGGTGATTAGAAGATATCGATTCTTTAATGTACAGTGTAATCAACAATAACTACAACAGGCTCGAATTGGTTATTTGTGTTATTATATTAGTAGAACTTGGAAGCATCCTAAACGAAGAGTTCAATCAAAATGGCCGACCTGCAATATATTCTCAAAAAGACCATCGAGCAGGGGGCTAACGTCACGACGAATTTCACCCGGACCGTCCATCGTGCCTCTTACTCTTCCATCGACCCCTCTCGCCCTGAACTAAGCCAAGATGGTCGTACGGTTCTTATCACAGGGGGTGGTACTGGCATCGGAAAGTCCATCGGAAAGTCCTTCGCTCAGGCCGGTGCCAGGCATGTAATCATCGTCGGCCGCAGAGCTAATGTTCTTGCCGATGCCGCTAAAGCCATCGAGGAAGTAGCCAAGCAGGCCGGAAAGGACACCAAAGTCATCCACCAGACCCTCGACATCACAGACAAGGCAGGGATCGCAGATCTATGGTCGGGTCTGAAGGACAAGGGCATCATTGTTGACGTTTTGGTGCTCAACGCCACAAAGTTCTCGTTGCTGGCACCGCTCCTTGAGCTCGGATCTGACGAGATCTGGTCCATGTTTGAGGCCAATGTCCACGGCCCGCTCATGCTGTCCGAGGCCTTCGTGAAGCAGAGCGGCGACGGGCAAAGGGTCCTTATTAACGTCGCCACCAATTCCATCCACCTGTCCGAGGAGTCTCATTCCATCATCGGCGCAAAGGTCCCCGCATACGCACTGACCAAGAATTCTGGAGCACTGCTAATCCAGAAGATTGCGGCAGAGGTTGACCCCGAGAAGGTCCAGGTCGTCAGCTTCCACCCCGGTGCCGTCTATTCCGGCGGCTGGGAAGACTCCGGCGTCCCTCAAAACATGTTGCCCTTCGATGAGATCTCGCTCCCCGGAGCTGAGGCGGTCTGGCTCGCTTCTCCAGAGGCTAAGTTCCTGCACGGGCGTTTCGTTTGGGCATCGTGGGATGTTGATGAGTTGAAGTCTGGGGAGATCAGGGAGGCGATTGAAGAGGATGTCGAATTCCTCAAGATTGGTGTTCATGGGCTTAAGGGTCCCGACCGCCGCAAGTGAGACTGTGGCCGCAACCAAACCTTGAACCAATTTGAAGGACCACGACGGGTTGAGGCTCAACTATTCCGACGGGCACTGGGGTAGCAGCGTCGATCTTGTTATATGGGATGACCTTTCTCCAATAATATAGTCAATACACAATTGCAAAACATCCAAAGCACCTGCAGCATTACGACTCCGTGGTCTAATTATATATTTCTAGTATTGTTGATAGCCCGGGATTACGGCCCCAAAGCTTGCGTGAACAACGCGTCTCGAACTTGAAGGGATCAGGCTCGGTGGTGTCTCATCGTGGGAGCCCGAGGATGACTGGATGGGACTAGAGCGCTAACTTGCTGTGGCACAAACGCCCGCTGCAGGTGTATCCGAGCTCGGTCAGTGTATAAGTTTAATGTGGGTAATAAAGGACGGGAAACAGGTGCTTTGTGCCCACACAAGCAGGCAAACCCCGATACCTACATATGTAGGTACTGTGTGATAGCATCCATGGATGCCAGTGTCGCGTCAAAGTCGCGTCCCAAGTGCCTTACGGAACAGAATCGAACAAAAGCAGCCTGACCGGGTTCATGTTGGAGATCAAATCCTGGTCGGCAGACCCTGATCGACAGCACTTGAGTGGAGGGGAAGGGCCGCGGCGGAACGCATTGACTTGCAGATGTCATCGCGACCATGGCGCCGCTGACGCCACGTCAAACGCGACCCCATTCTTGTTTACGGCCAGGCAGGCAGCCAATGAGATGTCACATGTGTCTCAGACCAGGTGTCCATCACAGCCCGTGAGACCGCAAGGCACGTCAGAATGTGCAACCCCTCAAGACAATTGGGAAGATGCTGCCCAGAATGGACGTCATTTCCGCACTTATGTCACACTAACAAAGCGGATGCTGTCCGGAGCTGTGGGGCAGTTGCTTCTGCTCCTGCCTGCTTGCCTCAAGTGCTGCTCCCCATGTAAACAAGAGTGACGTCAGTTCAAGGCAGCAAGCTGCACCAGGCAACCAGACACAAATGGGACACTTGAACGTTGGTGGATTCAATCGAGGCAGGAAGCAAATCGCTGCCAGCATTTGAAATAGAGCTCAGAGTCCCCGTCTCCAAATTCCACATCGCCGACCCCTCCTCTCCATCCCATCCCATCTACCCACTTCTCTCCACCTCTCGTCATCAAGTCTAAGACCAGACACCACGCCTTCAATAGACCATCTCTATCATCCACTCTCGAGCAAATCCAACACTGCAAACATGCCTTCTGAAGCTCAGGTTATCGGCGGCCACAAGGCCAACCTGCACAATCCAGACACCTCTGCTGAAGCCAAGGAGCACTCCAAGCAGGTTCTCAAGGAGGACTTCAACGGTAGGCAATGATACCAACCCTCCCGTTGCAATCCACACATGACTGCTCTACCTATGCTCTCAAGTGTTGTCTTATGCAGCACGCTGACCTGTCATGCAACAGTTATCGTGGACGGCAACAAGACCAAGGACCTCAGCCACGTCGAGGCTGGCCTGAAGGGGTATGTCTTCCACCCTCTCTACCAAATTCATGCAATGATGTGCCTCGCTGACGACGTCGCAGTGCCATGCACAATGAGAACCTCCCCGTCGAGTCCCAGTTTGCGGCTGCGGAGAAGCTGGGTGAGATCAAGAAGTAAACGACATGACGGCATCAAATGGTCGCAAGGGACCTTGGGCTTGACGGATTTTCTTGGACGTTCTGCCGCTTCCGTGGTGATTTGGGGCTGGGGCGGGCGCGACGAGGTCGCGTTTGTTAATGGCAAAGCAAAGATACCAATGTGATTTCACGCCAACCACTGGCACTAGCAAATTGATACCACTTCCCGATTGCTGGCTCGTTCAAAGACTCAACTGTGCTATGACAATAGTTTGAGTCGTGATTGCTTTGCATCTTACTATGCCCCGGCCCAAGATTCTTCCATCTTTGTTAATTTACCTTCACAGTCTTCGAGTTATCCATGATATCTCAAGGTTTCTTGCCACCAACATTCGTTTCCCCCTTATTAGAATGCCACAACTCAAGTTCTGTTTCAAATGGATTCCAAGTGTTACGTTTATTGCAGCGGTAGGTGAAGGACTTGGAGGCTGAGTTATTTTAGAATCCAGGTGCCACCAGCCCAGCCACAATAACCTCCACTATCAATATCTCCAAGTACATGCAAAAAGCCAACTTGAACGTGACCTCGGGACTCTTAATTATAAGATGTAGGTATTTCGTCGCTTTCACTTCTATTTCTCCGAACAGTTGCGAGGGGATGTCGCTCGGCTTTCTAAGATGTGTTGGTGTCCAAGAGCAAATGTTCTTCAGAACTAAGTTTTGAGCGGTGTGAATACACCCATAAGTTACCTTGCCATGAATGAATTGAGATCGCCTCGAGCTCGGATTGGTCTTCCGCATACCTCAAGGTACATTGACAACATTGAATGGCCGCTAGTGTATTATGATGACCCCCGGGTGTTTACGGATTGTGGTAGATTCTAAAGTTCCAAGGTTGCACACGTGGAAAGCAGGTGATAGTACACAGACGCAGCACATAAGTCTCTAAATCGATTCCTGAATATTGTATTTTCACCATTCATTCTGCGAGGAGTGCGACTGATGCCCCTAGGACTCGAGAGCGAGACTGGTCTCCCATCGGTGGTATTTCTTGGCCAATGAGTCAGGACCGGATCCCCGGACTGGCCTCATTCACGTAGCCCCACAGCTTCAAGCTGTACGTAGCCACAATCCGGGTACCTTACACATACGATCCGTTCAGGGAGGAGTGGTGGATGTCATGGGAATAACCTGTTCACCTACACCTGACGCACTGCGGCTTGGGGCTTGTCCACCTGGGCAGCAAGGGGCCGCCCACAGAATGAGCAAGATTGTTTGGGACGAGGTCACCTAGAGCTATCTCAATGCTAGTCAAGATCTTATCAGATCAAATCACACGTGCATGCCCCAGGGTGATGTTGCAGCTCGCGTTGCATTCTTCCTAGCGTCGAAATTGGTGGGATGCGGTCAAGTGACATTTATCCCTGTAGCTTGCACGACATTTAAATATTATATTTAAATCTTTAAGTATATAAAATCTATATTTAAATATCGCACTACCTTTTTCTATATTTAAATATTGTACTACCTTTTTATATATTTAAATATACTAGGGTTAGAGGGGGGTTCTAGGGGGGAACCTGTGACGGTCTAGTACTGTAACTGAGCCTATAAACTACTGGAATAGCCAATTATTAAATTAGTTATTATAGTCTTTTGGTTAAGCAGTCTATTGCGCTAACAGTTAATAAAATTTTTATGGATCTATCTTAATAATTAATTTAAAGGGTGTGGGTTTGAGCCCCTATGTTTAAAAAGATTTTATTTGGGGTGTTGGTAGGTTAGTAGGTGCGGTATTTATAGTCTATGGTTGCAATATTAAGATGGGCCGTTTACTTTGATAAAGTAGCTCAAGTATACTATAGATACCTATCCTGTTTAACAGATTTTCAGGCCTTTTATAGGTACCTAATCCATCTCTAAACTATTTAAATACTCTATAAAGCCTTAAGGGGAATTATAACAATCTAGTACTATAACTAAGCCTATAAACTACTAGAATAGCCAATTATCAAATTAGTTATTATAGTCTTTTAGCCGAGCGGTCTATTGCGCTAGTAGTTAATAGAATTTCTACGGATCCGTCTTAGAACCCTCTAGGGTTAGTGTTAAAGTTAGTAGTTAGTGTTAGGGTTAGTAGTTAGTGTTAGGGTTAGTGGTTAGGGTTAGAGTTAGAGGTTAGGGTCTAGGGATATATTTAAATAATTTTAAGGCTTCTATTTAAATATAGAAAAAGGTAGTGTAACATTTAAATATTATATTTAAATGTTGTGTGAGCTACAGGGATAAATGTCACTTGACCACACCACTCTCGAAATTGGCAGTGTCCATGTTTCGCGAGTAAGTGACCGAGTCGAATCATGATTTCCTGGTCTTCCGTCGGCACCAAACCACCAGCTTCCGCGGAACGGAGCCCGTCGGCAACGTCAAACTTTGAATGTCACTTAGCCGATCGCGTAAAATTGCTTGACGCTATATTACTAGCCAGCGCCCTGGTTCCGGATCGCCTCGAGGATGTCCGGCAACCACCCGAGCGCCGGACAGGGCTGATGGTATCAAGGGCGGAGGGAGCACATTACAGGCTTCGGCGGGATATCCACCGATCCGAGTTGATCAGTCCAACCGAGAAAATTCAGGGGCCCCCGCAGGATCATTGAACCTTATCCCCCTGGTTGTTTCGAAACAAGAAAAATGACCGACATTCCACATCGAGTATTAGGTGTTTCTGCGTCGGATATAACGCGCATATCCAAAATGATTGCCAAGAGCACTCGAACAGTGCGGCCCTAGCTTCATCCCACGTTCAACCAAAAAACAAAACAAAAAAGAACCAATCACATAAGTCGCCCGCATCCAAACTCACTCACATGGCGAGAAGGATCATGCATGACACCCCTGGCGACAGTTGTGCCAAGGCAGATGCAATCATTGGGTAGCATCGTCGTGGATCCCAGTTAAGCTTATATAGGAAGTCAGCTCAGCGACGAGATGAGCCTCACAGTCCTTGCCCTCCGCAACAGTGTTCACATAAGCCGTTTTCGGACTGGTGGAATCCACCACTATCACGACGTATCCAAGTCCGACGGGGCCGCGTGCCTCGGCTTGCCCAATCGGGCCGCTATGAAGCCTCATCCAAGTCATGCAAGGCGCCGATTAAGGGGCCCAGAGGATGCCACTATGTAGAGCATCGTGGGACTGAGACTGGGGAAGAGTAAATAACGGGGACACTGGTGCATTACTCGTGCCGTGGGCCGAATTCCATAATGCTTTGCAATCACAACAGTACCTAGCAGTACAATGGAAGCTACCTAGGTATGATCATCAGAAACAACCTTTGAAAAAGGTTCATAAAGCAGCCGGCAGGACCGGTTTTTCAGACAGACGATTCTGAGGTCTCTGCTCCAGGCTCAACCCGATATCACACATTCTTTCTCTTATATACAAAATCAAGCATTCATATAATGCGTTCGCTCTTTCAGACCAGCCTTCTCGTCGCCGCCGTCCTGGCTGAGCGGCCGTTCCTCGAGGAGCCAGACACAGGTCTTGAGACCTACCTCTACAGCACCAACTACACAGATGGCGAGCTTCCTCTGCTCAAGGACATGCGAGGCATTCCAGACTTTGACTGGGCCGCTCAACACTATCTTGACAACCAGAAGTACTCGTTCTACCGCACCGGAAACGGAGGTGAATGGTCCTACCGTAACAACCTGGAGATCTGGAGCCAGGTCAAGTTTAGACCTCGCCAGCTGAACGACGTGTCCAAGCTCAAGGAGACACTGCCCACCAGCTTCCTAGGCTACAACTTCTCGGCCCCCTTCTTCATCTCACCGGCAGCCCGAGCGGGATATTCCGACCCCGAGCGCGCTGAGCTCAACTTCGTCGATGCAAGTGCCGCCGAGGAGACCCTCTACGTCGCCGCCCTTTACGCCACCAAGACCATCGAGGAGATCCAGGCTCAGAAGCACAACGGAACATTAAACGGCCAGCAGGTCGTCTTCCAGCAGATCTACTCCAATGTCAACCTGAGTGTCACATGGGACGCCATGGCCCGCGCCGAAGCCGCCGGCGTCAAGGCCTTCGTCTGGACCATCGATGCCCCCGGCGACTCGACCCGCCACCGAGCCGCCCGCTACGACACCACCAACGCCAACAGCGTGACATCGGCACTGACGTGGGACCTCTACGACGAGATTCGCAACCACACCTCGCTGCCCGTTATACCTAAGGGAATTACCACAGTCGAGGATGCACTCTTGGCTATTGAGAAAGGAGCACCCGCGATTTGGATCAGCAACCACGGTGGCCGCCAGCTCGACCACAGCCCCTCGTCGCTCGAGATAGCCTACGAGATCCACCGCAACGCGCCGCAGGTGTTCACCACGGTGGAGGTTATGGCCGATTCGGGCATCCGATATGGCACTGACGTCCTGAAGCTGCTCGCCCTGGGTGTCAAGATGGTCGGCATGGGCCGGCCGTTCATGTTTGCAAACATTTTTGGTGTCGACGGAGTGAGGAAGGCCATCCAGATCCTCAAGAATGAGACTATCCACGACGGTGCCCAAGCTGGTGTGACTGATCTGCGCAACGTGAGCAGCAAGCTAGTAAGTGCTTTTTTATCCTGCCTTGTGTATAATTATTTGCTGACTTCCTGGCTTGTAGATCAACGCTCGTGCTCTTGAGCACAACGTGTTCCTGTTAGACGAGTAGACATACGAAAGGGTTTTTATCTGCCACTTCAAAAGCGAGGCGTCAAGGAGTTGGGGCGTACTCGATCCCACGATACCGTTTTCGGTAATCGAAGCGACCTACAACTCATTACTGAAGTAGCTTGGGGTGTTAGTAAAGACACCGTAGTAGGTGCCACGGCCAGGAACACACCTGGAAGCTTGGAAAACCGGTCTCTTGTTCAGTCCCGATTGGGCATTTAACTTTCATCGTTTCAAGCTCCAATATTAAAGGCCCAGAGTAAGCTTCACAGACACAACTCCTGGCACTCTGATCTCTTCGCGCACGTCACTGCAACTTGACCCTCATGATCATGTCTACACTTTACACCGACCTGTTATGAAACGGAATTTGTTGAACAGAGATATGCCGTCATAATACTCATTGCCGGCGTCCATCAAGCCTCCGCATGTTCTGCGTACCTGCCTATTTCGGCACCGATCTAACCTTATCGACCCCGCATATACTGGCGCTGGCGACCTTGGCCTTGTGAATTATGAGCTTTTAGAGCCATGGCTAGATACCGGTAGAGCAGATCGACGACAAGGATGAGTGGTCAATATCGTCATTACAAAGAAATGGCGAAATGAGTGTATACAATGGATAAATACAACAGCTCAGCCCTTGAACCTGGGCTATGGAACTCCTGAGTCCTGGACCTTGATACAAGCAAGTGCTCATCCGACGTCGAGTAGCCAACATGATTTCCAACGTCTTGATTGCGGGGCTGCTTCAGCTGGCGGCACTGCCTGCTGCATCGGCACAAGCTTGGTTTGACCTGCCTGGCAGCTTATACGGCCCTCCAGAACAGCAATGGGCGTCGTGCGCCGATGCGAGTTGGCCGGTGACGGAACTCGGCGAGCCACTCGCGCCCCAGAAGCCAGACACCCAGCTGGTCGAAGCGGTGGCCGCAATCGACGAGGCACGTGTCGAGAACATCGTCACGACGCTGGCAAACTTCGGAACCAGGCATACCCTCTCGATTCAGAACTCTTCAACACGCGGGATCGGTGCCGCACGTGACTGGATCTACAGCCAGATGCAGGATATTGCCGCGGACTCTGAGGGCAACATGGACGTCTTTTTCAACAGCTACATCCAGCCCGTCGCGAACAGAGTTCCCTTCCCGGTCAATATCACTAACGTCGTGGCGCGCATCAACGGGACTGTTGACCCTAACCGCGTGTACGTGGTGACTGGCCACTACGACAGCCGCCGGCTCGACGTGTCAGACTACACGAACGACGCGCCCGGAGCAGATGACAATGCCAGCGGTGTTGCCGTGGTGATGGAGATGGCGCGGGTGCTGTCCAAGCTCAAGCCAGCAACCACGTTGCTCTTCGCCGCCGTAGCGGGAGAAGAGCAGTCCCTCCTCGGCAGCGCGTACCTCGCCCAGACGCTCAAGGCGCAGGGCTACAACGTCGAGGGCAATTGGAACAATGATATTGTGGGGACGGGCTCGTTCGCCCCCTTCTCTCCGATCAACAATTACACGGTGCGCTTGTTTGGCGCGAGCATCTTGTACCCCAACGCAAGTACCGCCGCATACCAGTCCCGTATTGGGAACATTGGGTACGAGAACGATAGTCCCGCTCGCAACCTGGGCCGCTTCATCGCCGAGGTCGCCGCGGGCGCCGCCGAGTCGGTCGGAATGCAAGTGGCCCTTATCTACCGGCCTGATCGGTTCCTGCGGGGCGGTGACCACCAGTCTTTCCTGGCCCAGGGATTCCCTGCCGTGCGCTTCACCGAGGCAGTGGAAGATTTCACGCACCAACATCAAAACGTCCGAGTTCAGGATGGCGTCCAGTATGGTGATTTGGTAGAGTACGTTGACTTTGATTACACGGCTCGTGTCGCCCGGGTCAACCTGGCCACCATGTGGAGTGCGGCGAACGCGCCTGCGCTGCCAAAGAATGTGACTATCTCGCAGGTGATTGGTTTTCCTGCTTCCAATGAGCAGACGCCGCTGGACGTGGTGGGTAACGACAGCCAGTTCACCTGGGCGACGGGAAATGATCCACTCGTGGCTAGTTACGAGCTCGTGTGGAGGCCCAGTGGTGCCCTGCAGTGGTCGCGGAGTCTTGATGTTGGGAATGTGGGAACTGTGACGGTTGACCTGCCGAAGGATGCTGTTCAGTTCGGCATTCGAGCTGTAGGCAAAGATGGGAAGAAGAGCCCTGCGGTTTTGCCCTTCCCAGGATAGAGTAGGGACCGCATATAGGCACTTGGGCCGTCGCAGCCATTTGAGACATCTAGCCATGGACCAAAATGAACTTCTTTGCAAAGAATCGGAATAACCATCCATCCATCTTTGCACTCCACGGCGCGTTGTCCTCGTGCTCGTCTACCAAAGATAGCTGGTCATTGAGATGCTGTATGAACTCCGGCACGATCCTGAGCCCCAACTCGGGGATGAAGTCAAGCCCATCCTCCTCTGATCCGGGGCATATCATGGCAGTCTCGTGAGTGTAAGGGACCAGCCTGAAATGGCGAAACCTCTTGAAGTCCTTGACGTCTTTCGATGCGTCAAGGCCCCAGTAATGGTCGAATACGACCGAAACGAGGCGTAGCGAGGGTAGAGTACACAAGAAATCGGCCTGCCAGAAGTCGATGGCTACATCGTCCGTCAAATGCCACGACCCAATTGCAAGGTGGCGAATGCTCTGGAACACGCCAGCGGGGTCGTTGCGCAGCCGGTCTTCGGTATTCAACATGTCTCCGAGAAGATCCTCTCCAAGGAAGAAGATGTCTGTCTCTGGACGGAACTGTCGACATGGAAGTAGCACAAGCTCCACGACCTCTGAGGACACTCGGGGCAGCCGATTCCGGAACCATTGGAACGAGAAGCCGCTCTTCAGAGCAAAGCAACGAGACTCGTGATTCACATGCAAGATGACAATGTAGTCGACAACCACCTTGAACCTGGAAGCTCTCGATGAGTCGCCACCCCTGTCTGTTGTTGAGTCTGGTCCAAAATCGCCGCGGTTATAGAAGTAGACCTCAGGCGCGGCTGGGTCTGGCAAGCATTCTTTCCAGACGGCCTCACGAAGCTCAAATGGGAGCTTGAGGAACCCCTCCATTGGTGATGTTCCTGGCTTGCTTCTGATTGAAAAATAAGTGCAAGACTTCAGGCGACCGGGGTTGAATGCAGAGAATTGTCCTGTCCGGTCGCGGGTCGGTGCTCGAGTGTTTGTTTTCGCGCGTCCGGGGTTGTCCAATGTTGTCAGGAGGAAGTGCAGCCCTCAGTAGCGGCTGCGAGCTGCACGCACGCTAGTGGGTCAAGTACCTGGGACTGGCGTCTCCTACCCCACATCGATCTTGGCAGCACCACCTGCACTGAGTCTAGCCCTTATTATTAGAACCTGCCTGCCTCCATTGACAGTCTGAAAGATCTGTCAGTCCCGTCACAAAGACCATTTATAGTCAGCTCTCCGCTGTATTCAATAAGTTGTGCTGCTGGAGGATTCCGACGCTACCAAATCTCTCACCTCAACTGTAGCGGCAGCCAAAGCACCGGATCCATAATGATGGTAGCAACGGTGAAGATGGCCAGATTAAGGAGCTAGCGTCCACATACCCAACAAGTTAATCCATATACCTAATATTTTCTTTCTATACACCTAATATCTATTTTAATATATAAAGCCTATAAAAATCTATATATTTAATTAAAATTCTTTAAATTTTTAATACTTAAGGTATAAGCCCCTTCTAGACCCCTTCTAGCACCCCTTTTAGCGCCCCTTTACTTTCGCCTTCTAGCAGCCCTTCTAGTAGCCCTTCTGGCACCCCTTCTGGCCCACACGCCTTCAGGTATGTTCAGGTACTAACTGAGTATTCAGATGCCAACTGAACGCTAGAGGGCTAGAAGTCTAGAGGGCTCGAAGGCTAGAAGGGGTGCTAGAAGGCCAGAAAGAGCGTAGTCTTTACCTTTACCTTCTTACCTTCTGGCCTTCTAGCGTTTAGTTGGCATCTGAATGCTCAGTTGGTACCTGAATGTACCTGAAGGTGTGCGGGCTAGAAGGGGTGCTAGAAGGCTAGAAGGGGTGCTAAAAGGGCTGCTAGAAGGGCTATTAAAAGGTGAAGGTAAAGGGGTGTTAAAAGGGGTGTTAAAAAGGTGTTAAAAGGGGTTTAAAAAGGGTTTATATTTTAAATATTAAAAATTTAAAGAATTTTAATTAAATATATAGTTTTTTATAAACTTTATATATAAAAATAAATACTAAGTATATAGAAAGAAAATACTAGGTATATAGACTGACTTACTAGGTGTGTAGATGCTGGCTCTAGATTGAGTATAAGAATATAGTTACGCTTTCAGGAATACTGAATGATATTGATGAACTCGGAGCTGCTGGAAGTAAGAGTGTCTTGTGCAAAGGCCCTCCCTTGCTCAGCAGTACCGGTACTTCAATGATCTCCGGGTCGAGCCTTGACGAGCCCTACACGAGATGGACAAGTAGTTAGATGGATAGTCTTCGCGGGTACCGGAAGGGTGGCATATCGCGGAAGAGCCTGGATGTGAGCAAGATACTAAATAAGACCAGGCTAAGAAAGAGCGTTCGAGGAGAGGAGCGATGAGAAGAGTGCTAATAAAACGGGTGCTAGTGAGATGGGTTATAATGAGAAGAGGCGCTCGACTGAAACTGATGCTAAGGCCAAGGTCGAGGAAGACCAAGAGATCGGTAGTCCTTAGGACCTTATCGACTGCGCAATCTGACCAGTGACACAATGAGGAGTCAAGTCTTGTTCCTGGATAATACTGCAATGGTCTTGACCGATCCCTGAGGAGTCATCCAGTGGGACGCTCCCTTTGATAAACCCGAGCATGAATATTATCGTCCATCGTCGTATTCGGGACACGAGGAGGAGGCTGAGCAGTGACACGGATAATTTCGATGCCATTCAGATACCGCATGGAGATATGAGCATTTTTACATTCTCCTCTTACTGCGGAGTGCTGAGGGCAGGGCTAAATGCCGCGGCGGCCTGGCAAAGCGTGGAACCTCCCTTGCTGACCAGGTCGTGATCTCGGGCCCGAGAGGTGAATCATTTTGTCAGCAAATGGGGACTCCGTTCTCCGTCGTCCCACGCTATGCTGCATCGCTATTAGTGCTGAAGGCGCTGAGTCAAGAACGCCACGCCCCCAAGAATCCACTCGGCAATGCCCTGTCGCTCTTTGTTCTCAAGGGATGACCCCATTTGACAGTGTCACTCTCTTCTGTCTGCAGCCCTCATGTCTGCCCTCACGCTGCGTCGGTCTGGCGAAAAGCTCATGAAGCCATACCGGAATCTATCCCTGCACAGCACAAATCAGCCTACCCTGATTTGCCATCGACATTCTTCTGTTGCGTATTTCAGTCGTGCATCCTTCAGTCGTAGCCGGTCGACCCCCGCCTCCCCTGTCTCGATCAAGTCAAATTGCCAGGACCCGCCTGGATTTCTTCGGACGGGCAGTCGTGCAGGACAGCGGAGATCTGCCACTTCTACCACTATGATTGAGAATGGGCAGTCTCAGCGATTACAAGCTCTTCTGACGCATGATTTGCTGGAAGAGCTGAGTTCGCTTTGGTTCCAGCACGTCGTCGACGAACAAGACCTGGTTGTCCCTTCCCAAGACAGCATGATGCATTGGTTTCGGAAGAACGAAGCATTTGACCAAGCATGCTCGTGAGTGCCATCTCGTCCAATGGATAGAATGAAGTCTGATGCCACCGGGACCTGCTGACACAATTCTCAGAGCCAAGTTTCGCCAGACACTTGAGCAGACAAAGTCTCTCAATGTCACAGGAGAGGCCATATTAAATGCAGTCCAGCCAAGGAGCTCTCTGGAGTGGATTCAACTCATCGTCCTTTTGGACCAGATTCCGCGAAATATCTACCGTGGAGAGGAGTCTAGGATAGTCTTCACTATTTTTGATCCCATAGCACAGCATATCGCTCAAGCTGCCACCGCCGCTGGCGCAGATAGCCACCCGCTCGTGAGATATCGCATCGGGCATAGGATGTGGTTCACTATGCCCTTTATGCATTCCGAAGACCCTACGATGCACCAGAAAGCCGTCGAATTGATTGAAAGCATGGCGCGTGACGTTAGGAGTGTCGCCAACAGTCAGGAAGACGTGGGCAACGGCCTAGACGAGAACAACCAAGAGCTTCAAAAATGCAAGACCATCATTGTATCCAAGAGAGACGCTGCTGTCAAGCTTTGTGAAAGCCAGCTGGAATTTGAGATCAAGCACAAGGATATCATCGACAAGTTCGGGAGATATCCGCATCGCAATGGACCGCTTGGAAGGGGAACGACGACGGACGAACAGGAATTCCTGGATGGAGGAGGGGACACTTTCGGTTAGCTGACCACTTGATACTAGTATACCCTCTCGTGTGAGGCTTCATCATGTATCAATGCATATTGACCGGCAGAAGTTATTTTCAACTGGCAAGTTGACCAACCGCATTGAGTTACACAGTCTTATTGTATGGAAATATAATGTATTTCTGGACACATTGGGAGACTCAATAAGACCGGGCTTCACGCAGCCCTTGTCCCTGCAGAGGGGAAATGTGGTCATCAATATCCACCTCGCATCCAAGAAAATTGGATTGAGATATCGTGACTGAAACCTTCGCCACGGAGTCAGCCCGGCTCTCTCCAATACACGTAGATGAATGAATTCCATTTGAGATAAGCCTTTGCCGCAGGTCCTCGATCTTGCTGATAGGCCCAGATGCGTCGAAGATCTGCTTGGGTTCCAGATCAGTTGAATGGGGATTGAGGGTTAACAGGGATTGGAGACGATTGACGAGACATGCGGCCGATTCCAGTCCGATATAGGCGCTGTGGGCTTGAATTAGCGTCTGCTTCGGTGTCAACACTTTGCTGAATGAAGATCCCAGGAGAAAATTAGTGACCACTCTAGTATGTACGGCGCCCCCAATAAGAACAGCTCTTTTCCCTGGATAGAGTTGACCAGCCGTGTTCAAAGAGGCTGTATCTATGCCCGGAGAGGGCTTACGCCTCGACTTCCCTATCATGTGATTCTCCCGTGAGGTCGTCTCTGTGCGATTTTAGTGGTTTCTTTTTTAATCCCCATACATATAAAGTGTATGTGGCGCCTTCATAGAGTGGTAAACGCTCGAGACCCAGCGTTTAAAAATATACTGTGCGATTTTACTTTTCCTTGTTTGAAAGATTTGCTGAGGTCTAGCCGAGAATCCCCGGGTCTTCAGATGGGATAGACTGTTTGGATCCGTGCTGTCAGGATCCAGGCCATGGGGCCTTATCCGGGCGTGGAGTGGTGAAAGGAAGTCGGCATTGGTGCGGACCAGGGGGTTTGACCAAGATGGGTTCGAAAAGATTAGATTAGATCTTTGTCGGTCTAGGTGTCGCCTCGGCTCGGTGTGATTCGGTGATACGTAATCGGTTGACCGCAGTTGGCGACCAATCGTGCGTGGCCGCGCGTCCCAGGGCGTTCCCGTCCGACTTTCTGATTCATGGGCTGAACATTTGAAGCAGTATTCCCAAGACTTAACCCAAAAGATCTTCCCTTCCGGCCGTGTCGAGTCCTTTCCCATGCCTCTGGATCAAGTGAAAATCTGGCGTTATCTTGCTGCGTGCGTTCTCTTTCTAAGGGAGTCAAAAGCTCCGGCGGGACCATGACGTCTCGAATCCTCTCCGCCGCGCTCGCCGCCTCGAGTCTCGCCCACGCTGGGATAACAAACCCTCCTCTGGAAAAAGGCTTCGGACCTAGTCAGGATGTTGCAAAAAGCCGCGGTCCTCAGATTTTCAATGCCGTTAACAACGCCATGAGACAATGGGGCTCGTCTATTCACCACAACGGCATGTCCTTTTATCTTGCCACGGTTCCGGAGGGCGTCATTTTCCATCATGGCAACGATAACGAAACGTCACCACAGGGTCCAGAGTGGCTTGCCTATGAGATCGAACATGCTGAGGGCTTTGCAAGTGGGAGACATGGTCCTCCAGGAAGGGGCCCTCCAGGGAAGGGCCCTCCAGATGATGGCCGTCCACCTCGTCCTGATGGACACCGTTCGATCGAGGGACCATTATCAGTGAAGCTGAAGATACAAGATGGCTTCAAAACTATGGTTGTGAGGGAAGAAAACAATCCGCAAAAGGTCATAATCGATGAGATCTCTTCTGAATCGCCACAACCCATCGACGACACGCAACAGCAGGGTGGATGGCTTCATACCTATCGCACAACTCGACCGTTACGATACCTATACGTTGATGGGATGAGCGGTGGTAAAACCTCTATGGGAACTTTGGATACCCAGGACTATCTTCTCCGGAATGACAAGACCACATTATACACAATGGACGAGCCACCGCATGTGGGAGAAAGAGCTGGTGGTCCGATGGACGAGAGGAGGCGGGCTTCCGAGCTCTGTGATATGTGCTACTACTGGAATATCTCTGGTATCATACGCATGGAAGCTGGTTTCGAGGTCATACACTGTGACTTTCAAGACGGGCTCGACCAGATCCAAGCCCTACAGCGACCGCATCCACAGGACGGCCAGTACGGGAGGGCTGGTTCTGTCGCCAAGTTCGAGTTCATCCGCGCCCTTTCCGAGCGCTACAATGGCATCGGATCATCCAGGACAACTATCGACTTCTCTTCCATGGTATCGGCGTTCTTCTATCCCATCAACCTGACAAACCCGGATCCAAAGCGACCTGATTTGCCACGACTTGCTGATGCCACGGAGGCAGAGCTTGCCTCAATCAAAGCTGACTTGAATCTAGTCATCTCAGAGAGACAAGATGGCCACAATCACGCTGTAAACTGGCAAGCCGTTACAGACCTCATTGTAGCCCGATATGCGGATAGGCTCAAGTACATGGTCGAGAAGGCCCACACGGCGAGCCACCTACTCGATGAGATTGAACACTTGCTTACGGTCTATATCGACCACTCGGGTAAAGATTCTGACCCAATTCCGCCTGCCATCATCCGCTGCACCGAGTTCTACCTTCATGGCATCTCTCCTCAGACCGCAGCCGACAACTTGATACATACCGCAATCAAGAGTGTCGCGTCAGAAATTTGCACTAGACTGTTCGAGGCGAGAGACGTTCTCGTCAACAGATCTACTACTGGCCACGGGATGGAGCAGCTTGCACTCAATGATGCCATGGAAACCATTAGTTTGCTGGTTGAGCACCTGAGTTGGGCTCGCTTCAAGCGCTGTTCGCAGTGTGACGTTGATCAGGTGTGCGTGATCCCGATGTGGCCTTTTGGCACTAAGGAGGACTATGAATCTCCTCGATGTGCCAACTCGTCGAGCATACTAGGTGATGGAGACAATTATTGGGGGGGTTTCGGCCGACCCGGTGGACCTCGCGGACCTCCTGGTGGTGGGAAAGGTGGGAGGGGTCCTCCGCCCCCGTGAAATGTCTTATAACTGTTTACTGAAGCCTCGAGCTCATGGCGTGGGAGTTGATGAAGCAGTGATACCCGATCGTCTATTCCGTATCATGGTCTTACGCGGAAGTCTTATGCGTGTCTTTGTAACAGTCTGTATTTTTTTCGTCCTTGCAGAAACGCTCAAACGAACTCCTCATTATCGTGTCATCGATCTGACTTGGCACCCGTACAATATGATGCGTGTCGGTGTGATGCATACCGCTGATAAAAGTCGCTTGGTGTGGACCAAAGCGTGATTAAACATTTATATCGTACCTCTGCAATTGCACCGCGTTTTCAACTTTGCTGAATGACGGAATGAAGCAAATGACTCAAGATCTCCCCCCAGTTGAGAACTCCACTTTTGTGTGCCTCGATTTTGACGACAACATGTCCAACCATCATGATTCCGAACTGTATCGTAAGAGCATCGCTCGATTGTCGCCTGATCGCTGTCCCTTTAAACATATACCATACCGAACCACTGGTGCTGGTCGGGGCTTTCTTTGATACAGATAGATGTCGCTTCATGCCTCACCGCTGAATCCTATGCGTTGTGTGATGTGTCACATCCAGGTGGCCCTCGACCACTAGTTGACGTGAGGTTCTTCGAAGATGCCCCTTTCCTTTGTGCCAGCTATGCGAGACGTTCCGTCAGGTTCCTTTACCCAGGTTCTGTACACAGCGACTAAGGCACGTGCAACGTGGATTGCCGAGGAGATAGCGTTTGGCCCCCTATGTTTCTCATTGACGCTAGGTACTTAGAGAGATGTAGACTCGGGAATCATCACTCGATCGCAACCATGTCGCCAGTGCTGAAGAGCTCAAACTTGAGCCTTTGTACTCCGACCCCTTGCATTTTCAAATAGTCGGCCATCTCGACCATGAATTGCTCGGGCCCGCAGATATAGTACTCAGTACCGCCCTAGCCGGTGTTAATATCCTGCCCCGGCTCCCAAGTTGATCCATTCAGTGTTCCGAACAGAACCAAAACCTGACAGAAGGTGGAGCATAAAGGAAAATGATGATGCTTACATGGTGCAAGAACAAGTCCTCCCGGGCGACTTTGGCCAGGTCGACACGGAAGTCATAGTCGTACGTGACACCGGCCAGGTCCTGCTCCGCCAAGTGCGTCTTGAAGATATTGGTTCTCAGGTTTGGCATCTGCTTCTTGGCTGCCCCGATGTGGTTGTAGAAGGGGATCATGCGTCGTGCCCCATGTACCCAGCTGACCTCCCGCATTGGCTGCAGGTCCATCATGGTGTTCAACATGCTCACCATCGGGGCCACGCCCACTCCCGCGCTGATCAGGACCACTGGCACGCTGGAATAGTTGTTGGTGTCGAGGAAGAACTCGCCCGCTGGATGGGTCACGTCGACGAAGTCGCCAGGGTTGAGGGAGTCAATCAGGAAGCTGGTCATGACCCCTGGAGGATATTCTGAACGGCCAGACTCCTTTTTGACAGTAATGCGATAGTAGCTTTCGTGTGGTGCATCGCTGAGTGAGAATTGTCGCGATTGGAGATACCCAACGTGTGGTGGGCTTGATTGCACAGATATATATTGTCCTGGGAAGAAGCCAGGCAGGGGCTTCTTGTCTTGTGGCGTGAGGTAGAATGAAACGATGTCGTCGGTTTCGGACTCCTTGCGCTCGATTTTGAACGATTTCCACCCTGCCCAGGTTCCGAACGCTGTGTATATCTGCTTCTCTCGCCCGATGAGCATCTTGGCGAGAATCCAATATGCTTTGATCCATGCTACCTCCGTGTCGGCGGTCATTGCTGACCCAAGGACCGTCTTGAATGCGCGAATGAGATATACGGCCACAATCTCGTAGTGCTCTGGCTTGATGCCGAGAGAACAATGCTTATTACACATGCGCTCGAGTTTCGGGATAAGTTCACTCATGTCGTAGTTGATGGCACTGGCAAATGCAAGAATGATTGATGTCAGGGCACGAGGTTGCCTGTGATTGGCCTGGTTAACCGAATTGAAGTAGTTGTTCAGCTCAGGATGATTTTTCAGCATCTCCTTATAGAAGATGCTTGTGATATCTTCACCCTTTTCTCTCAGCGTCGGTATGGTTGCCTTAACCAGCCTCATCTGCTGGTAACTCAACGTGAAAGACATGACCAACTTGTTGCCAAACAAAAACAAAAGATTTGAACTGTTGAATTGATGACTCGGACTCGCGGTAATATGGGCTGCAAGAGACCGGGGAACAGATTTTGGCTCAGAAGAATCCGTGGAGCAGCGACGTTCACTCAGTCCTGTCTCGGCAATCAGGCCTTTAAATCGAAATGTTCGTGCGTTTTATGTGTTGACGTGCTACTGTTAATCTAGTGTCCTGGATACGCTGGGCGAGCTACTAAGAAAAGTCTCACTGGAAGAAATCGTACGATTTCTTGTGGAGCTGGTCATGCTATGAACTTCTAGGAGATTGAGATCTGGAGACTTGATCTGTCACAATCGATTCTCTACTGCTTGTGACAGGCAACGGCGCTCCAGCGTCTAGACGGGTCGGCATGGTCTCCAGATCTTCCAGAAAACCCGATCTCGCACCTCCAGGCTGGCAGCGGCCTCGAGAAAATATTGCTGCTGGGCCGGATTGTGCAGGGAGCCTCTAGGCAGGGTTTCGCTGATGGACGTGATCGGACCATTGACAGGCGTCCAATGCCCGTGGAATTTGCCATCTTGGCTCGGATCGAAGTTCAAAAATCATTCCAGATCAGAGCTCTCTGGCAATTGTCGCACCGCAGCATGCCATGACGTCGGTCCAGTTCGGAGCATCCACAGCTCCCACAGTGCTGGGACCGTAACATTCTCATGTCGAGACGCCCTGCAAGGTTCTAAACGAGCCCACCAACACTCAGGGTCCAAAAATTTCATACGGGCCTCGGAACCTGACTGCCTGAGAGCCCAACCGACTCCAGGGGGAAAGCTCCGGGGTCGCGGACCCCTGCGGCAAGTTTTGCCTTTGCCGCATTTTCCACGGGCAGAATCGTATGATGTGGGCAGGTATTAGGATCAGGGCTGAATAACAACCTCACCGATCCTGACAGTCAGGCCGTCGGGAATGCCGGAGGGCTCTGCCAGGTCATCCTTCTGCAGAGCTCGTAGCTGCCATGAATGTCAATCTCCGGCGGTCGGTTGCTGAGATTAAAGGCCTATCAGGCGCTCATTGAAGGTGTGATGAGGACTTTTATTACCGCCCCCGTTCTGAGTGCATCCGCGCTACCACAGCACATTCTGAAGCAGAGCTTTGCTTTTACACGGCAATCGCAATCGCCATCGCCTGCCAAAACCTCTTTTAATAAAATATGGAGTTTACTCTTCCTATCCACGTGGGTTTCTCCCATCGGCCGTCCTGGCGATTGGTTGACTTGGGTGGAAATGATGATGCACATGCAGACAGCGCTTCGGCTATATACTTAGGTACCAATGTATGCTGAAGCCACTTTGCAAATCCTTGAACGGGCTGCCGAAAACACGGCCGAGGGTGTGGGAGTTTCACGCGGAGAACTCTTCACTAGGCCCGGACATTTCCAATCCACCTGGGGATATGTGGGGTGAGAGCTGACACTTTCGGTAAGGTTAGGCCGAGAATATCCACCACTCGTACGGAGCCAGGGAAATCCCGGACTCTAGGCCTCTTAGCAATATATATATAATAATAATTTAAAGAGTAATAGATTATATTATTATAAATTTAAATTAAGAAAATTATAAAGAAGTTTATTTTAAATTATAAATAAAATTTTAAATAATAAATTTATTAAATTAAATTAAGAAATATTATAATATATATATTATAATATTTTAATATTAAAAATAATAATAAAAAATAAAAAATAAAAATAAAAAATAAAAATAAAAAATAAAAATAAAAATAAAAATAGAAAAATAGAAAATAGAAAAATAGAAAAATAGAAAAATAAAAATAGAAAAATAAAAATAGAAAAATAGAAAAATAGAAAAATAGAAAAATAGAAAAATAGAAAAATAGAAAAATAGAAAAATAGAAAAATAGAAAAATAGAAAAATAGAAAAATAGAAAAATAGAAAAATAAAAATAAAAATAGAAAAATAGAAAAATAGAAAAATAGAAAAATAGAAAAATAGAAAAATAGAAAAATAGAAAAATAGAAAAATAGAAAAATAGAAAAATAGAAAAATAGAAAAATAGAAAAATAGAAAAATAGAAAAATAGAAAAATAGAAAAATAGAAAAATAGAAAAATAGAAAAATAGAAAAATAGAAAAATAAGAAAATAAGAAAATAAGAAAATAAGAAAATAAGAAAATAAGAAAATAAAAAATAAAAATAAGAAAAAATAAAAATAAAAATAAAAATAAAAATAAAAATAAAAATAAAAATAAAAATAAAAATAAAAATAAAAAATAAAAATAAAAATAAAAATAAAAATAAAAATAAAAATAAAAATAAAAATAATTTATTTATTTATTTATTTTAATTTATATAATATAAATATTATTTAAAACTTACTATTATATTTTAATATAAAATAAATAAATTTATTAATTTAATATAAACTTATTTAATTAATTAAATAAATATTTTTATTTATTTTTTTATTTATTTTAAAAAAGTATTATTTATATTATAAAATTTTAATTAATATAATAAATAAATAAATATAATAAAAAAATAATTTTTAATTTCTATTAATTTATAATAATATTATTATAAATTAATTATCTTTCTACTTTATTCTTTATTAGATTAAGCTTAAAGGTAGTCTTATATTTATGAACTTTAAGCTGTTGAATAAATTTTATATGTTGGATGGCCTTATAAATTGAATTTGAACCATGGAGCTGCTATCTGCATCTTGTTTGCTACCATGACCAGCCGTCTACGAACCTCATATAGTTCGGGTTCTGGCTGGGAGGTGTACTACTATCCAATACCTCCCTTGCCGGCAGCACGGGATCTTCTTGTGAAGTGCCACTATGCACCTCAATCTGCAAGCCGGATGGACAGTCCTCGGGGTTCCGCCTTACAATGTCGATGACCTGCTGAATATCCACGGGTGTACTTTCAGCAGTCGTTCCCGAAGCTTCGGGCCGCGGGGGGCCTTCCAAGATACCTGTCCTGGGAACGAGTCGGTGGTGCTTCACATCTACCCCAGCAGCTGCAAGCCCGGCGGAAACCAAGCCGGCTCTAGCACTGAGCGCCTGTGTTCGGCTTGTTCTACTCTTTCTGGTGAATGCTTCCGCGCGCTGTTCCCCCTCGTGATGCAAGTGTAGGAAATCTTCGAAGAACTCCTGGTCTCCCGCGAGTGTAGCCTTGACCCAACGCCACTGCATTCGTCTTGCTCGGCGCTCCTCGTCCTTCTCGTCGTAATACTCCTCACCGGCGGGCTCTCTCTCCTCTTCGCTCTTCTCCGCATCCTTGGCTTTGGCTTTCTTCTTTTCAGCCTTCCTCTTCCTTATCATCCTGATCGGTGTCAAAAGGGGTGAGAGTCTGTGAGCGATCACGACCACGATCTGGTCAGGCACTAGTCTTATTAATGCTCCAATAGGGAGGACCAGGAAGCCAAACAGGATCGAGAAGCCCCACTGAGCGGGAGTAATGGGTGCAACTTGGAATGCCTCTCCGCCTTTGAGTACGATGGTCACTTGACCAGCAATGGTCAGAGCTTGTACCCCTAGGAACCAGGGGTTGTGGAGAATTCCCTCGTAGATGTGTAAGTTATTATCTACACGTCGACAGCTAGCGATTGATTGATTTATTAATAAAAAGGTGTCTGAAAATGGTGCAGGTACCTATTATGGACTTTGAGGATGGATACTTACTTGGATTGGTTGAACAGGCATATCAGCATATACGTGTTCCAGACAAAGGTTTGGAGCTGGGTCCTTTCGTAGTCGGTAGAAGTGGGAAAGAACTTGTGACCGGCATAATGAAGCACAAAGATGACTGTGAGCTGGTAGATAGTCTGTCCCAGAATCATCTTCCACATCTGTATAGAGATGATCGATGCATTTCGAGGCTCGGGACGTCTTTTCAACGCGTCTCGGCTGGGGTCCCCGGTTGATAGGGCTAGTGAGGCGAAAATGTCCATGATTAGGTTCAGCCATAGCAGTTGAATGACGGCGAAAATAGACGAGTCCGGTCCAGCCACAAGGGTAGAGACTATAGTCAGAACAGCAGCAGTAATGTTGATTGTAAGTTGGAACTGTTGTTTTTGTCAGCTGTCCATTCACAAATGTACTGAGAGACTGACAAGCAGATCTCAAGCGCGGTCCGTTCATCAACGCACCTGTAGAAACTTCTTTGAGGCATCGTTGACCATACGGCCCCAAGCAAGGGCTCGAACTATACTGCGGAAGTTGTCGTCGAGCCTATTCAGAAAGTCAGTCTCACCACTATTATAGAGTAATATCACAGCTGGTGACTTACAGTATAATAGAGCTGGCTTCTTTTGCGATCTCGGTCCCCGAGACCCCCATAGCAAATCCGACGTCTGCCGCCTTCAGCGCAGGAGCATCATTGGTTCCATCACCTGTTACAGCGATTGTTTCACCCATGCGCTTCAGGTGTTGTACAAGCACTTGCTTATCTTCCGGGCTCGACCTAGCCAGGACCTGTAATCTTGGAATCACAAGATCAAGCTGTTCGTCGCTAAGCTGTCTGAACGTCGGCCCGTCCATCGCAATACCACCAGCGGTATATATTCCGCTCTCGATGGCTATGGACTTTGCCGTGAGGAAGTTGTCGCCGGTGACCATTCTGACAAACACCCCGGCATCCTTGCACTGCCGCACAGATTCAATCACCTCGGGCCGCAGCGGGTCGCGGATGGCGAAGAGACCGAGGAATGTCATCTTCTCGCTGAAGAGATTGGTGAAGTTCACTGCCTCCGTCTTGCCCGGCCTTCCTCCCTTGTCACTCATCGGAGGCGTGTCAAAATCTCGGTATGCGAGTGCAATCACCCGGAGCTGGTTGGCGGCATATGTCCTTGTCAACTGGGCCAGTCGATCCCGCATGGCAGCGGTCATATCAGTTGTCGTCAAACCTTCATAGGGGTCCTTGATAGTTGTCGAACAGTTCCCTACAACCACCTCTGCTGCACCCTTGGCAAGCATTCGGTACCTGCCGTCGTCCAGCTTGACCATACAAGCCATCCACTTCAGCGTAGAGTTGAAAGGGAACAGCTCAACCACATTCGCGTTACTTCTTTCCTCTGTTACCGGTCCCAGGCCAAGATGCTGACGGCCATACTTGAGAAGAGCAGTCTCCGTGCTTGATCCGACGAAATCCCCTGTTCCAGCGCCATCGCCCTCAAAGGCCGTGGAATTGAGCACAATGCTGTGCTTTAGGAGCGCCTTTACGTCTTTCGAGAGACTCTCCGCCAGCCTGGCAGAACTCTGGACCTTGATTTCTTCGGATTCAGTCGGAGGCGTGCCAGCATCGTCGCTGAATTGGGACTCTCCCACAACTCCCGTGACCACAGTCATGTCGTTGGTCGTCAGTGTCCCAGTTTTGTCCGAGCAGACCGTGGTAGCGTTTCCCATGATCTCGCAAGACCGGAGAAGCCTCACCAAGTTGTTGTCCTTCAACATTCGAGTTGTTGCAAAGGCAAGGGCAACAGCAACAGCGAGCGATAGACCCTCTGGGACGCCTATGACAACCAGATTTACTGCGAGCATGAAGATATCCAGGAACTCCTCGCCTTTTTCTTGGGGGGTGAGGTGGTCCAAGTCACCTCTTCCCACCTGCACTAGCCAACGAATAAACAGAATCAGGAAGAAGATGATACCAATACCAAAACCGATGAAAATGAGGTATTTGGCAAGGCGACCAAGCTTCTGCTGCAGCGGCGTTTCCTCGACATCCGCCCGGAGGGAAAGCTGCATTCTTCCATGTGTAGAGTGCGGTCCCACCGCAACGACGAGAAAATCCCCGACGCCGTGGACAATGCGGGTTCCAGCAAATATGAAGGGATCCAGATCCCTGCCGCCGCTCTTCCGGTTTGCGTCGTGGATGTAGGCCGCTGGGGTCTTTTCAACCAGATCTGACTCACCCGTCATTGGGCTTTCATCAGCCTGTATGCCGAACCCATCCACCAGCACGCCATCAACGGGGGCGACTTCACCGGCCTCGACGCGGAGCAAATCTCCCACGAGGAGATCAAACACGCTGATCGTTACATGCTTTCCTGACCGCATGACCGTGACGGTCCGCTCCTCCTTCTTCTGGTTGAGCTTCTGGAACTTGTAGTTCTTGTGGTAGTCGTTCAACGCCTGCACAAGAATGATCAAAATAATGGCTGCGACGATAGTGACAGATTCGACCCATTCGAGGCTCGAACCCTGCTTGCCTCCTTTTTGCTGGATCTGGACGGCCTGGTATATACCAAGGGCCAGCGACACAGTCGCCGATGCCATCAGCAGGAAGATAAGCTTGTCGTTCATGGCCAGCCAGCAGAGCTGCAGGAACGTTCTCTGCCTCGGCGGGGGGAGTTTGTTCTCCCCAAAGACGCGTCGTCGGTCCGAGTAACCCCTATTCTCCACGCGCTCGAGGCGAAGCTGCTCAGCAAGGCCGTGGATTCCCTCGCTATGGCTTCGGCGGCGCGGCGCGTCATTGTGCTGCACCTGCAGCTTGGGGTCCGGGGTGAGGATGCTGCTGCTGCTCTCCTTGCATACGCTCTGAGGAGAGATGAGGCCCTCCAGTACGTCCTCGTCTAGGCTCAGCCCGGACGCGGCATCGGTGCGCAGGCCGTAGGCGAGCCCACTCAGCCCCCCGAATGCCTGGAGGGCGAGGGCACTCCGCGCGACGGCGAGCTTGTGCAGGTGGCCCGGGGCGAAGGCGAAAGGATTGTCGAGAACATTGTCGTCGCTGGTCGCGGTGAAGTCTATCTCGAACTTGGGGGCGTGTTTCCGGCTCGATTGTGGCTTGTCAGGCTGGACAACAACATCATTGGACTGCGAGGGCGATGTTGACGTGTTATGGTCAGTCATTTTGGTGCTGACATCTCGCGTGGCACAAGGACGGATATCCTGAGCCGGCTGGGAAGTGGATCAAGCACCAGCTAAGTAGGTCAAGAGAGTCTAGAATCCCAAGAGAGGGTCGGCAAGCCCGAGGTGCTGCCAAGTCACGATCACCACCACTGATCGTGTGCGCTCCCTGCAGGAGAACCCGCTGGGGCCAGCCAGCGCAGTGCCCTACGGTCCCATCAGGTCTGTTCGGCCACGCTGCCCAGACAAAGAGCGGTACAAGTGACGTGGTGAGGCTCTGGGCGCAGTCTCTTGTTCCCTGCTGGGGAAAGGTGCCAAGGCCGGCCAAGACATGCCTGCATATGGCCCCAGCCGCCATCATACTAGGGGGGACATCCTCTTCACGTTCCTGGCCCTCAGACCTTCCGCCACAATGGCCTTTGTTGCATTGAGGGATGGAACAGCACCGCAATCGGGCCCATCGAGGGCCGGTCAGAGAAACTTTAGATACCGAAGGACGAGCCAGAGCCGACAACACGACCAGCGAGACCGCTAATGTAGAAGTCCGAGGCGGAGTCCCTAGCGTAAGCCGACCGATCAGCTCGGCGTTGGAGCACTGCCCCTCCGGCTCTTGGCCCGGTTTTGTCTCCGCGTTGTTGTGGTTCTTCTGTGGGTCTGGAATTTTTGCCCGCAGATCTCCTAGGGAGCGATAGGAAGGTCATCGAGCATAAAGTCAAGCGATAACTGTATCGCGCAACCCCGTTTACAGAAATCATCATGGCCTAAATCTTCGAAGCCGGGCTAAGGTGGGCTGCCTGCCTATCGCACCGAGACGTCTGTTGGGACTCGGGGGCAACTGTATGCATATCATGATGTACTAGCCAGATCTGGTCTGCCCCTGTCTACTGTACGCCCGTACTCCATGAGGGTGCCACAGTGGGTTGCTTTGGTGGCAGTCAAGTGCTCCGAATGATTAGCCATCATGAACAATAATAAACCGATAACAGTTCTCACGTGAGGAAAAAGGAGAATGAAGGAGAGAAAACTCGAGAAATTGCAGCCACCCAATACGCACAGCGAACGAGATTGGTCGGACCAGGACAAGAATCCTGCTTGTACCACAGTATTCCGTACTTAAGTAAAGACGGTGAGACTGGGCCGTCCCTGTGCGACTCCACCTGCAGGCATGAGGCATGGGCGGCTTGCCAGTGCTGTGCTCGAGGATTTCATTTCAAACTCGGTCTCTCACATCGAATACCGAAAAATAAGAGACTGACTGCGAACATATGTCATCCGTCGGTGGCAGAACCAATTTTCTTACTCAAAATTCGCCATGTATACGCGCACTCGAGTCATTCATTACCAGGCTGTCTGGCTGTTTGTTTCCCCCTCAGACTGACTTCGCGTGGCACTAGGGGAAGCCGTCCGAGCGGCCGGGTCCGGCGACTAGCGTGTCGGAAAAGCTCAACGAGAAACATTCCAGGTATGTCCCATTTGCGGTCATGCACCGTGGCTGTCACCCCTGCCAGGAAAATCAACCGCTTTTTTCGCCCCCACATACGAAGGCAGTTGCATTCTTATAGGTTCAAGTTATATGGTACTGTTGGATGAGATGAGCCCCTCCATTGAAGGCAATGTCGATAAAGTTTAGTTCCTTTGAGTCCTGCTCGGGTGCTCCCTGCGCGGCCACGGCCCATCTTCAAACCTCCTATTAGACAACCTCCTATTAGACAACCTCCTATCAGACAACCTCCTAAAGGGACACACTTCCATAGGTATCCTATATAAAGACTTCATCTTATTAACCTCATGACCTCTTGTGGATTGACTGATCCTCGGGGAGACCTTTAGATAGAAGGTAGGTAAAATAACTTCCTGTAGAGTAAAATAGGAGAGTAGTAAGTAATAGGAACTCTGGTATGATCTTGTGCAACTTGTTAAGGCAGCAATTATCTTATGGTACTCATGTACGTAAAGAGATAGGGTGATGCGACTGGTCAACTACTCTTCCAATGCAGCGGGTGTATAGCCTTGTGGCGGTCACTTGTGTGGCTATAAGAAAAGACATAAAGAGTGGTATTTAGTAATCATTTAAATGAGTTCTAGTTGAATAGTGCTTATAATTGCTAATAAACACTCTTTGAGACAAAGACAAGCCAATTGAAAAGGAGTGGAGCATAAGAGCGAGTAACCTAGGAGCGGGCCTCCAACTCAACAGCAACATTCGGACAAGAGCAGGAATACTAGAAATTATCACCTGGGTGTATACCTAGAGGAGGAAGATTTGGTTCTTGGATACCTAGACTTTTACTTTCCTTATATAGTGTTTATTTAATATATAGTAAATAAACTCTACTTAGCTTTTTAAAAGGGTTTTAATCTTTTTATAGAATTCATATAGGAAGGCTTTCTTAAATAGGTTTACTATTATAGTATTACTATTCTATTAGCTATATATTTAAGATAAAGATTATACTAGTTTATCTAATAAGGGTAGATTTAAGTAGCTATTAAATATATTAATAAGGAAGAGTTAGCTTACTAAGTCTTATATTATAGGATTCTTCTTCTTATAAGGGCTATTTTAAAACTATTTTAATCTTATTATATAACTACTTTACTAACTTTTTAATATAGTATTATTAGGAGTAATACCTTTTAACTTTATCTATATAATATAAAGTTTAACTATATACTTATATATTATATTCTTTTTTTACTATTATTAGTATTATATTTCTTTAGATATTAGGTCTTAAATGTTTACTACTATATAAAGGCGCTATATATATTTTATATATATAGGGATTAAAAATGAAAACCACTATTACCTGGGTAACGGTTTAGCGACGGATATTGTGTAATGCAGCACGTTGTTCGTGTGGCAGGGTAGGAGATTGATTGTATCATTCCATACTTCTTTGCAAAATAAAACTATCCATGCTTTAGCAGTCCTTTTTGAGATTTCCTTGGGCGCCTCTTGGTTGGGGGAGCACCCATAAGAACTAGAGGTCTTTTGAAGCATTATAGACTGGGCCAAAGGATGTAGCTCGTGAACGTTCCGAGCGCTTTTCCTGGAAGGGTTTACAATATTGACCGAAGCAAGTCATAACAATCTGTTTGATCTGGCTGTAAAGCAACACGAATTCTAAGATTTTAAGGTCATTCGGAGTCGCCCCCTAAAAGGCTCGTGATGCATGCAACCCGCATTTCACATGTGCTCATTCATTGGCATGCATGAAAGCCAGTAAATATAAACTCATCGGCATCTTGATGCTCCGTGGATTTTAGGAGCCAGAGCACAACCCCCCAAGTGCCAAGGCTTGCTGAATGAAATACCGAGCGAAGGGACATAATTGGAAAGTTCTCAAAGTATGGGTCTATTCGTCGAGTCTAGGAAGGGCTGCAGGATGAATAATCAGCAAACTTGTCGTTTCCTTTGTGTGGTCCACGCATCCCGGCCTACACACCCTCTCTACCATACCTTTTAACGGATGACATGATGCCAGAGAATGTTCCAGCCTGTATCAACTGGAATTTATTTCCGCGCGTGATAGAGTTTGCTATGGATTTGATCGAACTTTGAACTCGCCAGGCTCCGTTGCATTCATTCTGGGTGCTCCAGGCATCGGCAAAAGCACTGACTGTGCCATCTTAGCTCAAGCGTTCGGGTTCCGCTATCTGTCCTATGTGGACCTCTGCTGTCATATGAGAGAAGACTCAACTTCTTTTGTTTCAAGAGTTCAGGCGAAAAAGGGATCGGAGAATCCTGGTGTGCCGACGACACGGGGGCTTGGTTAGTTACCCTGGAAGGAGACATGCACCGAGCCTGATTGCCGCCGGCTGATAGATGGCTTTCCAAGACTCGTCAAGCACCTCACATAGTTTTTGAACCTGGTGCCTCCTGCCTCACCCAGACTCATCTTCCACTGCGCGAAAGAATTTTCCCTCAAGAGGGATCTTAATCGCGGTGAAATGGCTGAGAACGGGGCGAGACCTGAGTATTTACATTTCGAAATTCCAAAGTATCACCTTATGGGTACTCAAGGCAAGAAGAGTAAACTAATGTCCTTAGCGAGAAGAAAGTGAAGTTTGTGATTGTGGACGATAACCCAGTCTTGGACCTGATCCAGGATGAGCTGAAAACAATCATGTCTTCAGCCGGCCTTACAGTTTAGGTGGGTTCGTTCTGAATCCCTACTAAGTATGCATACCTAAGAATATGCGATGCCGTCATATCATGGTAAACGCTCAAGTAATTCTAAATTGTTGAACGCTTGTGTCCCAAGGTCTACACCGAGAATCTCCGTGTCTGGCTCCTACGTTTTCCACACATGACTTTCCGGGTTGCTAGACGCCAGATTAGACGTCTGATAAAAAACACACGTCGCTAATTCCAGTGATTCAAGCGGTATTCCATGTAAGTACCGCCTTTGGATCTCCAGCCGGCCTCAAACCCAGCTTCAGGACTTTTATCTTACCGAGCCAGCTGTTGGAAACCACTAGCAAATTAGTGCCGGCAAGTCCTAAGGAACTGCTAGCGTTTGCTCAAAGTGAAAAATATTAGACCTCCATGGTTGAACTTGGAATTGTATTCCCGTAGGGTTCGCAATGAAATTTGAGGTTAGAGATCACACTGCACACATATCCCCTTTTCAACGGTATAGCGTCCAGCGGCCGTGTTTTGCACGCCGAGAGTGTTGCTGGATCTAGATTGTGTTCGACTGACAGTTGTCTGTTTACCTAGGTCGCTTTCGTGCTAGGGGATCTCAACAAAGACTTACACACGGTGTGCCGAGTCTTTAGTCATGGCGGCTTTGACCTCTACTACTCTTTTCCGGCAAAGCAGATCTCCCAATTTGCAATAGATCTTAAAAGTCATACCAGATTTGATCAGGTTCTCGACGTATTTAGCACCGGTGCGTTTCTGCACGGTGGGAACGGGCCGTGGACACAGACCCGTGAAAGCTGGGATAAAGTTATTCGCTAATATTAGGCCTCTCCGCTGCTTTGCATTGATTCCTTCTCAATTTCACCTAGAGGCTCGCAGGATATGTTCGCCCTCCCATTCAACACTGCGCCCAAGACGTTCAGTTAACCTCGGCCCCTACTTTCAATCCGTAAGGCCCATGCGAAATGGAAATCAATGGCACCCTCGTGCCGCAATGCGGCGTAAGTAGAAAGTCTCAGTCTGCACCGCGGTCGCGATAGTTGTATTAACATCGCATTAACTATAGACTGAATGCATTCTCTCTTTACTACCCACATCTTCCTGTCTTCCGACGAACCAGACCTGCCTTTGCGCAGATTCGTTGTACGCAAACGCGGTCACGGGCTGCGTATTGGGAAATTGCACAATAAAAGAAGGCCTCGGTAGGACTATTATAAGCATTTCTGGTCTTCGTAGCTTGTTGCAGCCAGCTGACGTGCATGCAGTTGTATGGAACTTTACAGTTACCCAGTGCGAGGCTCCTCCCCAGCATGCTGCGACTGAAAGCGTTCCTGTTGCCCTACTCGTCCTTTTCTGCTTGGAGACAATGTTCCTCCTACTACGAATTCTATGCCGAGCATTGAAGGTGTCGGACTGGGGATGGGATGACCTCTTCATAACAGTGTCATTCGTTGGTACTGTCGTCCTGCTTGCCGGCGTTGTGCTCCAGGGTCGATACGGAATGGGCCGCGATATCTGGACGTTGACGCCTGACCAGATCACCCAATTCATCAAGACCTTTTTTTTATTTGGGTCGGTATATGCGTTCACCTTGGGACTTATCAGGATCTCGATATGCTTCTTTTACCTGCGGCTGTTCCCCGACGAGAAGGCCCGAGGGTTAATCTGCGCAACACTTATATTCAACGCTCTTGTCTTGGTGGTATTCTTTGTTTTCTACTTCTTACAATGCCGCCCGCTCAGTTATTATTGGACCATGTGGGATGGCGAGCACCAAGGAACATGCTTCAATTTCAGCGCTATGGTTTATACGCATGCATGTGTCAATCTTTTGCTAGATATTTGGATGCTTGCCTTACCTTTCTCACAAATCATCAACCTCACAATGTCACCTGGGAAGAAACTTCGGGCTTCTGTGATGTTCGGCTGCGGAATTTTGTGAGTATTACTTTTTGCGAGCTCCCCGGGGCGCTCTCAAGCCACAAACAACGAGTATTGGGCTTATAGTCTCTGAGAATATATCGCTGATGGGTTGTTATACCTGACTTACACAGTTTGACCGTAGCTAGCATATTGCGCCTACAGTCTCTTATCCTACTCACCCATAACACGAACCCTACAAGTAGGCATATTTCCAATCACATTGGCCTTTGAAAATTGGTCCGATACTGCAAGTGCCGAGTCTTGCGGGTGTTTTCTCCGAGACACCTGTGTTTGCTAACTCGATTATCTATACAGAGAATTTCACTTGGCCTACTCTTTGGTCAAGTATGGAGCTTAACGTTGGTATCATTCTCGCCTGTCTACCGGCCTCTCGTCTAGTTGTTCGGCGCTACCTACCGAACAAGTTATCCACACACCGGCCACTCTTCAAGAACCAGCACAACCTGAGGCTCGCGGCGGATTCAAGTTGTGAAGGCAGGTCCCTAGGATGGGCCTGCCCGACAGAGATCACCGTAAAGTCACCTGCGGGCCCGCTCACCTTGCAACACTCAGGGCTGTCCTCGGGCGTGGCACCTGAGAGCGACCGACGTGGGACAGGGCTCCCACTGATTGCTGAGGTTTCCGATACGCAAGCTGTTCCTCTCACGCGCTGGAGGTCACTTGTGACCGGAGAACAGCAAAATCCATTTTTTATCTCGAGGCCGACTGGTGCGCACATTTGGGCGGAGCAGCACCTGGACCCGAATCATAAGATTGTGGTGGGCGCATCAATGCTAAGATCTCAGGAAGAGGGAGCAGTACGACCATCAGGTGGTGAGAGTGCATGATAAGCCATGCATCGTTCAAACAGACAGCACGTGTTCTTCGATGAGTGGTTACCTAGGTAGTCTTTCCGAACTCGATTATTTCTCACGACATGACTCGGAGAGCCGTTGTGGAAGCTGAGCTTGGCGGCATTATAAACACCCCCCCCCCAACACACACTCTCTTCCTGGGTGAGTGGTCACACAAGGATAAAATCGAATTGACCGAGCCATGCCTCCTCAAATGCACCCTTTGGCATGGGGGCCGTCTGCGCCTACTTGAACATACCAGTACGGTCCTTTGTTTACTGCGTCTTATTGCTAAAACTGTCCACATGAGCCCGGGCCCTTTGTGGGCTATGGGACATAACACCAATATCTGCTTCGTAAAGGGTTTCGTCAACAGCATCAAATGTTCTCTCCAATTTTGGCCTCACCTATCTACCAAGTAGGTACACTAGGGTAAGTAGACACTCGATTGAACATAAGCGCTACACCATGTCACGCACCTGGCAGGAGTGAAGAGTAAAAGAAAACGTTGCATTGCAACTTGGAAAAAATTACTTGAAGCATGACTTCAGGCATCGAGGCGCATAACTACGCCCTTCTCCCCTCAATCGTATGGAGAAGTGGATTAACGTGCTCTGTAATGGGAGTTCCGCGTTCAAAATAATCAAATTTGGGCATCTTTCGGGTACTACCAATGTGTAGTAATTCTTTCTCAGGGAGCTTGGAAGCCCTGGAGCTGACAGCTCCAGTGGCAAACCACGCGTGCATGCTCTTAGCATAAGTACGTAGGTACCTAGGTAGGTATCCTGAGGATAATGACGCGTATTCCTCCAGGGGGCGATAATTGCAATGGCAACATTGAAAACTGGGTGTTGCTGGAAGTTTGAATCCTTCGAGCTGGTCATGATGCCGAGGGTTGCGCAACTATCACCAGCTCACATCGATTATTTGGGGAAAATTCCTGATTACCATTGAAGGGTCATAACGGCACGCGCGTAGAACTTTGGCCGTGTAACCCCGACAGGCAGCTAGCTTGCCCAGGTGATTAACTCGATTAATAAAGGTGCGGGCCAACTCCCTCACCGAAAGTGTAAAAACAGCCCCCAGGTCACATGGCGCACCGCTACTGCACTCCGCAGCAGAGCCTCCAATGAGTCAACTCGCTGTTGGGTAAGCAGTAAAACGCGAATAAGGGACACCCGTTGCGGCTGTGCCCACCACTACCAAACATCACCCGCCAAGCCACGAGCGTGGGAGCGATTAGGCCGACCTTTTTTTCGACCGCGCCAAACTCAGCCCCTGCGGCCATCATGACATTCCTTTCAGTCTGGTGATGGATTAAGTTTGTTAAGTTACACCATATTCAGAGGCATCCGGCTCCCAGATGGCCCGAATGACTCCAAGTATGGTTGAGCGTCGGCCGCTATAGGTTGGGAGGCAAGCAGACAGGAATGATAAAAAGCCCACGGGATCCTCCGAAGGCCGAACAAAGGTCTGTTCTACGTTTTCCAAAATCACAAGCCCCCAATCGAAAATCTCATCATCATCTCAATAATCAAAAACCAAATCTGACGAACACATCTTACCCATCAAACAATCCATATAAAGACAAGACCAACAACAACACAGGCCATGTCGCCCACAACAGCCGGCTCGTACAACAATAGCTCGTACTACTACTGCTACGACTGCGGATACTACATCCCATCGGGCTACTACTGCACCCACTCCTACTATGGCACTAGCTACGCCAACAGCGCCTACGCAAACACCGCGAGGACTTCGAACTCGGGACAGGAGGTCGTTGTGGTCAACCGGCGACACCGGTCGAACCGCAGCCCAAGGCGCACGACTCGATACACCGTCACAACGACTCGTTACTACGTATAAATCTGCTTTCGACGGCATGAGCTTTCTGTATTGATTTATTTCTCTTTTTTCTTTGGAAGGGGGGGGGGGGGTGGGTTGGCACATTGATTGAACAAGGGAAAACATGGTAGCGGGAGCTTAAGGAGTTACTTAGGTAGCTGAGAATTTTTGATTTGTGTTAATGCCCGGGTAGTTTCAGGGTGGACTCGGATGGATAAAGGAGTTTTCGAGTCAAGCGCTCAAATTGGATTATGTATTGGGTTTTAGATTGTCCCAGCCAACTGATCGTGTGTGATGCGCTGGTTTCTAGAACATCGATCGCGTTGTACCCATTTCAATGTTGATTGATGAGGCAGGTAGAAAGCTAGGCCGGGGGGACTTCAAGATGGGTCTTAGCAACTCAATAAAACGAAAACCAAAGGCAGACACATAGATTGTCTGGTATTATACTCCTTTACAGGCAGATAGTTTGATTATTTGAGTTAAGTCTGAAGCCATCGTGAGTGCCTAGGCAACTTTTTCATTACCTGGACAGGTGACCGGGAACACTTGAGGAGCACCCATCGTCAGCCATGCCTGGGACTGCCGGCTCTCTTTATGACATCTGACATCAAAATAGATTTAAGTCCTTTATCCGATAGCAAAACCATAGAGTCTTCTCAGGTGCTATTATCCAGTCTACGGAATATTATCACGGTATCATGACCGACCACGAAGAACCCATACATGTTCTCAACACCCTCCGAGTCCGTTACCGTAGGTTCACAGAGAAGTCATTTCAACTAGCCTTACAGACCCAGCCACGTTCAAACATGGGAAGATTCTCTGGGCACTAGTGGTCAAGCTGCGATGAACGAATGAAACTCATTACATAACCCCAGGTGCCGATCCCGGGAGGCCCCAGGGAAGCACTTGAGGATACCATCAACCACGGTGGCATATGCTTGGATGCAAAAATATTAGTAATGACTGTAACCAGTGCTACACAGTTTTTTAAAACAGCCAAGAATTCTGTTCTGAGAACGCGGTAGAGCTGGTCCTCAACATGATATGGGTCTTCCACAAGACTAGTCTCTATCTGAGCATAGGAATGTGTCACCCTGCGTTGAGAAGGGAACAAGCTTTACAGAAGTTTAGGTGACAATTTCACAATAAATTGAAACGAACCAAGGGTAATGGTCCTCGAGGACTTCGATGCAATGAGTTGACTAGAGTGAGCAGTAGGAGATTAGGTTATAGGTAAAGAATTGGAAGAAGAGGCATCTTGACGAGCAAGTAGTGATGCGGTTGTTAGAAGTGAAAACAAGAGGTGATCATCATGCTCGGGTACCCAGGACCGACGGTGGAAAACTGAAGCAAGGAAGATACCGTCATGTGAATAATTCATTAGAATAAAACTAAGACTACTACTAAATACAACCGAGTCATAACTCTAGCGCGCTCTAATAAGCCACTTGGGTGCTCAAGCCATCCAACTCACGGTCCCAGTTCCTGTGCAGGGAGATGGAGTACAGGAATTTTCCGACAAATCCAGCGCCCTCTTTGGCGATTGTAAAGGACTCGCCGAAGCTTTCGGGCTCGACCTTGTCGAGCGTGACCACGCCGTAGCTCTCGACAGCCTCGGCGTCGCTCGCCATCTGCACGCCCGGCAGCTGGAACGCCGCCTTCAATAGCTCTACAGCTTCGCCGGTGCCACCGACAGTCTTGAGGTGGCCGAAGGCCTCGCGCACCCAGTGCAGGGCACGGCCGTTCTTCTTGAGCGTGTCGATGGATTCACGACCGCCAGGGACGAAGACGGCGTCCACCATGGTCGAGCGGTAACCCTCCAGGTGGTGGTCTGGGCGGACGCCCTTGCCCTGTTCGCGCTTCTGGCCTGCAGCAAAGACCTCGCTCCGCTTCGTGCAGATTATGATTGGGACACCCATTGACGAGGCGACGGCGGTCTTGACGGCGTTGAAGGCCGTAGCATCGTAACCGTCCGCCACTATGATTGCAACTCGGCGGCTAGCGATGGTGGTCTTCATGGGTGGGAAGTCGAACTGGGACAGACCCTTTGCCTTCTTGCCGTGGTTGGGGTTCTCCTTGTTCTCGGGGACCTTGGCACCCACCAGCTCGGCAACGTCCTTGGCCAGGTCGAGGTCGATATCTGCAAGACGGGTCGCGAGGTTCTCGTAGACGATTGGGTCGTCACAGTGGTCTAGTTCGAAGCCAAATGCATTCATGACATGCGTCTTCTCCGAGGGGGTCAAGCTGTTGTAGAAAAGCATTGCCTGTTTGAAGTGCTCTCGGAACTTTTTGCTCTTGACGCGCTGCTTGATGCCCTCGACTTTCTGCTGGTATTCGACGTAGGCGCCTTCCTCGGGCTTGGCCGGCGGGTTCTTTGAGAATCGATTTGGCCAATAATTGACACTGCCCTTCTGAATGGTGTGACGCATCGCTCCATCTCTGTTGAAATTCATGTAGGGACACACTGGCCGGTTGATGGGAAGTTCCTGCCAATTGACACCCAGTCGGCTGATCTGAGTGTCTTGATAAGAGAAGTTGCGGCCCTGCAGGAGAGGATCATCGGAGTGGCCAATGCCTGGAACCAGATGAGATGTGCAGAAGGCGACCTGCTCAGTCTGTGGGAAGAACTCGTCGATGTTGCGGTTCAGCTCGAGCTCACCGACGTAGCGGACGGGGATCTCGTCCTCGGGCCAGACCTTGGTGGCGTCGAGAATGTCGAATTCAAATTTGTCCTGGTCTTCCTCGCTGACGACCTGAACGCCGAATTTCCACTTGGGGTAAGCTCCGTTGTCGATTGCCTCCATGAGGTCCTTGCGGTGGAAATCGGGGTCTTGGCCGGCAAGCTTGAGAGCCTCATCCCAAACCAAAGAGTGCACGCCAAGCTCCGGAGTGAAGTGGAACTTGACAAAGGACCGCTTCCCATGGGTATTGATGAGGGTGTACGTGTTGACGCCAAATCCTTGCATCATGCGATATGACCGAGGGATGGCGCGATCTGACATTGCCCACAAAAACATGTGCGTTGCCTCGGAATGCTGGAACACAAAGTCCCAAAAATTGTTGTGCGCGGACTGGGCCTGAGGAACCTCGTTGTGCGGTTCAGGCTTGCCGGCGTGGATGACGTCCGGGAACTTGATTGCGTCCTGGATGAAGAAGACAGGGATGTTGTTGCCGACAAGGTCCCAGTTGCCCTCCTCGGTGTAGAACTTGACAGCGAAGCCACGGACATCCCGTACCGTGTCGGCGCTGCCACGGCTGCCAAGCACAGTCGAGAATCGAAGAAAGACCGGGGTCTCGCGGGAGGTGTCGGTCAGAACAGGGGCAAAGGTGAGATCCTCGAGACTCTCGTACATCTTGAATTTTCCAAATGCGGCAGTGCCACGGGCATGGACAACCCGCTCGGGGATCCGCTCATGGTCGAAGCGAGTGATCTGAAGTCTTCAGTGAGCAACCGCACAATGTGCAATGGTGCGGGCAGCAGGTATGGAGGACTCGGAGCCCCGGGGACAGAAACGTGTCTCACCTTCTCACGGGAGAAAGGGTCCTCGAGGAGACTGGGCCCCTGACGATCCTCACTGGAGACACTCAACCAGTGGTCGGGGTTGGGAAACTTGACACCATAGTCGGTAGTTTGTTGAGTCTTCTCGGTAGGCTGTTTTGTGTCTTTTGCCAGGTCGGCGATCTTGTCTCCCCCAGAACCCATGACGGCGGTTTTGACAGAATTTACAGAATCTGGGATGAGTGAAGCCATGAAACCAGAGCAGAAGAGCCACCAGATGTTGAATTGTACAGAAACAGGAAAGTAGTTGAGTCAATGGTTCAAAAAGGGCAGGGCGCTCTAGGGAACCAGGCGGTGCAGGCGTGGCTTGATATATGCGGCCTGGGAGACTGGGGATGGCGGGGAGGCAATAAAACAGGCCATTGCAGATTCAGAGGCAGGTATTGGATCGACAACAGGCAAATCATGGTTGACGTCAGTGAGACTGGACAAGCTCTGTCCGGGGAGAAGAGCCACAAGCAGCCCTGCAGTGGACCTCGGGTGGATGCCCATGACCTACAATTGCCCCTTTAGGCCGTGAGACACGGAAGTGGGCGGCCGTTCAAAGTTCCGATTGTGCAGAAAGTCTGAATGTGTGCTGAAGCTGAGGGCTCTTGGCCGATGTGTCGTGCGCCTCGAGTGCCGTCAGAGGTGAAGGCGTCCGAGAGGTGATGTGGTGTGCACGCACGTCTGATGTAATCACCGGAGCGATGTCTCCGCTATGTATCATCTCACGTTTGCCACCATTGGTCAACGGCAAGATCCGCTGCCCTTTCTTTACACGTGGGCCCGGGATTGAGCTTGCCTTGGGCTCCCGGTAAGTGATCAGAAATCCTCGTCTCCTAACTGGCCGGACTTTGGCTGGAGCAGCAGACGGACATGTATGGTGTGTGCAAGAACGTTGAAAACATACTATCAAGTGGGCCTTTGTAATTATGTCTAGGGTTAGGAGCACCCTGGAGAGCCCCAGTACAAGTTCAGACAGCTACAAACCTTGGAAGCTCTGACTTATTATTACTCTTTAGCTACCAGTTTAGTAACCGGACTTCTTAAGCTCTGCGAGAAGACTTCCCATAGCTAAGTACTTAGGCAAGTACATGAGAACACCTAGAGCTCGTTACTGGATGCCATCCTCGGGCGCGATTCACTCGAGCTCGAGCAGTCAGGCCAGCCGGTGAGATTGAAGGGCAGCGCACCGTCGACTGGGCCGTTCAGTGGGTCAAGGCTTGTAACGTGCCCGTGACAGTTCTCAGAGCTAAGTCGGCGCCGGATTGTTGCATCAAAGCTCTTTGGTTATATGTCTCCCTAGTTACAAATAAATAGGAAAAGCTTTAGATTTTACAATGCCGTGGATGCTAATGGAAGTTGCAGCTGTTTGGTTGTTGCATGATTTGGACCGACAAATGGGCTTGGAGTCCACGGGTGTTTCAATGTTTGCAGCATCACGATGCAGGCACAGACAGAAATTGGCACAGGCATGACGGTGGAAATTTGGGTTTCGGAGATGCAGTGTGGAGCTGTGAATAGTCTGTCTATATACGCGCCTGACTTAGTTTATACCTCAAGTGCTAGGTATGAACATTTGAATCTCTACATCTCATATCGAGGATACTCCGATGCGCCTTGTACAGTGAAGCAGCCTAGGTCAAATAAATCCATTAAGCTTGAAACGATGAGCGGCCTAAGCGAGTGGGTGGTTGAGTTCTTAATCTGTTTGAATTCAAATTTGTAACTATGCGATCCCTTCATACAATGTTTGGAGGTCGAATACTTAGGCTGCATTAATAGTACGTCAATATGATACTACTGACAGATTGATTCGATATAGTTTGGTAGTCTATAGTCTACTTCCAGCGCTCTGACCTGCTCCAAGGTGTCCTATAGCCATAAGCCATACTACGAGTCCATTATACATTAAACGGCCCAGACAAAGATTGCCATCACTCCAACCAACAGCGAGACCATGATCTCAGCCCGGTACCGACCCGCCCCGGAGCCCGAAGCTCCATCAGACGTCCCGCTGGACGAGCCCGCCTCACCCGTGCCGGTAGAGTTGCCAGCGTCTCCAGAGGTGGCCGCAGTAGCCGGCGCGGAGGCGCCGGCGATGAGGAGATTAGTCACCGCAGAGAACACGCCGGAAAGCTCTCCGGCGCCCGAGCTTCCCGTACCTCTATCTTTGACGTCGACGAACGTCTCGTTGCGCCAGTAGAAACCGCAGCGCTGGTTGGCCACCCCGTCATTACCGCCGGTGGTGCTGGTGCCGTTGTCCACGCACTGTTTGGCGGCCGCCTCGGCTGAGGTCTTGAGCACGGGGAGGACCTTTTCGGAGAGGAAGGGTGCCATCTGCGTCGCCGAAGAGAGCCAGCGGTGCGCGTAGCCCTTCATGAAGAGCATGTCCGTGGTGCACTTGTCGTTGCCCTCGCAGGCTACCTCGTAGGCGATACCATCCGGGAAGAAGGTCTCCAACGTGGCGTCGGAAAGCTTTGCGGCACGCTCGCGCCAGGTTTCGGAGCCGTTTGTCTAGAATGCCATGTTAGCCCGTCCGTACGCCTAAAGGCCCACCGAGGCTTTGTTGAGAGGGGCTTACATAATTATACATGAATGCAGCACCCTGCGTGAGCATCGCCGCATTTTGGGAGAACTGGATCTTTGAAACTGCAGTGCAGTTGTCGTCGACCATGGCACCGTCGTACACAGCCCATGTTTCAGTATCTACGAGGCCGACTCCGGTCAACCAGTCCCAGGTCTCAACAGAGTAATCGGCAAACGTCGCATTGCCGGTGAACCTGGCGAGGCGGGCCCCCATGGTGAAGAAGCATGCATTGGATAGAGCTGGGAGATGCGTCAGCAGCGGCACTGGATAGGACGATCCTATTTTCTCTTTGCGGGTCACTCACTGTTCTTGTAGTTATATCCATTATTCGACCGCGGGATCTGCCAACGAAGGCCGCCACCACACGTGTCATCGTGTCTGTCCGGGTGCGCTTGATCCCCCCACACGTTCTCGGCGATGTCGATCCAACGTGGGTCTCCCTCCGCCGTGGGCACCTCGTACTCAGCAGCCAGAAGCGCCGCCGAGCCCCAGAAACACTGGTCGTCATTGCCCATAGAAGCCGTCCAGTTCGGCGTCATGTAATTGTCCCATGGTCCCAATTGGAATAGCAATGAACTGGTGGTGACGTCCTGGTATGTGTCGTCTCCGGTCAGGTGCCAGTAGTCAAGGTACGTAGCCCAGAAGCTTGCGCCTGTGAACCACCAGTAGTCACCCATGGGTGGAGGGCCGGGGAGAATACCGGGGATCTCTCTGGGCTCATCACCGTGGTAGAAGGTCATTAAATCTCGGGCCAGTGATCGCGAGGACTCGACGATGGCATCGTGCGAATCGACCTTGTACTCGGCCCCCGCGCTGGGGAGGATGCCCAGCAACAGGAGTGCCCCAAATAGGCATGCGACAAGAGAGGAGATCATTATGAGTCTGACCAATGTGACGAAAGCCTACGGCGCGACTCGTCTAGGGATCAGATCAGGACCCGGGCCAAAGACTTTGAGGCCAGGCAAAGAATGGCTGTGTGGTATAAAGGAGCGAGCCTCGGGCTTCGCGACTCGACCGCCCCCTTCCCTCCTTTTTACGGAGATGTCGATGTTGACTGTTTGGGCATATACCTGGACCCTCCCAAAAGGAACAAGATTGGAAAAAGTTGAACGAGCGACAGAATGCAGGGAAAATACTGAACTCGACCGCGGATAATCGCGTTGTCGTGAAATTCTCGCGAAATTAGCTGCTGCTGACATGTAGGTAGGAATTGAAATTTATCACCGAACTAGTTAGATTTCGGGCCGGGTGCCTGCTTGGCAGAAGTTACACTATGCCCAACTGGTATGCCGGTGCCCAAAGAAACAGAACAAGCGTGCCGTTGATGCTAGCGTTGGATTTCAAAATCCTTTGCAATGCGCCACCCGTCCTGGATACCTAAGTACTTTCCCAGGTACGCCCCTTTAACCGAAACTCTTACCCGGGGAATTGCTCAACCCAGGAAGCGATCCATGGTTGTGTTAGCGTCACCGAAAATAAAACCCATAAGATGGGATGGCATGTCTGTAGCTCGTCCAGTCTGAGTACCATTCAATGTGATACAGCGTTTGAACAACTACATTTTCTTCGAATCGCTGTGAGCACCATGATCCTGATGAATGATCCAGATCTCTGTAGGCAGTGAGACACAATATTCGAGATGGGTCTCCTGTGTTTACCACTGGATGAAGGCGCCATGTATGTCAATCAGTAGTATGGCACGTGTAATTTTAGGGAAGGAAACTTGATTGCCACCAGTGGTCTCTGACCTCAACAAGGTAAATGTGGTGAAGTGATTATTCAAATAAGCACTGGCAGATGAGGTTGTATTCCCCGCATCTGCAGCTAACCAGAAGCCTGCCCAGATGACACGGAATGCATGCAGTGGATCGTTAATAAAACTGAACCAGAATGTCAAGGTGAAGGTGATCTCGAATAGATTATGAACACGAAAGAATAGTATGGTAGAGCACGCTATATATAGGTGGTCAAAGTTTCCACCCCTGTTGCATGCAATGCTTCTCCCGAACGCCTCCCAGAATTGAAGCCTTGAACTCCTTTCCGCTTGATGCCTGGCGGATATGCAAAACTTTCTGACAGACAGATTCTGAGCCCCATGGTTCTTGATCATCCTCTCTTCCTCAACGCCAATGGAAATGGATTATCACCGGAAAGACCTCGCGCGCAGATGTGTAATAAATTTCAATGTCCCACAACGCCCAGATGCTATGCGACGCAGCAGTCATTGTAGACTCTGATATGGCGGATAGCCACGATAGAGCGTCCACATTAGAGCTTTCGGGACCGGGCTAGCCACATGACAACAAGGAGAACTCCGGTGAAGGCCGTGAGAAGCACGAGTATGTGATCGAAGTCGTCGAGATAGCCACAGCCAAACTTGCAGTAGCCTACAGCTCCAGCTTCGTGCTGTGAGTTGACATGTGAGTATTCGGTCTCCGATAAGCACGGATTCAATGTCAAGAAAGGGGAAAGCATTGCTTACAACTGCTCCAAGGGCCAAATCCCAGACGTCTGAGGTTGCTAGCACATTGCCATTGGCGTCCAGGGCATTCGCGGCGAGGAAGTTTCCGCTAAACCTCAGAGGCGCGGTCGTCTCGTACCCACGTCTTTTCACATTTTGTGTGAAAGTGAGGTTCTCCTTGGTATTGCCCTCCATCTGTAATTCTTGGTTAATACCGCCCAGAGCGTTGAAAAGCATAGCTTGGCGCCAACTCACGAGATCCCAAGAGTGCACCTCTGTGGCTCCGTTCCAGCTTATGTATGCATAGTTCTCGTCACCCGCGATGCTCGGCTTCCATATGGGGCTGGCCTTCCAGTCCATCGTCCACGCGCGATACACTGGTTGGCTGTTGGTAGAATGATCGAACCATGGACCCAGCATCGCATCCAGGACAATCTCGCCATCTTCCGTATACTCAGTGATGACTGGTGTCGTGCCCCAGCTCACGAGGACGTTGCCATTATCGAGCTTCTGAATACCGCCCATCGCCCAAGAAGCAATACCCATCGGATGGTAATACTCGTGCAAAACCTCAGCGGTCATGTTATCGGTGTCGATTCGCAGGTGAAGACCCCTGGAACAGGTGCCCTCGATGCATCCGGGCGAGGGGTTGCTTGGCTCAAGGTCATGATTGTCAAACAGGGTAATCTCGGTCATCTCGTCATTCAGGAATCGTGCGGTATGCTGAAAACCGAAGTTGGTGGCATTTCCACCGCTCAGGTCCTCGAACTGGTTGTTGGCCCCACCAAGCTGCCAAATCACGGATCCATCCTTGCCGCTGATGTAGACGAGTGATTTGATGCGACGCCCAGACACCAGGAAGTTGCCTTCCTTTGTCTTCTGCAGGCTGTTGATGTGGAAGAAATCCCAGCCGACCTCCTCTGTTTGTGCGCCGTAGTCACCGGGGCCCCAGTTGACGGCAGTCTCGTTAATGTCAAAGTGATGGCTGGCACGCCACAGGAACTTGAGCTCGCCTGTTACAATGTCGATTTCCTCGAATATGCTGTCCAGGAGCCATCCGTCTTCAGGGCCCCCACCTGGTGCATTGGTCATGTCGAAAGGAATCCTCTCGTAGGCCGTGATGAGGGCAGTGCCGTCATGTGTCAGTTGGCACTCGTGGGAATCAGCCTTGGTGCTGATCATTTTGGTTGAGATGTTGTGAATTTGTTGGTACGCCTCGTCGTACAGCAAGCAGTAACCCAAGCCATGCCCCCGGTAGTCGTTGCCCTCCCAGAAGGTAAAATATGGTTTGTCGTTGAACATCTGTATCCTCGGATTGTTGACGGACGACCACTGTGGGTCGCCATAGACCATGCTGAAGTCCGTTGTATCGATAATGAATGGCGTGGCTGGTTGCGAGCCAGCAACCGACGACATGAAGAGGTATTTGCTCAGGCCGGACTTCTCAGGGTACCACTGGTTGACCTGGAATAGCGGGGCGGCCGCTGTTGTCGTCTTGAACGTCTGATTGGGATGGCTGCCATAGTCGCCCAGATTAAAGGCCTCGTAATCGGTGACATATGGCTGAGTGCGCACCTTGGCCGTCACGAGGCCGGCTCCGACGGCGAGGATGCCGATGAGAACGGCGGGCATCTGGCTGGAGAATTGCATTACCTCGATCTGAACCGAGATCTGGGTGAGGGTCCAAGTGAGTGAGTGGGTCAGGCTTGGCTGGACCAGAGAGTGTCGACTTCACCCCGTGAGAGGATGGGACCAGTGTGAACGGGTTGGTGCCGGCTCAGGCTGCTCTCATCGCAGGGACAAGATTGCAAGCGAGGTGTGTACCAACGGCAGGCAGGCTTAATAGTCTTCACCACAGTACAAGGCGTGGCAGCTGACAAGCTGGCAAGTTCAAGTTCTGTGAGCAGGAGGCTTGGCAGGGTGCGGCGGCGATTGACATAAGGGAGCTCCTCCACCGGCACCGATCCAGTCAGTGGATGCCGGGACAAGATGATGGATGGGGTCCCTCCACCCGGTGTGGGGAAGTCGGGACAGAGACAGACCAGAAGGGCCCAAGATATGTTGCTGGAGATTTGAAGGGGCTTCTGTCGTACGGATCTGCGAGTATGGACGCGAGTATGGACAGGAGACGGGGCGAGAGGAAACGGCAGCTCTGAGGTCAAAGAATGACTGCTTCTTCGGATGCAGATCCGATGCTTGACCGTTGGGAGAGAGCAAGAAGAATGTAGATAGATCCTACATGTGCATAGAGAGTGGCTGTGTGTGGGAGGAGGGAATCACGAAAAGGAATGGACGCCTGACGGGTGAGGAGCAAAAAGAAGAAAACCCTGATGGAAAGCAGTGTGGCACTTTGACCTTGGAGGTTCAAGGACAGTCAGGCAGGCTTCTGGGCAGGAAAACTAAAAGGATGGTGCTGCCAATGCTGCTCTGCATTGGAGATTGCTCGTTTTGGCGGACGGAAATCAGTGAGGCAGTGAGGCAGTGAGTGTGGTGGCTGACCCACAGGAGAAGACCAGGCCGGGACAAGATGCACATGCAGCGACGCGTAACCTTTGCTCTGCGGTGGGAACTGAACAACGTCCGTTGCCGTGCGTAGGTACTCTAGTCTACTTGCCTCAAATTCCACATTCTAATATGCTCTGATGGTGCCCTGCCCTTGATCAGTGATCTGGTAGGTGGAGTGGGAGCACAAGAGCACGAGCAAGAAAATGGGTGCCCCTGGGAGGTACTTGGGTACTTCGGCACGGGTAGCCTGCCACCGCACGGAGTACCTACTTCAAGGTGTGTCGTCATTAGAGAAAAGATGGGGGGTGGTTGCAGACCCCTCCAATTGGACGGGGCCACCGCGGGTTCACAGTACGGTAGTGGAAGTCGGTCGTTAACCTGATACGGCAAGCCTAGACCTGCCAGCCGTGCCCAAGCAATGCACAGCAGCAATGGTCCAACGGCGACAACAATCGCCTCTATCTCTGCATGTGCCCTGTCTGTCCTCATCTCAACGACCTGAACGGGCGAGGGCCTCCCCCCTCTCTCTAAAAACAATCGGAGGCACCAGTCACTGCGCCAGAGTGCGACTCGAGGGCCTGCCTGTCTCCCCGTCGAGGGCCCAGGTGCCGAACGCAAACCCCCCCAGGTCTGATGAGAAGAATTGGCTGTCTGGGTGGCGGGCCAATCCCCCCGCCACAGCCTATGGGGTTCCTTGGGAGCACCACTGACTGATGGGCTGCCCTGGCTGCTGGCAACAAGACTTCCTCTGGACCCACCCAGCCCCTGGATCGACCGGGTTTCGATATCCAATGCAGGCTATTCTAATTTTTGCACCAGCGGAAATGCAGATGACTTGACTTTGAGAAAGGGGATGAAACGAACCATAGATTACGACGACCACCGCCCCGGCGACTCGAGCAAGGCACTTCACATGAGCGCACCTATAGTCCTTGTGCTGTGGTATCTACCCAGGAGATATCTGGCAGTCCAGTATGGCTTCCCTGCGTGCCTCTTCTCTTGCCGAAGGGCAACCTCCCTAGGCACTTGTACCATGTACAAGTGCAAGGGACCTGCCTAATCAACATGGCATGACATCCTTACGGAGTACCGGCAAGCCCTGCGGCTCGGCGGCATTGTGCGCAGCAATCAAGCTGTCAAGTTCCCTGCCCTGGGCGCTGGGCTCGCTGCTGACTCCACCCCCAGGGCTGACCACCCCGACGGAAGCAGTCGGGACACTACAGACTACTGTACAACTAGCTTCGAGCCGGCGCGTTGCGGGTGTCACCTTGGTCGACGTCAATCGTCCAGTTCGTCGCGGCATGGCATGGCATGGCATGGCGAAGGCACACATCAATGATGCCTGGCACGTGGCGCCTGCCAGTGCTGTGACCTTCGACGTACAACCAACCTGCTTCTCGTGCAGTCGGCGGTCTGATTCAAGCTGGGCCGTGGATCGTCATTACCACTGGGCACCCGGGCCGGCAGAACACCGACTCCCGCAGCCCAGACCGATTTCCGAGCCACTGCTGAAGCCTAACCTCAGGACCATGGCATCAGGACTTCAACCTGGGATACCTCAACGTCAGCAGAACCCGTGGGGCTTGACTACAGATGGGAACTCGTGCTTGCCATGATACAGCGTGGCAAAGATGAAGGCCACCGCGACGTGGAGTTGGAAAATGGAAAACGCCTTCAATTTTGCATCAATCGCTTGCAGTCCTATATACGGCCCCTGGACACAGAGCAACGCGTATGCGCTCACAATTTAGCCATCTTCTTTTCCGCCTTTGCTTGATCACGGAGGATCTTCCGCAGGATCTTGCCCGCGGGGCTCTTTGGAATCGCATCTACCAGCACGACGCCACCCCGCAGCCTCTTGTGGTTCGCAACCTTGCCATCCACCCAGCTGCGGATCTGCTCACTTGTAAGATCTTTGGTGCCTGGCACAACATACGCCCTACAAGACAGAAGAAATGAATTGTTAGCAGATCCCTCGGTATTGAAACCGCTTTCGATCCCACATGGAAATACGTCCACTGCCCAAGGGGGGGGGTCGCAACGGATAGTCCTTTGGTCTGCTCACCTTGGCACCTCTGTGTCGTCTTGCTCGACCCCGATCACTGCTGCATCTGCAATCATCGGATGGGACAGAAGCGTTGCTTCAAGCTCTGCTGGGGCCACCTGCAGACCCTTGTACTTGATAAGCTCCTAGTAATGCTTGGTTAGCGCGTCATGTCGACAACTTGCTCCGGCCCGGCCCAGGTATAGCCATCGCTTGTCACGGTCTACACGCCAACGATGGCGCTCCCCGATCACGACAGACAGCAGCAACAAAATGGCAAGAGGAAGCCTACCTTCTTCCGGTCGACAATGTAGAGCGTGCCGTTCTCACACAACCCAATGTCTCCCGAGCAGAACCACCCGTCAACGAAACTCTCAGCGTCGGCCTTGCTGTTTCTCCAGTATCCTTTGGTTACTACCGGCCCCCGGACCCAGATCTCACCTCTCTCACCAGGAGCGACGTCTCTGGATGCCTCGTCTACGATCCGGGCCTCGTGGTTAGCTACTAGCGAGCCGACACTTCCTGCCAAGTTGGTCTCCCCAGGCGGTGCGTTAGTGATTGCACCAGTTGTCTCGGTCAGCCCCCAGACTTGCGTCAGACTCGCCTGACCCTTGCCCATCTTCTTCTCTGCCTCGGCTTGAAGCTGTGCGCCCAGGGGCGCTGCTCCACTGTACGCATGGTCGATCGTGTCGAGCTGATCGCGTAGTCCGGGAAATTTGGCAACGGCGAGAAAGATGGGTGGCACACTAAAGAAATGTGTGATCCTGTACCGCTTGTTGTACTCGATGAACTTGGCAAAGTCGAACTTGGGCATCCAGTAGACCGTGCCACCACGGTAAAGTACGTTGACGAGATAACCCTGTACGCCTGCGATGTGCGCAGCGGGGAGGTGTGCTAAAGTGATGTACTTTAGGCCCGGCCGCTCGCGCGCTTCCCATGCCCTCCTCGGCTCCATGTTCAGATATGCCGCGGCAAACAGGTTCGTGTGGCTCAGCTTGACGCCCTTGGGCAAGCCAGTCGTCCCACTAGAGAAGAGTACACAGATGATCGACTCGTCCAACTCTCTCTGGTCGGTGATGCGCTCCCACTGCAGGGTCCTGGAAGGTGAGAGCTCTACCCTCTTGCCGCTCCCCTGGACGCTCAGTTCAAGCGTGGTGCCATCGCCAAGGAGGAGGAGCCGCTCCGCGCCGAACTTCAGCTGCCGCACCGCCTCTTCCGTTGCCGCCTTTGTGTGCACGTCGCATATTATCACCTTGGGTTCGACCAGCCCTATCAGGTATGCCAGCTCGCTCGCCGTGGAAGAAGGGCTCGTGGCGCTATAGATTCCGCCGGCTGCGATGGTCGAGTAGAAGAGGACAGGCAGCATATAATGGCCTTGGGTATTTACGAGGACCACATCTTTGTTGCGGCCCTGCCGCCCTATGCCGTAGGAGCTTCGCAAGGCGTATGCGAGCTGTGTCGTGAGCTGCCGCGCGCCGGCTTTCGTGAGTTGCTTGTGCTCCGGGTCGGCGGCGTCGGTGCTAAATGGTGTCTGCTCGTCGGCTTCGCAAATCTTGGAATCTGGCGTGGGAGCACTATTAGTCCCCAAGGTTGCACTAGCAGTTCCCGGGGGGAGGTTTTGTTTACCAAAGAGCGCCGTAAGAAGGTCCAATCTGGGTAATTCGACCTGCTCGGCTGCCTTGTAGGTGATGCTGCCACCAGGGCCTCGTTGTACGACGCTGGCCATTTTGATGTGCCGACGCCACGCAGGTCCAGGAGGGCCCCCAGGTTGTCCAAGTTGTTGTAACAATGGGATCGCCTGGCGATTTCAGTTTCAGAGGGCAAGTACTGGCAGCAACAACAGGACGTAGCAGGAGTTCGTGAGGCTAATAATGGCGACGTATTTCAGAATCGGACCCCAGGGCCGCACGAATAATGCAGAGAGATGGCAGCAAGATATACAAACAGCCAAGCAGCCCAGCAGGCCGGCAGCCCGGCTAGCCCCAAATAAACTATGGCCAGAGCCGAGGAGAGGAGAGGAGACGTTGAGGGGTGCGAAAGTGCGACACTGACCTCAATTGTACGGAATCTGCCCAGGTGGTCGCGCAATGGTACTCGGGACTTGTGCTGCTGCCGAGGAGGACCCACCACCCCGGAACCACCTGGGCAACAGCGCTCGGGACGTGTCCCTGCCCAGGAGCTGGGAGCTGGGTTTCCCAACGGCAGTCGAGGTAAGGGTGGGCGGCATCCATGGATCTTGCTTGCTTGCCTGGCTAGCCCACGATCTGGTTTCCATTGCGGGCGGCCACAGCAGTGCTGGTCGGCTGGTCGGGGATAAGGGGTCCAGTGGGACACCGCAGGGGAGAGCTCCCCTGCGACCGACCCCGCAACTTGGAATGTTCGACAGCCAAGTACCGAGGCACGGCCCACTGGCGTCCCACTGCATCCCCGGTCTCTTGATGCGGGGCTCTGACCGGGTGGCTTTGCCGATTGTCTTGTCCTGAAGGGCTGTTGTTCTGAGCAGCAAAGATGCCCTCATTAAGGCTATTATTTGGGGGGCGGGGTGGTAATTGGTGTCGTGCGTACTATGTAGTATATGGGCTAGTCGTGATGATTATGGCGGATAAGCCACGTGGAAACATTGAATTATGAGAAGTACATCGTGGTCAGACCGCTGGCTGTCCCGAATTTATGTCGACACCCGAGCTCACCTCCGCTGATTGATTGATTTCTCATGCTCTCTCAGGTCTTCTGTATGGCCTCTGCAGGGCTGTTAGAAGTCTCGCAACGCAAGCATTTTGTTCAGCCGAACACGAATGAAGGCCGCGATAGAAGGCGTACTTAAGTACCAGCACTGATCGATGCATCACACTTGGTCGGGAATCGGAGCATGTGAAAATACTCCCCATACCTATTTTTCACGGGGTCTGCGATAGCAATCCCAGGGGAAACATCCCAACTGACCTTTACCCTCCTGTGCATGGAGTTACTGAAGTATTCACCGCCCTGGGAGATCCCGGAAGTGTACCATTTGGCTTGCTTGGTGCTGACCCTCTTCAAATCTATAGTTCGTCGAGCATTCCACGGCCGTGCGTATGCTCCAGGACGGATGCAAGCAGCGGGCTCAGATGTTCTTATTGTATCTGGTGTTTTCGAGCTAGGGAAGAAATTTACGGCATGGACTTCACGACATGATGTTCCCCGAGGTTCATTTCGTAGCACCTCTTAGCCAACTATCATTCAATAGGTGTCATTGTTCTTGATTTCTTTGGAAGAAATCGACCATGATCGATAAGCACACATGTGCACCTAATTAGCGCGACCCAGCTGGCTGGAGCCGCGCCTTAGCGGGCGATCTCCAGCATCTGCCCTTCACTCCAGGCCCAGACTAGAGCCTGGGCATCTCAAGCCTCCGTGGACGGACGGAGGAGTCATTGACGTAATACAGCGCCTACAGCCAAACAATTAAGCAGAAACAAACATGTAGAAGTATCCATGGTCATGAACTGGTGACAGCCCATAAGACACCAATGTGCTGCCCTAGGGTAGTCAAGATTTCGTTGCCACGAAAGGCAAGTCATTATTGATCGAACTCACGGTCAACTTGGAACTGAATCTATTGTGCTTGCAAACATGAAACGCCCTTTTCGAGTTTGCGCGCTTCTGATCATACTCATTGCTACCGCAGGCTTCACTATCGGACTCACTTATGCGCCATGCTATGCCTCCCTCTGTTCCGAATCCTACCTCCCCTATGAGACTCGGCTCCACATAATCACTTTCTACTCTATGCTGGCTAGCACTGGCTGCCTGTTGTTCTTGCGCGCCACCTCCACAAAGGCCAGGGAGGCAAGCCAGTTCTACCTCGTACAGCATGAAGTTCCCGTTCTTGGGAGGCGTATCAGTCTTGGTGGCGTCGCACTCTCGGTGTGGCTGGTAGGCTTGATTCTCGCGACAACCGGCTTCTGGGTTGGGCCACTCTTGCTATATTGGGCTACAAAAACCGACCCATTGGACTGGGCGACCGCAAAGCTACGCCTTGCTGTGACAGGAATAATTGGGCACCATGCAGACTTGCTTTTGGGGCTAGTCATCATCCCAGTATCCAGGAACAGTCTGCTTGCACACGCGTTTGAGCTGCATCAGAGCACGCTTTTGTACGCGCACAAGTTGATCGCCTATCTCCTATTTGTTGCGACTTTCGCACATGGCGCCGCATATTATGTGAGTTATGGGACCTTGATCTCCCAAGTGTCCGCCACTGATTCCTGCCTCTGAAGTTTTTCGTTGGAGCCTATCGCCCAGCCCTCCCTGAACAGAAACGGGCTTTCAACATCGATAATCCGACCCAAACAATGGAACAAGCAGAACGGGATAGTGGGTGGTACTATGCAACACTGCCAACTGGCATGTTCGGATTCTTGCTCATGGCTCTAATCATCATCACCTCGCTTCCAGCCCTACGACGCAAGAGCTACAACGCATTCTACTACGTGCATGTGATCTCGAGTCTCTGGATCTTCATTGCGCTCAGCGTGCATGCCAGCACCGACTTTTACTTTCTTCTTCCCGGCCTTGTGCTGTGGATTGTTGATTGGGGTTGGAGGCTTTTCCGAGGCACGGGTGGCGGGTTGGGCAAGAAGGTTGTCGGCACACTAGAGAATGCTGGAGAAGGATGGTACAGAATTTGCCTACCCGCATCGTCGAAGACTCTTGATGAATCAGGCTGTGCTGAAAAGGAAGCGGCAACGCCGCATCCGGTGCAGTCGTACAGTCTGGTTTTCCCAGAAATCAGCAAGATACAGAACCACGCCTTCACAGCTTCCAAGGTCGGTGTTGGTGCAGAAGGACCGACCTTCCTCTTCCAGCGGGCTCAAGGAAAGATGCCCAAGAAGCTGGAGAAGGAGTGGACTTGGAAAGTCGGCGCATTAGTACCGGACGTTGGGAGCCGAAAGGAAGTCGAGGTGAGGGTTGAAGGCCCCTACTACCCAAGCGATGTTGGCTTCGCATACGCCTCCAAAGTTATCTGCATCGTGGGTGGCACAGGACTCACTGGGGCGTACAGTATCACGTTGTGGTGGCTGAAAAATCGTGCACGAGAATCACAAGCAGAGCTCCACCTGGTATGGACAGTGCGACATAACGATACGACCAACGTCAGGGAATGGAGAGAACTCAAGGGTTGGGTTTCTTCTGTTCCCAACATGACGCTTAGGGCCCATGTCAGCTCCGAGTCCGGCCGCATAGATACTCAAGAGCTCATGCGCGAAGTGCTCTCGGCCGGCTCGACAGGTACGACACTTCCGGACAAGAGTCATAAAGCCTGGGTATATATATCAGGCCCCGAAAGCCTCTTGAATTCAACGGAAATTGCATGTTTAGCAACAAGAAGGAAAGTTAGGACTTGTTCGAGGCAACAGGGCTCGCAATCATGGCTTGTGGCGGACCTGGAATGGTACTCGGCTAAATGGGAGGTGTAAGGGGTCTAATTTGCACATGCATCTATACAATTTTGAGCAAAAGTGACTATGGAGTAATTAATTAACGCAGTAAATTGGTGCTATATTTGTTTTCTCCCTCATTTGCTGAGTGATCTGAGTTGGCAGGGCTAGTACCTAACTGTCACCTTGGACACAACATATCGGTTGCAGAGTAGATCGTGGAAGAGTCTAATCAATTAACAGAACAAGCGGCTTGTTGCCAATGGTGATGAAGATTGACGAAAGGTTAGTGGTTTGTTTCTAATGCCCATACAATTGAAACACCTATGGCGCTGGTACAGTGGTAAACGCTCAAGACCTAGTGTTTAAAAAACGCATGCCGTCTGTATTAGCCCTTGGGCTACCTGTGTCGACGATTTTAGTCAACTTTAGAATGGTGCCGTCGGGAGCGATGCTTCCTAGTCTTGTCTGTGCGGTACGAGGCTGAAGCCACGTGCTCAGTCTTTTTACCGTTGTTGGCATTGTGTTTCTTCTCAACATTGGGTCTTTGAGCGTTTACTACTGTGTGAAGGGACCGTACGCCTTCAGGATGTATGCAGAGTAACAACGAAACCACTGAAGGGACATATAATGCGGATAACGGTTGTAAAGCTCAATTTTGCAACGTAACAACAACTTGAAGGCTAGGGAGTATCGCCACCGACGGCGCCATTGACTAGAATCGTCGAGACAGCCCAAGCGCTATCCTAGGGTACCCTGCCATGGTCTGACCGAGAAAGTTGACGAGAACCACCAAAAAAGTCCGAGCACTGTGAACTTTTCCGGTTGCCTTGGCTGGCGCCGCCCTCAAAATTAGCCGATGTCACGCCTGATGCCACATCCAGTACTTATCGTATCGAGGCCAATGACATGACAAAAGAACGAGCTCGGAACTTTCTTCACCGACGCCAACCTTCTGCTTACGAGTGGCTTATGGAACGAAGGATTTGTTTGTTCAGAGAAGGAATTATGAAGGATCAAACGAGCTTAAGCGCGAAACGGCCTAACTGTTAGTCCCAAAAGCACAACTTAAGACCGGGGTATTTTGGTGTATTCGGCCTCTGACTTCTAAGCAAGACTTGGATGCTAATAAAACACCGTGGCCCAACCATCTTTATAATGCACGCTGCGCTCATTGTACCTTACGTTGCTTAGGCAAGCAATTCATTCCGTCCATTTTATTTTTGAAAAAATATCTTTTGCATCGTTCTCATCATGTCTGGAGCGAACGTGAACGTAGCCATCATTGGTGCTGGGCTCTCCGGCCTCGCACTGGCGTTAGCATTACACGACTATGGTATCTCCTGTATCGTGTACGAGTCTCGCCCAGGCCCCCTCAATATTGGCGGAGCAGTTATGTTGTCCCCAAATGCCCTAAAAGTCCTCGATGCCCTGCATGTCTACGACGATCTGAGGACCCAAGGATTCAGCTTCACTGAACTTCATTACAGAGATGTCTCTGGCAATCTTCTTGAGACATACGAGTTTGGAAATAAGCAAAAATATGGCTACGACGCTCTGCGAATCTACAGACACGTTCTCATTGACACACTGCTGGCAGAACTAAAGCGGAAGGAGGTCCCCATAAAATTCGGTTTCAAGTTCACCCAGATTACAGAGGAGACTTCGAATGCAGTTTCTTTTGCCTTCGCGAATGGGTCTACTGGAACGGCGGACATACTCGTTGGGGCAGACGGAATACACTCGAGAGTCCGAAAGTACCTCTACCCGGATCTCGAGCCCAAGTTCATCGGAATGGCAGGGACCACGGCTGCCGTTCCGACGGCCCAGCTGAAGTTACCACAAGGATACCACCTACCAGTGACTATTATGTCCCCAAAAGGTGCTTTCGTCATCGCACCTCAGCAACTGGATGGATCGGAGGTTCTTATCGGAAAACAGCGGCGGGTGGCCGAGCAAGACCGTGCAGCCTGGGAGAAGACTCTGGCAGACAATGAGTCCTCCGCCCGGTTCCTTCAACAGGATCAAGAGCAGTTTCCCGACATTGTCAAGAACGCCGTCTCGCATATAAACCCCGATAAAATCAACGTTTGGCCATTCTTCGTCGTGCCCAAGCTCGATAGGTGGGCGTCGGACAAACGCCGCGTGATCATTCTTGGCGATGCTGCTCATGCCATTCCGCCTTCTGCCGGACAGGGCATCAACCAGGCTTTCGAGGATGTGTACATCCTCGCATTGCTTCTGGCACGGTCGGGCGAGATTGCCAACTTGCAGAATGCCCTGAGCTTCTGGCAGTCTTACAGACAAGGGAGAGTGGATAAGGTGTTTGAACTGAACACGCAAATTGACCTGCGGCGAATGCCTTCCGACGATACCGTCACTGGAGATGGAAGCGAGCTTCAGAAGGAAGACTTTGATTTGGAGTGGTTATACAGGCCAGATTTCAAGCAAATCGTGGATGAGTGGATCCTCAAACAAAAATGGTAGATGGGGTTTGCGGACTGGTTCGGGATACAAGAATTCCAGGTAAGGGAAGGCGGTTGGTAGTTTTGCTCTTGTATTTTGCATGGTAATTTCAGGCCAATTTGCAAATTGCACAAGATAAAATCGAAACCCATTATATCTATTGAATCCAAGTCTTGCTCATTAGAACCACGTACGTAGATATGGTTGTCCTCTTGCATTCAGATGCCGTCCCAATCGGGCTCTGAACCCTGTGAGCTTTTCGACACCAGAGGCTTGACCTCCTCTGAATCTGAGATTTTGGCATAATCAGCGTCGGTCTTGACTATAGGGCCATCTTTCTCGAAGTCTATGTAGAAAATGCGACTGCGCTCTGAATTCCAGTACTGGTGTTTTTTGCGGTTGTCGTGACGATCGACGCCTGTGCCTCTGATATCTTTCATTGTTCGTTCAGACTCAAGCTCCAGTGCCTTCTCTGATAGCAGGTGACACGAGCTGTACTTGACTTCGTCTCCCTCTACGCATTCCCCAGCGTGAGACATCAAAAGCATGTGAGTGATTTCCGCACCGCTGAGGTTCTGACTTCCAAAGGGGCACTGCAAGGCGAACAACCCCAGACACACCGGTACGCACTCTCCTTGCAGATCGCTCATTTTCTGATACATGATGTATTCATTCATCAGCCTGTGCTGGTCGTTCACAGCTACACCTTTGCCACAGAAAGTATAGCCGAAACCTGCGAGTGTAATTTTGAAGAAGTTTGCATGATGGCCTTGGACCAAAACGCGCGGCTGACAACAAAACAGGCTTTGGTCAATCTGTAGCTGCTTTTGAATAAGAAATATGAATGACTGTTTACTCAGTGTCCGTGAGCCTGCGGCATGTCTTATGTAATTAGGGCATGCTTCGTCCAGCAGGTCACCATGCATCAATCCTAAAAGACACTTTTGAGTGCAGTATTTCTCGAATGTTGCGCTGACGGAATCCATGTGCAAAGCTTGCATATTCTTGATGGAGGCTTCTACCACCTCATGGAACATGCTTTCTTCACTGCTTGTCGATAAAAGCGTGAGGGGGATGTGCGGAAGAAATGCCGTCGTATTCACCCAAACACATATTTCGTAATGTTTGCGCAGAGCATCTAGGCCCGGAATGACTGAATCTGGGAAGCTGGCCGCCTTGTCGTCGTAATCCCTGATCACGTCCGACGGCACGAAGCAGCGGACTCGAAGCGTGTCGGGGTGGATCGCCAGGAGTCCTGCCTTCCAGAAGTCGTATATATGAGAAAGCATAATGATTTTGTGACTTTCTGACTCGAATCGTGCGCCTTGACCGAGAATATTGTACCGTCCCAGCCCTGGGGCAAACCCTGGTTTCCAATAAACGCGCTGCCCTGAAATGGCACAGCGAGTAGAAACGTGCCATTCATGGAACGGGGCAAATATTGCTCTGTTCGGATGACTGTCTGCCATGCGCGGCAAGGGAACCACTACGTTTGCATCAACCGGGCCGTGGTCGCTTATTAAACGTGAGGACGTGGTTTTCTGTGGATTTGCTAATTTTATGCTGCCGTCGTGCACCAAGTTTGAAGTTTTGGAATTCTGTAGAATTGATTTGTATACAATCCCTGAAACACGGGAGGAGTATTTTGGCTGGTGGATCATGTAATCGGCTCGGAATTCGTCAAAAGAAGTGGGCTGAGTGCCATATAACCTGTGTACACAAATTCCTAAGAGTTCAGAACATGTCAGCTTATTTTGTAAGCAAAATCATTATGGCCATATACATGGGTACAGATGTCATACGCCTTCTGCAGCACATCTCAAGCAGTGACTAATGGAATTGACTTACTCTTGACATGTCCACAGGAAAAAGTTTCCATTGGGTCTGCAAGGAGTTCTTTGATATTGCAACAAATGTTACAGTGTCGGACAAGGTAGTAGCGACCAGGGAGGATCGGCTGCATCATATTACCATGAAGCTCTTCCAAGGATGGTGCAGTCACTCCTCCAGAACACCTACCTACCAGCGGCCACAGAGCCCATGCGAAACTGGATGCGGATTCGTGAGGAGAGCAGGTGCAGTGATCCATGAGCAATGTTGCTGATCTTAGTAATTGTTCCAGTGCATCTTTAAAGAGGATACGGGGCTTGTTGGGGTTCTGATAAAACCCAGCAAAGGGCACTCCAAAGTGATCGACAAATATAACGTTCCATGCTGCCATGCGCAGCTCTCGATCTGTGACATCCATCGGATTTCGCGAGAGAAAATGATGCCTCGTGGTATTGTACTTTTTCCCTTTCGGATGAACGCACGGCTTTGTCGATGACTTTTTCTGAGGGATGTTTACGGTGGCAGAATAGGAACAGGAGATGTGAACGTGGTGCAAATTATGGAGGCTCTTATAGCGACATGCTTCTGGGATTCAAATATGAGTCATTGTGATATAGCTGTCATGAGTTGCAGTGGGAGGGAAGACAGTCTTGAGTCCATGAGTGTGCGAATATTCGTGTCACTTAACAGCCCAAACTGGCAAGAAACATGCAAAATTGGGCAGGTAAACAAAAGTTCCCAATGAGTATCCAAATGTGACCGCTGGAGTAGGCCATTCTTGATTTGCGGATGCTCTTGCGTCTCGGCCAGTGACAGCCATTTCGGAGTTGAGTGACTTATAGTGCAAGAAATTACCGTCGGCTCCAGTGCGATAGCTATAGAAGTGGTTGAATACTTAGGAGTCAGTCACATTGCATCAACCCAAATTAGCATCGTGGGCTACATCAGAGAGAGCACTTGAGCCGTCTCAGCTGGTTTTGGTGGCATCGATGTTTGCGGTCAATAGCTGGTAGCAAACGAAACGCGCTACTGTACGTCAGATACGTGTGTCTGTTATATCAGTTAATGGGATTAGCAGTGTACAAATTCATTCACCGTGGGAGTCATAATGAATGGGAAGCTCTGGAGTGTCACTGGTTTGGCATATACATTCACAAGATTTCCCAGGTGTTAAATTTCCACGAGACTCTTTCCACACACGTTCACTAACAGAAAATTCCTTTTTGTGCTTACAGATGAGATATTTATGTAAAAGAGATATAAAACGTGGGAACACGTTCCCCGTCAACTAAGAAGCGAATGGCCGGCGGAATATCACTGATCGGAAAATCTAGATGTAGATGTAACAAAGGGGTCCTGCCATGGTATCGAGTGCGTCCTTAAGCTTGCGTGTTTGGCCAAGGACCCCATACAAAATGTCATCCTGCAGTGTCCCGGGCTTGTTTGCCCCTCCAGGAAAGCCGCCCATCGACGTGCCGCCCGCGATCTCGCTCAGTCGTCCGGGAAGCTTCTGGTTCTGCCATATCCACCAGACTCGGTCGATCATGCCGTGGTGCAGGTAGAAAGCAGGGTCCCCAGGAGAAACAAAGAAATCCTGTTGATCCACTGTCAGTGCTCCATGTCTCTGTCGTCTGCGCTAGAGAAGACTATGGATTGCAACACTTACGCCTCCGGGGTCACCTCCAATAGTGTAGTGACCTCCTATGTGAACACCCCAGGTATTTGTCAAGCCCTGTCCTTGCATCCTATTTTGGAATGTCCCCACATCACTTGCGTTTGTGATGAGGGCTTCCGTATAATTTGCGGCCGTGTGTGCGGCACTATATCTGTTGACGTCTCGTCGAAGACATCCTAGGTATCTCCGTTAGCTGACTTGCAGGCACAGCTTTGAGGCCCAGCTCCAAGAAGCCTTGTGTCAGATCACGAAAAGTCCCCATCATTGTCCCCATGTCCGTTCTCGTTATTTATTCTCACATTGGAAAGTTTTGAGATAATCGATTCAAGAAGAGAACTCACTGGGATTGTGACCTAGACCATCACGTTGAGGGTTGGCTGGTACTTTAAGTGAAGCAGAGCCCGGAGCAATCGGCCCCAGATTCACTGACATACTTTGTCCATTGTGAGCAAGGTGACAAATTCAAGCTTAAGAGCTTGGATTCTCCAGAGGACCTAGGTAGATGTATCATGGGTGACTAGTGTTAGACTTACTTTTTGAATGGCCCGCTGGTCACACAACCACCGCCCTGGTCCGGAGGAATGCTAGACCCTATGCCAACAAAGATTCCATCGTATGTAAATTTCTCGCCGTTACCGGACATGCTCGATGCGTTACCATTGAATATGGGCGAGTTTGCAGGGTCGGAAGCATACCGGGCCCAATTGTTGTACTGTCGATGAGTAGGCATATCAGTCACACTGACACGGAAGGACCAAGAGTTGTTCAGCGTAGTCAGAGTCTGTGACTTACAGGTTGGTAGCCCTTGTAGCCACACTCATCGCGCAAAGCATTTTCGTACAACCACAGGTAGACCCGATGCCAACCTAGGAAGTTCGCCTGGGATTTCTTAGCTCATACAAGTCTAGCGAAAGTATGGGTACGGAACAGCTAAAAAAGATTTTGACGAACAGTTCCATGTACTTGGTTTGTAAGATTGATGTGCACCGCGACAAAGTCATCGAATCTGCTCTTGGCACCCGGGATCTTCTTGCTGTCATGCCTGGCTGGGAGGGACTGGAGGCAGAGAACGGCTTTGATGTAATCCTCTCGTTCGGGGACGCTGAGATCGCTCCTGTAAAGTGTGAAATAATCAGTAAAGAGAGATAGTATTGCAATTGTATCAAGATAACCCACCATTCTCTCCGCTTTACAGCTGTCTCGAGTGTGCAGGTGCGTGCAGACGTTTGATTTAGGTAACGGCCAAGGTTGTCAAGGCCCAAAGCCGCGAGGCGGTCGACAGCATCTTCAGGGTACAGACCAGCTGAAACGGGAGCAGTTAGCCGCGACAAGAGCCAGGTGGCTCCCAGGAGGAAATTTCGAGCATGCATCCTGACCTGTTGTCAGCAAGTAATATTGAGGTCTCTGATCAAGAAAATCCCCTGGGAGGTGCAGCTTACTGCTGCTTTTTATACTGGAAGCTTCGCAGGACCGCTTCTTGATCTGGCAGAATGCACTCCGCTCCGCAGCATACCTACATGACAGCAAACTAGTGACGCTGTCATGGTCCATATTGCGTTTTTCTCCTTTCGATCTGCAAAGACCCATCACATATTACAGCTCCTGAGACTTTGACTGCTGTAATACCTTCCCGCACATGCGTTTCTGCCTGATTTGGAAGGTCTTCGGTCTATTTTGGCTCTGTCAATATAAATCAGGTCAATGGGGCATCCCACGCGATACAAATAAGTCACTGTACACGGCTGGACACGCACTCGCCAATATTATGGGCACACCAGCGTCTCATTGATGCTTCGTGTATTAACGAATGGGGGACGAACCAAGGCAGTCGCTACTAATATTGGGAAAATTGATTACTTAGTACCTCGAGAAAGATGTCCCGCGGAACAAAGTTTTGTCTTTTCAGTACTGAAAATGAAACCAAAATGCTAAGAGTTCATATCAAGTCCCGAGGCCTGTGTGCATGCCGGCAATCAAGGGCCGGGTAAATACGCACCCTGCAGGGCCAATCTCGATGCCTCATCCGCAATCACCGTCTCAATTGTTGTTCTAAGATCTCGGGTCCACGACACCTGCTGCGTGACGTGCAGCTGAAATGCCGTGCACCGAGTCTCATTGGCCTTCGCGCCCGCGGCCTTCGGACTGAGTCAACTCAGAGGGGGGCCACTCACGTGCTTTATTTCCCCGCCCCATGGAGTTTGGCGCTCCTAAATGTGACAGTTCAGTCAGCTTCATAATATGTACCCCAGAAAGATCGACGAACGCCTTGCTTATTCTGGAGTGCAATATCACATCGTAGTTATTACTTCGGAAGTCCCGTCCAGTAAACCTCCTCTCGTTACCGCCTCTGCGCCCTCCCCTTTCAGTTTGAGAGCCACATAACCACCGGAAGTCCCTGAATGATACGACATAGGAAGAAAGATCCTCGTGACAGGAACTCTTTGAGGTGAACAGGCCAACGGCCGGCAAGGTCAAGTCTCAAGACCGTGATGCGGTCCCAGGTTGAGTCGAATGTGTTGTCAGCTCTCTTCAAAGTGAGACGCACCATTCCATAACAAAGTCAAGGTGGCAAGCTAAAAATGATGTCTTATCCTCAAAGCAACGAGTTCTAGATTGTCAAGAATCTCCTGGTTCTCTCAAGTGCTGGGTGTTGTATAGAGCGGAACTTCATTGAGAACACATCAGCGAGAAGTGGTGTCGTGGCTAAATGAAAGAAGCCACCCTGCAGCTTGGCTGGAACCAGAGCACCCGGAAGACTGGTACCCGTGGACTGTGATGATTTCAAACTCGTCAATCAAGACCAAGCCAGTGACAGCCACTGTACCTAGGTACCCAGACAACGATTCACCCCTGTGACCAATACTCTGAGGGTTTCCAGTTCCATCCAGGTCTTCAATTGTTTTGAGAAAAGACCCTCTGGAGACAGTCGGCTTTTGTTAAGGGTACTAGATGCAGGGAAATAAGGGTGGCAACTTTGAAGGCATGCCAAGGTGTCTCTGATATGCAGGTCTGCAGGCTTCGTTCGTGTGCGTCATACTTATAGATCTCCATCCTCCTTGCAAATTACTTCATCGTTATCAAGTGAGATAATCAGTGTGTAAGGAGAGCTTATTAGGCAGAGGGTCATACCAGACTGTGGAAAGGATAGAGATAGTGAATTGAAAATATATTTGTCATTCTGGTTGCGGTCCAGCCAGAAGGGTATCAGTGGTACAAAAAGAGAAACTTGCCCCAACGCCTATGCTTATGAAATGAGAACTGCAACCCTGCCTTCTCATGGAGCCAAGATAAATACAAAGTTATGGTGTGCCGCCGGGAGACAGAAGTCGCGAACTCAAACTGAACTCCCATGACCTCGACAGGTAACACAACGCAAATGCAACTTATTAAGTAGTTCTGCTCATGACGCTCATAGGCAATGAACCACCCATGAAGAGCTTTTGGTACTTCTTCTGCGAAGAAGGTTCGTTGATGAACTGGAAGTCAAAGTTTCGAAATAGCTATAAGTGAAGTCAGCATGTTGCGTCTCAATGTTTCATCTAATCTGTCTGGGTTAGGACTTACCTCAACAAGGACTTTGTTCAATTCGATAAAAGCGACAGTTTTTCCAGGGCATCCCCATCTCCCGGTGCCAAACACGAGGTCTGTCTGCTTCTTCATGATGGCTCTTGTCTTCTCATCGGCCTCTGTCCAGCGCTCCGGCCTGAAGATGTTGGAGTCGGCGCCGAAGACGGACACCTCGTGTGCCACGGCCCAGGTGCTGTGTCCGATCCTTGTTCCCGGAGGGATGAATTGGCCGTTGAAGGTGTCGCCATCGGGACCAACCTGCTTCATGATGAGCCCTCCAAACGGAGGGTTGATCCTGAGGCCCTCATAGATGACGGCTTGCAGGTATGGCAGCTTTGCGGCCTCCTCGTTTGTGGAAGGTTTGGAGATTGCGCCGTCGGCAATGGCCTGATCGATCTCCTTCTTGAGCGTGAGGGCGACTCTTGGGTTAGAGGCAATGTGTGATACCGTCATTTTGATCGCATTGGCAGTCGTGTCTGAGCCTGCAATAATTGGGAACATGACCTCGGACTCTGCCGAGCGCCTGTCCAATCCGTGCTTCAGGAACGACCCCTGCATATGGAATCAGCATTGTTGGTCCATGACATGGTAGTGTGGTGTGAAGCTCGAGGGTGAACTTACCAAAAGATCTTGTTGGTCTTTTGCATCTGGTCCGAGACGACTTGCAACCAATTCCCGGGCCATTCCCATGAGGTACCCAACACCCCAACTGTCTGTAGGCTTAGGGCCTAGAAGCTTGAGTACCGTGTTGGAGAGGAAGATCTTCTGCAGAGGTGGTATGTCCGTGAAAACTTGAATCCACTCCAAAGCAATCTTGACAATGGCAATGATACCGCGAACGTCCTTGTTTGTTTCCAGAAGGCCCAATGGTTTACCAAAAGCAAGCTTGGACTTGGAGTCGTGTGCGTAATAGTCTGCCAGTCTGCCGAAGTCGACTGGCTTGGCTGTCTCGTCTGACAGATACTCGCGCTTGATCAAGCTGACCAACGACTGGACCTGGGAGTTGATATCTGACTCGAGACGAGGGTTGTCCTTTCCCATGTACCCAGCAGCGACTTTGGACCGCAGGGACATGTGAGCTTGTTTGTCCATGACGCTTCCCATCATGTCATGGTACGGGTCGAGTCTGGTGGCCTTGTACCAGCTGCTACGCTGGTAGGTTGACCGTGCCGCCGACATTCGGCGAAGATGGTCTGGGCTGGATGCGAGGAGGTCATTGGGACCAATTCTGACCAGGGAACCGTACTGCTTGGAGAGTTCAAAGTACTCGAGATGCGATCTTCCGGAGCGACGGATCCGCAGCATGGGAAAATATGATATGGATGCGAGGAAGGGCCCGGGAAAGGCCGAAAGTCGACGCCAAGTGATGAACCTCGTGACCGATAGGTACAAGACAAAGAGGATTAACAGAATGACACCGGTGGCGGCAGACCTTGATGCGAGATCGAAGCCTTCAACCTTCCGAGTGAGCACTAGAAGGTTCGCCATTGTAACACAGATGATAGATGCAACAAAGATAGACTTGAAGTCTTGCCACTTGAGCAACAATTCTTGTTTATTACTCAGTGAAAACAATGATGTTGAGGCTGTCAATATGATTTAGAGTGCTGAGGAGGATTTATTTGACTTCACTCGAAGCTCAGCATGACCATGAACACCCTCCCGTATTTAAGGACGAGGCCATGACCATCCATCTAGTTGGACGACAGCCACCCACACCCTCCAGTCACCAACGTGAGCCTCACAAAGGAGTCATGCTTGCCGGGGCTTCCTGATAGCATCGCCTCATTCCTGACTGTGTAATCAGGCAGTCAATCGAAAGGTGGTGTGCCTGAAGGGCAGTGCCCCACGAACCAGTCATCCCCCACCCCTGGCGAGGTCAAGGTATCCGCCGGGTGGAACGGCCGCTTCCTGATGAGGCGCGATCCGAAGATGGTGGTCGAGTCGGGTAAGGGAACAGTGTCCACGTGTGGCCCCCGATAACTTCACGGAGACCTCCTCCCGTAGCCGATGATGTGTGCACTTGCAGCCAACATTCTCAAAGTGTGCCCAAGTTGGTGATGGAAGCGGATCACCTCATGCAGGGTTCCATGATCCTCCCCAGGATCTCTGCACACCAGCCGCCCCCAAACAGCCCCATGGAGGCTCCACCAGGCACATGGCTAAGTTGTATTGGGGATGACCCAGCCCGTCGCCGACACGAAGATAAGAAAATGTGGCATGTTGGGTGCGCCTTCATGCAAGCGATAGACGCCCACGGCCCAGTCGGCTTGCTGTGCGGTGTGATATACGATGGAGGGTGCGCCGTGGACCATGCAAGCCCCGAAATGCTGTGTCGGTGTAGAACGTCGATTGCCGAGGCCTCGACGCCGATGACCGTGTGACTTGATCTCGAAATAGCCGAGAATGTAGAACACGAGGGTCGCGGGCGGCACCCGAAGAGGAGGGAACAAGTCGAAAAAGAAGGAGGGCGTCGACAAAAGAACAGTTGTATTCCCTTTTTGGCCTGCCTTCTAAGCCACCACTGCTCGGTCCACATGTCTGCTTATTACTAGGGCGGGCGCAAAAGAAATGGTCGGGCTAACCCGACAGCCAGGAAAAATGCGCCTCGCAGTCTGGCAGTCTCAATAATAGTCCCGGCCCACCGCATCGGCTCTAGGGTGGGCGGCTTACGGGCTGAGTGGGTGGATATCCGATCCTATTCGACCGACAGGCCGGAAGACACACGCGAGTTACGTCGTCTTACGGGCCGAGTGACTCGAATGGAGGAGTGGGTGCCTGACTTGGCGGCTTTTAGGGCTGAATCCTGAGTCGGACTGCGCTCCGTGAGCTGACATCAGATAGGGAAGCTCCCGAGGCCCGGCAAAGCCATGGCCTCAAGTGATCACACGCGAGCCTATTTCCAGCAGAGGAATAATTGGGAAGGCCCGTGGCTGCCTGCGAGTAAGACTTGTAGGGCTGAATTCCTAGGATGGGTGTTCCTCGCAGCAGAGAGAGGATTTAGACTACTTATTCCCACGCGCCGGCGCCACGTTTTCCCCCGAATTAGGGACCGGGCAGCACGGCGTGCCGCGTCCAGCGTAGCATCTTCTGGGACATTCGGTCTGATGACTGATTACCGGCATTCCGGTAGCGGTGGCTACACAGACAATTTTGTTGATTTTGCTGCAGTTTGCGATACCCACATCCGGCCTGCATGGATACAATTTGGATCACAACCCACGCGTGGCCAGCCGTCCATCCCAAGCGCCCACTCCCAAATAGGAAACCGGGGCGCGATCACTTCTTCAGGTGCAACGCCTCCTTGACCTTGTCGAGCTTGGACTTGTTCTGGCCCTCTGCATGTTGGTCACCGGTGGCAGCCGTGCTGCTACCCTCGGCGCCCACACCCTCGCCCGTGATGGCTTTGTCGCCCTGCACCTTTTCATGTGGATCTGTCAATAGTGTGATGCAGGCGGCACGCGTGGCGCAAACATTGGGCAGCGACTCACCTTCTGCTCCTGGGCTTCGGCCTGCTCCACGACGTCGTGGGCTTGCGTGGCTGCGGCGTCGGTGATTCCGCTCATGTTGGTTTGTGATGATGGTTTTATTAGATTGCGGGTTAATATATGCGCTGCAAAAGTCTTGGACTGTGCTGGGCAGGATCAACTCTCGCCGATGTGATCGGTGTCGGGCCCACGCGGCCAGGACGTGCTGTGGGCGGCTGCACCTCCTGAATATATATCAACGTCAATAGACTGCGAGAATTGGCGACAACGTCGACGTTACTCTCCGTCGTCATGCCGAGTCTGCGTTCGGGCAAGATGGGCATCTGAACGTCATCCGGTGTGTGACGGAGGGGTCCTCGACCAAAGAGCTCGCAGCTGTCATCGACCACACGACTGTCTGCTGTGATATCCCCGCATCGACCGTTGCAAATGCACGAGGGCGGCTACCAATGATGTGTGTGAAGCCTGCATCTGTGTGTTGCATTGCCAGAGGATGTGGCGTCAATCAACAGGACGGCCAAGCTCCAGTCGTGCTGTGAGCCGGCGGTTGATGTCAGCAATTGGGGAGACACGCCCCGTCTCGAAGGCTGGGCGCGGTACGCGCAGAGAACCAGCTCCAAGTCGCAGTCGCAGTCGCAGTCGCATTATCGTCACTGCTTCGGAAAATGATGAAGCCTGGGCACTGTAATAACACCAATTGGTGGGGCTTGGAGGCGCTTGGGTCGACGCTCGGCCCATGGCGGCCGTCCAACCAAGTGCAAGGCGTCGGTAGAAGGTTTCAGGAGCGATCGAGAGCTTCTGCATCATCTGAAACACTGGTCCCCGGGCTTGGTAACCGCGAAGCCAGGCCTGACAACTTCAAGTTGTCCTGCTCTGAACACCCCCTGCCTATGCAGTGTTGACAGCGCTTACAGGAGCAGGAGCATGCGATGCCAGTCAGGTCACGTTGCCAACCATGATCCCCTGGCAGAAGGCGATATTACCACTCTGGCTGCTGTCAGCAACTGGTTGCTTTTGTTTGTTCGATGCCGCCTCACTGTGTACACCCTTTCCGCACTTTGACACACACGATCATGTTGTGTGCCCCGCTGATGCATCTGACCCGATCTGGGCATCAAAATCATTGGATCTCGGCTGGGTGAAGGGAGATGCCTGCCATGGCTTCGGCCGGGACGAGATCTGCACCTTCACCCTTCCGAAGTTCAACCGCGGCACCGGTATAGCCCTAATCACCACAGATGCAATACTCGAAGACGTCTCGTCTTGGCTTCCCATGCAGTCACCGGATGCGATGGCTGGGGGCCGGGCCGCTGTGCCTCCTTACGAGGCCAAAGAGATACCGGGGAAAGGAGTTGGGTTGATAGCCACCCGGAAAATCAGGCAAGGAGAGCTGATCATTGCTCGCACTCCAACCGTTGTGGTGGATGGGGCAGCCCTCAAAAGCTTGAGCACATCCCATCTCACACAGGCACTGGCTCATGCGATCCAGTCCCTGCCATATGACCACCGGGTCGAGTATCTCCAGTTGACGACTCATGACGAGGCGACGACATATGAAGAGAGAGTGTACAAAATCTTCGCCAAAAATAACTTCCGGACCAAGTTCAACAGGGGAAAGGACTTTCACTCCATATTTACGGAAGGTTTGGCAAAACTTTCCTACGTCCGACCAAGTATTCTCAGGATCTGACGTGTCGACTCGCAGTGTCGCGACTCAACCATGACTGTCGCCCTAACAGCGGATACCATTTTGACGGATCGACCTTAACACAAAAGGTTTTTGCAGCCCGTGACATACCTGTTGGGGAAGAGCTCAGTATCGCCTATTACGAGTATGTCCAGTCATTTCCGTATTCTCCTCGCATACTGACCACACTCCGTAGTCCCATCCAGATCCGCACCAAGCGGCAGCACCAATTACGGTCTCATTGGGGGTTTGACTGCACCTGCGAGCACTGTAGTGCTGATGCTGGCTTGGTGACGGAGTCAGACGAGAGAGTCGAGCAAATTCATTCCCTTTGGAGGGATCTTGACGATTATACCCCGGCTTCGAGCGGCTCGGCAGAGAAGGCAGAGCGGCTCCTCGAGCTCTACAAGCTGGAGCGGCTGGATACGCGCATGCATGAGGCACACTACCGCGCCGCAATAGAGTGGAACGGTGCTGGGGATCAGGCAGCAGCAGTGGAGGCGGCAAGAAGATGTCTCGAAAGGGGAGAGCAGATGCGAGGCCCAGAGGCGCCCTTTGCAAGAAACATGAGAGAGTTGATACAGGACCCACAGCGGCACTGGAGCTGGAGATTCCGCTTGCCAACTGCCTCAGTACTCTAGGGTAGCATGATGGGTGGCGGTGTGTGGACTGCGAGCGCCGATGAAGCAGTTGAGGTGAAGAGATTGACAGATGAAGCAAAACCTGCACATCTTCGGAAGTCTTTCAAGTGATCTGCATGTTAGCTCCCCGGTTACTGAAGTACCGCACAGTCCAACACAGATTGAAAGCTTGTAGTCTCCGCAGCAGAGACCGGAAAGAAGACTTGCAGTAAGCCAACATCGGACCAATTCCAAAAGGGATGGCCATTTTGTTTTTGATATTATTGTTCCAGATTATCTGTCTCGTAGTCACAGGTACTCTTTGAAAGCCGGATTTCCATCACCTGGTCTGGTGGTCTAGTGGTATGATTCGCGCTTAGGGTCCACCCTAATGCTTAAACTGCGCGAGGTCGTAAGTTCATCCCGAACCTGATCAGGATAAAACTCCAAAAACTAACAGCTCCCCAGCCGGGTTCAATCCCCGGCCAGACCCTCCGATTCATTTCTTCTTTTTTTGGTCTTTTTTGATTGGAAAAATAGACAGTAAAAATTCATTTCCTGGGCGAGGTCTCTTTCTTTTTTTTTCCGGGGGGGGGGGGGGTCGTGTACTAGCTCCTCTGCAGTTGGTAGTCGTGTTGAAGATGCTTGGAAAGACTTGAGCCTCAACATTGAAGATCCTGTGAGCTCTGCATTGACCAAGCGGGATCTTGAGCAGTCGGTAGAGTGAGTGTTTATTAGTGTAATCAGAACACTCGGATCTGGTTTGCGAGGTTCTTATCTTCTGTGGTCATAGCTCGAAAATCCCCACAGCAGCCCCCCAGCCAGCAGCCCGAGGCATGTACTTAAGTACCCAGCACGCTCGATCTCCGACAGCATCGAAAGATGTCATTTATCCCCTATCTTGCACCTTCCTATCATGGCACATTGACGCCACTATCTAAAACCACTAGAGACGGCACCAATGGACTCCCAAATGCTTCTAGTACAGTTCTTACGATATGAGGTGTGCCCCATATATTAGTTTATTAGACTACCAAGGTGTTTGGGTACTTAGATGAACATTCTATACCCAGGTAAATTAGGTAGGCTCTTACATCTGTAGCCAAGCCCCTACCCTGATATCATTGATGCTTGGTGACGCCTTCGCCGGCTGCAACCAGCTGGATTAGGAGGGCCGAACCGTGAGCATGACAATGGATTTCCGGCAGATAACTGTTGAGGCGGCGCCACGTTCAAAAACTGGTGACCGAACCACAGTCAGATGCCCTGGGCACCCTGGAATCCTAGCATCCTTCCATGCAATCCCACGCCGGCGCCGCCTTGTGGCTTGCGCCGTTGTGCTCTCTCACGTCTCACTCACACTCAACCCAAACCGGGGACCGTGAATGTGAGGGGTCAAGCCGTCTCTGACCACCACCCCCTGCCCGAGGTTCCAACCCAACCTTTGGCCAGGGCAGTATCAGCCGAAGCCGTGTTGTGGTCGGGTCCGTGCAAATAATAAAATGAACCAGGGTGAGTGAGGTGTTGTACCACAGTCCGTCCGCTCACATGTCATGCGGGCTAGGGCGGCGAACCTTGGAACGCAATAAAGTTTTAAGCTTTGTTGGTCCCCACAGCCCGGCCTAGAGTGCAGATGATTCGCGCATCTTGCATGCTGCCGCCCCCTGCCGTCCAGCTGCCTCCATTCCCAGTGCGGAAGCTCCCATTACCCCAGGGTACTGGCAACTGGCTAATCTGGCTCTGACCCTCTCCCGCCTGCCCGCCTCCTACACGGAGGATATTTTGCCGCTCTCCGGGGCCTGGTTCCCAAGTGTTCTCTTCCGGGTTACCAGGTCATCCAATCCGAGCCCACAATACTACACTGAATAATGGCTGAGGAGCGGGGTGAGGAGGCGAAAGCAGGAGCGCAGATCTGCTGTGTGCCGCGCTTGAGCGCTGTTCGGTCGTAACACGACCAGCGACGTGGTTGTCTATCTCCTACCTTCAGGGATACGGCCCTATCGTTTGTGTACGACCGCTCTCAACTCTCATATCCATGTCCTTTCTCCAGCTTCCTTAAAAGATCAGAGGCGATCCCCACTCGGGAAGACGACCCCTGCCGAGGTGATTGAGTCGGAATGAGCGGTCGAATGCGGCCCCTGCTCGCTCGGTTCAGAACATAATCCCCCTGTCAAATGCACGATGTTATCTCCCCGTCATGACAGGGTCCCATCCCGTGGGGCAATTGTAACGGTAGATAAATAGAAGCTTTGCCAAGGGGCGGGTCCATTTGCGTGGTTGATGTTCGTCCCTCTTGGCTACGTCCTCCTTCGCATCCATCTTCACCAGTGCATAACTACATCCCACGCGGGTCGAACAGCTGCCATTGGTGCGCCTTACCAAGTCGACGCATCCCGCAATGCTATACAGGCAACTCGTTGCTACTGCCCTTTGTGGCGCGGCAGCCATCGACACGGCGCTCGCCACTCCTTTTGATGCTGGGCGACTGCTCAGTAAGAGGGACGTACCCAGTACCCACGTCCTCCATGAGAGGCAGATGCCGCACTGGTCCTGGACTTGGGAGAAGAAGCAGAAGGTCAAGAAGTCCACAGTCCTGCCCATGAGAATCGGACTGCGGCAGCTTGAGGATAAGCTGCAGGAGGGCCGTGATCGTCTAGTAGAGAGGTCAAACCCCTCGTCGCCGTACTACGGCCAGAGCATGTCTGCTCGTGAAGTCATTGACTTCTTCGCGCCTCCGAAGGAAAGCGTTGAGGTTGTTAGAGACTGGCTCGTCGCCGGCGGTATTGATGTTCATCGGATCTCGCAGTCGGTCAACAAGCAGGTGTGTTGTGACAGGACATCACCCTCCTTCCTATCAGCTTCCGAGCACATCTTCAACTGAGAACTGACAACATTCAGTGGATCCAATTCGACTCCACAGTCGCTGAAGCTGAGGACCTCCTATTCACCGATTATTTCTACTGGGAGCACAGCTCGACTGGTAGCGAGAACATTGCTGCCGAGGAGTACCATATCCCAGCCCATGTGCAAGCCCATATTGACTGTGAGTGCCTTCTGAGGGCTTGGCTGCCTTCCCTCCACCGGTCGGGCTCCAGTATTGACCATGTTCCCAGACATCACTCCAGGAATCCGACTTCGTGCTGATCCAGGTCGCGTGCGCCGTCTCAAGCGCCGGGCTGAGGCTGAGCAACTCCGCAAACGCTCCGTGAAGGCTATGAACACTGGGGTTGAGGTTATCGGAACAGATGCATCCACGTTGCCTCCCCTCAACAGTTCGAACTGTGACTCTTATGTCACACAGGAGTGCATCCGGACTCAGTACAGTATCCCCAAGGGTGACAAGGCCGCTGAGGGTAACGAGCTCGGCATCTTTGAGTCCCTAGGCGACCACTACGCTCAGAATGACCTCGATGTGTACTGGTCTACCCTTTATCCGGAAATCCCAAACGGCACCTACCCTATTGAGAAGAACATAGACGGTGCCTACGGCGCTGCCAAAACCCTGGAGGCAGCCGGTATCGAGTCAGATCTGGATTTTGAGGCCGCGCAGCCTCTTATATGGCCCCAGAAGACTATCCTGTTCCAGACCGACGATGAAAACTATCAACAAAATGAGACTTCTCTAACCACACCGCTGAAAGGCTTCTGGAACACTTTCTACGACGCTTTGGATGGGAGTTATTGCACCTACAGCGCATATGGCGAGACGGGTAACTGCGTGCTTCCCGAGTGCCTCGATCCAGAGTACCCGGATCCCAACCCAGACGGCTACAAGGGTCAGCTGCAATGCGGTGTCTATGAGCCTACGAACGTGATTAGTATCTCGTACGGAGGTGGCGAATCAGATGTCCCGAGTTACTACACGAAGAGGCAATGCGACGAGATCATGAAATTGGGCCTGCAGGGGACAACCGTCGTCATCAGCTCCGGCGATGACGGCGTTGGCTCTTATGAAGGCGATGGCGGCCCGAACGGCTGTGCTGGGCCTGAAGGCAGAGTCTTCTACCCAGCTAGTGATGCTACATGCCCGTATGTCTTGGCAGTTGGGTCTAACCAGCTGGACAAGGTGTCTGGAAACTCGTCAATGCCGAAGTATGTCGAAAGTGCTACCGCCAGGTTCCCCTCGGGCGGCGGGTTCAGCAGTACGTCACCTTCATGTCCCAATCCTCCTTTTCTCATCTGGTCTCTCAAAGCCTCGATAATAATTCCAGAGGACCTCGTTGGAGACACTTCATCAGTTGTACTGACATGATTGTGTACAGACTACTTTGACACACCAGATTACCAGAAAGAGCAAGTCGCAACGTACTTCGAAACAGTTACGTTGAACTTCACCGGATACACGGACCCAGGTACCAATTTCTCGGCTGTTGGCGATGGCGTTTACAAGATCGGCGGCCGCGGATATCCTGACGTCTCTGCGATTGGCGATCGATTTGTAATCCGAGGGGCCGGCTCATGGGGTCGTGTTGGCGGGACGTCTTTGTCTGCGCCGATCTGGGCTGCCGTCCTGACAAGGATAAACGAGGAGAGAATCGCGGCTGGTAAAAGCACGCTCGGCTTCGTAAATCCCAAGCTGGTGAGTTTACCTGCACGATAGTGGCACGCCGCAGCACAACCCGCGATAGACTTCCAACTGACTCATGTAGTATGCCCATCCTGAGGTGTTTACGGATGTCACCGACGGGTCCAACCCAAACTGCTTCTCCACGGGATTTCTAGCTGCTCCTGGTTGGGACCCTGTGACTGGACTCGGGTGAGTACATCTCAGATGCCCCTAATAATCTACCAAGGGATGCTGACAAAGTTGTAATTTAGCTCACCTGACTACCCCAAGCTCCTGGATCTTCTCTTGAGTGTGTAATCTCACAAATTCTGGGATCGCACAGGACTTTCAAGCCTCACTGCGATGGTAGTGGTCTTGCTCTTGATTTCATGTACGGTTCTCATATAGAGAGATAGAAAAACGAAGTGTTAAAAAAGATTTCAAAGCACTAGTTGAGATTGAAAAACTTGCAGAAAGGTGTAATGAATTGTGAGATGTGTAAGGTCACTCGGTGCTACTTCTGGAACTGTATATGCACCGACTATGCCATATTTCGCCACCGGCTTTGACAAACTGGCATGTCAGTGCAAAACAACCCGAATGATCGCTGATAGCCTAAGATTAGTTTGGAATGTGGGTAACATATTGTCCCGAAGAGTGTTTCAGGACAAGTGTAAAAACTCAAGTGCTGTGCCTGGACTCAGGGCTGTTCCTCTATTTGGCAAACACGAGAATCTCCGCATTGGATGATACCCCATACAATGCCTGCTATACCACGGGAACCTGGACAAAAATGGGCAGACCGCCCGTTGAGCACATAGCACCCGCGAACTAGAGGTGGAAAAAACATACTAACGTGACTTCAATACGACCGGCCTTTGCTGCTCCGTAGTGGACTACCATTCACACAGGATAGGGAATAGTTTACCTTTCCCGGAATTTTCAATGTTCCCAATACCTACTGCCTTGGTGAATGAGAGCTTGTAATCAAAGAACCGCCAGAAATGGAACACTTTTTCATGGCCGTGGTACGCTCCAGTGGTTGGAGGTCTCCTATATTTCTCACAGAATTCCGCCAAACGGAGTCTCTGCTTTTGCTAGAGGAAGCACGAGCCACGGAGTCAGTTAGGAATCATGAATCTATAAATCCAACCTGCATCACCACACATTTTCCTCACAGTACAAAACAAATGTCAGTCTGATCTCTCATGACATTAGCCGACACTGAGCGACCCTCTGCCTCTACTCTACGATTATCCACTGAAGAGTCACCGAGCGAACTTTAGGCTCCTTACTGCACCAAAATGCACTTCTACCTCGCCACGATAGCTGTCTTTGCGGCTGGGGCGCTCGCCTCCCCATTCGGTCCCCTTGTCTCGGATTTCAATGTCCCAACAGGCACCAAAGAGCGCCGGGCCGACACCTGGGGCGGCTCTGTGTCACTAGGCCCCACAAAGAGCACCATCACCAAGGCAGTAACAACACTTATTCCTGGCCCAGCGCCCCCCACACAGAATGGCGTGCTGTTCCTTTGGCCCGGCATGTCCAACGGCACAGGTGACCTTGTCCAGACAACACTTGAGTCCTGGCCCGATAACTCCTGGTGCGGCGCCACCGCCGGCCAATGGTGCGTCCGCGCGTCCCTCTTTGGCTCGTTCGGCCAGCTCGACGGCACTGCTTCGCCCGTCTCGGGTACGACCAAGGTCAAGATCGTCTATGAGCTCCAGAGCGACGGCCAGACGTGGACGCAAACTGTGACGAATGCCGACACCGGGGCGGCCCTGAGCAGTTTCAGTTACAAGTCTGGCCCATATATGAGGGGCTACGGTACAGGAACAGAATGTAACGATAATTGTTCTGGAACTATTGCGGCGCAGAAGTACCTTAATACTGTCATCACGTTGGCTGGTGCAGATACCACTTTCGGCAACACTATTGCTACTGCAGCAGGAGCGACATACACAGGCTTAACGTCAAGCAGTGGGGGAAAGGTTTGGACCATTTCTGAGATCGACATTCCGGCCATGGTCTGAGGTGGTACGACAAGAAAGAATTAAGAAGCTATTGTATGGGCCGGTACCAAGAGATCGCAGGGGATTTAAGCGTACATAGGTTCGTTGAGTGAAATCCATTACATGACGCCACAGACTTCAGCTTCGCGTGTAAATCTTGGCGATGGAAGACTCGTGTGAATCGGAAAGCCAAGCAAAGGATTCCCATTTTCTGACAGGCCAATCCCCATGAGGGGTCTTCGAGGCTTGGCTCATGGGCGTGATTGTGTATTTATACCACTGTGATCCGCATTGTGGTTCTCTGAACGCTGGGTCTTGTATGATTACCTATACCACCGTCGTGTGAAAGGACGGCAAACGCCTTCGGGACGAATACCTAGGTGGAGATTAAGAACCTTGCAACGAACATTTGAAGACACGTGATAATTAATGAACTGAGCACTGTGACTGGCGCAATGAATATTTAGGGGGCTGAGGTTCCTGTAAACGTTGCTGCTCATTTCGTGGTCATTAACTAGACGATGGAGTGTGCTCATGAACTTGGGACAGAGGCAGGGCTCGATCTTACCTGGGTCTCGAGACCATAATTGTGAATGCATCGGTCACACTACCCTAGGAACCGGGATCGCTGACAGGCCCGAGAATACAATGTGGCGCGCTGTCACCCTAGGTCGGCAGAACCACTGGGTGTGTTCTCCACAGCATCGAATATGGATGGCGGAAGGCGATCTCCCTTCTCGGCGTGTGACTGTGCCTTTGCTTTTACTGGTGCGCTACCGAGATAGCGTAGGGGCGACCTTCCAATGGCGCTTGTTCATCTTTTTCGCTGTGCTGAAACAACCACCCCCGAATCACTCCCCTCAGCTTGGCTTGATGAGCATGCACTTACAAGAAATCTCAACGCTTTTGGATTCGCCTACAATCATGAAGGCGGCAGGTAGTTTACACCTGTGAAGTCGGCGAAAGCCAAATATGAGGCGGATCGACCAAGAATCCGTACGTAGTGACCAATGACTGTTCCTGTCTCCATATTTTCAAGGACGGTGTCTATAGCAGCTCCTTCGATGCCAATCACACTAGATACTGTGTGACAGTGCTGGGGTCAGCCGCGCTTAGTGTCTGGGCGAAAGCTAGGAGGTAAACCCACCGTAAAGTACACCATCAACGTGGAGACCTAGGTATGCTGTCGAAGTGTCGCGGCGTCAGTATACTGAAGTGGAATAAATGACCGACAAGATGTACAGGCATGCTCCGTTGCCCCCTAATTCGAAGTGATGACAATACATTACAATTCCTCACGAGTGCATTCCAAAGTATAAAAAGTCTCTGTCTGCTTCCAATCTGTTTTCCGGTTGTTTTCCATACTGTAGCATCGTGAGGGGCATTCTACCCGTGTCCTTGTCGCTCGATCCTGGTCGGAACATAGCAGCGCCAATTACCTCGCAATACGATGAAGTTCTCCTTTGCCTTCGTCATACTGGGCCTTGGGGGTACCGCACTGTCTCACCCAGCCGCCGAGCTCGAGGCCCGTCAGGACAGCGGCTCCTACACCATCTCTGGGCTCGGAGCACGCAAGCAGCAGATCACCGCAGCCGGTGCCGACTCATTTGACCTTGCTATTGCCATGCTAGAGACCGAACGCATGACGGCCGACTACGCATATGGCGACAACAAGCAGCAAGACAGCGCCAACTTCGGCATCTTCAAGCAAAACTGGGGCCTGCTGCGCGAGTGCTGCTCGCGCTTCAGGGGCCAGCCGCAGAGCAACTGGAACAACGGTGCTGTTCTGAAGTATGTCGATGACCCTGCTCCCTGTTCATCTATAACCTGCTGCCTGAGGGCTCACCAATGGGATAGCTCTAATCTCAATGCCGATGTCCAATGCCTGAACGAGTGCCAGAGCTACTATGGCTTGGACAAGTGGGTGGCTGGACACCGAAATGGTGCTACTGGTCTTGCGAACCCCAACACCCAGGACATACAGAGTAAGTCATGGACAGCTGCAGAAATAGCTACTGCCTGATTCCAGATTTGATGCTGACCGAACAGACTACCGCAACGGTGTCAACTACATCCAGAGCCAACTGACAACCCAGCCCAATGGCCTTACAAATGATGTTCGCTACTGGATCTACGTCGTGCCAATCTAGACTACTGTGGCAGTACTGGAGGGATTCTCTGGCACTCAGGGGTCTGCACATTGTACATGATTCTCTGGCCGTTAATGAACCTTGCTGTCGTTGAGCAAATTTGACTCGACGTACTTAGGTAGAATATGAATTTGAAGCACAAGGGTGTAGCCACTTACCTTTTATTGACGTAACACATTCTCCTGATGATGTATGACATGCCACAACCGCTTGATCTTCTCATTTTCCGACTCCATCAATTGTTGGCTCTCAATTATATTATCACGAATTTCAATTGAATAAGGTCAGGACTGCCAGTGCTATGTCTAAGTCATGCGGCTCCCATGGCTCACTGTGCCAGTGATTCCCAGGTGCTGCCTTCTAATCGATGATCTCCAGGGGACTATCATACTGGATTTGACTTCATAAAAGTGTATCACATAGGCGCTTTTCCGACAAGAAGTCATTGTACAAAAGGTTGAACCCACAGAGCGTTATTATACGCTTGCCACTGTTGTCGGGAATGTCTGGTTCGTAAATTCTGAGCGTTTACCACGGTATTAAGACGCTGTAGCATATGACTTCTGACAAAATAAGAACGAAACCAACTCCTTTATGCACTTCTCAGGCCCACATGCAATGGCCGCAGATCGGTGACCAGATCCCCATGCTAGAGTTGGCACATGTGCACTTGAGCAGTGGACCTCGGGAGCTTGTGAATGCACGCACAATAGCTTCGAAGGATACTACCTTTGATACCAAGAAAGTCCATTAGAAGATGGTGTTGGCATAATTCGCCAATTGAAATTAGGACTAGCATCCTGAGGCAACCAAGCGTTTGACAGCCAATTCTGAATGAACCCAATTGATCGACAAGTGGAAAATACCTAGAAACTTCGTGCTGTCCCATAGGAGCTCTGCACATATTCGCCATGTCAGTGAGTCATTCTTTGAGTGGACACGATAAAACTAACGCTGTTAGTCAAGTATTAGATGTCCCACTAGCAATATGCCATTAGGGCGCCTCAATCCTTGAAGTAGTTTCGTTTTTAATCCCTATATATGTAAAATATACATAGTACATTTATACCTACTAGGGGAGGGGGGGTCCCTAATATAGGTGTATAATTATATTAAAAATTAATATTTAAATATAATTTAAATTATATAATTAAATACTAATAAAAGGTTAATAAAATATTATTATAAGTAAAATTTATTAAAGGGTTAATATTAAATTAAGTTTTAATATTATATTTATATATATTAATATATATTAAAAATTCTTTTAGAATCCTTAAATCCGCTAATATTAAATTTTATAAGTTAGTAAAAAATAATATTTATAATTCCTTAACTTTATAAATTTATAAACCTTATATATAGTAGTAATTAAGTTAAAAATTAGTTAATAAGTAGTTAGGTTAAAGATAAAAAAGGAAAATAAAACTTAAATTTAATAGAGATCGAACCTCTTTTTACTTATATATTAAGTTTTTAATAGTATATTATATACTATTAATTATGAAATTATATTAAATTAAAAGTATTATATTATTTAAATATTATATAGTTATATTAATAATATATTTATATTTTAAAAAGTGTTAATATTATTTTAAAATAATAGTATTATTTATTTAATTTATCTATCTCTTTTAATAAATATAATAATAAATATTTAAAATTTAATATTTAAAGAAGTATAGTATTAATAATAATAGAAAGAGAATATAATATATTTATAAATATATATTTAAAATTAAAAAGTATTATTTTTAATAATATTATATTAAAACTATTAATATAAATAGTTTAAAAGCTAATAGTTAATAAAGTAATTATATAATAAAATTAGTTACTATTATATTAAGAGAGGGGTAGAAATACTAGCCTCGATTAAGCTAGCTTACTCACGGATAAAAGGTGAAGGAAGAGAGGAGAGAAGAAGGAAAGGTGCTTAAATTTCTTACTCCTGAGGTTAAGGCTTTTTACTAGCTATTTATATATATAGTAGCTCTTAAAAGTATCTTTTTTAAAGGCCTACATTCCCTACACCTTACTATTATATAAAGGCGCTATATATATCCTTAAATATATATAAAGTAGAAGTAATCCTATATAATAAAATAGATAAAGTTTATAAAAAAAGGTTATATAATATAAAATTTAATAAATCAACTTTGTTTTAATAATATATTAATTATATAATTATATAAACTTATTTTTATAAAATAAATTAAATTATAACTTTTATTTTAAATATATACTTAATAAAATTATAATATTATAATAATAAATATATTTAAGAAAACTTTTATATAAGTTTTATAAAATAATTAAAAGAATTTAAAAATTAAATAATATTTATTTATTATATATTAAATAGATTTTATATAAGGAAAGTAAAGGTTTAAATATTTAAAAACTAAGTTTATTCTTTTTAAAATATATTACTTTATTAATAAAAATCTATTTACTTTTATATAATATATAAAAAATATTAATAAAAGTTAAAATTAATAACTTTATTTAATATAAAGAGGTTTAAAGGATATATTATATAATTATTAACTTTGTACTTAAAGTATAAATTAATAACTAGTTTAAAAGTTAAGAAGATAATGAATAAACAAATAGTTAAATAAAAAATAATTATGTGGCCGAAGCCTTAATCCTTGAAGTAGTCACGATGCTTCCACCTGGGCAGGCAGGATGGACTCGGACTTTGGGCCGAGCTCATTTACAAACGACAGAGCCATCAGCTGGCCAGATGACAACATCATGACGATACATGACCCTGTCGCGAAGAGGGGAGCCCATGTGGCGTTACCAGTTTGCCTTTCTGCTGCCAATGCCAAAGCCCTCCGAGTCGTCGTTGAGATGTAAGCCTAAGGCTAGAACAGGTTAAGGTGCTTATACACTACTGGTTGGTCACCAATTCTCCACTTGAAAGACGTAGCGACTCGGTATTCTTTGCTTGTTTTAAAAATATATCACTGCAAGCAGCTTAGCGAGGCCCAACGGCCCAGCCTTAGCGAACACCAACCCCCGCGGGCCCTTTATCTTGGTCACACTTACTACTGCCCAACCAGATCAGGTCAAGCGAAAAGGGAAAGGGATTGCTCTAGAGGTAGGAACTCAAGGCTTGCTGATAAGTCTAGACGCAAGTAGGCTGACTCTTGTCGCAGCAGAAATTTTGATGCTGGCAAAGTGTTTTTATATCGGGTCGGGCTCAAGTGCTGTCTGTGTGACAGCCCGCCCCCTCCCCCTAGCGCCATGTCCCGAAAGAGTCTAGCGCCCTGCCCACCTTGGGATTTACCGCATGCGTGCTGCCTGCTTAACAGGAGCCCTTTGGAAGCGGGGCGCCGTCAGCTTGGGCGTACTCTAGGGCTGAATGTCCAAGTCACTCGCCGCCAACATTGGCCGACCTCGTTTCCCCGTTTTCATCCCACTCACATTCCTTTGTCCTAGTCATAAAGCCTGGCCAGCCAACACGGCCGCGCAACCCCCCCAAACGAGTCCCATAAGTAGCAGCGCTGCCTCTGGAACAGGCTCTGATTTCGCTGATGCCGCTGAAGAAGCTTCGCAACACCTGGCGCTCGACGCGACAGACCAGGTCCAGGACTAAGCGGCAGAAAGAAGCCATTCTGGAGAGCGCAATGACCACCCAATCAGGCGACGAGCAGCAGGGCGAGTCGAAGCTGTTCATATTTCTTAATGACTTTACGGATTCCGACAATGAGGCCACGGCGGAGCTCTGGGCGTGGATCCTCCAGCGTGACCCCACGGTCAAGGGCATCTACATCGCAGAGCCGCGTTGGGTCAATCTGGGCTACTACATGTCTGCCCAAGAGTTCGGCCGCTGTATCGGGCTCGTAAGCAGGCTGCAGCCTCCGCTGGAGGGCGGCGATCCCCCCCTGACCACCGTGCTTGCTGGCCGCTTGACCAAGGAGATAATCGACAGCAGGAAGGTTGAGGGCAGGGAGCTTGCCGATGACGAGCGAGACTTGGTAAGCCTGATCTTATCCGGCCGCGGCTGCCTCAAGTGCTTCTATTCATGACCTTGAGAGGTATCTGACAACCCAAGCAGCTCATGAGATGTGTCAAACCATCAAATGGAGACAGGGAGGACTCCATCAAACATGCCCGGCTTGTCGCGATGGACTATTTGACCACCATGAGGACGAAATGCAGCCGCTTTGAGACTTTCATCGATGTGGCTTGTTTGGACAAGCTGGAAAGCCCCATCAATCTAAAGACGCATTATCATGATGAGCTCGTAGCCCGTTCGCTCGAGGAACTTGAGGAGTTCCAGACCATCAAGGATATGCCCACTTCCGAGCAGCCGCAGATCGAGGCCCGAAGGACAAAGCTTCGGCAATGGTACACCAAAGCGATCAAGAGGAAGGAAAACGAATTCGGTGGCCAGTCTCCGTTCAGAGAGCTTGACAACTACGACGACCTCTTCAGCGAGATTCGGAATCACGACCAAACCACAGTCTTCGGGGGCGCGTCTCTAACTGTGCTGCAAGAACTACTTGAGAAAGAGTCTTCGCTGGCCAAGAAAGTCCGGTACTTCCAGCAGGGTGGAACCTTCAACTCGAAACTCAATATCCTCGGAAACCCGTACAATTTTGCACTTAACACTAAGGCGGCTGAGTACGTCTTTAAAAATCAGGATAAGCTGGGACAATTTACCCTGATCCCCACAGACACTACAAAGAGGGTTGAATGGACGGTCCAGGGGCTGGCCAAGATATCCCCTGCAGTCGGCGTTCGATCTCTAGCTTTCCACGGAAGATACGATCCGTGGGAGATGGTCTCGTCAAAGGAGCGGGACGGGAAACCTCATAGCACTCAAGAATTCCTTGCCTGGCGCGCCGAGTGGGCTGATGATCCCAAGTACACCGATCCTAATAGTAAGGGGTACAAGGCAGTCATGGCAGACCTCACTGCTTTCCTGGCTGCGTTCACGGACGCCTTCAAAGAGTACGATCAGGGGTCCTTAAAGCAGACTTCAGTCAAAGTCACCATGGAGCAAACGATTCCAGACAGCAATCAGATGGTTCTCCGGGAAGACCCGGCATCAAAGATAGAGTGTTTGATGTTCGAGTCAGGGCAGGAAACACAGGAGACAGTGTTGGTGAAGGACGCTGTGGGTCTCTTGCAAAAGGCCCTGAACACTGCAGCGCCATCTGTTTGAGGAAACTCCATATCCCGGTGACATGATCTTCTTGATCGTACAAGGGACACACAAGAGGCCTGGGCTTCTGACTTGAGCACGGTATTTGGCCGTAATTTGCTCGCGACGAAGTAATGCTTCTTTCGCACCCTGGCGATGCTTAACTTTTTGGACGATGTGGATTATACCCAAGATAAACTCTCACGGAACCTTTCAATTCGATGGCAGGAAGAAGTGCTAGGCAAAGGGAACCTGCGTCTCTTGTTTTCTTCCCCCTTCTGGAAGACGCACTTTTTGCACTTTTGGAATGGGCAAACTATTACCTATCGTTGGGACCCACGTCTCTACTGGCAGGAAGAGGACGGACTGGAGTCTCTGGGGACCTCGGAATGCAAGGTAGACGTCGTATAACGAGAGCAAAGAGACTCGTGATATTTGCGACCTTTTAATCGCTTGATTCAATTGGACCCTATTTTTCCATGACCACTTATTTTGCTTGCCGCCGAAATCTAGAAGAAACACCCTCATATGAACCATTCAGAAGTAGCAGATAGCGATGCCAACATATCGACAGCCCTGCAGGAGCGTTGGAAGCTTCCATGCGGCCGCCGGAACTATATACTACGCCGGATGTCTTGTAACTCGGCTGGCAAGACAAGAGTTGTTTCCTCACGAGCCACCAATACGCTCGACTGGGGCAGTGATACCTGATTCGTACACCACACGGTGCCATCCTGGCTTTTTCCAAGCCGATGGGTTAGCCCAAAACTTGACCCTTGGCCTTACTCCTCCCGCAGGATAGTGAACTCGATGGCTAGGAAACCACCATAGCCCATCAGCATCAGGATACCAACCACGTGTCTGACAGCGGCGAACTTGCAGAACAGCTTGCCGCCGAAGTTGACGATAACAGCCAGGGTGATGGTGGCCATCCAGAGCCACCAAGCCTCGATGCGGGCAATGTCCACAAACTCGAAACCTTCGTCCTCGTCGGCGTCGTGCTGGTGCCAGTGGTGGCTGGCGATGCTCCACGACGCAATGCCGAGGCACAGCGTAAGCAGGAACATGTTGCTACCGACAGCGTCTGCAACCATGAGGCCTGACTTGCCCTTGGAGCTGCTCATGACCGCCAGGAACTTCTCCGGAAGCGTCGTGGCGAGTGACAGGAAGGTGGCGCCGAACGCGCTATCGGACATGTTCAGGGCCGAGGCGAGCTGGATCGAGGTGCGGGACAGGATGAAGCCGCTCACTGTGAGGGCGGCGAAACCGGCCAGGACCTGGAGGAATGGAGTGAGAGTGTGGTGGAACTGCTTGGGGCTATACTCGGGCGCCGGGATGCCGAGCAGGGTGGTGGTCTCATCCGGCCCATCTTGGGGGCGGCGGTGCAGAAAGTGGCGGTCCACAAAGTGACGGTGACGGTCAAAGAAGTGGCCGTGATTGTGGCCGCTTTCGGAAGAAGAGGAGGATGAGGACGAGCTCGATGAGGCAGCATCATCGTGGGCAGCCTCGACGTCGTCTCTGTCGTGTTCCTCGGTGAAGAACATTGCCTGCCAGATGGTCCACAGGACGACGGCCAGATATGCCGCGAAGCAGATGAGGAGCAGAGTCGCTACGATACGGTTCCACATGAGGTGTGCCAGAGCAAAGAGCCACACGAACGTCGTGAAGCCCAGAAGCCCGCGGGTGGCCAGCTTCGCGGTCCTGTCGAAGCCGTCCCAGGCGCCGGCAGAGAAGACGAGGCCCAGGGCGAAGGCGCCCAGGAGGTTGGCCACCGAGCTGCCAATGACATTTCCCACGGCCAGGGCGGGACGCTGCTGTGCGATACTGAGGGTAACAACGGCCAGTTCTTCCCACTCGGCACCGGCGATGAGGATGGCCACGAGGACCTCGGGCAAGCGCAGGCGCTTGGCCAGGGTGGTGGTGCTCCCCACGAAGAGCTTGGCGCCGCGCTCGAGCAGCGACAGGCCCGCGAAGAAGGCCGCGATGCTGAAGAGTGTGTCGAGTTCCATCTTTGCGGAGGCGCACCACAATGACGGGCAAAACTAAAGGAGGTGGTGTTGAAGGAGGAGAAAGATGTCCCAACTCGCACATCTGCTCACTCCTCGCTCCACCCCGTCGACGTTGAAATAAGAATTCTCACCGCCTGGCTCGAGCTCCTGAGCCAGGGCGCCGTGCTCCATTTTGAATCGCGTCAGTCTCGCATTCGTCGACATGTCAACAAATCCTAGTCAGGCCCACCGCCTTTGATCCGCAGAGGGGTCCCCCGGAGCGGGCTGTGTCGTGAGGGTCTAACCCTGACCTGCTTTGACTCGGGTCTGGATAAAGCAGCAGGCCAGGGCCACATGCGGGAGCACGTAACCAGGCTCTGGGAAAGATAGGAGCTGTACATGTCCTGCAGGTGGGGGGATATTGGGGCGTTCTGGACGACCAGTCTTCACACATGTCCGTTGGCTACGGACAAACGGTATGGTAACACATTGGCCACGTATTGCGCTTGTTTGACCTGCCCAGGTGTCGTCCGAGTCTCGTCACCGGTGTAGGGGTGCAGCCATACAGCCCCTGCATTTGCCCCACGACGCCGCGACATCCTATTGAACAGAATGACATTTGTGGTACCCGGGCGTCTTTCAGAGTTTAACAGAGCCTGCCGTTTTATCCAGATCTAAATCCACAGTATGAACCCGCTCACGTGCCGCTGACCGACATAAGTATTATGCGACTAGTATCACTCATGCACTAACGTGAAAATCTTTTCTGGCCTGTACTTCAATGTTGGTGCCGGGTCGCAAAACGATGTGCTAGTTTCTATATGAAGCTATATGCAGTACAGTCCCACAGGCGTAAATGCTCAAAGACCCAGTGTTAGGTAACTTCATGGCCCGCATGCACTCCTGAAGTCGGGGTCCGAGTCGTGCACATGCCCGTGTGTTCATTACATTATAGATATGTACCACATGCAAGCCGTCGACAGTCGAACGATTGAGCAAGATTTCAAAGGTACTTAGGTAGTAGGCGCTGAAGCATGACAATGACTGGTATGCGTCATTGGCCACCGGATACAATGCCTAGGTAGCCCAGCGATTCTTCGACACCCGGGCATCCAACTCCCATACACGACACCGTGTACAGGTGCATTTTGACCAGACTTGGGACTGGCTACTCAAATTGTAGTATATGCGGGGCATTGAATGCTTACTCAGATACAAGCTGAATGGCCACTAGGTTCCAAAAGTTCCTGGAGAGACCTGTCCTTCTAACATGGCAACAAATGCCATGGTGCAGCGAGTGATAGAAAGGTAGAAAAGAGAAGGCGAAATCCCAGGTGATCCGGACAGACCCACCCCTGAGTGCGGCTGTAAAAGGCAGCCAAGGGACAGCAAAACCTGTTCAGATGTACAATAATGTGACACCGGCTGGGCGGGAGATGACTTACCTACCTAGATAGGTACAAAATTCTAACGTTATCCAGATGTCTCGGAGTTGCACTGTCTCTAAACTTGTCCAAAAGCAATTATCGTACTCAAAGTTAACCACGACCGCACAGTCAACTTGGGCATCTATAGCATTTAGTGTCCTCGGCCATCTTGCATTGTCGGACTACCGAGGTGGCGTGGGAGACACATGTGTACCGGTACATACGTAAGGCAAGCCGAACTTCTCACTCTAGTCATTTCAAAATGGACAGACTACCTAGGTATCATGATCTACCTAGGGCGCTTTTGAAGAACACAATTGCTATTATCATCCAGGTTTCCCATTTCCTGCAACAAAAACGTAAAAATAAAGCACGATCACACATAAATTCTATCCGTGCAGAACTCAGCAGTACTCGCCGACATAAGAACATTGAAGCAGAGCTATTTCCATAAGGCCTGTACCGCTCCGATCATTCACCCTTTCTTCTTGAGCAAGTATCCGTACTTAAAAGAGCCATCCTTCTAAGTTTCTGCAACGATCAACAGCATCTCCCGGTATGATATTTTCGCATTGACGTATCATTTACGCTCTACACAAGTCTCTCTATGCGTCACAAATGCGACCTTCTACTGCCTGCCCTTTCCTATATATGGGTATGTTCCCGCCATCTGTTCCCAGCGTCAGGCTCCTCCACATCTAAAGTTTGACTCTAGCAAGAAAGTTAGTCCTTGGTCCCTTGAAGTCTCGCAGGCCGTACAGTAGGAATTCAGGAGTCTGACTTTCTCGAAGGCCGGGAGGCCCGTCCGCCAAAGCCCCAGGCGATCTGGTTAGCCAAGCTGATTGAGATATCCAACTGATCGGCCCACGTCCAAACGAGGCCGGGGTCCTTCTGGAACTGTCTACCAACAAATATGACATCAAGAGCAGTGTCGTTGGTCAGAATATCTTCGGCCTGTTTGGCCTCTCTAATGCTTCCAACAGCAGAAACCAGCATCTTGTCGCCTACTGCGCGCTTGATCTCCTTGCTGAACGGAGCCTGGTAGCCCGGGCCGCCCTTGATCTTGGCAGCCGGATGCAAGCCGCCAGAAGAGACGTCAAGAAGGTCCACCCCACGCTCAGCAAGCAGAACAGCTAGCTTGGCGCTGTCCTTGACCGTCCAGCTCTCGGGGAACTCGTCCACCTCTTCGAGCCAGTCAGTGGCAGAGATGCGGACGAAGAGAGGCATGTCCTTGGGGATGTCGGCCCTGATCGCCTCCACGATCTCCAAGGTCAAACGCACCCGGTTCTCGAAGCTTCCGCCGTACTGGTCCGTCCGCCTGTTGGAGACGGGGGACAGGAACTCGTGCAGCAGGTAGCCGTGGGCGTTGTGCAGCTCGACGACGTCGAACCCAGCGGCCACGGCGCGCCTCGCGGCGCGGACAAAGTCCGCCTTGACATCCTCAATCTCCTTGAGCGACAGTTCTCTTGGCTGGCCGAAATCGTCGGCGTAGGCCAGGGCGCTGGGCGCGACGACATCATCCGGCCAGCCATTCACATCCTTGTCCGCCAGGGCCCCGAAGCTCAGCCACGGCGCAACAGTACTGGCCTTGCGCCCGGCGTGGGCGATCTGGATGCCGACCTTCTGGCCCTGGGAGTGGGCGAACTGGACGATCTCCGCTAGCCCCGGGATGTGCGAGTCGGACCAGATACCTAGATCATCGGGGGTAATGCGGCCCCTCGCCTGGACCCCGGTGGCCTCAAGGATCGAGAGACCTGGCCCGCGAGACACGATGCCTCCCAGGTGAGCGGTGTGCCATGGTTGTTTGTGACCGTCGATGGCGGAGTATTGGCAGAGAGGAGAGAGGAAGATGCGGTTCTGGAAGGTCACGCCTCGGATTTTGATGGGCGTAAAGATCTTGGGGATGGCCTTGCCGTTGGGCTGGGGATCATGAGCTGTCCCTGACGGAGGTGACTGCTCCGGGGTAAAGAAAGGAACACCCTCTGCTGGTTTGTTGTAGAATGACGGTTTGCTTGGTTCCTGGCCTTTTGGAATGACCGGCTTCGTAATGGGGTAGAATCCTGACATGTTGAAACGAGATGTCCGTGTTGTAATGCCGTGGAAGTGGATGCCCAGTTAGAGGTGGCAGGTAGACGAACTCGGGCCTCAGTATGGAGTTCTGGCAGACCTCTATATCCTGTGACCAGCCTTCGACGATAACGGCGCTTCTATGGTCGAAGTTAAACTCTGGAAATCACGAGCAGACCGTCTGCTTACCAAACTCGGCCCTTGTTTGTAATTTTGAGCTTTGTAATGAGTGGGATAAGTCTCCACCGTTAGACCAGGTTTCCAAGTATGGGGGGGCGACGTCCAGGGGATATTGGCCACCGTTTCTCAGAGTGACTCTCGAGGTTATTAAGCACTAACAGAGACCACACCTGGAAAGGTGCATCTGGGTTAACACCGTAAGTGGGGAGAAGGTGTTTCGCGATTGCTAGGCTCAATGATGGGGACGGCAATTCCGCCGAGCGGCGGACGAATTATGTGTTTCCTGGTGTGACATCACCAATGGAAGCGTCAGAGAATGTTCGAAAGGGGTCCCGCTATATGTAGTGGGAATTTTTAGCCTCGGATGACCTGTCGGCAAGTGTTTGGTGGTGGACTCCAGAAGCCGAGGATGAGCCCTGCCAGTGGACTTCAAAGCTTGCGCAGGGGTCACGAACTCTGTCTGATCTTGGCATTTCCGGACCGGCACGCCTATCCTCACGGTTTATCTTGTAGAGGAGATAGCCTCCCGCTATGTCGAGATCCTCCTGAACCTTATTATTTAACTAGGGTGTGGTAGTCATGTGCAGGCCGGCGAATCGTGCGCGAGCGATACCAGCTCATAGAATACCCCGGATCCTTTCTAGGTGTTGACTCGGCGGCGTGCCAACCAAAACCACGGCACCGTTTGATCCCAATTACCTACATAAGTACACGATACGCTGATTTCGTAAGAGATGCTGAGCAATACACATTGATATCAATATACCCGACTGGTGTATAATCATTCGTGGTCATTCGCAAAGTGCCGTTCGTTCGTGCTCTCTGGCCCAGATTGCGATTCAACATGCCGGCTTTGGGCAGTGGACAGTGGGCAGTGGGCACAGACGGACGTTTCGTCCCGAGTCCGTGGCTACGCAAGCAAGCTGACCACTTGCCGTTGTGAAGGAGGAGCTCTAGCGCCGCAGCGCATTTGTCCGGGGTTGGATCGACGCCACTCTGATCCACCCAACCGGCCGATATCAAACTGCAGGAGCGTTTCCCACAACGTCTGCGAACACGCGTCGCTCTCTTTTCCACCACGTCCCAATGAAAACGCCCGCCAGCAACGGCCAAGATGGCTTCCTCGAACTCGCCGTCGGATATTGAATCCGGCGTCAACAGGGAAGACTCTGCCCAGCCTGGAGCCAGGAAGAGCGCTGATGCTCGGGCGACGCCTGCACTGGATGATGGCGCAACTACACGGCGCGATAAGGACCTGCCGGCCCAGGGCCACGCGTTGATGCAGGGCGTGAAGCGGCGCGTTCCTGGTGGCGTTCGGCGCAGATACGGGACGGCTGTGAGCTGGCTTCGAGGACCTGATCCGCCGCGACCGTGGAAGATACGACCACTGCTCCCTCGCGTGCAGCAACTGCCCCTGCGGCTGGTCGACCGTCTTCTCCCACGGCGGTGGCAAAGGGCCGTTGTGCTCCTGGTCTTCTACGTCTGTTGGATTGCGACATTCGGCGCCGTGATGCACAAGTCATCCGCGGTGGATGATATCGGTGGTCAGGGGTCGCCGTTCTTGGTGGGATGCGGTGGTTCTTTCTGGTGCGACCTATCTATCGATATGGCGTGTCTTGGAGCTGGGCTAATCCTAAGAGCAGGTCGCAGAACAACGGATGTGGTCTTGATGGCATTGATTGTCAGCCTTTTGCAAATAGCTCGTTCGCATTCCGGTGCCCTGCGAGCTGCAGCAGTCAACAAGTGCTGAACCCTCGTTTCGTGGGCGCCACTGAAGTCATATATGAGACGCTGGTGGTTGGTGGGGCTACACCCAACGCCAACGGCGGATCTGATGGAGTGTCTGGCTTTGTCTACCGCGCAGATTCCTTCATTTGCTCTGCAGCCATCCACGCTGGGGTGATATCCAACTCCCAGGGCGGCTGTGGCGTGGTCTCTCTTGTCGGTCAGCAGAGCAACTACCCCAGTGTGGTCCGTAACGGCATTCGCAGTGTGGGATTTAACTCGACATTCCCGTCGTCTTTCACCTTCGAGCCAGGAAGTGGTATGGCCTGCAGGGATCTTCGGTGGCAGCTGCTCGCTGTTTCTGTTGTCTACACAGCAGTCTTGTCCTTATTCACCAAGTCTCCATCCGTCTTCTTCTACTCGGTATTCATTGCGTGCTATCTTCAGTCCGCTCTCGCAACATCCACCCCGAGATATGCCGACATATATTCCTTGGTCTCCACCGCTCTGGGCGGCCTCCTACCCGCTTTGTTCATTGCCCAGGTCATGTTCACGCTGTACATGCGCCGAACTCTGCTTGGTCTGACAGCTCAAGTTGAGAAGACTGTACTCTGGCTTGGCCCATGCTGGGTTGGCTCCCTCGCAGACTATACATTTGAGCTGATTCCTCTTTCGAGACTCACAAGCCACGACATAAAGCAACAACCGGGCGCGATTGCCTCCCTGGTTGTTATTGTATTGGTCATATTCGTCGTATTCGTTGGGCAGGCCTGGACCTTCCGGCGAGAAGGCCGGCTTCTTCGCTATCTCGGTCTGTATGTTTGTCTCGGGGTATGCATTGGCCTATTGGCCGCCGTACCCAACGAGTCGCTGCGTATACACCACTACATCCTTGGTCTCCTGTTGATACCAGGGACATCGATTCAGACAAGGCCAAGTCTTGTTTACCAGGGCATTCTCGTCGGCCTCTTCGTCAACGGCGTGGCGAAGTGGGGGTTTGACTCGATCTTGCAGACGGCCGCTGCCCTGCAGGGCGACGCCATCATGGGGACCGTTTTGCCTACCGTCACAGCCTCCAACATCACAGCCTCAAATATCACCTTCAGCTGGCCGAGCGTGCCCGACGGCTACGCTGGGACAAGCATCCTGGTCAACGATGTGGAGCGCTATCGCTCATCCCAAGGCGAGCAGTCTCTGACCTGGCAGAGATCTGACGGCGATGCATCATTGCCAGAGTACTTTAGATTCGCATACTACGCTTTATCTGCTGCATACGGCTTGCAGAGTGGTGACTACACGAAAGCTGGAACCTGGTATGCCAATGGCACGTGGCAGCAGATGGAACCCGGGGCGAGCTGATTGATAGAATTAGAATTCGTGACTGCTTCTTAGGATAAATGGCCTGAGTATAACCTCAAGATGGCCAAATCTAGTGTCGTATCATAGATTTTGCACGATTCCGCAACAAGGTCGCCCCTTTGTTGCCGGTCTCAGAGCCCATCCGGGCAATTTAGTGGCAAGCCTCATGCAGCCCTCCAAGTTTCGTGGTTATGTTAAGGGTGCAAAAATTGGGGGCCATTGGCGGAAGCGACGATACCTAATGTCCCTATTAATTGTGCTAGAGACAGACACGACCTGATCAATGAACCATGCCAAGAAGGGCTTCGGGTCTAGACGATTGACGTCGATGGGCAAATGTTGATGTAGGAAGGAGTGTTCAAATCCTAATATTTGGTCCAACAATGTCCAGCAGCTGAATCTCAGGCTATGTGTCGCATATACCTCGGTACCAATACATGGGCAGTGAGCTGTGGCACGCACAGCTTGAACTGACCAAGCACATACCCCTAACCCTTCAGGAGGCATCGTCCTTACCGCACGCCCCCAGCTTCCGAACCTACGGTCAACCCGACGGGTGACGGACGACCTGGGTCCAACGACGCCGGACACATCTCGACCGATGGGGCAATTCCACGAATGATCACGAGGTTCGCAGGGCGTGAGCTGCAGGGTAGCCACCGCTTGCGCTCACGAGACTCCCATCCGACGGTTTGCCAGCTGCGCGCGCAGCCCAGGCCGTGACGATGCCTGCAGCTTGTTGATGTACGCAGTCCACGACAATACTTATTAGGTGAGACTGGTCTCCCAGTTTTGGTGACACGGTTGGTACTCTTGTTTCGGGAGCCAGACTGCTATGCTGTTTGACAAACGGCTGACCGTGGCGAGCTACTCAGTCTCCGACTTCGACCCTTCCCTCCAAGGTGCCCGCCCTCCCTGCCGACTTCCAATCGGCCCAAGTGACTGCCGCCGCCCAAGTCGAAGAGGCCTCGGACAAGGATGGCATAGGACTGGTGATCTGACATATCTGATGCCACGATGACCTCACCAACGTCAAAGGATCCCAGTACCAACGAAGATGCCGTTCGGTCTTACGACTTCTACAAGGAGGATGGATGTGGCCCGTAAGGAATACCACCGCGTCACAGCTTGCAGCTTCTCGTTGTCGTGGAGTCGAATAGTTTGGAAGACAGGCTATGGAGGCTCACCGAGGAAGCAAAGAAGCCCATCCGAGGCAGCTCCTAGTTCTACGGCATGAACTCGTACAGCCCTTTCTACATCAAGGACCAAGGCGACCAGCCGCCCGACATCAACGACTTCAAGGGCAATGTGGAACTCCACGACACCGACGCACAAAGTCCGGAATTAGCCGCGGCATGGAGAGCGACACTGGGCAGGCCGCTGCGCTTGATCTGGTCTCGGAGTCGCGCAAGGAGGGCCGGATAGCCACCCACCAACAAATAGTATTGGGATGTCCAGACTGGCCTGCTCTTGATGGCCTGCACACAGGATGCTCGATTGGTTCAGACACAATTTGCAGCGTTGCATTCTATCTGCTCTCTTCTTCATATCAGGGCCATGTTTGACCAACGTCTGGGAAGCCCTAGGAAAGGAAGCTGCTTCGGCCTCGTCTGCAAGGGCATCGTTTACCCGTGGCGGGATTTAATGTTCTAATTAAAATTATTTGTCCAGGCAGGCCTATCTACGGTTTGTCTTCGCCGCGGCACGAAGACCGATATATCTACAAGTCGAGGATGAGTCCAACTGCAATGATCGCAACCGAACCCGCCAAGCCCTTCCCTGAACCATCGAGTCTGAATCCCCCGTTCGATACAGCAGGTCCGGTATAATCCGAGCTCGCCGCATCACCTGTGGCCGATGGCGTCGAGCCCACGCCATTTTCGTCGCCATCAGCACCGCCACCAAGTCGTGATACAACGGTCTGCACTAGTGTCGTACCCCCCGAGGTGGACGTCCTGACAAATGTGGTCTCCTCAGGCGAGCTGGCGGTCTCCACAGGTGAGATAATGGTCTGCACATAAGTCTGCCCATTGGAGACGATAGTCCTGGTTGTTGTCGCCAGGGCTTGGCCACCGGGCCCCGCGGTGACCCCTCCTTCTGAGTCGTTGCCGCCTTGGTTTGCGCCAGCGAGGGAGACGATGGTCTGAACCGTCGGGTTTCCGTCCACTGTCGCCGTTGTGACAAGCGTCACCTCGGACGGCCGAGGGGCGACGTCGGGCGCGACGGAAACCAAGGTCAGGGTTGATTCGGCCCCATTGGCCCCAGTGACTATTGTCACGATAGTCTCTTCTGACACTTTGGTGGGTGGAGGAGCAGAAACAGAAATGACAGTCTCCGTGAGTGTCTGCCCATTCGAGGTGACCTCCCGTATAAGGGTTACCTCTCCCGGTGGTGAGTTGGCGACTGGCGCTGGTGAGACTACAGTCTGTTCCTGCGCTTGACCGTCAAGGGTCGTCGTGCGGACGAAGGTCGTCTCCGGCACTGCCACATCCCCTGAGCCCCCTGTAGAAATAATGACAACCTCCACCGAGCTCACCGAGCTCACCGAGCCCTGGTTCGGAGGTCGCACCTCGGGGCTGTCGGGCGCCTGCAATGGTGGTGACTGCTGCTCGGTGGGTGGCTCACTTCCGGTGGGTAGCTCATTTCCGGACGTCGAAGCCGGTGGCGGTGGCGGTTGTGTCGTGGGCGAGGTCGTCTTGGGTGTGCTGATCGGCAGCGCTGGGACTGGGTCCTCAGTAGGAGCGTTGTAGTACACGGCCGGACCGACTGTGGTCGATTCCACTAATACGGTGGCTGACACCATACTGTGCCCGACGGCCGTGGGTGCACAACTCGCGAAGATACACGTACTCAGATCTTGGCCCTCCGCCTGCTCGCGTACCGTCTCCAGGCTGTTCAAGTACTCGAGCAGCGGCGCTGTGACCGTGGAAGGGTTGTTGTCGTCGTAGTCCCAGCCCTCAGCTCGATAAAAGAACCGCGCAGGGTCCACTGTAGCCGGCATTTTGAAGTGGATTCCGCTCTGAATGGTGAACCTTTGCAGATCCTCAGACATCGTTGTGGTGCTGGTCCAGGACGGTTCCGCAGCGGTATCGGTTGATGTTACTGTGTATCCTCCCCGTGTCTCTGTGCTGGTGCTGACCGCACAGTCTGAGAAGGCGATGTAGGAGTATTGAGCCCATATCGACGGGTATGTCCTGGGGGGTTCGGATTGATGTTAGCATAGCAACCAAGTAAACCTTGGAACTTTTGGTCCATCTGAGTGGCGCCTGCGGGTATCGCAACATACATTGTGAAGCCACTGACAACCATTGTGCTGTTGGTGCTGACAGTGGTGGGTAAAGTCGTCATGACTGTCTGGTTATTGGTTACAGAGCTTCCATTTGGGTACGCTGTGATGTGCGGCACGATCGTGTGTGTCACAGTCCCCGCTGTGACGGGAGATCTCCAATCCCAGATCATCACTGACCCGGCCGCAATCTCGCAGGGTTTGTCATGTCCGGAGCCTCCAGTGGGCAGTGGTGCCCGCGAGGTCGCTGTGGCGGATGAATTTGTGACCGCAGCTTGAGCCTCCTGTGTCGCAGCCAGAAGTGTAGCTAGCATTGCCGCGTACAATCTCTTCTGCCATCTTAACGCCGCCATCTTGCTTGCACCAAATGGCCTGTCACACTCAGTGGAATCGAGCGAGGTTGCTGGCGGACGTGCACTCGGGATGCACTGGACAGGCGATGTCAGGATCGTGGACCTCAAGGGGAATCGACGGCGGCCCCCGCGCCTATCTATGTTCGCAGGCGTCAGCTCATCTTCATACAGTGGATTCTCATGTTGGCAGGTTTGAGCGCGTGGAATCCTTCATCGTCGCCTTCGCCTGCCAAGATAGTAGTTTTGTCCCATATGCTGACTGCAGCAGGGCTGTGGCCCACCTCGTCCGGACGACTAGGCTACCTCTAGACAACCACCACCAATAGCGCGAGCGCCCTGGATGGCGAGAACTGAGCCTTGTCAGCTCGGGAGTACATCCCGGTCAGGAGTCCGAGTAGGATTCTCTCTGCAGGGCTCTGGACTCGCACAACTTGCTGCGGTCAGCACTTGCAAGGGTTACGGGCCACGGCGCCTGAACCAAACAGCGAATGTTGATGAAAACATGGCTAGGTAGATACTGAGACGTCACCGCAATTTCTTTTCCCTCTTCGAAGACTCTTCGAGTCCCACGGGGCGAGCCCGCTGAGTGCATGTGGAGCATTATGCAGGCATCTATTCTGAGGGCCTTTTCTGTTTGCTCTGACGCTTGAGCGGAATGCGGCCGCCCTCTCACGCCGGAAAGCTCGCAATTTATCTCCATTCCCAAGAATCAGATCACCACTCCGTGACATGGTGACTGTCGTAAGAATACATATGCTCTTATGCATCTTGATAAAACCGTGGCTCTACGGGGCCGGCCGACAACCAACACCCTTATAGAGGACACTTTCTTTTGATTCTCAAGTTGCGAGTATCTGTACGAGTGGTGACAGAAGATAAACCGCTCAGCTTTGGAAAACACCAGGGCTATTGTCAAGTGTTAAGTAGTAGTTACCTGTGCAGTACCTGTCTCCTCTATGACCCATTTCAAGAATGACCACACCCGATGCGAAGACCTCATCCTGAACGCTCCTCGACTTCGAATTTGTTGAGTCATTGTGACCATCAGAAATGAGACTTGTTCCAGCTCACGAGGTTTTCGTTTCTAATCCTCGTACATTTAAAGTGTATGTGACTTCTTCACACAGTGGTACCAGTAAACGCTCAAGACGCACCTGGGAAGCGGTCTTTCTTTTCAAAATAAAAAATAAAACGTTGGCACAATGCCAATGCCAAGGACGGAGCAGAAGGAATCCAATACGCCTGTGAGTATGTGCCCTCAGCCTCGTGCTGCACAACCAGCTCTCGAAAAGCTCGAAGTTGAAGGGCATTTCAAGTTGTACGACTGCTCGCAGGACCAGGACGGCAGGCCGCTCACACTACCAAGTTTATGATCACAATTGACAGAAAACAGACTTTTTATGAGCAGTCATAAATTCAGTTGACTCTTTTCTAGCCTGTGAAAAGCTGGGATAGGAGCATGTAATACGACTCCAAATGTACAATGCGGTCCTGATATATCTTCAAGTGCACGCGCCATTCGCATCCACGGCCCTGGTGCAGCAAGAATTCTGACCGAATGCAGGGACGACTGGGATGAAGTTTAGTTAGTACAAAATTCTCATGCAGAGAGCTGGATGATATCGGAGAATAAGACCAAACTTACGACCAGTCGCAACACAACCGCTGGGAGCGTCGGTACAGGTCCAGCCGGCCTCAGGGTTGCAGTAGAGGCAGCAGTCGGCTTGGGCGAGGCAAGCGACTGTTGTTAGAGAAAAGATTTCATTAGCACTGCCACTGTCTCGATTTCGATCTAGTATCACTGGACCAAGGAGTCTTGAACGTACCACCATTGGCGCCGCAAGCACGCTCCTCAAGGCCGGAGAGAGCCATGCGGCTGTCGACAGCAGCAGCAATAGCGCTGGAGGCAAGAGCCAAGTTGATGATCAGGGCGGTGAAAACCTTCATTTTGGGCAAAGTTGAGAGACTGTGGAGACTGTTTGGACTGCAGGACTTGAATCGGTTGGATCTGTGGATTGAATTACAAGTCTTTGGGGCGCAAGCCAGAAGACTTTATAGACACTTTCGCGTTGGTCGATCGCATGCCTTTAGGGATATCCGGATTTCTATATTCAGATTTCATTCATCAAAATACAACGAGTCGTGGCATTTACCGGTCACATATTCCCCATACGGAGTACAGCCCTAAATTCGATCCTGCGTCAGTCATGCGATGCGATTACACAGCCCATGCGGGGATGTAACTGGACCCATGAAAGGGTCTGCCTCCGTTGTCATGCATAGGTTTACGCGTACACAGTAGTCTATCCTACCATTGTCGGCCGTACTACAAAAGCATATCCAGATGCCGCGCGGCTATTCGTTTATCCACATGTCCCAGAAAGCTGGTTTCATACGTAGTTGCGGAACACCTGCACACACAAAGCTGGTATTCTGTGTGTATTCTGCGAAAATCAGTGGAGAGTTCGGTAAAGACTCGTCCTCGTAAAATACAATATTTTCCCAAGGGTCAGACCATGGGTTGCCCCCTACGCGAGCGCAACATTGAAGTTAATCCACCCCCTATCTGCGTCAGCAACGCGTCGTTCGGCAAATCCCATAATGACATGAAGATCAAGTGCTTTATTGTGCCTCACATCTTTTCTTTCCCTCTTCGCCAGGATATCTAGCTCTTCACACAGCTTCAAGTTGTACCTTGCGCACGTCTCATGCGCGCTCACTTTAGAGGGCAAGGTACAGAAGCAGGAAGTGGGAATCGTACTGGTGTGTATTGAATTGTTGAAATATGTGAAAGCTGGCCAGTACATTTTTCTATTGGCCTCGAAGTACTTCGCATGCCGAGCGAATACCGCGATGGGGTCTAGCAGATCGGCCTGGCAGATCGGCCTGGCAGATCCCTGCGGAAGCGCTCACAACCGCGGAGTAACATACCTAGGCACGCTGTCTGGCTGTCACCCTACGGAGTACCCGCAACGGCCATTTTACCCAACCTACCCTAGGGTAGCGTGAACGGCCCGACTGCACAATCCATCCAGCCATCCACGGATTGCGGCCCTGCCAGCCCTGCTTATGATGTAGCAGTTGAGAAGAACAGGTGACCCACACCGCGGGGATTCACACGCCGGACCCGACTCCTGTCCTTCGCATTAGACGCGGTGGGTTTTCCTCATTAGTGGCAAGACACAACGGGTTTGAACTGCCTCTGCCCAGTTTCCTTTGCAGGCTAATCTTAATTCAGGCTACTGCCTAAGTACTTAAGTACTTAGCCATGTCGCACGTTAACGGACATTGGGGGATTAATTACGTACCTAGGTAGGTAGCGGCAGCGGCAAATGTCGCCTATGCACCTTTCCCCAAATCTAAATTGCAGCCAGGAACATTGGGCCACCCTCACCCCCCCCCCCGGGGGGGGCTCCAGGGCTCCCATACACTTGGCTGTTAGGGCTGCATGCCAAATGCAGGAACCTACTCCAGCTGTCCAGTAGCCTAGGTTACATTGTCTCGGCCTCGTCCCTGCAATAACGCCACAACTAGCCGTCCTGCTGACCTAACTGCTACCTACTCCTCTGGAACTAGCTTCTTAAAGTAGGTAGCCTTGGAATATCGTGCCGGGCGGGATGCAATAGTATCTGGACATAAGTGTCAGCACCACCAAAACTGGTCAATTTCAAGCACACTTCACTTACTTAACAGCCACAGAACGTGTGGTACGGTCTGCTACCGTCGATCTATCCGGAATTGGATTAGGATCGCACTGGTAGTCTTGTGTTTCCTTAATCATTACTCGCCAGTTGATAAATAGGCTGCGTACTTAGGTGTTTTGAAGGTGAAGATCCCCGCCTTACTAGGTAGTAACTGTACATGGATACCTACTAGTTACTAATGCAGTCCACCTGGCTGAAGGAATCTGGCTGAATATCTAGGTAGCAAGCCGGCTTGGCCATATCTACCTAGGTACGTAGATAAATAATAAGAGCCCAGTGCATGCCCTACTCATTGGCACTTTCGTGCCGCTTGACAGGGTCTCACCAGTTGACACTTACAACTTGGATGACATAGCGTGCAGTGTCACAAGATGCGCAGTAAGATCTCTCTTTCTCCGGCAGCATGCCACATTCTTGTGCTGGCGCCCCTGCTTGTTCCTGGCGCCCAAGCACTCCTGTCTCGCCAAACCAACACATCGGAGTACGATTACATCGTCATCGGAAGTGGTCCAGGAGGCGGTCCGCTGGCGAGCAATCTCGCCCGGGCTGGGTTTGAGACACTTCTCGTTGAGGCTGGTGATGATGAGTTTGCCGATCCCGCCACTCATGTCATTGACTATTTTGCCTCGACTGGAATCCATGATAACCTCCACTGGGACTTCTTTGTCAAGCACTATGACGATATTAACCAGGACCTGAGGTACGAACATCTTGTGTGGAAGAAGCCAAACGGGGACCTTTGGGTCGGACCCGGTGGAAGCGAACCTGAAGGCTCCGTGGTATTGGGCGTCAACTATCCACGTGGGGCTGTACTTGGAGGGTCGTCTATCATCAACGCTGGTGCGGTCTTCTTGCCAAGTGACAGTGATTGGGACTACATCGCGGAGATCACCAATGACACAACTTGGAAGTAAGAATACCCCAACTCCTCTTCGAAGCTGCCACAGGCTAATCTACCGTATCTTGTATAGTGCAGCGCATACACGTGAGTTGTTCATCAAACTAGAGAACAACACATACCTTCCCCCGGGGACGAAAGGTCACGGATTTTCAGGATATCTACAGACAGCTATCGGCGATGGCACCCAGTACACCAGCGGTAAACAGGCAGTAGATGTGCTCAAAGCCACGATTGCGGAATTGGGAAAAGATCCCAACCAGCTGGAAGAACTCATCACTTCGGACGCAAACTACGAAGACCCAAGTCGAGACACGACTCAGGGCCTATGGGCTCTGCCTTTCCACGCCAACAAAACGTTTGGTCGTTCCAGCGCCAGGGACAGGATCATTGATACCGTCGACCAGAAGTTTCCTCTCTACCTTCAGCTGAACTCTTATGCGACTCGCGTTCTCTTTGAGCAATCGAATAGCACCATGAAACCCAAGGCTATCGGTGTGGAATTCCTCGAGGGAAAGAGAGTATATAAAGGTGATCCTAGATGGACCGCCTCGAACCAAGGCACGATAAAGAGTGTATATGCCAGGAAGGAAGTCATTGTCAGCGCTGGTGCATTCAATACGCCTCAAATCCTCCTTCTCAGCGGCATTGGTAACGCGAGCCACCTTGCCGAGCACAACATCCCAGTCGTCGTGGACCTTCCAGGCGTTGGAACCAACATGCAAGACAACCAGGAGATGGCTGTCACTGGTCTTGCTGCCGAGAATTTCACTTACGGGCCAAGAGATGGCTTGACCGGCGCGGATTGTACTTACGGCGCAGTGTTCCCGGACCCTTGCTACGACGCGTGGCTTGAAGGCAAAGGCCCATACTCGAACGCGGGTCCGAATTCGAACATTGTCACGTTGAAGACGGCACACTCGCCGGATGGGGAGCGCGACGAAATTGCTTTCTCTGGGTCTTTTGCCTTCCGCGGCTTCTGGCCAGCCACTCCGGGCCAGACCTGGATCGAACCGCCAAATACCTGGGGACTTCATTCCGTCCGCATGCACCCGCAGAACCGCGCTGGCTACGTCAAGCTTCGCTCTTCAGACCCAACCGAGATGCCGGAGATTAATTTTAGGTACTTCACCGAGGGCGCGGAGACGGACATTGGAGGAATCAAGGATTTCGTTGCATGGGGTCGCCGAGTTCTGCAGCGCGTTGCTGGGCCTACTGGTCCCGTCAACATCACCAGCCCGCCGTGCCCAACTGGATATGCCGCCGATGGAACTTGCTCGGACGCGAACGCTGATGAGCAGTTCATTCGTGACAATACATTCGGGCACCACGTTACCAGCACTTGCCCTATCGGGGCTGACGATGACAAATTCGCAGTTCTCAACTCTAACTTCCAGGTTCGAGGCGTCCAGGGTCTCCGTGTAGTGGATGCTAGTGCTTTCCCTAGGATTCCAGGTGCTTTTCCCGTCATTGCTACATTTATCTTGAGTGAGAAAGCTTCTGAAGCGATCCTAAGTGGGAAGTGATGGTTCGATATGGCTATTTCAAAAAAAATTACATTTTGCTAGCATTTAGAAAAAATTCCCCAGCTCTCGTATCTAAGCAGAAGAGACACAAACCAAAGGCCAGTCGCTGCGATCGCTCCTCACCACTCGAATAGCCCTTGGATGCTATCGAGTATCGAGTCGCCACCCTGCCACTATTAAAAAGTATTCCAGTTCCAGCTGAAATCGATGACGCACGTGGCCCATCCTAATGACAGACTCGGATCGTGGCATGTCTCTCTCTTAACGAGAACAGCAGAGATTACCATATACAATTGAGCAAAATCTACGCAAAAGAAGAGGTTTTCCTTTTATTCTTCGTGGTACTCCTGCGTTTGGGTTCCGTCAAGGTCTCTGCTACCTGGCTATATTGCGTAGCGGGCTGTTTGTCATTCTGAAGTAAATGGAGAAGAGTGTTTAGAGAAACCTCAATAGTATGTGGTTTCGCTTCTATTCCGTATACGTCCGAGGACATACATGGCGCCTTCATACGGTGGTAAGCACTCAAGCCCAGCGCTTGGAAAGAATACGGTGTCGATAACGATAGTGATAATACGATAGGTGGGGCCAAAATCAAACGAATTTTGGCCGATGATCATGTCCACACACTGGCAGTGCACCACCCAGACAGTTCATGTGGCGAAAAAGCTCAGTTACGAAGGACGATCCCATTTCCTCATACTGACATTGGAAGTAATGTAATAAGTCGCTTGCTGATGAAAGGGATGCGTGGCATGCTGAGTCACATTCGAGAATCAACTCCCGAGGTCCCGAGCAACGTCGGTGCAAAACGAAGTGCCCAGGTGACATTGTCTCTCACACACCACATTCATCTGCACAACACTGGTCTACACTGTTGATTCAGGGCCGCACACCGAATTTATTAGACTGTACGCATCGTGGCTTCATGTCTCGGCATTCGGCACCCTTGTTTCCCCAGCCACCTACTCGCTCCACAGTCTAGCCACCTGGGCAGGCTGGGCACTGGCTTGTTCTCCGCTTTGTTTCCCTTAGTCTTCCCTAGTCTATCGGTAAGGTCACGACTGCTTGATCCCGCCACTAGGGAAATTTGCCTCCTTGTTCTCTTAATAAGCTGCTACTCCAACGAGGAGGTATGCCTTCAGTCAACAGCCCGCCAACTCGCCTGCTTTGTATCAGCCCCTGGTGTCCAGGGTCGTAGCAATCAAAGCTAAATATTTTCCCCGCCTTTACCACCTCTACTGCCGATTCCGACAGGGTTCCTACTGATATCATGGGCGACGAAGTTAGGGAACTTCCCAGGATTCTCACAAGTGCTGACTAGGTAGATAGGTGTGGATACGGTGAGGACTATATTATGGTGCGTACCCACTTGGCAGGGACCCTATTACTATGAGCTCCCCGTGAGGACCAGTTTTTCAGAGGCGTGCAATCGGACATTGCAGTTCCCCCAGCCATGGCTTTCTTTGCATTGGTCCTAGCGATTTTGTGTTTGAAGGCTGGGCGCACCTCAGCGTCGGCCGCCTTTGAACAGAAATGCTCTTCATTTGACCCTTCTAGTGTTGGTATTACAAATGCCACGGTTACGGAACATGTCTACGTTGGGTCTGGAACCAACCTCAGCCTTCCGGATAATGATCCGTCCTGCAACTACAACAACCAAGTCGTGCCGGCAAACCTTTGCCGCGTGGCCCTCCAAATAGCAACATCAGGGAGCTCTGGGATTGTCGCAGAAGTTTGGCTGCCCGAGAACTGGAACGGGCGTCTTGTCACGACTGGAAATGGAGGATTGGGCGGCTGTAAGCACTTGAGGTGGTCTTGCCCTCCAGTCAAGGCATCACGAAGACTTACTCTTGTGACATCTCTAGGCATAGACTACAGTGCTATTGCTTACACGGCCAACAACGGATTTGCAAGTGTTGGTACGAACAATGGACATAATGGCACGTCCGCCATTCAATTTTTGAACAGCACGGAGGTCGTGGTTGACTTCGCATGGAGGGCGTGAGTGACACCCGGGTCCCTCATTTATGCGGCAGGCGACTGACATATTGTGAAGTGTGCATACCGGCGTGGAAGCGGGCAAAAAGCTGACACAGCCATTCTACGGGGAGAGCGCGAACAAGTCTTACTTCCTCGGCTGTTCTTTAGGTGGACGCCAGGCTATCAAGGCCACCGAGATGTTCCCTGCAGACTTTGATGGTGTAGTGGCAGGGTCACCGGCTGTGGACTTTGTCAATCTTTACTCGTGGAGAGCACGCTTCTACCCAGCCACTGGACCCGTTGACTCACCAGATTTCATTACGCCCACCGTTTGGAAGACGACGATCCACCAAGAAGTACTGCGTCAGTGCGACTTGAGCGACGGTGTCTCGGACGGGATCATCGAGGACCCCATGCTGTGCCATTTCGACCCTTCGACCCTACTCTGTGGAGGAACATCAAACAGTTCCGCCTGCCTGTCTTCCTCGCAAGTAGAGATTGTTCGGAATGTATTTGAGACGTATACATGGGAGAATGGGACACTATTGTATCCAAGAATGAATCCTGGCGGTGAGATCATGTCCGCAGATGGTTTGTATAACGGACAGCCTTGGGCAGTATCGCAAAACTGGTTCCGCTATGCCGTGTACAACAATCCGAACTGGGATCCTGCCGCATACACACTCACCGACGCTCATTTCGCCGCTGATGCCAACCCGGGAACCATTCGCACGTGGCCAAGCAGCCTTTCCGCATTCCAAGATCGGGGTGGCAGGGTCATCATGTTTCACGGGGGCCAGGACAACCAGATCACGAGTTTCAACAGCCCACGGTTCTACGACCACCTAGCCGAGGGTATGGGCTATACAACGGATCAAATGGATGAGTTCATCCGCTTCTTCAGGATATCTGGAATGTTTCATTGCAACAGCGGGCCCGGTGCCTGGGTTATAGGACAACAAGGGGGATCCGCGGCGCAAGGAGCGTTCGACAGAGAGAGCAATGTCTTGGCTGCTGTGGTCGACTGGGTAGAAAAGGGGATGGCACCAGAGACCATGACGGGCACTAAATTTGTGAACGACTCAGCCGCGCTGGGAATCTCTTTTCAGCGGAGGCACTGCAGATGGCCATTGAGAAATATCTATCTTGGTGGCGACCCGAAAGATCCCCAAAGCTGGGAATGTCAGAAAATGGATGGAGATCAACCTGGAGGCCGCTACTAGGTCGCACCAACTCTCCATAGCAGTAGACTGTGGTCAATAGAAAGCCGTGAATATGAGCTATCCTGGGATTTACACGTCACCGCCGCCGAAATCTATCCCATCAGACTCACAAAGAAATTATCGTGCAGCACCCGGCCTGCAGGGTCCGGCCACGGGTTCTGCCTCGCCATATTCCATCTCGAATTCGCGCTGCTCTGCCTTCCTAGCAAGGTTGCGGTAGGTTTCGCCCAGTGAAGAGTTAATTGCGATATGGTAGTGCATCCCTCGGAATGTGGATATATACCATTCCGCACGATGTGCCCGCTTCTTTGGTTTGCTTGCCACCCTGTTGTCTTGTATAGAAGCATCGCCATCACCGCCGTCACCACCACCACTGCACTGTTATGACCCTCCACAGCGGCACCAAAACTTGTCATCCCTTGTTCACCGCCCGCGAGGCATGTGATGGGGCCTGTATCGTCGCGGCTTCCTCGACTTGGCTTCAGCTTCTCCAGATGGTCGCTGTCGGGAGTAGTTACGGATGTAAAAAGAGGTTGGTTCAGCTCCTCCATATTATCGTTGTTGGGGGCGGCTGCGAGGATAGAAACAGGATGGAGGAGCAGGAGCAGTAGTAGTGAAATAAGCACGAGAACCTGCCTTTTGAGTCACAGCTTGGCAGCCTGAAATAATGTAGTGAGGAGTGTGGGGACGATAAAACGCGCTTGGACACTAAGAAAACCTGAATTAGGCTGAGACCGACAGTTATATACTTGGTATATTAAGAGTCCTTGATGCTTGGGTGCTACTAGAGGCGATTCTGCTAACGCTCGAGTCGAACTTGTGTAACATTTACACGCTACTATTGTCAACGTACAACCAGATTCACTGTCAAATCATTTTGGCAGCTTGTTGCCTTCGTGGCTCGAGAATGGTCTTGCCAGTTGGTCCCTCCGCCTCATTGAATCCTGATTTGTGATCAAAGATCTTTTGCCCGCGAAGCCACGTCTCCTCGACCACACCAATGAGCTTCTTGCCATCGAACGGGGAGACCTCGTTGCGGAAGAACATGGTCTCCTTGTTGACCTCGAATTCAGCTGCATCGTCGAACACAACTATATCACCATCAAATCCGACGTCAATATCGCCCTTCTCTTTCTCAAGGCCCACCTGACGAGCAGTGTTCGTGCTCGTCCAGCGCACGATATCTTCGATGCTGGCACCGCGCGCCGCTGCCTCGGTCCACAGAATAGATAGCCCCAGTCCTAGACTGCTAACGCCACCCCATGCCTCAAAGAAGTCGCCGTCCTGCCCAGCGTGGCTGTGTGGAGCGATAGGGAAAGACTCTGGGATCAACTTCAGGTCAGGCGTGCATGGTGAGTGGTCTGAAACGACGGTCTTTATGACTCCCTTGCCGTCATCGTGCGAGAGCTCATCCCACAGCAGGGCTTGGTTGGCGCGACTGCGAGACGGCGGCGCCGACTTGTACCGCGTGTCGCCCTCGGGCACCTCCTCGGCCGCCAGACTTAGGTAGTGAAAGCAGGTCTCTGCCGTGACACGCACTCCTTGGTCCCGGGCTTCTCGCAGCAGCGGTATGCCCTCTGCGGCTGAGAGGTGCACGATGTGCAAGTCCACGTTGGGGGCGAGGTAAGCCTTGGATAGGATCTGGCTGATTGCGTACGTCTCCAGCGTCGGGGGTCGAGAGTCGAGGTACGTCTGGTAGCTTGTCAGAGGCCCAGTATAAGGTGCCCCGGAGCCGACAAGGGTCACGTTAGGGGGTACCATTTCCGCATGGAACATGACGGTTGTTGGAGAGTCGGCAAGGGCTAGCAGAGCAGCTTCGATGTCACTTGGGCCAATGGCTGGGAACTCATCGACACCGCTCTCAATGAGGAAACCCTTGAAAGCTCGCACACCGGCATCAACGAGAGGTTTCAGATCCTTCGTGTTGTTGGGGATAAGCCCCCCGTGAAAACCGACGTCCACCCAAATTTGACTCTCAGCAGCCCTCACTTTTGTCATGAGGTTCTCGACAGTCGTTGTAGGTGGCAGTGAGTTCAGGGGCATGTCGATCAAGGTTGTAACGCCGCCAGACGCAGCTGCCCTCGAGCCAGTCCAGAATCCTTCCCACTCAGTACGCCCTGGCTCGTTCAGATGCACGTGGGCGTCCAAGAGACCGGGCAACAGAAGCTTAGGCGAGTAGTCGGTATAGACTGTGTTGGGTGGGAACTCAGAGGATGGCCGTACGGAGTCATACACAGACGCAACTTTGCCCGTGGTTGTATTGACTACAACTGTGGCCTGGGAAAGGACTCCACCCACCACAGCACGAGACGATGCTAGTACCGTGATGTCCGAGGACGAGTCGCTTTGTAATAGGGCCTCAACTAGAGAGGCCAAGAAGGCCACACCGTACCTGCGGAAGAGCGCCATGTTGAAAGTGGGACAAGGGTCACTTCAGCTTCGAAAGAATGTTGAGTGATGTCCTCATGGGTGACATTTCTAGGCCGATTCAGCACCTGACCGGCCTTTATACCTGATCATGACTTCCTTACCTGACAAATCGCGAGGATGTCAAACGTAACCTGCTCCGTTGTCGGTGAGACTTTTTTGGGGTGCACACTGACCTTGATCCTTGTTTGAATTCCGGGATACCATGATAACTGCAAAATCAAGCATCATGGCTGGGCTATTTCTGCGAGATCTGCTGCAACTTAAGATCCGCTCTTGAGGTTGGCATTATACATTAGCTCCAGCTGGAACGAGTCCCTGCGCTCGATACTACCAAGAGACATGCATCGACAAATTTTCACGGAAAGGGGGCCATGTGCCACATTGCTGGTGAATAAATATTACCCAAACATAACTCTGGGTATTTGTTTCCGAGGAGAAGTACTTTCCTGTCCATTTGATCGGAAAACGGCAAGTGATGGAGCGAGTAATTGAATCTAGTCTACCCGCAGCAGGTGACATTTTGAGTCAAATAACCTGCATGATGTAGTAAACCTAAATCGTATACGATTCCACTTGGCATTATATAACATCTCCAGTTTTCCACCGAAGAAGGCCCCAGGTCTCAGCGGAGCATGATGCTTACCATACCGCAAAGCTCGCCTAACTTCAGGGCCGGATAAACACTTTTCAAGGGCTCAAGAGGGTGTTTCCGTGTCCGAATTTCATAACTGCATACGTTTAGGACATTTTGTAAGAGAGCGAATTGAAACTACTTGTTCGTCTCGCTGATGTTGTCAGCCGCGTGCATCCAGGACCACCACATAGACGCATTAATACAAAGTACGTAGTCACCAGGTAGGTCTCTCAAAAGTTTCACCATACCGCAGGATGGTAGGAGTACCATGACGTTGCATCGCCCAAAGAGAACCCTTATGCAAGCAGAGTAATAGCTCTGCGCGTCGTTCAAAAGAACAGGGACCTAATTCTAGGTATGATAGAACACAAATTCCCAATGAGCACAAATCCATGGATGTGATAACCACGCCTCTTTGACACATGTGTAGATACTTCGGCCGAATTCAATCGTGCGAAGCATTGACACACAATTCCCAGAGCTCGTCAGATGGAGATACGTACTTGGGTACTTTGTGCCAGCCCTGGAGGACGGAACATTTATGTGTTCATCTAAGATTTTGCCTCGAAGTTCCCGGAAGCACTCCAGTTCCAGGCAGGTCTTACCTAGGCAAAGCATAACAATAACAAGAGCGAAAATCATCGCTTCGTCTTTTCCACGTCTCTGAAGTTTTAATCCAGGTTTTGAGCTGCCCGACGTGAACATATCTAACTGAAGCAGCTTCCAACTCATCACATGTTTCTGTGCTGTTGGGGGCGAACCCAGTGAGCCTAGACGGCTGTGCTGCCAGCGGCTGATCACCTGATCGCTCTAAGCTTTGGGGCTGAGCCTCCAACTGAAGGCGGCCGTCTGACCTTGTGGCCGGCCCAAATCATTCTAGCTTACTTCTAGTGGGCTTGGGGAAAGCCTGAAGGATTCTGTCTCACCTGTCCCAGTGGCTCCAGAGTAGCTAGCGCTGATGCCTAAAATACATGCGGAAGTACTCAGCAACAATTGCACGTTGAGCACCTGGGCAAGGGCGAGGCACGTGTCGCTCCGCAGCTCGTGTTCCAAGCCTTGTTTGCTGTTGTAGTGCCAACTGGCTCGAGCTCCCAACCACTGACTGCTACTTTTTAGGTAGTAAGCACAGATGACTCCGGACTACTTATAGCGCAAATTCAAGCCATCTTGCCTCTTGCTCTACTTTCATTTATGTATTAGGCAACGCAGAGACTGACTGATCGAATACCCACGTCAGTGTATATACTTAAGTAGTCACTTCAAATATTCGACAGCTCAAAGTGCTGTTACACCTGGCGACTGAGGTTACCTATTCTTTCTCAAACAGTTTGCCAAGCTCGGTCCTGAAGATGTGCTTTGGAAAGAAGGTATGTACCCCACTTGAACAGCTCAATAACTATTTTCATGGACTTACCTCGAGAGCAGCCGAAGCGCGTCGAGCCGCAGAATGCGGCCGCACGGCCGGCCAAAAGAGAACCAAAGTATAGCAACTATGGAGCCACGACCAATTACAATGAAAACTACAACCGCCAGCGAGTGAACAACACGGCTGAAGCCGCTGCAAATGGAATGCAAGCTGGCGCAGAGCTGTACAATTATGGCGGGGAGCCCCATCATCACGGCCACAGTGGAGGGAACAGTCACCACCATCATCATCACCACCAAGGACCTTCCAACGACGGCGGCGGGCACTCTGGCGGCGGGCACCCAGGCGGACACGACAGCGGCGGCCATTCTGGCGGTGGACATTGCGGCGGCGGTGGAGGACATTCTAGTGGAGGCGGTGGAGACAGTGGAGGGGAAGGGGGAGGGGGAGGGGGAGGAGGGGGGGACTGATACCTACTTGGGTAATTGAGCCTGTCCAACTATAGAGTACATGATTTCTGGAATGGACGTTCATGCTTCTGGCGCATCAGAGGCGGTTTCGTTTCTACTCGGCTTCGGCCACATTGTATTTTTTGTTTAACTGTGTATTTATCTATTCGTTATCTTCTTAGCTTTTAGACTAACTATTAGCTCATACCTTAAATATAAAGTCAACAATTACTTAATATATATCCTCAAACTTATCCATATATAGTAGAATTGCTAGCTTCCCTTATAAAGCTCCCTCTTCCACTATATTCCTTATATATTATATAAAAATAAATAAATTCTTAATAATAAAGTAATATATCTAAAGAAAAAAGATTTAGTTTTTAAATACCTAAACTTCTACTTTCCTTATATAGTATTTATCTAATATATAATAAATAAACTCTACTTAACTTTCTAAAAAAGTTTTAATTTTTTTATAAAATTTATATAAAAAGGTTTTTTTAAATAAATTTACTATTATAATATTATTATTCTATTAGTTATATATTTAAAATAAAGATTATAATATATTTAATTTATTTAATAAGGGTAAATTTAGGTAACTATTAAGTATATTAATAGAAAAGAGTTAGCTTATTAAGTCTTATATTATAAAATTCTTTTTCTTATAAAGGCTATTTTAAAACTATTTTAATCTTACTATATAACTACTTTATTAGCTATTAACCCTTAGGTTATTTATATTAATAATTTTAATATAGTACTATTAGAAGTAATACTTTCTAGCTTTATTTATATAGTATAAAGCTTAACTATATATTTATAAATATATTATATTTTTTTTACTATTATTAATACTATATTTCTTTAAATATTAGGTTTTAAGTATTTACTACTATATAAAGGCGCTATGTATATTTTATATATATAGGGATTAAAAACGAAACTACTCGTTTCTACTCCCTATACACACCTAGGTATAAAATGTACGTGGTTCACACAGTCATCAACGCTCAATGACCCCAGCGTTTTAAAAACATACAATGTCGATAACAGTAGTCAAAATACGATAGGTTCTGTTTGCGCACGTGGCCTCGGCCTTGTAACGCCCAGATAAGCCATAAATCCAAAATCCCCTTTTATCTTACGATTTCTTGCCGTGTTCAATGTTCCCTCTTCTGCAGTTGCCAAATACGTCACAACCTCATACGGCTGCTTTCAAATGGTTGCACTTGTGCATCGAGTATATGGAGACAAGCCAAGACCTCTCTGGTAATAGCGCACGATTAATCGGATCTGGACTGGGTACACGCGCCTGTAGAATTGGTTCCAAGGTTTGCTAAGCCACGGGGCTGGGGCATCTCAGTCTATCGACAGCTACAAAGCCTTGCAGGATGGAATGCGCCCGCCCACTTGCTGCACTCCGTACGTCACCAGAGGCCTTATGATAGATCGTTAACTGTTTTCTTTCGCGCTCAAAACCTCGTGTTCCCGCCCACTGCGGTGCTTGGAAAACCGGTCACGTGCGTTAGCTGACGTTCTGTTGGCATGTCCGCATTAACCCACCTGGGCACCCGTAAGTCGATCACCAACTTCCCCAACAGGCAGTCTATCATATGCTTCAAAGCAAATCTTTTCGCCCTCTGCCACTATCGTAACACTGTCCAAGGTTGATCCCCGACTAAGGCCAAGTCCGACGAGAAGTCAACAGAGGCACCTCAGCCCGCGAGATCAGGCCGCAGTCCGAAGCACCAAGAGTTCGAAAGGAAAAGGACAGAAAGCAGATGCGTCCAAGAGAGCTAGCATCACCAAATATAGCCATTTTAATTTGCATCAAGGGCATCTAATGGGGGGTGAGGGGCTGAAAACAGGAAAAGAAAAAGGACGACAGAAATCCCCAGAAGAGTCCCAAATTACCAGCATGCATGCATCATCTCCGGCAGACGGCTTGCAAGTGTCTCAATACATCTTGTTGGTGTCGAGCCGCAATGTAGTGTGAAGCTGCCAAACGGACAACCTTATCAATGATGCCAGAGGTCCAGGATGCAAGTCCCATAGTGTGAGAATGAAAAGAGCTGTCAGGGCTATCTGCGCCCCTATTATATGCTATTGGCAGCGCAATATAACTAATGTCCAGCATTAAACAGAGTGACCAAACTAACAGCGAACGTGAAGCAGGTGGCTTTGATGGAGTGAAGGTCGTGGTACTACAATATGGCGCAGTTGGGTTTCCGACTTCAAGCGCCGTGGGATCTATACAGGTTGGATCTCCCGATGTTTAACAAAGTCTGTAAACTAATCAAGCCTTCCCGTGAGTCACAATATGGCGTTATCGTTGTTTTCATGTAGACCAAGTCTTTGTCAACTCCTCATGCGGCTTGAAATGAGCGTGCGGCGCAATCATCGCCCACTGCTACCTACCCTGTGGTAAATTACCATCCAAGTGCATAGAAAATTTCGTACCTCCAACCGAAATAGATATACCAAATTTACATTACCGGGATTAAGGTGGTCTCTTTATTTCCCCACACACCGGCATATAAAGTGCCTAGATAGTCCTATAGTATAGTATATAGATACTATAGCGCTCTTTAAAAGGGTTTTAAATATAATCTTTAGATTATTCTATTTACTTTAAAATAATATTTTAAATAGTTTTTAATACTTTAGAATTATTTCCTTATTAATACTTTATAATAATAATTATATAGTATATTAATATTTTTCTTTAAGATTAAATTTTTTAAAAATTAAAAGGTTCTTTAAAACTTCTATTTAAAAGTTTAAAATATAAGGGAAAGGAACTTAACTAAAAGTTAGATAGATAAATAAATAAATAAAAAGTTAGTTAAAAGTTTATTTAAAAGGAATTTTATTAGAAAAATAGAAAAGAAAATCTCTATTAACTAATCTTTATATTAAAGTAAAAAAGTAATATTAATAGTTATAGCTATTACTAAATTATAATAGGTTAGAGATAATTTTTAAAAACCTTTAAGTGTGTGGTATAGTACTTAAGTAGGTAGCTAAGCGCTTAGGTTACTCTCTAAAGTCTTTATATAAAGGGTGTTGGTTTTACTCTAGTTATAATTACCTGAATAAAATGTATTTCTATAATACTATTATATACTCGCTTTATACTAGAGCTAGTGGAATAAATCCATGTTATTCCACTTCCTTCCCGGAGACTAGTTATCCCGCCAGAAGTGCTCTTTAGAGTACGGGTGGATTTTTGATAGTTAAGTAATATCTACTTAACTATAAGCAACAAACAATCCTTCTCCGTCCATTCTATACATACGAAGTGTGCTTGTGTCGTCATACTGCAGTGGCTTAACGCGCAAAGTCCCAGCGTGTGAGATCAAAGATAACCGCAAACCCCCCCCCCCCCCAATCAAAAGACCGGAAGCCAACGCCGACCAGTGACAGTGCACAAAGATCACAATACATGTACGGCACAAAGCCTAAGCCTCGTGATAGTCACACAAGAAGGTCTAGCGAGAATCGCTCTCAGCGGTGACGTCGACAAGATGATTAGTAATTACAAGGATGCATGGCCTAGATAATTCTGCGATCAATTCGGGGAAGTCGTTCGAATCTGTTCCAAAGCTTCGGAAATGAGTCCCGCGTCCGTCTGTGGCCATGTTACATCACCGAGTTCCTAGCTTCCTGACATTGATCCGACATCTCATTCTAGGTAGTCACCTCCTGTCTCCTTGTGAATCACGTCAAACAAGGGCTTGGCACTAAAGAATCCAGCATATGACGTTCCCACTGTCTTGTATGTGAAGTCGGCATCCTCATCAGCTATGACGATCGGCTTCTCCCCGCGTGGACCCGCAGCCGCTTCAGCCAGCAGTTGTGCGTGACAACACTTGTCCATGCTCACAAACCAAAAGACGGCCTCGTCAATCGTCTTACCCACCGTGAGGAGACCGTGGTTTTGCAGCAACGCAGCCTTCTTGTTACCCACACAAGCTGCGATGTTGCGTCCTTCTTCGGCGGCGAGTACTATTCCGTTGAAGGACTCGTACACGGCGTGGTCGTTGTGGAAGGCGCAGGCGTCCTGTGTAATAGTGTCCAGCTTGCGGCCCAAGGAGCAGAATGCTCGTCCGTATATGGTGTGAGAGTGGCACGCAGCATTCACATCAGGCCGGGCCTGGTGAATAGCGGAGTGCTGCAGGCCGTGTGTTAGTATTTTAGACCGGGCATCCAGAGGATCTCTAATCGCGGTCACACGAAATGACCCACATGTGTACACAGAAAGCTAACATGGAAATGAAAGGGCAAGGGACACATACAATTGCAAATGCCGCGGCATTCAGAAGACGATTTTCTCCACCCTCGATGACCTTACCCTCCTCACTGACACGGATAAGGTCGGAGGCTTTCATGAGACTAAAGGCAGTACCAAATGGATTGACCCAGAACGTGTCGGGCTCAACAGGGTCTCTGTAGGTGATGTGGCCTTGTAACGGATTAGTCTCCTCCAGCTCGGAAGAACAAGGAGCCCTTTGGTGTAAATGCTCCCCAGGACAGAGCTTACCGGCAACGCCTTCATCGTAGCCGTACTTTCCGAATATGCGGAACGCAGCCGCAAGACGGCCTTTCCAATATGCACGTTCCTTGTATTTGTCGTCAAACGTAGGAGGCCTTGGGGGGATCTCGTCAGCATCTCGTGTGCCAGTGATAATAATTCAAGTGAGGAGAACGCTCACTGTGGGAAGGCGGGCATCTTCACTTTGGCCTCAACTTCGGGAATACCTGGCTCGAGGGGTGCCAGATTTGATGGCTTGTCGGCAGCATCGCCATTTCCATTATCTGCGTGAGGAGCCATGGTGAGTTGTGGTTTAATTCGCAGTAATATTCATGCTATGCAGACGGACTGAGAGGGGATACAGGAGTGGAAGGATGGCTCATTCAGACGTTGTGAGGTCAAGACAAGCCAAGCCCACCGAGTCAGGATGATCGCCGCCTCACATTGCGGGGAAAGCTGCTGACCAGCCCGGCAAGCGGGCAGCTACTGCGTGATAACAAGCCAACTGCAGCCGCAGCCGGTCTCGGGATAGATGGGAATTTGAGACAGTCTGCTCCGCCTCCTGCGCGCCTTGCCTACTTGCCCCTCCCCCCTATCCACAAAGACCGAGTTGCCACTGGCCCTGCGCGCTGCGCACTCGCGCAACTCCCGAAATCGCCCACAAGGCCGCTTGTAGCCTTGGAAGGGTCTAGCTCTTGTCGCACAAAGATACTAGCCGATGGTCACTTTCGCCTGCATAGGACAGAGCTGATGCAGAAGTGCAGCTATGCCGTAATGGGTAACACAGATCACCGTTCGGGCGCTGCTAGAAACAAATTCAAGTATCTGCACAGCTGCAAACTCGCAATGAGGTCCAGCGCTAACCTGAGCAGCCGGCCATCTGAGCAACAGACCGATCTTGTTACCTTGATTGGAATTGCTCTAAGAATTGATAAGTAGCTCAGTGGACCACTGTTGTCGGGAGATATGACAATGCTATTGTTGTAATTCTTAACAAAAGACGAGGGTGCTGTGGCTTGACGGCTTGGTCAAGTGAGCCATTGTTCCTCTCAAAATAATCATTACAATGGCCTTGTCATGTGGTTACAAAGTGGGCTCTCCTCTCTGATGAAATCCAACTGTTCGAAAGAGGTGTTCCAGCAACTTCATAGTCTCTTTTCGTTGAGAGACCACCTGGGCACGCAGTTGGAACATTATCCCATCTATATAACCCATTGAGTACATATGTACCTAGGTACCTAGGTACCCTAGCGTACTCGTACGAATTCGCTACAATCCACCACCAATCCCAATACACAAAATGTCTATTCCTCGGCACGGGGACAGCTCTGCAGTAGCAGATGCTATCATGGAAGCGGCCCGCAGGTACCCCCTTCGAGAGTTCCCCGGTGAGCGACGCCATACCATCACGGGATGGATGATAGTTGACCTGGTAGCTATCCCACCATCATCGCCGGAACGGTCCATCACGCGGACATTCCAAGCACGAGAGCTCATTAATGACGAGATATCAGTGCACTTGTCGGCATTGCGGACGCAATCATTCTTCACCGAAATATACAAGCTCTTGGTCTTCTGTGAAAGACTGGGCAATCATAACATGCTTGATTGGGATGACGAGGTCCTGAACGAGCTTGTGTGTGGGCTCGCGGACCAGGACACGGGAATTTTGGCCTTTACAAATGATGATATCCTGTGGAATGTAAAGGACACGCTCGAGTGCGGGAAAGTGGTTGAGCTCTTTGAGAGAGCTACCAAGAAGGGCCTCGAGAAGCTGGCCATCTACGTCACTTGGTGCCATTCGTCACTCTCCCAGGAGTTCTCGTTCCTCAAGAAACATTTTCACCGAGACTCTCTCCAAAAGGTTCGCCTAGATTATCTCCTGGAATCTCGGCAGGCGCCGCCCTAGGAGTCTGAACCGGAGTTTTGGAGTACTTGAGTTTGAAAGGCATTGAAGTTGGAAGAATATGGCCAGCTGTCGAATCCATGCTGTCTCTTTTGGTCCTGAAGTCCCGTTGTGGTGAGTTGCGAGAGCGGCTTGACCAACACTGGCGGACTATTGCATCCCTCTACTTGAATAAGTGCAATGCCTGCGCGGGGAAGCGATTGCATGCCATGGAAAGACGGTCTAACAATGTGGTTTCGCTTCTATTCCGTATACGTCCGAGGACATACATTGCGCCTTCGGTCTAACAATAGGGGAAATAGAGTCGTTCCCTTGACGCAAAACAGCGTCAGACTTGACTACAAGCTGAGAGACATTGTCAGAGGCAGGGATGGTCGATACCTACACCAAATTACTGTTCGGACCGTGACTAACAGGATCAGAACAACAGTTGCATTTGAACCAAAAAGTATGGGGGGACCATATTCAATACAGTCGGGGCGAGTAGAATGTTGCGAAGAATGGGCATACCCAGGTACATACCTAATGTATTTAGAAGACATGTCTAAGAGCACTTCTGCAAGCCAGATGCAGGCCTCGGGAATGTTTGGAATTGTAGACCGGTCGAGATCTCACTATTTCCGACAGCAAGAAGGCGATTTACTTATTCTCAATCTCTAGGTAATGTAGTGCTCTAGAAAGTTGCCCAGCAAGCTTGAGAAGCCCACAACATATGCAGGAAGTGCTTTCTTCGCCAGGACTTCGGAACCTTTGAGTGACAACAGAGGCAGCTTTGCGGCGATAATTACTAGTAAACGAGTACCTATCTTCAGTCTGTAGACCCGGCTTTCCTTGTGTCCATGAGACCGGCATGATAGCCCCCATTGATTCAACCTTTCAGCTCTGAGGGGCAAAGAAAAGCCACACGCCCATTGACCCCTGGCCATGGACCCTGGGTGGTCTAGCCATTGCAATAGGCTTCATTCGCTCGGGCGGGAGATATGCTATGTAACTACAGGGTGGATACATGCCTTCCTGATGCGTAAATTTGCCCTAAAACGCATGTGGTACGCCGGCCCGTGGAAGTGGTGACCGGGAGTTGCAGCTTAAGCTCACCTCCATCCGAACCTGAGGAAATGGGCGAGATATTCCGGATGGCGCCAGCCTAGTGCACGTGCTAGAACCAGACAGCCCAAAGTGAGCGGTAGGAGCTAAAAACGCCTCGGCCATACTTCCAGAAGTTTACCCAACCGGGAGCTTGGACTGTCAAACTGTCTCCCCGGCGCGGGGAACCCTGATTCACCCACGCAACGAGGTTGCAACGCTTGTTAACGTCGAACCTATCAAGGCCAGCTGGGCCATCAGGGACTCAGCAGGTTCGCGGTATTGCCCTGATCGAGACTGGTTCATTTGCGGGGTACTCCAGCGGGATCGATTCTGTCTTGTTCGTTGGCTCGTACTATGCCTGTACGCGCAGGAGGCGCCGCTCGTTCATCAATGATACCTCCTCGTCCCCGCCAGCCAGCCTGCCAGCCCGGAGCTTACACAGCTTTGCGCGTGTATTACCTAGGTAGCTACCTAGGTATGCCCCCCCCCTCGAAGCCACCACGGTGGCGTCCATTAGCCCGGTGCATGTGTTTCCCCAATCGCGTTCACAGCGATACCGAGTCAGCTGGCTGGCTGGGGATTCTAAGTTGTTCTGGGTGAATGGCGGCGGTCCATGGGATTCAAAATCCAACACACATGCAGACAAGCTTTGGGTCGCGACGGGTCACGGCTTGGCCACTAGTGCTGCAACCTAAGTAAACAGGGCCTGTGGGCATGCAGGCACATAAATGCATGTGTGTAGGTACCTAGGTATGTATATACGACGACCATTGCCAGTTTGCCTCCAAGCTTTCTGATCGCCCGGGGGCCATTCCATCTTCCCTTCCCGTCCTTGGCTTTCGCTGAACCACCGACTCCACAATATGGCTCCTTCCAGTGAAAAGAGTGCTGGCGAGAGCGAGAGCAAACACGTCCAAGAGAATGTCGAGTTTGCCAGGCAGACATCCACCGATGAAGAATCTCATCGGGAGCTTCCCGTAAGCCCAATCAATACATCGAGGTAGCTGGAAATACCGTTGACTAACGCCTCGGGACACTCAAGATGTCGAAGAGGAAGCTCATGGCCCTCGTCGCGCAAGCATTCCTCTGGACTGGCTCTCAGATTCCTGTCTACCTGCTCGGTGCCGTCCCGCCGTACATTTACCGTGACATTGGCGGCCATGACCGTTGGATCTGGTTGGTGCTCGCCAATTTGCTCTCGCTGGCCGCAGTCTGCCCCTTCGTGGGGTCGCTCTCAGACCTGTTCGGCCGCCGATACGTCGCGATCTCAGGCGCCGCCTTTATTGTTCTTGGAATGATCATCGTATCTACTGCACAGACGATGAATATTGTGATCGGAGGGATGACCTTCGCTGGAATTGGCGCTGGAATCAACGAATTGACTGCCCTTGCCGCCACCTCAGAGCTTGCACCCACTGCAAAGCGCGGCAAATACGTCGGCATCTTGGTCTTCACCATCGTACCGTTCTGTCCTTCGGTATTGTATGGCCAGCTCATCGCCTATTACTCGTCTTGGAGATGGATTGGTTTTCTTTGTGCGGTGTGGGCATTCATCGGCTTAGTTCTTACTGCAGTCTTCTACTTCCCACCTGCCCCGGCCAACCTAAATGCTACAACTCGCCGCGAGATATTGAGACAGATCGATGTTGTTGGGGGCCTATTGAGTATATCTGGAATGATTCTGTTCAGTAAGTGGCGTCAAACCTCTGGCTGGGTGTGGCAGGGCTTTCCGCTGCTAACTTGAGCTCCTTCAGTGGCTGGATTGCAGTGGGGCGGTTACATCTACCCGTGGACATCCGTTCACGTTCTTGTACCTCTTCTACTTGGCGTGGCCCTTCTCATTGGCTTTGTCATCTGGGAAGGCTGGTTTGCGAAGTATCCGATGTTCCCTCGAAGAATCAACCAGGCGCCAAGAATCCTCACGCTTACGTTGATAATCACGGCTATCTCGGTCAGTATAAATCTGCCCTGGATATTGTCTCCCGTGTTTTTAGTCCATGGATCCTTTAAAGCACCCTGATCCTCTTGTGACCTTCACAGCTGACAATTAGCACACCTTAAAAAAGGGGGCCAATTTCTTCAGCATTTTGATGTTTTGGCCCACGCAGTCATTCAACGTATACGGCCATGACCCGATCGACGTCGGCATTCGAGGTATCCCGGTCGGCTTCGCAATTATGACCGGTGCCGTTGTCGTCCTGGTGCTTCTATCGGTCTTCCGGGGTGCCAACAGGATGTTGATGGTCATCTCGTCTATCTTGATGACCGCTGGTTGCGGCGCCATGGCTATCGGACGTGTTGATAACATGTACCAGCTTTGGGGGATCCTCGTGCTCGCAGGTCTGGGTATTGGAGGTATCGTGGTGCCGGCCTCAATCATTACCATGATTATCTGCCCTGACGATCTGATTGCAAGTCCGTATCACCCTTTCCCTCTAGCAGATCCCTATCTTTCATGTTTTGAAATTTGGTAGAGTGCAAGACTTTAGGATTCGTAGAAAAGGACTAACGTGGCCACCAGCCGTTGCCGCATTGACCCTCAGCATTCGTGTCATCGGAGGCAGTATCGGGTACTGCATCTATTGTAAGCATCACTTTTCACCTTTTACGGGTCTCGGTCTTTCATGTTTTAAAATGTTCCAGAATACAACACTTGAGGACCCGCAGCAGGACTAACTTCACCACTAGACAACATCTTCATCAACAAGTTCACACCCAAAGCTATAGAATATATTGGCGGAACAATGGTTGTGGGAGGTATCACGGACAAGCAAACCATTGGGGAAGTCATTGCTCTGACCGGGGTCAGTATCACTTTTCACCTTTCACGGATCCCCGTCTTTCATGTTTTGGAATGTTCTAGAATACAACTCTTTAGGACCCATAGCAGGACTAACTTCACCACTAGGCGGCTCTGCTCGAACAAATCAAGACGATCCCGGGAATTGCAGGCAATGACGTGTTGTACACTGCCATCGTGAATGCAGGTCAGATCGCGTATGCCGAGTCATACGCCTACGTTTACTATGCCAGCATCGCTTTCGGGGCTATATCTATCGTAGCAGCGGCTTTCCTTGGTGATATAAATGCATACATGACGGATAAGGTCGCTGTTGTCATGTAACCTAAACTAATGCAGGAGACGGGGAGCATTCCAAGGTTGGCAGAGCACGGGTGCTAGAAAGGTTACGACCTGGTTCATAGGACGTCACAATAACGCGACCGAAGATATCAAAAATGTTCTCGCACTCTGTTGCCGAGTACCATACCATTAAAAAGTACTAATAGAAGCACCTCCTAGCCACTGTTGGTGGTGTGTCCGAAATCTGGAGCCCCAACACCAATCAAGCGTCCTCGTCAGGTCTCGTGCCCCAGAGTCCCGCCGGTGGATAAGGCAAATTCAGTCTCGGGTCCTTGAGGTCTAGTCGATACATGATGTTGTTGTAGTTGTAATAAGGCGCAGGAAATTGATTTCCGGAGAAGGTATTTGTGAGTGTTCCTGAGAAATAGACATATCTTCCGCCATCTCGCATCAACTCGAAGTGCTGGACAGGGTTATATAAGTCATTGCTGTTGTTGTTGAGTCCATCGCGGTCCATGTGGTGCGTTGCAACCTTGCGACAGGCTGTCCATGGCCCCTCTGGTGCCTGCGCTGTAGAGAACCAGATTTCCCCAGCAGTTGTATCGCCGCCCTGTTGCTGGAAGATGTTGACCCAGAGCTTGAGGTAGGGATTCCACGCAATCCCAGCTGTATGTGCAGAGATGGTCTGACCAGTCTCCACGTCCTTCAGCCTGTAAGGCGATTCCTCCTGACTTATCACGCCAGATTGCACCAGGCTATCTGCGTTCTCGTAATTGACTGGCTTCCCGCCTTTAACCCAGCTCCAAATCAACGAGCCATTGGGTCCTCTGTTGGCTCGCTGTCCATCTGCGCTGAGACAGGTGAATGCTTCGTATTGTGACTGCTGGGAAGCGCTGCTGAAGTCGGCTTTGACACGGATGTTTTTGCCGTAGAATGCGTAACGCGTCCCGTTCTCATTAACATAGATAGTGTGACCTCCCGGAGCGAGAATGTCCACGCCGTTATTGGTCCCATCAAATTTGACGTGGCGCTCCAAGATCTGTCTCTTGTTGTTCCACACGGCCAGGCCTCGTTCCACACAGCTAAACCCGTCCCCGGAGGCGTAGTAAGTGGCTAGAAGACGTTCGTGGCCCGTCTCGTCTGGTACCACTGTGAGGCCATCAACCCAAAGAGGGAAAGTCCCAGGCGTCTGCAAAGGTAAGTCTATCATGCCTCTCGCGAATTCGTTGTGCTTGTTGTCTTTGGTGAAATAGTCGAAATTGAGCCCTCTGTCCGCATCCAGCTTATGTGGCAACTCAGTCCATGCGCCGGTCATGGCAAAGTTCCCGAGCTGGAATGCCATCTGATCTGTGTCTTGCCACATCCAGAGCAGCTTGTCCTTGAACTTTGCACATTGTATAGTGTCGCTCCCGGCAACCTTCGCGTTCAGGACAGGCTGCTCAAGTGGAACCGGCTTTCCAAGGAGCACGCTGTCCCGGTAGATGCCGTATCCTGTGAGCCGATATAGTCTCTCGGCGATTTGTGTTCTGGTGAGCTTGATCTCTATGGATCCAGCAGCCTTGGGATTAACTTGCATTCCGGAAACACCGAAGAATCCCGTTGGCGACTCGAACCCATAGCTGCTGACAGTGACCCAGATTGGATCTCCTGTCATCAGTCCAGGCTCATTGAATGCAACATAACCTGCGCTGTCGGTCATGTAAACAGTCTTGTATGTCGTGCGGAGGTACACCAATGGAACTCCCCGGTTTGTCAAAGCATCGATAACACGAATAGCATAGTACGGGTGCACCATCGTACCGTGTGCTGGCGTCGCTGGATTGGGCGTCGATGGCTGTTGCCGCTTGTCGAGAGCCTGACTTGCAGCTGACGACACGTTCGATGCCAGTCGGTCGAAACGGTTGAGGAGTGAGCGAGACATAGTATGTGAAACTGTCGGACTGCCCACAGAAAGATTTGACGTGGCCTCAGTGGCGCAATAACTTCCCAGGGTTGTTCTGCTTGTTCTGCTTGTTGATATCTAGGTTGTCGGACCATGCCACCATGGTGAGGTTCCTTGCAATGTGATTCTCCGTAGCTTGAAAAGCCGCGGGCAGCATTTCTCACCTGGGCATGCGGGGGTGACATTCACGGGGCTGACCCCGGTATGGGGTTTCAAGATCATCCTCACCCTAACCCAAACATCCCTTGTCGTCCGCCGTCACAATGTTCTGTGTACTGATAAGCTCATATTTTGCCTGTGAATGGTAGCCAACTGGCTGCTTCTCTCCTTTGCCACTGGAGGTCTGCATTCAATACTGGGGTACTTGCCCGAATGGATATTCGAAATTCAAGGCTACTGTGGCAACTTGAGGTGACATTACGACTAGCAGGGCATCGAACGAGAATCCAGAAAGGGTGATGCGTAATCAGTCTGCTATCTAAATACGATACTTAGAAGTTTTGTGTCTCTTTCTTACCTTCATTCTGTGGTGTCCACAGAGTCCATACCTACAGAAGATGATGACAGCTTGACATGGGAGAAGTTCAGTGGAAGAGTCTCTGGCCACCCACCCTGGGAATAATCAGAGCCCTTCGAAAAGAAAAGGGTGGGGTGGGGTGGTACCGAAAAAGAAGAAGTAAACCGGACTGCTTTATATCACGTCCGGACCTCGGGAGTCCACGGGTGCCGAAGAACTGGGTAGAAGGGGGCCGCTTTCACATGTGCAGTTGGCGACTGACTACCCAGGTCCTCCACATTTGTGTAGCATTTATTAAAAGCTGCATGTACATTCCAAGGTTCACTGCCAATGGGTGAGCTCGGTCATGGCACTCCAAACGGGCGCGAAGCTGGGATTGGGCGTGAGGGCAAGACGACAGTTGGTCGTTGAGGCGACTATTGGCCATGCGGATCTGCGTTTCCACTTCTGGTTGGAGGCAATACTGTGCTCCTTATGTGACGGAATGTTCGCCCCAACTTTTCAAGGATACATGGGTACCTGCGTATTGCGTATATGAATAAGTAGGCCTAATAATGATCTGCACCTGAGCACGCTGGTCTGGTGCGATCGATGAAATGTACGCCCTTCATCCCCCCACGCCTGAACCCCGCCAGTTCTGTCTTCGACTTTGACGCAAATGCGACTGAACGAATCAATTTGACGCCTTTCGAATCGGGCCTCCGCGCCCTTGAGGGCACAATCAGTTCCACAATGTTACACCCTGCTTGATTCTGTGTCGGAATACTTAAATACATCCAAATCAATTCACGGCTTCTTTACACTCGCACCTACTGTCCTGCACTGCACTTCCCCATGCTCTCAGGTTCTACGTATAGGCAAAAACGGATGGTACACTTTTGGTAGGATCTGCTACGCAATATATATGTAGATGATGGGTTTGTCTCACTGTTCGGATGCAACCTTTCGATTTGATGTATATAGTGAATTGACGTTGTCACGACTACCCATCAATCAAGTCGTCTATTTACAAAGCAGCAGAACGGTCTTCTTCACATTTACCACTTTCGCCCATTCATGCCTCCTCCGTAGACTCCTCCGTAGTATGGCCGGTACCCTGACCCCTGATATCGCCTCTTCTCGACTACGACGTGTTGAACTGGCCGAGCTGGAGGCGCACAGTAGGCACAGTTTCTATGGCAATGGTGCCTGTCGGAGTGCAAGTGATGCCTGAGTCCGAAACACATCGAGCCGGTATGGACGTCGTCCGTGAAACCGTGCTTATTTGAGTATCCTGTTGAATTCGGCCGGTCAATGCTCAGGCTTTCTCAAGGGCCCAAGCCAAGCAACTGAGAGCCATGGACTCACACAGCGGCAGGGTAACATACCTTGACTGTGACTCCAAGTGGCCGAGGTAATGGTTATAGCGCTGTGGATATGATGCAATAATCTGTTTCAACCTTCGAGTTTGTGTCGAGATGGGTGAGAAATTCTAAGCGTCTGACACTGAATACAACGCTCAAGACAGCAGCCGAGCCGGGCGTTCTTTATATACTATAGGTTTTCTGATACGGCACTTGGTTCATTGGGCACACAAGTCGAGGCTTAGAGAGTTACTTTCGTCATGGCAAATTCAATGCCACTCCGGTGTATATTCAGGCCGCGTTCGATGGCTGGGCTTGTATCATCATAGCCTGCTAAGCCTTGCAGCCCAGAATGAGCCATGTTGCCAAGCCGCCGATGCTTTCGAGCGCCACGGCAGTCAGCATGGCGAACTAGCATGAACCTTGACTGAGGCTCGGCTCAGCTCAACCCAACCAAGCTATCACAATTTTGACATGGTCTTGCTGAACAACGCAAGGGCTTAGTTCCCCAAGCCGCGTCATTGGGCAGCGCTTTCGTGCTCTTTGTGGTTTGCACTCTCCGATTCAGATCTCGCCTATCCGGCCAGAGACTGTGGTCGCCATCAACGTCTAGCAGGGTATCGTCCACGCTACGAGCACACTGGCTTTTCAACGAACTCAAAGTTTAAACAGACCTTAGCCCTGGGGTGAGTCATTCCAACAGCCTTGGAGTCGTCATGTCTTGCGCAAAATTCGACCTGGGCCTCTGCTGTGGTGTGAAGAAATTATGACGGGATCAGGGACATTTGTTGGGCTTCCAGCGGGTGCTCCATAGATTTCGTGTGGCACAATATTTTCATACCCAACCGTGGAATTTTCCATGGACTAACATTTCTTTTTGGCTTTAGTGCAGTACACATGGATGAAATAAACTTTGAGCAACGGCTAGCCGAGCATCGACTATACTTACTCGGCCTTACAGCGTGCTTGAAAATCTTGGGCGAGTATGAGGTAAATCGGTATAACCAAATAGATTACTTCAGGTCTCCGGTAGTTGAGGCATTCCGCTGCCTATGGAAAAGATCTACCTCGCGCCAAGCGCAAGACACATATTCGATACGATTCATTGTTGCTGCAGTCTATCCTCTCTTATACCGTGATCAAGCCAAACGAGCCGATTTCGGCTTAGCTCCTGAGGACCTGATCAGGTTTTGTTTGGCATTGCCCCCGAACTTCATGGTATACTATCATAGTCACGGTATCAAGAGACAAAAGTTAGAATATCAATCCTAGCTACCTAAGTCTTTATTGATATATATCGGCCTCTATTGTTGACGGATACTTCCCAAGATTATAGTCAGGCTAGAGTAAAATGGAAGCATCCACAACCTCTAAGCCGAGGACATGATATTATGTGACTGACTGACGTCGCTAGGTTTTCTAACTATGGTAGGAACTGTTTGAGACGACAAAGGGGTTTATAGGCAGAGTTCACACCAATCTAATGTGGTTTCGCTTCTATTCCGTATACGTCTGAGGACATATATGGTGCCCTCATACGGTGGTAAGTACTCAAGACCTAGCGCTTGGAAAGAATATGATGCTAATAACGATAGTTATAATACGATAGGTGCTCGTGGCCTCAGCCTTGCGACGCACAGACACACCAATCTAATATCGGCAATATCTGGTTTCGCTTCTGTTCCGCATACGTCTGGATATATGTTTTTCAAAAGCTTGATCTTTGGGAAGCGCTACTGAAGGCCCCGCACAGCTACATGCGTACAACTTTGGCCATGTACGGAATAAGAACAAAATAATTTTAAAAAGTTGAGTCCTGCTGATGACCACGCGGTGAAGAGCCTGAGGTCGCGTAATCATACATTCCCAGCTACCGTAGGGTAGAAGGCAGTGACATGTAGTTATGCAACCAGATGTGGAGACTGAAAACGCTCACTGAACATAGAAAAGCTTGGCCTTAACAAGAATTCTGTCACATTTCTTGGGTGAGGTTCTCGGTGACTATGCATAAGAAAGGGGGGGCAAGTCTTACAACGTTGGCGGCATAGTAAATGGAGCGAGCCGGCTATCACTCTATGCGCCCTTGAATTCCAAGTGATAATAGCGCAACCCAGGTCCCAATCTTGTTGTGGGAAACAGGAGCATGTGCAAAATCTTTTGTTGGCAGCTGAAATCCGCGAGGTCGGAACTGCGAGACTGAGATCGAGATGGGAAGGTGGCACTAGACAGAAGGTGAGAACTCGATTATTACACTGAAATTATCAAATGCTGTGGCATTTGGGTAGCCCTTCTAGATCGGCCGTTGAAGCCAGCAAATTCAGTTATAATTCTGCCACTAATAGCGCCCCTCACACACCCTTCCAAGTCGTGGTTCAACGAAACATTACTTGGCAACCACCACCAAAATCTTACCCTTTGCTCTTCCTGTCTTCAACTTGGAATAAGCCTTGGGAGCATCCTCATACTCGAAGACCTCGTCGATCACACCCTTGATTTTGCCCTCGCTCATCCATCCCCCTATCCTTGCCAGGCCCTCGTGGGATTGCTTCGTCATGATCATACTGAACTTCCTCTTTCCGCCCCCAAGGAATCCCGGCATAAACGTCCTCGACATGACAGCCTTGACCTGCTGAAGGCCAGCGCCTCCGCCGACCTGGATGAAGTGCCCGTTGTCCACCAAAAACTCGTTCGCAGCGGTGTACAAGTCCTGCTGTCCGGGCGGGGTGAAGCCGACGTTGTCGACTACAAGCTTGAAAACCTTGCCCTTGCCCTTGAGCACCTCGCTCAGGTTCTGCTCTTTGTAGTCGATGATCTCGTCGGCCCCGAGGCTCCGGCAAAAATCCGCGCTCGCGCCGGAGCAGCTGGCCGTGACGTGCAGTCCAAGCGCCTTGGCGATCTGTATGCCGAACACACCGGTGCCGCCGCTGCCGCCGTTGATGAAGACCTTGTCGCCCGTCGAAACGTAGGGCTGGATACTCTGCAGCGCCGTGAGGCCACAGGTCCCGACGCAGGCGAGCTGGTCCATCTTGTCCTCCCAGCCCGCCGGCGCCGCGGAGAGTCCCTCGCCGTCCTTTACGATGATGTACTCGGCGAGCGACCCGTACTTGTTCTTGATGGGCTCAACCCTGCCGAAGACCTTCTGGCCCGGCTGGTACGCCTTGACGTCGCTGCCCACGGCCGTGACGGTGCCGCTGAAGTCCATTCCAGGGCTTGCGGGCACAGGTATCACGAACTTGGATAACAAGCCTAACTCCGGAAGCTTGTAGTCTGCTGGGTTGAGTGTCATGTAGCTGACGTGCACCAGCACTGAATCTTTCTCCAGCAGAGTCTTGGGTGGCGGGGACGTGTCGGTCTGCAGCTGCAAGGATTTGTCGAGGCCGCCGCTGGCACTGCTGTATGTCCAGGCGCGCATTTTTTGCGGCCACGCATCTTCCGTAGATGCTGCCATCCTGATTACCTAGGTAGACAGATATATGTGGTGGTAGTGCGAGTGGTTGTTTTGGGTTCTGCGAGTGTCCAGGAAAGGTTGGTATGCTATTTGAAGCTTTAATCTGGAGATAAGCTTGTCCTGTAGTGGGGTTTTCAGGTGATAGATGTTCTAGCCGACATTACCTACGCGTCTCGCCCTGGTCCATGGGCGGGACCCCGGGAGTATCGTCAAGATTGGGTTTCGGCCGCAGTTGGTTGCACTTTGAGACATGGATCATGACGTAAACCGGTTCGTCTGGTCCGCGACTCAGAGTCCCCGCGCCCCTCGAAGCCAAATGGGCGGCTGCGGCCAGTCCAGTTCGGCATCGGAAAGACAAGACGTCTAAGGTCCGATTGAAACCAGTGAGCACTGAAGATCATCTTCTTTCGGGCTGGAACGAGTCGTCAGATCGAACTCCGGAAGCCAAGCTGATACACCGGCCGAACACGAGTCAGCGAGAATTTCCAGATGTTTCGACCCAACCCGAGACATACATATGTACTGCGGCGAAAAGTGGCCCAGCTGTTCAACTCGCTCACATAGGCGAAGTGGATAGTTGTAAGAAGACAACTTGTTGCTAGGACTCGAAATTGTCTCCAACATTGTACCTACATAAGTACCTAGGCACCCTAGGGTGGGTAGTCCGGTCACGAATGGAGTCGCCGAGGATTGCGATGGGCGAGGAATTCCCCAGCGTCGTACACACGCTCTATCTAGTCCACATCTGCAACCTTTCCAGCAACTACACCAACGAATCAAGTTGCTTGCCTTGGTTGCGATGTTTGCTCGGCCGTGATTGTGAGCGTGTGTTTGTTATTACAGTACGTTATCAAATCTGTGTCCTGGCCGCTCCTGTTGATTGAGTCTGGTGGGAAGAGAAAAAACAATGCTGGAACAGAGTAAAGTCGAAGCCCGCGAGTACTAGGGATTGACTCGGTTTGCTACTGTGGTATCTTGACTTCAAATCTTGGTTTTGGTAAGGTGAGATGGTGCCAGTGCTAGATCGAGCAACAAGGATGATGCACGGCGTATGTTGTTCATGTGAATGTTCTAAGTTCTGGGCCATTCTAAATTATGCTGCGCGGCATGAGCTCAGGCGAGCAGTCCGGGTGGGCACTGCGGCTCGGGCGCCAGATGTATAATTACATGCTCGCCAAATACTAAATCACATGAATTGTTTGCTGGATTAATCATTAATCACCATTAAGTGCTAATGGGGGCCTAGGTAGGCCATGTTGCTTCCCTTCATCGACCAATCCGAGTCAATCTGGAAGTAACTACTCTCCCCCGTGAAGAGCGAGTATTCCTGCCCCTTTGAGACGCTTGTTTCATGCGGTTCGTTGTTCCTGGAGGAGCCACATCTGAACTCATCAGGCCCAATCCCGAATCTCTGAGCTGGGGCTCTCTAGATATGAGCTTCGCGTTCCCTAGAGTGCCAGATTCAATGCCCACAGTGACTCGAGACTGGCCCTCCACAACAACGGTATCTTCACCGTCAGTAACATTATCATCTGCACCCACACTCACTCCAGAATCAGCCCTAGACGCCAGCTCACGGGCCCCGGGCTCCTGTCCGGCCCGCTCTTCGTCACCCTCAGATTCCTCCTGCAGGTCAATAGTGTCGATAGAGTAAACCGAAGACGGGCTGGCAGACGCGTCATTGACCAGATCAACATACTCCTCCACCAGGTCCGAGTACTCCATTAAAGAGTCGGCCTGCTCCTGCATGATCACTACCAGCTCAACCATGTCCTGTAGAGCGAGACTCTCCTCCTCGAGCTGGCTCTGCTGGTTCGTGATCGAGTTCATTATCTCAAGGACATCCTGCAGTAGGTCTGGCAACCGCCGGTGTGACGCTCGCGCCGTATCCCCTCCTTGCACCTTGTGTGGCAGCAGGGCCGCGGATGGCCGGATTGGGAACTCATCGTCGCTATCCTCGCCATCGTCAGTCCCATCGAGGAAACTCGTCATTGGGATAGGGCTAGGTGATGTGTGGTATCGCGTCCAGTGGCCCAGCGTTGGGGAGTCAGCTTGCAGGCGGAGCGGCTCGGGATTTTGCTTGTGTTGCGAGTGACGGAATGCCTGGGTTCTGCTATAGAGTGGCATCGGCGACTGGAGCCGAACGTCATCGTGGACAGGCGTCTGGGGCTGGTACGCTGGCCTCTGATAGTACTGGGGTGAGAGAGGGCTTGGGTTTCGTGGAAACACGATCGAAGGGCTCTTCAGCGTTGGCGATAGAGCATATTCGACACCTCGGTATGCAGCTGACGCTTGCCGTCTATGTCTCAGGGCGCCTGTGTCTCCACCCATGTATCCGTCGAGTATGGGCATGTAGTCGTCTTCTGATTCAGGGCTGATGCTCGGTGATGATTGAGGCTGGGGCGAGATCGGCGAGGAACTGAGTTGTCCAGCAGGTGGAAAATGGTTTGAATTCTTGTGCCTGAAATGTCGATGCAACCCTTGATTTAACGTGGTTTGCAGATTCTCTCCTTGATTATTGGACGTCATCTCGCGTGGCAGTGCTCTCAAAGCAGTAGCATGAAGAACGACTAATCAAACCTTGATGAAGGAACTGACAATGATTTTAAGATCTTGACAAGAAGACGATCGGCGTGTCGACTCAGCCCAGATCCCGACGGCCACATTGAGACGTGAATTGACTCCAGGGTGGAGTGGCCCCCCCGGATCAGCATCAGAGTCCTCTTCCGCGCAGGCATCTTGCGCACAACTGTCCTTGACGACGTCGACGTCAGATTCATGCGCAGGCAAGTCTGCCAGACTGCGACCCGCCGAGGGTCCTTATCAGAAGGCAAGTATTCCTTCTAGTCGAACTCTGCGTGAAACCGCTGACGGGTACAGAAGCCAGGTGAACCCCTGGCCGGGCTGGCTTGCCGCATTGACAAGGCCGTGGCTGTGGCGCCCAACTCCGCGGGTTGGCAAGTTGGGCACTGCGATGGGCAGGACCGAGTCCCCGACGCCCCCGACGACGGGTCCGCTCAATGAAACGAAACAACTCGGCGATACTAGTAGTATCGTTTCGTGAGGCCGACCCGGCAGCCAACCCGGAGCAGCGAAACACCCCCAGTTGCCTAGGTATTATTCGGTACCGTAATAAGTGGGATTGGCCACAACCCAGTGGCACATCGCAGACCCCGATTTTGGCGAGGAGCTGTCAGCGGCATTAAAAGGCGCGCGCTGGCTTACGCAAGTCCCTGGAAGCCTTAATTATCGCCAGCAAACATTGAAGGATATGAGCTCTCATCGTTTCCATCTGGAGCGCTTTGACCTGCGCATGCTGCACGCACCTTCGCCACAACGTAAGCATTCAGGCTGGTATTAGGTATATTATCCAGATGTGCATACCCAAACTTCTTAACCACCTGGGCACCTGGGCAGGAATAGAGGAGACCGGTAGGACTTACCCGCCTTGAGGGCAGGCCTTCTGCTGGCACCAGAATACAGCCGGTGGCAAGATGGTTTGGTCTATCCAAAAATGCGAAAGTGGCAGTGCTATACATGAGCTTGATGCTGATTACCCTAGTCCCAGGTGATCTATCCAACGTTGAATGATGACTGACCCAGCTCGATGCGGATCCCATCTCCTGATTCCTAGTACACGGGCGGGTCCACCCGCAGCGGTCTCCTCCTCCTCATCCCCGTGGTTGGGACTGGCTTCTCCAGCCTCCATGCCCAGAGAAGCAGATCTTCCAGCGGCAAGAAGTTCAGCAAGACTCTGTTGCACACGAAGCCCATCAACACGACGAGTGTGGCAACCATGGCGTCCATCAGGTAGTGGTTGGCCGTCGCAACAATGGTCAACAGGACCCATGAGGGATACCACACGCCAAAGGCGAAGAAGGCGATCCGCGATTTGGTGGAACGCTCGCTGGTCGAATGCGCCTCGACCTCGACTTCGGAGGTGCTGCTCTGGCTCTCCTCGTCCGAGCTGGGGACGGGAAGCCAGGTCTGGCTAGGGTTGCGAGTCTTGCCGTAGCGCCTGTATATCTCCTTGACCCCGCTGACGGCAGCACTTTCGTAGATGAAGACGAGCCCAATGCAGAAGGCATATCCAAAATGCATACTCGGCATAGCAGCCAAGCGGTTCACGAAGTTTCCGCTCTGCCATACCGAGGTGGCATCTTCGCCGTTGACCGTGTCGATGAAGCCGTATTCCGAGGGCAGCAGACGCGGCGGCATGCACGGATAGAGGATGAAAATGGTGAAGGCGAACAGGTTCAGCAAGGTCATGGTCCGGCGCACGGTCGCGAATCGGGTGAAGGTCGGCGACACGTAATAGTAGAATGCGATGAAACTGGATCCCATCGTTAGCGCTGCTTTGCAACAAGAAACGGTCTCATGCAGACGCTGGAAGGGGCAGAGGAAAGACCTACCCAACAGTGCCAGGAATGTGGATCAACGAGTATGACCGGTTCAGGATGGTGAGAAAAATGCCACGGAAGTCGCCGGCCCTGGCTCCGGTAAGGAACCACTGCTGGACATTCCACTCAATCCATCTGGCCGTGCCCGTCAAGGAGCCCCTCCCGAACATGGCGGTTTCCAGCTCCAGCAATGCGATGCCATGATTCTGTGCCTTTTCCCAGAGATTCTCGCTGCCGCCGTAATAAGCTGCCGCCATGTTCGCGGTCAACCGGTAGAAGAAGAACTGTAGGACCCAGTAAAACATCTCGACCAGAAAAGGGAATTTCTGCAAGATCCGAGAGTGGAAGTGTCGAGCGAAGCGCGACGAGTTGGGCGTGCGAACGGTCCATATCCCAAAGACACGGCGGGTCTTGGTCGGATAGTCTGTCCGGTGGGTCGCGATTGGGTCGCTATCGATCGAGGTCCTAGGGGAGCCCGACGCTGGCGAGGCTATTAACGGGTTGTAATTCTGGTTGCCCCCAAAGATGGAGTAGTTCTTGGTTCGAGTAAGGTACATCGAGGTGAAGAGGATCGTCACAATCAACTGGGGAGAAGGTAGGTTAGCACGGACCGTGCAGGCCTGGCCAATGGAGGAGGGCCCGGGGGGCAATGCGTTTGACTGCGGCACTTACGAAGGCCTCAACCCAATCGGGCATGCGGAAGACGTGGGGATGCCAGTCATCGCCAGGGCCTCCAGGACTCGGAGTAGTAGACATTTTAGCAATATTGGTTTGGCCGAAGCCTTGTGTGAAAGTCGTGGGTCGGGTGGAGGGTGATGCTCAAAATTTGGCAGGCCGAGATGCAGGAATACTGTCGGATGGCCGTAGGCACAGGCAGAGACAAAGACGAAGCACAAGACAGGGCTGTATAGTATATGATGTAGTCCGAGCTGGCAGATCACTCGCGTACAATCAAGCCGTTAAGGATCGTGACTTGAGAGGGTAACTGCCGGCGCAGCACAGCACGGCGGATCCCACTCCAAGTTGCGTTGACCGACCGACAAGCAGCACACGGCCCAGGGTGAAGCGGTGAATGTACTCCTCAACACCGCGGGAACCTTGGAAGGGGCGATCGGACGGTGGTGGGGGTCAAAGGCGTGTCCCGGGCGGGAGCTGGGTGGGTGAGGAGGTGAGAATGTCAACCTTGGAAGCCAGGTGGAAGGAAGCAAAAGGCAAATTGGCACGCGAGCGCCAGTTGGGAAAAAGACAAAAGGCACTCCGTAGGCTTCTCTCCGTCCTCGACCCCAGGACCCAACACCCGGGCCCATGCTAGATCTAATCATGGACAGGCCGAACCCCCTGCCGATGTGCTGGTTAGCCTGCCCGTTTAGGGGCCACCAGGCATTGCCAAGCGCGGATTCCGTGGCTAAGACAGTGCAAATAATTTCAACGTGCAGAGGATTTCGCAGTTGGGACCGCCCTTTTATTACCTAGGTAGTAAGTTACTCCGTACAAGACGTGTACTCGGTACCATTGTACATGCCTCCGTCCTCAGATATAAACGAACGATACAAGGCATTTAGATGGTCGCGTAAAAAATCGGAGGCATTCATTCTATTCTCACAGTGACAATAACAACATTTGAACTTTGGAAGAATTGCCCAGGTGGCCCAGCTTGACGTGAGAAGCCATGTGCAACCAACCATATTGCCCGAGTGCTTGGCATCCCAACATGAACCGTGCTAACAGGCGCTGAGGATTCCCTCCGCCCCTGGGCTGTGACTACCAGCTGGCCGCCTTGTTATGTGTGCGTACAGCCCTATTATTACCATCAGCATCGGTATCAGCTTGATGTTGATCCCCCTTGTCATACCGCTGAGCAGGACATTTGCAAACAGTAGATCACAGTATGATAGAATGTGTTCTGGCTCGTCCTCAAGCCGGCAGCCTGGGCCGTCGAGGCAAAGACACAGCGTCATCCAAAGTTCAGTCATGGCATTAGCTGCCAAGCCAGTCGACCAGGTTCCTGGCACAAGGACTCGGTCAACACAGCACGTGCGCTTTCTTGGGCTCTTGCGATCAACGAACGAGGCCAGAAGAGGTTCGAGAACCGGCCCACAACACTGTGTTCCCGATTCTGCGGTGCAAAGAACCCACTGGCAGAAGCACAAAAACCCACCGAAAAAGGTTGCGCAAGGGTTCATCAAGCTCATTTGTGGCGGGCACGCGTAATTGTTGCACGCAGCCGGAGGTGGCCGCCCTGGTATTGACTACGGATAATACTGAGGTCCTCACAAGAAACAGATCAACAATTCATGGTCACGTTCAACTTGTTCGCCTTAGCAACAAGCTTTTCAGAGCTCCAGTACGGAGGCCGCACCTCCCTCCAGCTCCATCGCGCATACTACTGGCAACGATTTTTCGACGGAGATAAGCCGCGATCACGCAGCCAGGCAACCAGGCAGCAGGGGGATTGGTGATGGTAGGGTGGGGTGCCGCTGACGATCTTGGCAATACAACTTACCCGAATACGTCGCAACTAGCGCACGGCACGGTACAGATTACTCCCTGCCGCATTGCAGACAGTGAGTGCACTAGGAACTGGCAGTCTGCTCCGAGTCCCGACAGGGGCAGCGAATACGTGAACACAAGCAGCAGCTATGGACGGGTCGCGTGATCTCTGGTCCAGGACATATTCGTTGAGAAGGTGTAAATGCAACCCGGCAGTCGGTCAGCACTAAGTACTTAAGTAGGTATTCAACGTGGTCTTGCCAAGCTCCCTCCCGCAGGTGCACGGGTGGCAGGGTGGGAGCCGTCGCCTGTGCACACGCACTGGCAGGCTGGCAGGGCCCGGGAAAGTAAGATCAGCACCCATCCTGTACAACATCAATCCTCCCTCATTCGCCCGCTCGTCAGGCGGGCAATTACAAGCACAGTGTGAGGAGGATTCCTGAAGGATGGGAGGCTCCATTGGGAGCCCATAGTCATCCAGACTGCCAGATCTCCATCCTCATGTCTATCAGCGAATAAAACCAAGACTGTGGTGGAACATGATTCTCACCTCACTCTCATAAGAATTAGTTAAAAAAAAGAACATCCCCCGGAAATAATCCCCGGAAGCCTGCACGTCAAGCCGTGTCCGGCCGGAAGGTTCCACTTTAGTAAGGACGACCTCCGAACAAGACCGGGTCCGAAAAGGCGGGCTTGAGTCCACTGGCAATGCTCTACTTATTCCGAATCCCAATCTTTCAGTCCTGTATTACTTTCTATCCGCTCTCTTCAGATGACAGCCTCCCCGCTGCCTTGCCTTGCACCTGGCCAGCTGAGGCGGATGTTCTTCAGGCCCGACGCCAGCTGGCCCCAGCCCCAGTGCCTCGCTTGCTGTCCTGGTCCCTGTCCATATCCAACCTCCGCTGGCAGTGCTCCAGTTCGGCGACTTGTGATCGGAGACTGCTTGTATATGATCGCACGAAAACGCACGAGATAGGCCGTCCTTGTGCCGGAATTATCAACACAGCTTCATCAACAGTGGTATTGTGGTATATAGGGCTGTATTCCTGGTCTCACAGGCAGTGAGTCGGGGTATAATTGTGTTAGGTGCACCAGTTGTCGTAAAAATGAGATCGTAAGACATGAGAAAGCTAGCCGTTGTAGAGCAGAATGAGCGTCGTCCACTTGTCTCCACCACATGCTAATAATACTTTTGACAAAAATAGAAATAGCCTTAGTTTGGCTGGGTTCCAACGAGGTGACCACACACAGAAACCCGAGTGCTGTGACTCTGGGTTCCCCTCTAACAGAAGGTAAGAACGTCACTGTCCCACATGGCGAGATCCTCTGAACTCCTGTCCTCGTGGATTACATGTAGGCCAGAGGAGAGGCCCACGAGGTCCACTGCGCTCCCCAGCCCAGAGGATCCCTCTTCGGCGTCATAGAAAGAACCAAGATAGTTGATATCCGAGCCGTAGAAGACTTGGTTTCCGTCGCGGGCTACACCTTCATACACCACAATCGTTCCAGCCGGGTCTTTCCAGAAAGTGGGTTCCTCTCCATTTGTAGACCTGTCCAGGCCCTCTTCCGGGTCTTTGTCTGGGGCTTCCTCTTCCTGGTTCGGTTCCGAATGGGGGCTTGATACTGTGCAAGGCTCAGGATTTGAGGGCCGTTGGTAAGGGGAGATGAGCCTTTTCGAGGGCGAGTTCTCGTCGGAATATGGATCGGGGTTGAGTGGTCGCTCGTATGGCGAAGGTGTCAGTGGGCTTGACGGCGAGTTGTTAGTGCTTGGGGGTGTCTGTCGTGCAATTGACTCCAAGAGGTCGTTGCGCGAACCATCAAGAGCGATGAAGTAAGATGTCTCTGGATACAACACAAAACGCCGACCGAGGTCGTCTTCGGCTGAGATGGTCGGGCCAGTCATTTTGCTTTCGAGGTCCTTTTCATGTTTCTTAATGTTGATGACCGTGAGGGGACTCGAGTTGACGTTGGTTGGGTCCAAGTTCCGGATTGTAACCAAAGGGCCAGAGTGCGATCCTGGAATATCCTTTTCGTCTGGATCCTGACCACAATGGCAACACTGCTTGGGCGGGGGGGTGGCGACCCTCTTTGGCGGCAAACAAGGTGACTTGGGGGTCGCCGGCTCGCTCAGCTCATCAATTCTCGAAGTAACGACAGATGTGTGAAGGGAAGCTCTTGTGCTGATCCGCAGCCCTGATTCTGAGCCAAGCGATGACATGGGTGTGACAGTCCTGCCAGCAGGACTGTTCCGGCAAAGCAAGCCACTGTGGGTCCTCACTCGACGGACCTCGTCATTGTGGGAGAATATTGTGCTTGTTCGACTTGGAGGCCGAGAGGATATCCACTCATCCTCTTTGGGCGGGCTTCGAATGGAGAGCGATGGCGACAAGGACGCAGCCCGAGGTACGGGCTGACTTGGGCCTGGAACAACAGGCAGCTTTCTATTGACATAGGCCAGCATGTCTAGATACCCTTCAAAGTCGTTAATTGAGACACCGGTATCAATTTCATCGGTGCCGGCTCCACCTCCGATGCCTGATCTTGAGCTATCGTCATCGGGAAGGTTGGGTAGAGGCTTGTTGAGGTTGATCGGGGTGTGGATACGGATAGGCGCAAGAGATGGCGGCCTATCTGCAGTCACCGAACTAATCTGGAGCCTAGGTTTCGGCCCACGTAGACTCGCTGAGCGTCTGATTGCTGACTTGGCTGCCTTCACCTTCAGCGACAACGTCGACATAGATCTTCGCAACGGTAAGGGTACGGCGTTGGCCGGAATATCGCCTTCGGCTTCCTTGGGCTTCCCTATGGCCATTTCTGGCCCAAGCAAGAGAAACATAATGAGGTCCCGGATGTAGAGAAATGGACATGACCTGATCAATGATACGCGTTAGCCGCATTAGTAATCTGGAAACTAGAGCTTTGCAAAGAAGATACCCAAAATCCCATAAATTCGTGGGATCGTCAGCACAAAAGTCGCGTGACTAGGTAGTGATATCCAGCAATCAAGGGCTTTGAGACCCAACTTCTCCTCACGATTGGGTTTCGAAACACCCCGGCGCACCGTTCACTTCAACAGAAGCCGTGAACCTTGGAAGGTTATCAGAATTGCGGTACAGCCGTAAAGAAGTGTACTACACATTGCCGCCTGGATCGGCGAGACCCAGGGATGGACGACTTCCACGGTTGGAACTCCCGGACGACGTGAGTGATAAACAATCATGACAACCGATCGGAAAACACAGGAGCCAACATCGCTTCCACACCACTCACCCGGTTTTGTAACTGGCCTAGATCTGCATCCTTTTGTTGCGAGCTGAGAATTGATGCATTAAAGTCGAAATGGTACCGACTACATATGTAGTACAATTGAGGCTCACCCTGCCCAACTCTCGACAGCAGCAAAGGCACCTGGGTAACGACAGTGACAGTAATTGGCCTGGTATTGCTCACCAGGCCTGGACGGGGCCAGCTCGATTGATGAAGGTCAGGTGCCAGCCGTGCCATGCGCCGTCGCGTCGCAGAAAAATATCTTCGGTTGCATTGGTTCCTTGCGCGTCTGTTTCTTGTTTGACCATTGCAGGGTAAAGGCCGCGCACGGTCAGGTTGGCATCTTGATTCCGCCTCAAACTTTCGTGTGTCGCAGGCTCACAAACCGATTGGTCTCATTAGAATTTCCCATTGCGTCAACTAGCCCCCTTTGAGCGCGGAATCACGCCCAAAACCTTCGCTCCATACCTGTCAACTGCGCGTAAATGCAGGCTTCGTGCCCAGAACTGCGGCTGCTTTCTCCCCCGTCCCTTTCAGCGCTCGGACAACGGCACCCTAGGTGCCCCCAATCACACCCTGTGATGCTCTGATGCTACCTGATCACCCGCATCGGATTTGAGGCCCAAAAGTTAATATCCCTCCAAACATGCCAGTATGCTTTGACCACCGCGGGATCTGTTCGCCCCTAGTCTGCTTGTTTGCGTGGATGCCCTGCAGCAGCGCGCGCAACTTGCTCGTAACTCCAAAGAGGATGAGCCAGCCAAGGCATACAAGAAGAATCAATATCATGAACAAAAACTTGCAAGTATTGAGCTGCATGCTTATTTTTGGTTTTTCTGGAAGTTATGTAATGCTATAGTGTCTGTTTCAGTCCCTATGCCTTCCAAATCATGATGTGAACACTTGTAGTCCACAATCAACATCAGCGAAGCAGTCCCAGGTTCTGTACCTGAAAAGAGTAGATAGGATGAGTGTGACCCGGAGACAGAACTACACGTGTTTCGTTAGAGGAAGTTCAAGTTGAAGTGGAACCCAGCCTTGGGACGCACCACGAAAAAGAGGAACGACAGGACTTCTGCGTTGAGGGATATTGGCAGAATCGGGATTGGTCTTTCATCGAAGCCCAAATTTGCGATCAGTCTTGCTAGCATGGCCGTCACGAAGAGCCCTGTGCACAAGGCTCTCACTTCTTCGATTGCTCTTTGCCTCCACGCTAGAGATACGCAGCTACCCATGTTGAGGCTTTGTCGATGATATTGTATACTTAAGTATGAAAGCCCTCGATGCTGATTGTTGTCCGAACAATATAGAAGGAAGTGTGGTGTATTGATTTGCAGAGAAAAAAAAGAAGGAAAAACACAAACAGTGCAGCGGGAGGCGATGAGGAAAAGCTTGCTAATTTTATTGTTGATGCCCATGTGTTGTCTATTGTGTAGCCGATTCCGGCGATAATTTGCCATAATGCCAACGCCCAGGCTTTCAAGCCTATTCAACTCAAAGCCCGCACATTGGACTAGGAATTTGCAACGAAAACAATCTTTTCTTCGAACTTGATGCCCCCAAGCGACCCTAGCAAGCTCTGGGTATCGGCTCATGTGGATACGGGCTTCTCACAAGGCAGCGCACCACGACACCAGAGCATGTCCCATTTTGCACATCTCATATCCCATCAGCACTTAAAAAGAAATCTTTAGCATCATACCATCCAATTCAAATGGACCCTAGGGTAAATTATTAACAAGCAAGTAGTACAGCACCCGATCTTTTTCAAACTCTTGGAGCACAGCGGGAGGTCGTGCCAGTATCAACGATGGCTCTCTACCTAGGTCATCTCCAAACCCAAAAATTTTAACAACATGTTAGTCAATTGACAAAATCGAAGATCCCTGGACAACAAGACGGAAAGCGTCTGGCCACTAAGGACTGACGAGAGTTTCCCTGCGAGCCTGCTGCATCACGATCAATAGTCGGTCGATATATTGGCGGCTGAAGTTCTGTAGCGAACAGCACGCCATGGTATTGTAATACACGAGAACTAAGTAATATAATTATATCCTGATCCTCTCACTTTTCGGCAGAGATGGATGTCTCGGTCCGTCTCACCGGCTGTGATGGCCCAAGAATGTGCTTGACATGCTTAGGCTGAATGGCGGTACCGTACTGGCAGACCAGACTATTGAGGGCTAGAGGATTACCTTGTGCACATTACGATGCAGTTTTGAGCACCTTTTTAGACTGGAGCTCAGAAGTATCGTTCTCTTCTGGCTCTGGACTCGCACAAACGTGCAGTCATTGTTGTACCAAGCAGAAATCTTGACCCCGCTAGGAATATAAAGAAGGCGCAGCGTCACTCAGACTTGCTACCCAGGTAATAAGGGAGTTCCAAAGCTCCCTGCAAACATAATCGCACCACGAAAATGAAGTTTCCACTATACTGCATCTTTGTTCTCCTGCTTGCGGTATCATATGGGCTCGAGATCGAAGCAGGAAAGCCAACAACCACGACGGTCACCGTGACTGTCACTGTGTCTCCCACGACGAAGACTACCACGGCCAGCAAGAGCTCAACATCCGAAACCTCAACTTCCAAAACCTCAAAGTCCAAGACAACAACCTCGAAGACCACAACCTCGTCGAAGACCAAGACCAAGACCAGCGGGACTACATTCACGACTAAGACGACTCTAACAACGAAAACCACTTCAAGCAAGACGGAGTCGTCCGAGTCGTGCGCACCTACCGCCCCCGCTGGGACTCAGAGCCTCTATGGGCAGTGTCAGTCCATATTACCCTTAGTCCTCGCAGAATATTGTCCCGTGCTGATGATTCGAGTCAAATTTAGGTGGTGGTCTGAACTACTGCGGCCCTACCAATTGTCCGAAAGGGGCATATTGTCGGGATGGGTTGTTAGATGACAAGTGAGTCACGTCTGTATCACACTTTTGGGAGTCAATTGGTCATTGATGCAGCCACAGCCCTTACTACTCTCAATGTGTGGCAAGCACCACCAAAGCGTCTGATCCTGTCGTCACTAGCACCGTGATAACCACTGTTACTGCCAAGCCCCCCAGCTCAAGTGTCACATATACCACTATAACACTGACAGTTACTGCTACTAGCGAGATTTAATGTGCGTAGGAACCTTAGGAATGTAAGAGAGTAGTGGTTCAATATGTGTTATAGGTCGCGGGTGTTTCTAAGCAGATATGTGGAGACGACCTGATTGGCGAGTCTTTCAAATATTCGTATGAGGAAACAGCTCAACACCCAGGTTTCAATGAATGCTATCCCTTTCAAAACCTTTCTTCAGCGTCACGGTGTGCCTGTAGGTTCCTGTCGTTGCAGGCTTACATAACGCAGCTCGGCCATCCCGGGCCCGGGCAGAACCCCTGCAGTGGCTGGCTGGTGTGGCTCAGTCATCAAAAACGTCACTGCAGCTTACTTATTTGAAGCAGGTAGATGGTCTTGCCCGTACCACATCACACGCCTGGAGAACGCTGATAGATCAAACATGGCCTCCAACGATCCAAGTGGGACACCGCCAGCAGAGGGTTCTTCCTCGAACTCGGAGTCGCAGTCGGCATACAACGACCTGAAACGCCTGATCCCCTCGCTCGCTGCAGAACTGGAACTGCTCAGGACCTCGCTGCGCGAACACAGCCTGTGGCTCCTCCGATATGGCCACACAAACAGCCTCCCTGGGGCACCCAGGGCAGGACCCTCCGGCCAGACAAGAACACCACCACCGCCAACAACAACAAGCACCGTCCAGCCGCCCACCGTGCACTCGGACCAGGATCGGTACATCGAGCCACGGCCCATCCCTCCCCCGCCAGGGCCGCAGCAGCAACCTCCACAGTCATCCTCCTCGCTAGCATCGTCGTCGTCAGCAGCAGCAGCAGCAGCAGCAGCCTCACAGCACCTCCCGCCGCCGCCGCCGCCACCACCTCCCACTGGCGACCAGGAAGCCGAGCTCCCGGGCTACTCGGCCTCGGACCTGCCGCCCTACACGGGCGGGTTCAGCACCGTGTCGGCCTCGACGCGCGAGGAGGTGCGCCAGCGCCGCGACCAGCTGACCGAGTGGCTGCGCGAGGGCGAGGACGTGCTGCGCGAGTACTCGGCGCGCTTCGCCCAGCTGGCCGAGGAGCTGGGCCAGCCCGTCGAGGACCCCCTTGGCACCTGGCACAACGCCAACCCGGACAACGCCCTGCCCGACTACCAGCAGGTCGAGGAGCGCGAGGAGCTGATGGTCGGCGGCGTCGGGGAGGTGCCGCCGCCCTACCTGGGCGAGAGGCCGACGCCCAAGGGCGGGCAGGGGTGAGTGTGAGGAGGAGGAGGGGGGGGGGGCACAGTTGTTGCTTCGTGGGAAGACTGCGGGTCGGAGTAGTGGTTCTTTGCGGGGTTTGCTGATAGATTCGACTTTGGTATGAGAAAGTTGCATGTGCTCAGTGATTCCATGCAATCTAGCCGCATGATACCCATTCATTCCCTTCGGGCCAAAGACTTCAGATGTTCCTGCCGCACCCACGGCGCCCGTTGCAGCTTACCACCGGTGCAGAGGGTAACATGGATAGACGAGGAACAATTAGCTGCCTCAAAACACGACCGGTCACGCTCACCGATGTCAAAAATATTCATTTCGCTTCCTAGCGATACTGACAGAAGCCAAGCCGCGTTGTAGCACCCTAGATAGAGGCTTGTCTCGGGTCGCCCATGTGGACGTGAACAACGTTGAGTTGACCTGACCTTGTATGACCCTGGTGTGCGTGATCTGTCTCGAATAAGGGCGAGGACGGAGAAACAGCAAACAGCACGCCCGTGGTTGGACCACGTGAGGAGGGGGGAGGCGAGTCGCAAAGGCGAGGCAAAACCCAAAGACACCGCCGGCAAGCACAGTGCCAAGCATGAAAAAACCATACACATGAGAACAACTTGACGACGCATCTCATCATACGTAACCTACAGATGATATCTCGTCGCCCACCTTTGGGGACGTATAGTCAGGGTGCCGCCATGAGCCCCCGGGGGCGGGGAAGGGACGCAGCACCCGTTCCGCAATGGAGCACGGCAGATATTGCAGGCGATGACAAGGACGATGACAGCGAAGGATTGTCCGAAGATCCTACGGTGTTCCAAGACACCGCATGCCGCGGGCAGACACGGCAAGGAGGGTCACACACAGCCGACAGGCAACGTCCCGAGACATACTTATCATAAGCATCGTCAAGAGCTCATATCTGCATACATACATGCTTGTTCGTTGGTCACAAGATTGCGTGCTTAAAGGCCTTGTCGGACTGTGCCAACTCTGGGATCCATAGGTTGCTAGCATGGTCCGTGACGACGGCAGCGACGTTTCTCAGCTACGACGGGCCCACCGCGAGACGATCTCGTCCCTTTTAACATTACGACCCCTTGCTAATACCGCAGCCTCGGTCTCTACGCCATCAAGCCTGCTTGCAATACGATGGACTTCCTGTGCCAGGATCACAATGGACGACTCGATCCCCGGATCCACCAGGCCGTTGGGATTTTCCGCCAGAACCGAATCCCTGATCAGCTGGATCGCGCAGCGTGCGTCCGAGAGGTGGGCTGTAGCTGCGTGCTCGAAAGTAGATTGGACACTGTCAGCGACGTCAGCCGCATTCTGCCTACGCTCTGCGAGCGTCCGTGATAGAAGTGAAGCCGTGGCGCTCGGATGGTCATCTTCTGCCGGCAGAGAAATCCCCAACTCCCCCAGAAGGTGTTCTAATGGCGACTGGTTGGATGCGCCACCAGAGGAACGCCTTCGCGATTGTGTGTTTGTCCTTGCACGGCGAGGCGCAGGTGTCATCATGTCGTCTGCAGGTTGGAACCGTCGGGCCGGCGATGACAAGTGGGGAACATTGGCATGATCTTTGGCGGTGTTTGAAGCGACCGTGGTTGACAACTCAACCTTCGCAGTTGAAATCATGGCACATGTAGCGCTTTCGTGCGCTTTGAATAATGCCACACGCTCGGACACCCGATCAATTCGATCCTGAAGGTGGTCCAAGCAGTCGAGAATCTGTTGCCCGCTAGTCAGATACTGATGAAGCCATTGAACTCAGTTCTTCAAGGGCCATGACAATTCTCGAAGACTCACATAGTGAATGGACACAGCGGCGTGACTAAGCCCTTGGCTAGTATTTGTGGACAGTGATCTCAGAGAAGGCTCCAACCACTGCTGTTCGACAGACATCTGCGCCACCGGCAGAATCTCCGAGTACAATGACTCTAATTCTTCTTGTAGAGCTGAAATCTCTTCTTTTGAAGCCCGCGTTTCAGATCCTGATCCTGATCCTGACGCTGAGCTGGACTGAAGGCTTTCGAGGTACGATCGGTCCAATTGCGTACGGGTGCACTCCACGTTGTACTTGATCAGTCTGGCACAAATCTCCCGGAGCTGGCTGACAGTTTCCGCCTCCCCGCGATCCTCCATGTCGAGCTCCAAACCAAGCTTTTGGAGACTAGACAAAAGTTTGTCGTCGGAGTTGAAGACATCGTCAACAACATTGGCCAGGTCTTTGGCTGAATCCTCGATTCCCTGACATAGCTCGGAGATGCGGCAGTCGATGCCTTGTGACAGGAGCTCTACCTGACGCCCAAGTCAGCAAGCAACCAGGATGATGACGCGGTCAGACTTGGGGCTCACATTTGTCTGCAGGGCCTTGCGGGTTGACTCCCATTCGTAAAGTCGCTTGGCCTCGAGATCAGAGCGAGCGTCGCCATTCTTTCCGCTGGCTGCGATGAGCCGCGAGACGGCGTTCTGTTGCTGACGCAGAGTCTCAGTCTGCTTGTTGATGGCATCGGTAGAGCGGTTGAGCTCCCCAATAGCGTCCAAAAGCTCCTGGTCATTCGAAGGCTGTACTCTTGACAGATCTGCAGACGCTGCCAGGCTCTCGGCCTTGCCACTTCGTTGGAGAGCCAGGTATCTAGGGACTGGGTTAGCCGAAAGTGCTAGGTACCTAGGTAGCCGAAAGGCCAGGGTTTCAGGGGATATTACGAACGAGTTCAGCTCGTTCTGCGTGAGAAGCGTGTCTGTTACGAGGTGCGACTTGGCCCACTCGGACAACAGTCTCCCCTGCTCCTCGTCTCGAAAGACGGCGTCGAGGGAGGACTGGTCGACGGGTACCTCGTATCTCCGCAGCAAGCTGATCAAATCTGCATCAGCCATGATCGCATCGAGGGCTGCGGATGCAAGGGCCTCGGTGACGGTGAGGCTGTCGCTGCGACTACCGAGAGGGGAGCACTGGACGTGCGTGCAGGTTACTGGATGCAGGCCTCTTGTCTGGCCTTGTCCTGTTCTAGCAGGCAGGCGTCTGCAAATGTCCACTCATCAGGGGTACGGAGTACAGACGAGACGAGTAAGCCTGCCTGAAAAGCCCAGAGTACAAACAAACACAGCCCAAAGAGCCGCAGAAGTCGCGATGGATGTTGTTGCGCTGACGACTTATCAACCAATCAGGCTGTCGCTGCCCCTGACCGGCGCCCCACCTTGGCTCGGATGGAGCCGTTGCACAGCATGGGCCTGGGCAGGCTGGCAGCATGGCTGCCGTTCAGGTCCTGAGGTCCCGACAGGAACGTCTGTGCGTTTGTCTTTGGTTGACCAGTGCCAGGCAGGGCAGCAGCACGTCACCCATATTGGATCACCACCCACCCACCTGGGCACATACCACCTCTTCCCAAGTACCTAGTCTAGGTACCGGGGTTGACTTTGTTTGAACGCTGTGCGTCGATCGGCTTTCAAGTGTAGAAACCTGCTTCAACTCCGCAAATTCTTCAGCTTGCGAGAGACCATGCAAACAGAAAGGTAGCGAATACCTGCAGACCTCCTTGTTCGTATTTGCCAAGACGAAGCACCAACTGCAGCGCTCACACTTGCGGACTTGTCAGCATACGTTTGAGCCTTCGTGTGTGGCTCCTTCTGTCTTTTTGCCCGCACAACACGTAACAAAACCTCCCGAGGTCATCGTCTTCTCCTTCATGGGCGGCTGAGTGCGTTGGCTGCATCTGCCTGCATGAACCGGCTGCAACGGCTTACTGACACGGAGAACTGAACAGCACCGCTTTAACTGCTACAAACACTTATGTGACCCGAAATCTGCCGTACTCTCGACGAACTATGCCGGTTGCTGCTGCAATATTTCGACAGCATAGCCGACTTGGGGTGCTACCCTTACTCCGGTCAGCCCCCGGATCTCCGTGCCTCACTTTGGGATTTCGGGTGACCTGCTCCGGGAGGCGTCTATGGCGGTGAGTATGGCCATGTACTCCCCCCTCTCTCTCTGAGGGAAAACACGGCTTCAACGCTCAGGATCTAGAGCATATCATCAACAACGATTTTCGCAAAAGCTCTTCCAAAATCTCGCATCATTGCGCTGTCCCTAGCCCCCGAGATCAGCACCGTCGCAGTGCCCTCTGTGAACTTAATCTCTCTCGCCGAGAATCTATGGATAGTACACTCGAGGAAAACCACGACCCAACCCTCCGTTTTGTTGACTGACCACATCAAATATACCTACCCTTCACCACTTCAACCTCCAAACTTCGGAGGCTTGGCAGATCCCTTGGTGCCCTGTCAGGTGGGCTTGGAATCACTACTTCGCCGCCATCCCAAGATTCATTCCTGGCTTGGGAGTGCTCTGAGCACAGGAACGCCATTTCGCTTGTCAAGGGCCAAAATGGAACGAACAGGTCTGCTGTGCAACTTGCACAGCATGACATCAAAACAGTACCTCGAGCTAACCAGGCATCTCTGACAGGCGGTAACGATCACGAGACCCAAATTTAGCTGCAAGGAAAGAGAGCACCCATGATATCAAACAGGGGTTCTCCAGGCTATTCTTGCCACCCATCAGCGGTGTTGCCATTGTGAAGAGTCCTGAGAAACGGATGGCTGTCGGTTTCGTGTTCCTGTGGTTCATGGCCTGAGTACAGCAAGCATCTTATGTTCGTCCCGAAGCGCTGGTCAAAGGCAAGACACCTACTTGCCTTTTGGTCTGGCAGAGGCGCCGAAGCGCCTCTGCGGCGTCTGACGATTCTAGGCTGAGACAGTCTCCGTTGCCGTATCCAGATCCTTCACAACGCTTAGTTCAGCCCCCGGGGCACCAGGCATGATGCGACAGACGCTGAAAAGCCGCCACAGATTCACGACCACGGGACGGAAATTGGTATAGGGCCTGTCGATAAGTATAAGTGCGCGAGCCTTCCCAGCCGGCTGGAAGCCGGTGAGTGTATCTACGTGTTCAACAAGCAACCCAGACCCATACCCTGTCTTATCTGGCGCTCCGTTTGTGCACTACCAACGACTGCTGAGAGCCCTTCACTACAGAGTGTAAATGTTCCTGCCGTGAAAAGATGGGCAGGTTGCTGCTGTGCCTGGTGCGGCTGGCTGCATATACCTTGCAACGAGTCACCCCTTAGTCGTCTACCATCACGGGCTATGAGGCGCTGCAGCTTGACCAGCTTACCGGTGACCTTGGGCTACATCCCTGCGGGGCAAGATGCGCCACACCGTCTGGGAAAAGCTCTTCATTTTCGTTTGCGCAACCCTCTCCTCCAAGCCCCCTCACATCTGGACGCTCCCAAACTGGCCAATACGGTGGGTCGAAGCCCGGTAATCATGATCGCGCAGGTACTTCTCTTTCAACTCGCCCCAGCCGTGCGTTTCAAGATGCCTGTCAGAAGTGTTTACTTAACTCGTCACTCGTCAATCCCTTCTTGCCCTGTCGAAATTGGATTTAGGCATGGTATCCGCAGCAAGCCCCTTGTCGGGTACTGGCATTCAGTGGCTCGCCAACTGCCGTCGGGATGTGCCTCCGAACGATGCAAGCTTCAACCCCTCAGCTATGTCCATCGCGCGAGGCTACTTGTCGGCATCCCCTGATCAAAGCAAACACACTAGCGAAAGCTGAACTCAACTAACGGCATGATTGTTTTCGCCTCTTGTCACAATATAGCGAGATGTCAACAAGACACGCGGCTGAACATGTAGAAGGCGAATGTCCAATTTAGGCGAACAGAAGATGTCGATTTACCCCTTAGTTAAACTCTCGGTGCGAAGTCGACAACCCGCAGCATCGGCGTCTTCATGCCATGCATTGAATGTGGCTTCTGGCCACTGGATGCTAGGCCGGAGACTTTTCTTTTGTTTGGCCCTGCCACATGCAGCCAGGAATGATGCGGGACTTTACCTTCTGAACCATCGGGGACGGTCTCTTATTCGCCCATGCAGTGCTCCCATATCCATCATAGTTGGCTCCTGGCTGTCAGACTATACTTAGGCGAGGCCCACCGACTGTCCGCGTCAAGACTGCCCTCTTACAACATACGGGGTAAGGTTGGCGGCCGATTGGCAGCCCCGCTCAACCTTCTGCCCACCGTTGGGCATGTCAACATGTCTTGCTCTGTACCTGAGACATTCGGGAACAGTGATCGAACGACGAGAGTCTAGCAGTGTGTGGCTTCGTGTCGTGGTCGAACGCCGTCTGTCATGCCTCTAGGCCCTCTTACTCTTCTTTCACGGGCTCTCCGAGCAACAAAGACACGCGAGCTTTGGCAACACGTCACAATACGCAGCCAGGCGTCTATCCGTTTGTTACATGCATGACGAGCATACGGGTAGCGGGTTCGCACTCACGGGGCTGAAATGCTCGGTCATCAGAGCAAACAGAGGATATATGCGAGCATGCAGGGGGAATGGCGTCCTGTAGAATTCTCTGTTCTTCTCCTCCCACGTCACTTAGGTTTCTTCGGCGCGATGGGTATGATGGCTGAGCATCCAGGCGTATGCGTGTGTCAACCTCACACTAGACTCAAGCACGACGGGCAACGTTAGGCGGTACTGCTGCACAAATCTGGGCCATTTTCAAGAGGGTCCATGATAGTACGCCTTGTCCGACGCATGTTGCTCTTGTACATGGAATCACTGCATTTCAAACGCGATTGCCGTGTTGGGTCCCCTTCTTTCTGCATGCCGTGTTTATTTCTGTTGTGCTCTTGTGTGTCTTTATATCTTGTCCACAGCCCCGATTCTCCAGGCTGTCACAAGAGAGCCTCCCAAGTTTGCTTGTCTATATTTGATCTGGACGTACTTTTTCCCTCCACTTCTGTTTCACCCTGAACCGATCGTGTGGACCAGCCGGGAACTCACTCGCCTGGACTGTTTACTCTTGTCTCACTTAACCTGTTGGATGCGAGTCACCGTCGCATGCAAGTCACCCTGATACCTGTCATCTGAATACCTGCCTGCCACCCTTTCCCATCAAATTTACACTCTCTGTGTGGCAAGCCATTGAGTGGCTGATGGGACGACAAACGCCAGGGAGTCCAGGCGAGAGATGTACACGTGAAGCATCCTTACAATGATTTCAATCAAAGGTGGTTGGATCGGGGCGTTGGTCGACACTTCGGAGAACGTGAAGCACTACTACAATATTTTTATTGCCGTTGTGTTCTTCTTTGTGGCCCAATTACTCATATGCGCCTGGAACCAGCCGTTTTGGTCCGCTGGCCTGGAGTTCCCGGGCCAGATCGTCGCCATGGTGTTCGTGTGGCTCACCATATGGGCACTCCAATTGCTTCTTTACGACCCCGGCCAGGGGCTCGACAAATTCTATCGCAGGTTTCTCAGAGCTCCGGTGAGTGGCAGCCTTCTCTGCCCATCCCACCACTGTTTAATGTTCTCTAGGCGGAGACATGTGCTGACATTCACTTCTGGCAGACGGAAATCCTGAACAAGCACATGTCTATTGGCTTTACAGTGCCATTCCTGAATCTTATTGGCCACTCAGTTGCGAACAACAACCAAGTTGGTCTGCTCGTAGCAGCATTCGGTGCGTTGCCTCAGCTGACCGCGTTATAACTCGTTTTCGCCTCTCAGGAGATGAGGGAAACCGCACTCAAGTGGTCACGGCTGACGGACTGTGGCGTTGTACAGTTGTGACGGGCGTACTGAACTCGATGTTGGTTTACGTCGTTGCATGCCACGTGCAACTGGCAGCCACAAAGATAGCACGTTGCCTGCGGTGCAGCCCTGTGCCGGATATCGAGGCAGCACGAACGCAAACATACATTTCTGGCCATGACCCCCCGCAGATGAATTTCCGAACCGAAGCCCCGCGTCACGGCGGTGGATCGACCCATTCGGATTTGGGCCGCATTGCAGAGGAAGACAGACGACGCCAGCGTTCCCGGAAGCACATCAGTGATACATCGACGCTGTGTACCATGTCTGGTGACATGAATGAGTTGAATGGTCCGGAAACGGCTCACAACGGGCAGCCGAGAAGTGTGAAAAAAGTTCAAGATGGTCACTGCCGGCCTGGTGACGGCCAACAGCAATTACGGGGCGGTCACAGGGCACCAAACATAGCTACGGAGAGGGCGGCACTATCCCCTTCGCCGTTCAACGCAGTCTTCGCCGTGGTTTTCATATGGCTTTCACAGAACATTCTTCTGACAATCTCTCTGCTATCCCTGCTCCTTGTGGGCTTGCCTGTTTCCTTCCTGCAACGAAACGACATCTACACCGACATGAGCTTTCTCTTCACGATCTGGCTGACCTTCAGCTCCGCTCAGCTGCGGACGAAACAGCTGGCAAGCCAGGGTCACAATCGCAGAAGAGCGCTCACAGCTGCTGCTACCCTTCTCAACCCGGTGCTCTGGACCTCGCTGTCCCTCGTCTGCTACGGGATTACAAAGTCCAGCATACGCCACCAGTCAAGCGCTGCCGTGATCGCAGGGTTTAGCACGAAGAACACGGTCTCAGACATAATCGCCAACCACGTCAACATCCGACCCACGGCAGCCGGCGACGACGAATTCCGGCCGGGTTCCGTCCCCATCGGCGCGGGAGACGTGGCGACATCCATCCTCAACGCAGGCATCGTGTCATGGGGGCTCAAGCTGTTCGAGTACAGGCACCAGATCGTGTCTTCGGGCGGGCTCACCGTGGTGGTCACTTGTCTCCTGGCCTCGGTCCTCAACATCGTGGCCTGGCCCACGCTGGCCCACGCCCTCGGCGTCGTCCCGGCCTCGTGGAGCCTCAGCTTTGCAGCGAGGAGCGCCACCATCGCGCTGGGCGGGCCGGCGATGAAGAGCCTGGGTGGCGACGCTGGGATCAACGCCGTGGGCGTGGTGGTCAATGGGATCTGTTTCCAGCTTGTTGCTGGGTTCTTGGCACCGGGCCACATTTTCGCCGCAGGGGCTGGGAGATCCGAAGAAGCACCCATACATAACGGCTGGACCGGGTTTGTCTGGAACGACAGGGCCCACGAGCATCATGAACTGGATTCATTGGCACCAACTCCAGTTCGCGGCGAGGTTGCAGGCATTGTTCAAAGGGACGAGGAGCCCCAGCCCAGCAGTGACCGAGATGTCAGGTACAGCTCCGATGCGACGCACATCGGCGAGCGGAGGCCGGAGGACGAGGACGATGCAGCCCCATGGGGACCAACCGGCGTCACGTTGAAGAACAATGACCACAGCACGGGCGCCAACATGGATTCTCAGCCGACACACAGCGACGACCAAGCACAAGCGCACGGAGATGTCAGCCCTGACGCCTTGTCCGTCGTGCCCACCGTGGCCGCCGGCGTGACCGTTGGGATCAACGCCGCGGCTATGGGGACGGCCCATCTGTACGAGCAAAACAGCCGCGCTGCGCCATACTCTGCGCTGTCGATGACCATGTTTGGGGTGTTCACGGTCTTGTTCACCATCCGGGGCCCATTGACCGAGTGGCTGGTGAGGACAGTCGGCGGCGAAGAAGCGCAGGCGGTGATGATGTTATGACATGAGCAGGACGGAAATGAGCGATCCGGAAAGGGATTGCTATGAATCATGTTGGAGAGACCTGGGATTTCCTATTGTGTGTTGATGAAAACGATGAACTGGATAGACGAAACGAAGCACGCATGACGGCTGGGTTTGCATGGGATGTCATATTTGAAACTGGGCCAGATACCCTGCTTGCCTGCATAGAAGACATAGATCTGTGATTGATTTTGGCGGCGCATGACGGGCTTTGGGTTATTGGGAGCAGTGGGTATTTCATATGTCGAGGCAGGCGGTAGGTAGATTTACGGTGCACATCAGGTCTGCCAACGAAGGTTGCCGACCACGATCGTAGCACCATGAGGAATTCCAATGTGTGCGGCACATGTACGACTCGTCTTGGTGTTTGCATAGTCACACTCGATGCTGCTGACGGAGCTTCGGCCGAGGGGTCATTCATTCCCTCTGTTCTCCTCGCCCATGGATGGTCTCAGTAAATTTGCAAGATTCAAGTAAAAAGCCGTTGCGGCTGAGCGTCTTGCACCGACACCAAATGGCGCCATTCTTCGCCATGCCCTTTTCCCCGTGCCCGGTCCTAGATAGCACAAAAATATTTACTCCAGGCGCTCAATCAAGTGCAGGCCGCTGGCCGTATCCACGACGCCGGAGATGTCACCGGGCTGGAGCGCGAACGCGGCGTCCTCGAACTCCTTCTGCATGTCGCCACGGCCGAAAAACCCCAGGTCGCCCCTCTTACGTGCGCTGCTGCAATCGGACTCGGTGACTGCGAGGTCGCCGAGGGAGATCTCACCGCTCTTGATGCGCTCCTGGTGGGCCTCGATGATCTTTTGTGCTTCTTCTTTGCTGCGAGTGATGTTTGACTGTGCGCGAATGAGAATGTCAGCTCTTGTCTAGCTTCTTATCCTCCTGCAGCTCGGCCGCGTCGATGTGCTCGCGGCCTTGGTGACCAGGCTGGACAGCGCATCCCCTTTGGATATATATCAGACCCGAAGGGCGGCCAGAAGCAGCAGCACTTCGCCGAGCGTGTGTCCTCCTCCTCGTATGCGAGGTTGTTCATTGCCCCGCCCCTTCCATCCCAACGTACCTCTTTCCAGCTCATTGGCCTCCGGCTCTGGTTATGCTTGACAAGCAAGTGGGCGGCCCTGATCTTGCCGGAGTCAGCCCCTCCGGCGCCGGTGTTAGCGGCGCCGGAGCCGGTATTGGGGCTGTGGAACTTGGCCATGTAGACCTTGAGCTTCTCGGTGTCTGTTCCTGGTGGGGGCTCCCAGCGGGAGTTGCGGTCGTTCGAGTTGAAGTAGTAGGGCAGGTTCTTTGAGTTGCTGTGGCGGACCTCCCAGTTGGGGGGGAGGCCGGTCTCGGGCTGGGCCAGGGGCAGAGGCGAGTTAGCAAGGACTGGTTCATTGTCTCTTGCCATAGTAAAGTTCCAAAGTAAACAAGGCAGGGCAGGGGGAGGACAGGGCTTACTTGAGTGTCTGCCATATTCAATGACCTTGTCTGTGATGAGCGCAAGCAATTGTGTGCGTTTGGTGTATAGCACGGCTGAGAAATCCAAGGGAACGGACGGCTTATATGTGTGCTGTCGAGGCTTGGGGAATCAAGGTGACAAGCAAGAGGTGCGGACGGGATGAGGATCGAGTTGGAGGTCAAGGTCAAAGTAAGTAGGCAGGCTAAGCCGCCTAGGAGGTTGTCCAAGTGACGTGCAGGGAGTGGGTCTCCCACAGCGCCTTCCAAGGTCTTACTGGCCGGGGACAGCTGGGGCGGGGGCGGGGAGGATCCTGAGCTCCAAGGGGGTAGCTTTCTCGGCTGAGGCTGCTGGGATGGGGGGTTGGCTCACTGGCTCAGTGCCCCCGCCTTCGTGGGGGAGGACAAGCTGACCTGCCCTGCCACCAGCCTGCTTGCCTGCCTGCCTGCCCGGTGGGTGACATGTCCAGGAGCACATTGGCGCACTGGCACACCTTTGTGCCTCTGCGCCTCTGCGCCTAAAGTAGTGCAGGCACAGGTGCTAGTGCAACTAACTGTGGGGCACCAGGCACCCACCTATGGCCTCACGGCTCCCGCGTGGGCTTGGGTGGGCTCGATCGAACATGTCCAGTCCGTATAGGGCATGTCAAGTAGCAGTCATGGCAGTCATGCAAGCACATCTTTGGGGGTCGTGTGGGAGGCACTCTAACTGACGGAACACCAAGGTAGGAACCACATCACGGGGCCTTTTTCAGCCCCTCAGTTCCCCCCTCTGACGCCAGGCACCTCGCAGAGCACGCACAGTATTACTACGGTACCACCAGGACGATCTACACCACTCCGAACCTCAGCAGCATGCGACGCCCGGTTTCAGATTGGCACAGTACAAAGCAACAAAGACAGAGTTTGGGGATCACGTGCGGCTGAGGGGTCGCGTGGGCACTTCAAAGCAGCAGTTGTGGCGACTATCCCAGGCTATCCGTATCCCCTATACGAATGAATGAGAATGAATAGCAGGGGGGACGGCTGGACTGGTGGTCATGGGTCGTGGTGACCTTGTCCCCATCTGCATCCAACTGTGACTGATCCTTTCCTGACTGTTGTTCTGGTGTGACACATAACGAATGGCTCCATCTGTGTGATGGCAATATCGACCCACAACCACATGAGCCTCTATTCTACGGTGATTATAGTCCAAATAATCTATCTAGTCTCTTCTGTAGTGTGAGCACACAGTAGTCTACTTCGTCCACCCGATCACTAAACTGACTGGGAGGTGCTGTAAGTTTGGGGTCATCTTGGCTTCCGTCAAAATGGGGCTTTGAAGCTGAAAATATATTCCAAATCTTATCCCGGCAGTAACACCATGTTTCCATCTATCGGATCTGTGAACAAAAAGGGAAGAGAAAGAATGGAGGCTCTTTGGCGTAAGCACTTGAAGGATTCCCAGAATTGTCCTTCATCTTTTCTGGTGACATGTTCTTTTCCAGAAACATGTGTGTGGGGTTGGCTGCTGGACAATAATGACCACAAGCCAACCGAGTTGACAGCACAGTAGACTACTGGCAGAAGCTTGCAAAGGTCGATAGAGGCACAGACTGTTCCCTCTAAAATTTCAAAATCCACCCATGCCATTTGTTTTCCCTCCCTCTTCTTTTTCCATCTTAATGGACAGAAAGCAGCAGACCAGAGAGTCATCGTGGGTTCCAGACATCAACTGATCGAAGCAACTAGACAAAGCGGCGGCCCCACCTAACCTTGCGATCGTCTCCTGATTCGTCACACCAAATTTGGGCCTGCCTGGTTAGGTACCTAGGTACCCAAAGCACTTGACCCAGTGCCCGTTTGGCCGCCCTCCGCCCTACGCCTGTCTTGCCGCCCGCTCCACATCAAAACGCTGCATCCACCTGCTTTCGGCTCCCCTGCCTTGGCTTGCTAATTCCCCATCAACCATCAAACAAAACATTCAATTGTTTTGCCCACCTCGACACTCCAACAACCATCATCACACAACACCGCCTCGATCCAAACGCGTCCAGGTGCCTCCCGAGACCAACAAACATTCCCACACAGTCTCGAATCTCAACCCTCAACTCGCAACACGCCGTCCTCGACCGACAAGATGTCCTCGCCAAGTTCGCCCAACGACAACGGTCCCTCCGTCGACAAGGACGAGCCCGTCACCTTCAAGTTCTGTCCCGAGTGCTCCAACATGCTCTACCCCAAAGAGGACAAGGACGCCCGCCGACTCATGTACACCTGCCGAACCTGCCAGCACACCGAGGAGGCCACCTCCAACTGCATCTACCGCAACAAGCTGAAGAACGAGGTCGGCGAGACCGCCGGTGTCACCCAGGACGTCACCTCCGATCCAACGGTTGGTGATGCCCCTCCTCCGTCTCCCTCCTCCAACAAGAAGTCTGCCCTTGTCATCTGTGGCTGCTGCGGCCAGGTCATTATGTGCTCTGATTGTGGACTCCACCCCGCCGTCATCTCCCCCAACGACAAACACCACGACGACGACGTCCCCTCCAGCCCTCCCGAGACCTACCAGGAGGAGCTCCTTGAGCAGATGATCGTCGACGAAGACGCCCTGAACCGCATGATGAACAACATTGTCGACATGGCCGGCCTCATGGAGTTGGACGAGGACATGGACGACTGGGAGCCCGAGAACGAGCCTGCGATTGCGGGCACTGAACTCCGCAGCGGCCCCAGCGAGGTCGCGACTGCCTAGCGGACGCGCACTTGGTCGAAATGCGAATCAAAAATATGTAACCACACCAACATCCAACACGTTGCCACCCGGTCGCCCATAATTCTAAACTGGCTGCACATGTCCATATCAGAGCACACCACACACAGCTGGCCCAGCAGCCATCGGGACAGGGAAGACGGTGTCTTCAGAAGCGGGTCGTCTTCGGGAGGATACAAGACATTTTGTTCTCCTGTTCAAGAACCTGCTGCTGACGTGTGATCTCTGTACGACAGCTTCCTCGTGCCAACCGGCAGTGCCCAAAGTGTGGCCACAACGAGGCGGTCTTCTTCCAGTCCCAGCAGCGGACGAGAGACACGGGAATGGTAAGTCATGACCGCCTCACAGGCCCTCCGCTTTACGTATGCTTTGTCTGGAAGGTGTCTGACATTTCATCTACGCCTTAGAAATTGTATTATGTCTGCTGCGAGTGTGGTGATATCTACCAATAGTCGAGGGAGGATCTACCCAACGATGCTACGATACCAAATTCTCCCCGCGACTTGCACGACGAGGATACAATCGACTGTGGCGGAGATGCCAGCAACGATGAAACCCCGAATCCTCTCTGCGATCTGCAACGCGTCAAGTCCTATTCGGATTTATTCGGCGACTATGACGACCAGGAGACAAACAGTGATGGTGGAGATACCTGCTGTGGAGGAGATGACAGCTGTGGCGCAGATGCCAGCAACGATGAAAAGCAGTGAACTGGTCGGCCCCGTCGGTCACGTATCCGAAAAGGTCCAAACATGTGTCTTATACAAGTTGCAGAGTAGCTTGGCGTTAGCGGTCATGGCCTGCACATCTGGAACATGAAATCAGGAAAGATAATGCATTGTAATTCTAGGAAAACAAAATTCCACGCGCATGCGTCGCGTGATTTGGGATGCACCAGTCGTGACGGTATCTCGATTTTTTGTTTTTGACTGTGTAAATTTACAATAGACACCCACGTAAAACCTTGCGCAAAGCTCTTTGTCTACCCCCTTCAACAGCTCGCGCCGGAGTAGTACAGCCGGTTCGCGTCTTCCGACCACGTCTCTGTGTTGATCGTCTTGTGTCAAGCGGGGGACTAGACCAAGAGCCATCGTCCACCCGCGCCGCCGCCGCCGCCATGCCTGCCAATCTCGAGCTGCATTCCCGGAGCCGTGATGGCTCCTCTCTTTCTGGTGTGCAACGCAAACCTGGGCGGTCTTCATCCACCCGCGTATTCCAAGATATATCCGTGTGACTGCGCCCCCACCCCAGCGCAACACCAGGAAGGAACACACCTAGGCGTGCATGGAGGCCATGCTGAGGATCTTGCTCCACTTCTTGCGGCGCAGCTCGGCGCCGACGACGCCGTTGATGCGGGAGCCGATGGGGTCGCCGGCCTTGTTGATGAGGACGCAGGCGTTGTCGTCGAAGCGGACGACGCTGCCGTCGGGGCGCTGGACCTTGTACTTTGTGCGGACGACGACGGCGTGGCGGATGTCGCCGCGCTTGACCTTGTTGCCCGAGGCGGCGCTCATGCCCTCGGCGTTGGCGCCGCGCTGCTGCTGCACGACGCACACGATGCGGTCACCGATGCTGGCGTGGCGCTTCTGCCCAACGACCATGGCGCACTCGACCAGGGCGGCGCCCGAGTTGTCGATGCAGTTGAGCATTGACTGTCGGTGGCGAGGGAGCAGGGCGGACGAGTTAGTCTTGTCTTTATTTCTTTTTTTATATGTTTTATTTTCTGGACTTGTCGAAGGGGGGGGGAGGGACATGGGGCCTGGTGGTGGATGGATGGGCTTGCTCACCTTTAATTGAATCATCTTGACCGTCTCTTGCCCCCACGACCGCGCTCCTCGTACTGGTGTGGTGTGGTGAGGTTGTTGCTTGACACGACGTGGTGAGCTTCGGCTGCGGTGGTCGATCGGCCAAGCCCAGAGGCTCTCAGAAATTCTGCCGGGTTCAAGCTCAAGGCGGCGGGACCGTCTTGCCGGGGGCCTGGGACTGCCGGGGCCTCTGCAAGTACACTATGTACCTCCGTACCTACATACCGCACTACTCCGTACACAGTACACAGTACGTATCCGTACACCAGATATTTATTCCCTCCCTTCCCATTGGCATCCAGCTCTGCCCTCGAAAATTGCCCGCCGCCCACGACTCGGCACTGTCTCTCCCTGTCTCTCGCAGCCAGGCCGGCCAGGCCAGCTTGGCAGCTGCTCGGGCCGCCTCCAAATGAGTTGACGTCGCACACACATGCCATGTTGCATCTGGCCTGCATGCGCAAGTCCGGAACAAGTTCGCCAGTCCAAGCCTTGCTTGTCTGGACCCGTCCGTTGCCCGGCCACTGCATTTTCCGACCGACCGGGTGAGCTGATGGGGGCAGACAGGTAAACACAGTAAGATTAGAATTCAAGTTTGTGCATTCTCTACTTTCCCCCTGCTCTAGGTTCATCCAAAACGTTGTCCGTCCTTGCCGGCAGCCCTACCCTTTCTGCATTCTTCCTCTTGACATGGCCACTGTTCTGACCTTGGCCTCCTCGTGACGACTGGCCGATAGAAAGACAGACAGAGAGAAAGACATAGAAGCAGGCTCGAGTGTCTGGTCCTGTTCCGTTGCCTGACTCGGCTTATCGGTCTGACGGTCTGACGCTCTGCAAACAATTATACGTTGCTTTATTAATTCAATGTACCGAGTACGTACTTAATTAAGTACAAATATCTGTTGTACGTATAGTATCTGTGTTCCTGGCCAGCCCCCAACCCCCAACCCCCAGTCCCCCCTTCGCTTTCTCGTTCCTTGGGCCTGTTTCGCCTCTTCTCACTCCACCACTCACCGGACACCCGGTCCTTGGTCATTCCCGTCTTGTTAGGACTAGTAGGTACTTGAGTAGGCATTATGTACGTGTGTATCATGCAGCAAAAAGCATATCACCGCCATTAAATCCTGGCTAATGACGAAAGCGGCTGCTGGTAGAGGGCTTCACTTACTCAATTCTCAATTTGATGGCCGGCTTGGCTTCACAATCCTGTGAGAGTGACCAGCACCAGCAGCAACAACAACAAATACTTGATGTCCGTGTCAGTTGCCGTCTTAGTGTTCCGGCCGTCCCTGCGTTCTGACTTTGCTCCTTGACAGTTTAGGTTCTCGGGACTCTCATGCCAATAACAGCCACCGCAAAACAAGCCTGATCAAACTGATCCAACCACGCACGACCCAGACCGGCCCAAGCCCAGTCCAACCCAAAACCGACACACTATCAAAGTGGCAGCCACCGTGGCAGCCGTGGTTCGCAAACCCTCGACATTTCTGAACTAACTATTCCCGACGCAGAGTGCGCTAGGTTGGGGAAGGGACGCTTGTTCCCGTCCTCCTTCCTAACCCATCTACTCCCTTCCCTCCCTCCACCCTTCCCTTCCTTTCTCAGCCGCTCTTCCTCCCAACTGCACACGCCTGCCGAGTGCATTTCTTGGAAGAGGGTCGGCTGAATTGCCTCTCCTCTCTCTTTCTCCCTCTCTCCACCCCCCTGTGTGTTACGATTGTCCCGTACTTGGACCCAAATTCACCACCCGCTCCACTCCGGTTTGGCCGTCCACGTGCTCCACTCTAGCACTCCCGCTTGCAGGCGCAGTTGAGGGAAGGATCATCTGCAGTCTTGCGTCCGCTCATTCAACTCATTGTCATACTTTGCGACCTCCTTGCCCCTCAACCCACAACCTGCGCTCAGGCGCTTGATTGTCTGTCGAATTTTTCCTGCCCTCCTCCCTGTTGTCTGTCGTACGACCCGTCCGCGACACAGCACGGCATCCGGTGCCGGCTGCTAATCTGGCAAGATGCCCAGAATGCCCAAGGTGCCCGGCGCATCCAGCGGTGCAAAGAAACACACCTTGACCTTGGCCCAATTGTCCTCTTACGATGATATGCTCACCGACGCCCTCATCGATAGGGTATGCAACAGCCCAAACCCTTCCCGTTGCAAGACCCTGCAGCTCGGGCCGGTCGCATTGGATGGTTGGAAGGCTAACCCGCATGCAGGCTTGGTACTGGACCACGATCCCGAAAAACCGAACCTCCTACCACCCTTCTCGAGGTGTCAAAGAAGACGAAATCAGTAAACTCATCCAGACCCATCTGATTGTCACCCCCAATGTCGACCTCGCCGAGGAGAAGCTGCTTGCGACAGACGGCCTCAGGAGGTTCTACAATGCGCTCAAGACCCCCCACGAGAAGGCCGACTTCAAACAACATCTCCGTCGCTACATGCAGATCTACCTCCCCGACTGCCCCTTCGAGGTCAGCAGCACAAATAGATACACTGTCACCACCCACGAGGCCTCCATCGTTGCGCGGAGGCCCATAAAACGAAACGAGAAGATCAAATACCTCTCTGGGATACAGGTCGTCATCACACCAGAGGAGGAGGAGGTCCTGTCCTCTCGGAAGAAGGACTTCAGCATCGTCGTGAGCAGCAGGAGTAGGATGACCAGCCTGTTCATGGGTCCCGCGCGCTTCGCCAACCATGACTGCGGCGCCAATGCCAAGCTTGTGATTACTGGTCAGGCCGGCATTGACATCGTTGCGGTCAGGCAGATTAAAGAGGGAGAGGAAATCACCGTGACGTACGGCGAGAACTACTTCGGGGAGAACAACTGCGAGTGTCTATGCCAGACCTGTGAGAGCGACCTTGTGAATGGCTGGAAGCAGCCTGACGGGTTTGTGCCGGTCAAGAAGAGCATTGAGGGTCCGCAGGGCTATAACACGCGCGGAAGGCACCGGCATCGCAGAGGAGATTCGAGCTCTAGGACGCCCTCGGTCACCCCCGACCTCCGACCCAAGGTGCGCAAGGGCAAGCTGAAACAGTTGCGCACCGCCGACCGAGCCTCTACCACCGAATCGAGCCTCGCTGGAGAGGCAGAGACCACAGCAAGGCGCAAGCGCGGCCGCGAGAGTCTTGCGACACCTCCCGTTACGCCCTCGAAGAAGCAGAAGACGACCAAGTACGAAATCAGACCTGCTCCTAGCATGCCTGCGGACCGTAGCGCTAGCTCCGATGCCGAGTCGGGTGGCCTGCTGTCGAGGTCTGATTCCTCGGGTGGAGAAGCGGTCCTCACGGATGTGACGACCCCGGAAGACACGACTGACCCCGTCGACATGCCGTCTGAGCCCGTGCAGGTCGCACCGCCTGTTGAAAGCCTGAAGCAGGAGCAAGATATGGGAGATTTAATCTCTCACGGACTACGAGAGGTTGCCCCGTTCGTTGAACCAGCGAGCGCCCAGCGCCCACCAGGCCCGCTACTTCAAACACCGCAAGTACCGAAAGCGCGAGGCTTGTCTATCCACGACATCCTTAACACTCCATCAGAGGCAGCCACGCCCGATGCTCGAAGCCCTATAGATCGGTTTGCTGCTGCTTTTGGTTTGCAGAGCTCCGCCATGCCAGCGGCAATCAGTGGAGGCCGAGAGGCCGAGACTCAGCAGCCGGCCGTGGTAGAAGAGCCTGCCTCACCATCCCCGATTATCACGAAGGATCCGGAAGAGGTCGTTGACTCGGTTGAGACTGGCACCAGCGCAGCCGCCGATACACCTGCCAAGCGCGGTCGTGGGCGGCCTCGGAAGCATCCAAAGCCCGAAGCCAATCCTGCACAGGAGACCTCTGTCGTCGTATCACCACCAGCCGCTCCAGAGGACGACAACGACCACCACGATGACCGAGATCACGAAGCACAGGGCGAGCAGCAACCCCCGGCACCTGTCACGAGGCCTATTTCTCACCGCCAACCCGGCGACTATCAACTGACTCCGCGCCTTCTCGCCGAGCCAGACATGGCCTGGGTGCGGTGCTCCAACTGCAGCACTGCGTTTGTCCAACAGAACGCCTACTACACCCGCTCCTCCTGCCCACGCTGCGAGCGCCACTCGAAGCTGTATGGGTACATTTGGCCAAAGACGCAGCCCGAGGGCCCGTGGGACAAGGAAGAGCGTGTTCTCGACCACCGAACAGTGCATCGGTTCCTTGCTACCAGTGACGAGCTGGTTGTGCGCGGCAGGTCGACGCATGCGCAAAGCAAGACCGGGACACCCCGAAGAGACGAGAGCGAGACGAACGTTAAGCGAAGCAGAGGCAGGCCTTCGAAGAAATCCTCTCTTGCGGGGCGTCATGATGAGGCAGATGACGAGCCTGCTTCGGGAGATTTTGACATACGGAGGAGCGCGAGGGCAAGGAAAGCCAGCTTCAAGGTCGGCGCTTGCTAGAAGCTCGAATGGCCATTATGGCCGTTTTCAAACGAGTTCTAAGGTCTATGGCTTCTGGGATCAACATCCACATTCGTGTGTAGGAATCGGCGCAATATGTCCTCCAAAGGGTCGATTGCTATCTTCAACAAGCCGGTCCAAACTTGACAGATCGAAGGCAAGGGCTCTTCGAAATTTGAAGGGTGGGGGAAGTTGATACTGGGCTTTGTGAGAAGCATCTGGCACCTCGGGGAGGGAGTGGAGGAGGTGGCCGTGGCGTCGTTTAGCATTCTTCTGGTCTGGTCGTATTGCATCGCACGGCGTAAGCGTTTTGCTTGATTACAAATGGGTGGCGTCATAATGGCCGACCCGTCCCATGGCGAGATGCATTGTAGCCGTCTGTAAATAATACCTAGCTCTCAATCGCATTTTCTAACCATATTCTTGTGATGTGTGCCACTCTATCTGAACAAATTCACACGGACAAGTCCAATCTCACTCATCGTGCCGGACTGGGACCACGAGCCAACACTGTCTTTTCAAGCATTGGCTAGAGACCTTGGGTTTCTATCGAATCTGCGTCTAGGATATGTCGCTACGGTGCACCCTTTTCATTCGGGCGCAACATGGATCTGCCAGTACTCACGCCATGGCTTCGGCATCCCCTCGTTGTGGCCAGGGTCGTACTCCCTGCTCGCGGCACCGCCGTCCTCGACGGGCCTCCCCGAAAGGCCCAGCACCCCGCGCCGCTCGCCCGTGTGCTGATACCGCACAAAGTCCCTGGTGGCGAGCACGTGCTGCATGATGCCGTCGCGGGCGTCCACGGCCGACCCCGTCGCCCACGACAGCACCAGCGGCTCGAGCAGCGGGGCGTCGGTGATGGAGGGGTGGGCGGTCCCCAGTGAGGTCAGGAACCAGCCCCCGCCTGATCCGCTTTCGTCGTCGTCCTCCCCTGGCTTCTCAGAGGGAGCACCGCTTGTCGTCGTCGTCGTCGTCGTGTGGTTGTTGACGCCGTCCACAATGTCCCGGACCACGTCGAAGTGCGGCCGCCCGTAGAACAGGCTCGGCCCGGGCTTGCTCCACTCGCTGCTGTGGATGACGGCCAGCGGCACCCGGACGTCCGCGTTCAGGGGGCCGCTGGACTTGCCCGGGTCGAGGATCACGCCGCCGGAGAAGGGGAGCCTGGGTGGTGTTGACGTTGATCTTGATGTTGGTGGCCGTAGCGCGCGCAGGGCCCCCGTGCCGCCGTACGAGTGGCCGGCGATGGTGAGGGCCTCGGTGTTTATGCGGCCCCTGAACGCCGACATGTCTATGTCTGTGTTGCGCGGTGCGCGGGAGTTGGGGAACGGCGACGGCGGGCCGGAATCCAGGACGCGGAGTACGTCTACGGCGGCCTCGATCTCGGCCTCGCGGAAGGACAGCTGGGCTTCTTTGAGCGCCGCGGTGTCGAAGGCGTCGTCGCCTTCTTCCGGGGGTGCTAGGTCCTTCAGGCCGAACGCGTATCTCCACCGCGGTGCTGCGCCCTGCTCCTCGCCGGCCCTGATGATGGGGCTCGCGGGGGACGAGCCGTCGCGGTGCTCGATCGCTGCGACGATGACGCCGCGGCTGGCCAGCTCGCCTAGGTAGTGGGTGTAGTCCGTCCGTGAGCTGAGCATGCCGTGGGTGAAGATCATGGCGGGCAGCTTCCCTCCTCCCTCGGCCTTGCCGGTGTTCGTCAGACTGCCCGCCAGGTCGCCACCGGTCCCGTCGATGTTTATGAGTTCGGCTGCTGGGATAAGAGGCGCACCGACCTCAGCTGGGATCTGGATCCCGCTGGCCACGAGCCACAGGCCCGCGGTGAGGAGACCTCGGAAGAAGAAGTTGTCCATCCCCAGGAATCGGGCATAGCCCTTTGCCGTGGCAGACACGGGCTTGGGGAACCAGTAGTACTTGTCCGCCGCGGAGCCCCTGGCCTTGTGCGAGATTGGGTAGTAGAACGTGAACAGCACCGTCTCGACCTCGAACGCATAGTCGCCGTCCGATTTTGATTTGAACTTTGCGTCACTGACCCGCCTGGGTGTCTCGAGGGGGTACTCAATGTCCAACGCTCCCACGCCATATGGCCCGGTGTATCCGGGGAGCCGGTTTGAGAGGAGTGGCTGTGATGCTAGGATGCGGTATGTCACCCACAACGCTGCGATGGAGAAGGTTATGTAGCGGGCCGTCAGGCGTGGCCGGAGGAGGGATACTATCACCGGGGTGAGACGGCGAACGGTCGCTGTGACCCATTTGGCGACAGTGGGCAGGACATCATGGCGGATCCGGCCAAGAGTTGTTGTCTGAGAACCTGACCCGGATGGTCTCATCCATTTTGGGACACCGTTTAGGTAGTGGTCCTGCGATGACATGTCACGATCTAGAACATCGTCCTCAATCCCTAGCTCCGCGGTTGATATCTCGTCGAAGGGCTGCATATTTTGTACATTGTGAAGGAGACCATCTTCTTACAAGCTGGCACCAGTATGGAAAGACGATCGGGTGTCGCGGAGACGGAACGTCGTCATATGCCCAGCTGTGGCGAATAAGTGACCAGTCCTAACCCTGGCCCTTGCCGGGGGGGTGTCTCCCAGTTTGAAAGTAAGTTTTCAACGACATACGTACACGTCGGAAGATATAATGTTTAAAGACCTCGGGAATGGCCCCTCTCTAATGCCATCATTTATCCCTTCGTTAAATTCAAGATCACAACTATGAGAATAATCATTAGAAGAGCGGCCGGACTGCGGTCAAACCCATGTCCACTCCTACAAGTGCGATCATTCCACCACACAACCGTTGTAACAGCAGCAGGCGTTCATGCGAACGAGGGCGACGTAAATGAAGCACAAACAAGTTCACAAGAGCGAGATACAAAATCACCCCTAATTTCGGACAGTTCAGTCAAATCAACGAACGCAGCCAAGAAGAAGACGGTCGCAGAAATGGATGAGGAATTACGACGGAAACTTGAGGGCATTTCCGGAGAGGGTGGGGCGTCTGGCATCGAGTACGAGGGCGGGAAGGCGGAGGGTCTGAAGAGAGGAGTCAAATCAAACATGTTCAGGGTAATTTGAAAACATTTGAATCCAGCGTATGCTCACTGCAGCCCTTTCTCTGCCGGATGACGGTGCAAGGGCAGGGTTTGCACTACCAAACCTTGGAAGAGGATGGATGTTCGAGGCGAGGAGGCAACAATATTGGCCATATACAAACACTTTACCAGACAACGAGATACAATCTACTAGGAGAACCAATGTCTACTTGGTACCCTTGCTCTAATTGTCGAAAATCAGGAGGCTGTTGCCAGGCATCACTGGGGCTGATGGCCTGGTTCCGGGCTACGAGTGCTTTGGCAAGCGGCCAGATTTGCCGTTGGAAACTGAGGGTTAAATGCAATGTGAGTGGAGGACTTGAAAGATTATGTAGGCAATCAGTCCCCTGGAATGGCGGAACTGTGGGTCAGGGACGGGGCTACAACATTGATAACATTTGAGGCAATGGAAGCAATAGATAATATCACATGGAGACCACTTGAGCAGTGAGGTACTATTAAAGCCCTGAGGCTTCCGTCGGGACACTTTCGAGAACATAGACTAGTATTGTAGCGTTAGAGAATGACTTCCCGGCTGACGCGGCCAGATTAGGAAGATAGAAAAAGAGTCGAACTAATTGGCTCTACTACTGTGTCGATTCAGAGTATTGGAAACGATTATTCCTCACTGTACTCGTGATGCTTTTAGCCTCGAATCACCGTGCGGAGAATGAGGAAGACAGTCCCGAGGTCCCTAGATATGGAGACTCTGGAGGCCAGGACGAGGTGAAAAACATCGGTCATTAGTTGGGACGGGAGGTTTTGCTCGGCTACCACCCTCTCAATCTTTTCGTTAACACTTAGATCCAATACCAATGGCAGAGGGATTCTAGTACTTGTCCATCCCTGATCAGGCCCGCCGTTTGATCATCATCGAGATGAAAGTGGAGGCCTTCCAATCGACTAGAGACTGGACCTCGGGAAGCCGACAAGATTATTCTACGAGACGGTCTCGGCCCCATATATACGCACACGGAAAGTTCACCATTCATACAATGCCTAGGTGGTCATCCGACACAAGCGGCCAATGGGTCCCAAAACGAGCTGGCCCGGGTTTTATTCAAAGGCGGAAGAGAACTTGAACAGTTTCCAGCTACTAGTCTGCTTACCCCAACAGATCCTTTGGGTACTATGGACGCCTCAGGTGCTATCACTGTCCACTCTGTGACTACATGCTGCTCAGCTATGTTGCCTCAATGACATGGCGGGTCCCACCTTGAACAGCGACCACAACCTTGCCATCACCAGGACGGACACCTTCCGCGGTCGGCCCCCCATCCTTTGTCCAAACAGCCTGTCCGTCCACACTCACATTGGTCTTCCCGTCGACAAGGCGCACGACAACATCACACGACGTCCCGGCCGGCGCAGAGACCTCGATGGTATAAGCCCAAGGCTTATTATACCATGCCCCCTCAACACTCCCGAACGGCGTCTTGACCATGCCCCGCGCCCAGTACACATCTTCCGTCGGGAAGCACGGCGCGAGCTCGAAGCTCGTGAACCCGGGCTCCAGCGGCCGCAGGCCGAGGACGTAGTTGGTCAGCAGCGGGGTGACGCCCGTGGACCAGCCGTGCGCCATGGACGTGAAGCCGTCCTGGTACGGCTTGCCCCCCGGGCCGATGCCCTCCCAGAACGTCGACGACGGGTCGTGGGTGCTCATCCACCCGTAGAGCCGCTCGAGTTCCTCCAGCGCCGTGTCCTCCTCGGCGAGCAGGAACCGCGCGGCCACCTCGAAGTAGCTGGTGAAGGCGTACACGCGCTGGTCGAACTGGTCGCCGGGGCTGAGGGCGCTGCTGTCGTAGAACGCGTTCCCGTACGGCCGCCTGAGCGCCCTGGACATGTACTTTGTGATCGATTTCCCCATGGGGAACCGGTGGTCCCAGTCGCCGCCAACAAAAGCCAGGATCGCGAGGCTGTTCCCGTCCTGTGCATGGACGGGGCACTTCGTCGTGTTGTCACCGCCAGGGCAGGTCCCGCCATCAAAGAAGGCCCCGACGCTGCTGTCCCAGTTTTCCTTGATGAGCGCGGGCCCGATCGCCCCGGCACGCGCTGTCCACCGCGCGGCGTCCTCTTCTTGGCCGTGGAAACTGGCTAGTTTGGCCGCACGCTTCAGGGCCATGATGTACAGCGCGTTGTAATAGGTGATAACCCCCGTGCGAGGCAGGAATGCGTAGTCGCCGTAGCCAGCGCTGTTACCCAGCCCTTTTTCGAGGAGGCCGTTGGCGTTTGTGCAGTTGGGATAGTACACGTCGAGAACCTTGACCATGTTTGGAAAGTACTTGTCCAGGTAGTCGGTGTCGCTGTGGTACATGACAAGGTCGTATGAGCAGACCACCCACCAAAGCGGGTAGTCGAATAGCGGCAGCGTGTAGTTGCGTATGCTTGCGGGAGGGATCCACCCGTCTGCCCTCTGGTGATCAGCCAGGTCCGCCAGCACGTTCCGCGCCGGGGTAGGGTCCCCATGGCTGACGTAGAGCGTCATGGCCGACACGGCCAGATCGCCAACATACGGGTCGCGGTCGCGCTTGGCCCCATCGTGTAGCACACTCTTACCATCAAGGCCCGGCGCGTAAGCGTCACGTGGCTCTGTGTCGTTGGCCCGAAAAATATCGGTGGTCAGGTCATTAGTGTACACCCCATCATACCATAACTGACTTAGGCTATCGCTGCTGCACTCGAAGTAGCCCTCGAAGGTGTCGGGCGTGCCGATGAAGCCCGAGTACGCGAGCTGCACCCCGGAGAGGGAAACGCTCCCGAAGCTGGTGGTGTACGGGGCGTCCTCTTCGAGAGCTTGCAGCGAGATGCGCAGGTAGCGGAATCCATGGAAGCCGTCGGAGCAGACCTTGCGGTCCTCGGGGAACTGGCACCCAAGCTTGTTTGTCCACGTGTACGGCTGCTTCTGCACCGCTATCTGATCGGTCCCGTTGGTGAACTTCTCGCCATCAGGTTGGTTGTCTGACCTAGTGAAGTCGCTCCTGTTGGTCAGAAACTGGAGGGTTTCCGAAAAGGCGAGAGTCACGCCGGGCAGAGCAGTCGCACTGGATATGCCCTGACTTGGCGGTTCAGCCCCTGCGAAGTCGATGCTCAGGACTCCTGCATAGTTCCGACCGAAGTCTAGTACGAGCGAAGGAATGCTATCATTGGGCCCATTTCTAGTGAGGGTGGTGACACTGCCATTGAGTAATGCATCCGGGTTGCTAACATCACCGCTGGTGTACTTGGAGAGCAAACGAACTGGACGAATCCTGTTGGTATAAGGGCCCCTGACATACTTCCACCAACTGTATCGGTCCTCTGGTATGTCTCCAAAGCTTTCTTGACCCGCTGTCATATGGAAGGTCAGCGAGACGAATAGAAGGGCGAGAATGAAGGTTGTGGAGCGGGTGAGATTGGGGTGGTTTCCCGTCGGTGAGGCCATTTTGACATGCCTCATAAAGGTTGCCGTCCAATCGTGCTTAAACGAGCCAGTGGACATGTGTGGTCGCGGTGACACGGACTTTGGCGAAAATGAGACCTGCCTAGGGGTTTGGAAAACGTGAAAAGATCGACTTACAACAGCCATAGTCGCCCATCTTTAGGTTAAATGAGGTACGAAGACTCCACCTGCGCGAGAGTTGACTGCAGAAGCAGGCCTGGTAAACTTTCCCAGGGTCGTATCAAATGCAGCAGCTCGTTTACAAGCCAGTCGATGAGGGCTCAAAAGGATGGGCCAGCAGCCGGGATGGTTCATAGCAATCGGTAGCGGCAGACGGTTGTACCACGGGAGAGGCGACAAGGCCGTGGAGTAATAATGTGATGGCGCGAGGTTGGAAGCTGGATGCCTGCTGATGCAGGTGGTCAGGGTGGTGTGTGTGAGTGGCATTGTGCGGGGAAGAGAGTCGAAAGCACCGGTGAGATTGCATGGCTGGGCAGTCTCAACTGCCAAGTCCATTCATTCCTCCGACTTTCTGTATTCTTACCTCGCGTGCAGCATTTCGAAGCGAACCTGGTCGAAGTCCTATTCTCGACTTCAATCCAGATTCATCTTGGCCTCAGAAATAATCCGCGGACACTTCGATACTGGATTCAGTACCCTCTTTCACTTGTCCAAACACGTGAAGCGTACGTGACCGGCTGAACTTTTGTTGCAACGAAATGGGTTCTCGTGAATAAATTTTGTAAATTTTGTACGCACAGGTGTCCATCATGCCGACACCATGTATCTGAAGTCGACTCAAGATGAACACCCTTGGCAGCACATTACTAAAGTGAGACGGCACATACAGTCGTCGGCCGTGTAATTGTACCTTGGAGCCAATGCGATGTGCAAGCGTGCTCTTGTTAGTGATCTTATGGTGCAACATTATTGGTGTCCCTTTCCTGGACATCGCAGATAGATGCGACCCAGCTAGGCAGGCGTTCATTGCTATGGCTCGGCCCAGATTGTGAATCCAAAGGAAGAAAGTATACCAAGTATCGCACAGTTCTGTGTTTCCAACGACCGAAAGTTGCCTGCGTACCAGGACCGGTTTTGTTCCAGCCAGGGTGTGTGCTGCACACTGAATAATAATCTCGCGCAATAAGCGATCAAAGTGGCCGGGCACATCATGCTCAAAACCACAATATTGTTGGGTTTAACTGCAACAAATATATCCGACATGGACGTGTCGCTTCACGCTGCCTATGCTTAGGCGTTGCTGCTGTGACGGGGTCGCTTGCGGACGCTGCCGCTTCCAGGGTGCATCTTTGCGTTGCTCTCGCGCTTGAGCTTGTCGTCGAGGACGCGTGCTGCATAGTGTGTTAGCAACCAGACATGTTCTCGGCAGGGACCGAACATGAAGTCTCAGCTTACTGAGGACATCGTAGCCGAACTGAGGATACTCGAGGCAGAGGGCCTTAAATTCCGGCTCGGCCTCGGCGCGTAGCGTGTGTGAGCGATTAGCCCAGAAATTGGCGACAGGGGCGCGGACTGTCGAGTCGGCCTCGGAGGTGTATGCGTAGACGTAGCGGGCGTAGGCGATCTCGCCCTTGGCGGTGGAGTTGACACAGTGGATCTTGGAGGAGGCGAGAGTGCGCAGGTTCGGCACCTGGAACTTCTCGGCCAGTGTGTAGACCCGGGCGTGCTTGAGCAGCTGCTCGCCGGTCTCGTCGACCTTGGGGATCGACGGGTCCGTCTCGAGGGTGCGCTGGCCGGGCACCTTCTTGGGGAAGTAGTCGCCGGTGTAGAGGTATTCTAGGAAGCAGCCGACCGCATCCATGTCGTCTTGGGGGAGCTCGATCTGGCGGGGCTAGCAGAGCAAGGCGCCGTGTCAGCAGGTTTCCTTTACAGTGTGCGACTGCGGGATCACTCACGCTGCCATCGTCGCTGAACTGAGCGCATGCCTCCTTGAAGAACGGGCTGAGTGAGAGCAAGGCTTGGTGTGCAGTTAAGATGGTCTCAGTCTCGCCGGTGCCGACAATCAGGGTGACGACGGGGCTCGTGAGGTAACTGATGAAGGATGTGCGTGCGGGAACTGGCTCCTCGGTCGCGGCCTCGCCCTCGCCCTCGCCCCCGTTGAAGATCTCGGAGCGACCAGCCACCGCGGTTGTGTCGTCCTCGCCCAGGCCCTCGGCCATCTCGACGTCTGCGCCCGGGTTTGCGGGAGAGTCCTCGACTATGCTATCGTCATTAACGTCGGCCATTGTGAACGCCACGGAAGGTGTCTATTTCGATGGAGGTTGTTTCTCCGTGCCTCGCTCGCGCGTGCAGGAGAGAGGAACAAGGAGAGAGATTGGCGTTCAGAAGGGAACCGCCAGGCAGCAAGTCCAATCGAAGGCACGAAGCGGAGAGAAAGATTGGCGAGCCCGCAGGAGGGGTGGAGGTCGAGGTCGAGATGAGGCGCAAACGGTGTGAAACTGTGTTAAAAGTCGAAGGCTGGGGCAGTAGATGGATGGATGGATCAATCAACGGCACAGCAGTGTAGCATTGTCGCCTGAGAGTGTGGGAGAGCAGGGGTAGCACCAAGAGCACCTGGGCAGCCTCCCTATTGGCGAACGCCCACAGCTGCCCTGGAGCTCAGCTCATAAGTACCTAGGTACCTGGGTACTTAAGTAGGTACCCACTTAAGTACCTAGGTACCATACTGCTGCTAACAATTTCTAGGGCGACTCACCCTTCGAACAGTCGTCAGCTGGCATTTCAACCTCGTGCCTCGTCTAAGTATATCTGTCTCTCAGTATTCGGATCCTAGCTGCAGCTCTCTTCGCGGGCAGACTGTTCCCACGTGTCGTGTAGGTCGAGTTCCAGCTCTACTTAAACATTCTGCAGATTAGCAACGGCAATGAGCCAACAAGAACCCCGTAGATGTTGCCGAATTGGCCTTGACAGCCAGCGAACGCACGGCGGGTCAGATGTGGAATATATATATATATATACACACACTCAGTATTCAGTTTCCAGTGGCTGCTCGGCTGACTGGAGGTCCTGGTCACACTGGAAGGCGACACCATGACGGGCAGTTCATGCCATGAACATCTTGGTCGTGCTCACATTGACCCGACTCCACCGCTCTCCCTGCCACCACGACGACAGAATTGCGCGCGGCCAGTAGTGGTGATACAGCGCCACAAATGGCCACGGGTCCCAGAGCTCAAAGGTCCCATCCTTCCAGTACAACAAGTGCTGGATGAGCTCCTCGACCCCGTCGACAAGCACCCTGGCTGAGCGAGGCTCCCTCACAAGCTTGAGCAGGGGCAGCAGGCCCCTGGTAGCCAGGTCATGCCCGATCCAGTATCGAGGAGTCGTGTCCGCTGGCGGCCAGACCACCCTGGGAGGTATATCTGAACTGTTCTTCTCCCTGAACGGCTCAGGAGGCCCATCCACAACAGACGTGTACGCCTCCACCATCCTCTCCATCCGCTCACCCGGCTGCGCAAACAACGCCACTGCGGTATGAGCTCGCGGGTTGCACTCGATCGCGTACAGCCTCGTGCACCCGTCCCCGTCCTCCTCCTCGGCCATGAAGTCAAAGCTGAGGTGCCCCGTGAACCCCGCCCCCGCGGCCGCGGCGAACCTGGTGGTGAAGCCCAGCATCTCCGTGGCCAGCGGGTCCCCCGGCGGCAGCGCCTCGTAGTGCATCAGCAGCTCGCTGCTCGGGCACGCGGCGAATACCCTGACCGTCCCCGAGACGACGAGGGCGTGGGTGCAGTACTCCCTGCCCCCGCGGATGAACTGCTGCAGGATCCACGGCCGCGACCTCGAGACGGGGAGGCGGCGGACAAAGGCCTCGGTCTCGGGCGGGGTGGGGAGCGGCAGGAGGGTCATGTTGGCGCGGTTGGCGTCGTCCATGCCCACGGGCTTGAGGATGAATCTCCTGGCTGGGTTCCTCTTCGTCGCAGCGGCGAGGGCATCCAGGGCCTGGGCGTGAGACGCGACGTCAAAGGTTTCGGGCACCGTGAGCTTGAGGGCCTTGGTATGCTGGATGAAGGATGACTTCTCGTGCAGTGTTGAGGTCGTAGGGACGTCAAACTGGATGCATGCACAGCGGCGTTGCCCCCTCGAGGACATGCTATCCAGCGCTTCCTTGGCCATTGCGTCCTCCACTGCGCTCGCGACGCCGGAGCACGAAACCCACAGATCGACCCCCTCATATTTGAAAATCTTGCAGATGTCCTGTATGTACGCCGACCTCGCCTCCTCCTTATCCTCTTCGCCCATCCCATCCTTCACCAGGGGTCTTCTCAGCGAGTACACCGCGTCAAAGGCCTGGCTGTATGTCCACCGCGTCTTCTTCCAGGGCGTCCACGCAGCGCATGCCTCAACCTCAAAGTCGGCCGCCACGACCCTATGTCCGCAAAGCCAGAACGCCCGAGCCAGCGTGAGGCCCTTTGTCATGCCCACCCCCGTGACGAGGACTGTCCGCTGCCTGAAGGTGGGTTTCGCGCGGCATTGGGCCCGGTGGAAGAGGACACCTGTCGACGTCGAACGGGAGAAGGGCTGGAAATAGGCGAGGACTGACGGCGGAACCGCGGTGAGGGCGAACGCGACGGCATAGCTCAATGGTAAGAAGAAAAGACTAAGTGTTACGAGGAAGAAGGTCTTGATGTGATCCTTCACTGGGAGTTGAAGGAGGGCAAAGCTAGGGGATGTCGTGATTGTCTCAGACTTGCCATTCACCCTAGGGACAGCCATGATATACTATAAATGACAATCGGGTACGTGGGTTCTTCTTTTCGGTGTTTCCATCAAAAAATGATTCGTAGTGTGATATGGTGGGGTCGGCTTCTGAGCCTACAGCACACCATTGTATGAGCTCTGAGGCTTCTGGGCCACGGCATAGACCACTTTCGCTTCATGCCTGCTTAGAGATCTCGTTCATAATTCACGCGAGACGCGGTTCGGGATCTACGCGCCAGCCACCGATTTGGGAACTCCTCTCCAAGACACGGAATGAGCCCAAGAAGACTTGTTCACTCGGCCGCAATGCTCCGTGATGAATCATTCAGCGAGCCTGCGATGGGGCCTGTCGGCGCCTTTGCAGGGATGGAGCTTTGCTCTAGGCGTGGGGCGCCGCTTGGAGACTAACGCAGCTCGGTTTCGTTTTGAGGGGGTACATGTATGCAGGCTTGGGAAGCAGTGACGGACATGAACTGTTGCTAGTTTACGTGTTCCTGACAGAATTCATACCTCATTCCTCTCCTCTGCGGTTGGGGGGCTAGCTAGGGGATTCCGGCCAGGGACCCGCCACGCCAGCGTCTTAGTCTCGATGCGGGGCATCCGTTCTTTACATGTGGACAAGTGAAACTGTGGAGGGACATTATAACCACCGTCTGGTATTCATGAACGGTGATTGATTTGGCATGCCTGATAATCTGAGAGCTGAGAGTCGCGAGATCTAGCTGGTGCCAAAGTGGGGACCACTCGCAGACCAAATGCTTTTGTTGAATCGACCGTGTGGTAGACACGGTCAACCACCAATTCCCAGTGGCTTTCCTTCATCTATATACTGGGAGTTGAAGATGATTCTCCGTCATGGACAATTGTCTCTCGTAGAAGATGAACCCGTACTGGGCCAGACCGCTGAAAGACGCATGGGATAAGATGAAATCATGCCGAGTCTAGTGAACACCGTTTGTCTTTGCAACTCTCCCCAAAGGAGAATCCTGAACTGCCTTGAATCCGTTCCCATTGGCATGACCATTCGTGAAGCCGTTGGTGTGCCCGTTGGTGTGCCCGTTGGCACGCCCGTTGACGCCATTGGCCACCTTGGCAGCGACCTTTGCCTTCAGCCCACTGCCGTTCTCGGCCACGGTGTCAAGGACGCTCTTGTTCTCAGATGCCAGATCTGTATATCCTGTGTCACTACTATCCACAAATGCCTCCAAACCAGCCCCCTCCCGCGGGTAGCTCTTCACGAAGTCCTTGTGCTTCTTCAGGACAAGTAGAAGCTCCTCCTGGCTCACGTCATTCAAGAAGGTGCAGCTACCCAAAGGATTGGGGACCGCAAGGCGTAGCTGACCATCACGTGTCTTGAGGATAGCTGCTGTTCCCTTATCGATAACGTGCTCGTCGAACTGGGGGTGGTCTATGGTGAGACCTGCGCGAGAGAATAGGTTCAGCAGGCGTTTGTGCTCATCATCACTGAGTAGACCACGATGGTTGGCCAAGGTAGCGGTGTAAGCCATGTCAATGGAGATGGCATGACCGTGCCGCAGGGGTGTCTCGGGGATGAGCTCGTGGAGTGGGGACCAGGTGTGACCATCTAGTGGTGAAGTTAGTGCTGCTTCGGGTCCTAGAATCTTGCATTCTAGAATATTCCAAAAAAAAAGAAAGACAAGGATCCATATAAGAGGAGAACGGTAATACACACAAGCAATCACGCGGTCCAAACCGATCTCGTGCAGATTGGGGCTCTCGAGTTTAAGCATCTCGTAAATGCCCTCCCGGTTTATCTGAACTCTGTTAGTTTCGTTGCTGATAATCCTCAGCCGCGACTGGACCATGACTTACAATGTCGGCGGCCTTGACGAGCTCCTCGGAGGAGCCGTCTCCTCGCCCGAACTTGTGCTCGATCAATTGCTCGCAGAACCTGTCCAGCAAGTCGAAAACCTGAAGGTGGGAGCATGACGAGATCTTGATGAGTTCTGCGAATCCATTCCGCACCTGTGCGATTGGAAGAGTGCGCAGGAAGGTGAAGTCAAGGAAGGTGTGGATTGGGGCATGGTACGCGCCGAGTCTGTTCTTGTAGTTGCCGTAGTTCACAGCGACCTTAATACTAACACTAGCATCGATGAGGCCAATGACTGTTGTGGGAACGCGAATGAAGTTAGTGTTCCGGCGATAGGCTGCGCATGCAAAACTGTAACCCATGGTTAGCCACGATTAACACGAAGTACATGAGATGCTCCACAGGAACCTGCTGAGCCACCGTTTTCGTAAGGCCGAAAGGTACTTACCCAGCGACGTCAGTGACAAGGCCACCACCGACAACAAGAACGGGTTCCTGGAAGATTGTCAGTAGGAGCTTCCAAATTACCCAACAAGGGCAGGGCAATCGGCTGAGGGTGGATGGCATACCTTCCGGATGATACCAAAGTCGGTCATTGAGTCACAAATGCTCAACCAGGTATCGACCGTCTTGGCCTTCTCGCCAATGGAGGTCTTGTGGACCTTCAGAGTCAGGCCGTAGTGAGCGAAGTACTTGTCCATCTTGTCACCGTAGAGAGCAAAGACATTCTTGTCAGTCACGGCAAGAACGCGTCCCCATGGCTTGTAACACTCCGCAAGGCCAGGGTTGTTCACGTCAAAGACGCCATCGACGAAGGAGAAGTCGTACGTGATCTTCTCGTAGCCTTGGACATGGAAGCCATTGGATGTCTCCGAGACGGTTGCCTTGAGATCAGACATCGTGAGGATGGAAAAGACACACTGAACTAGAGGTTGCTGAAGTCTAGAAACCGAGGGATGAAGAGTGAGCTACACGAGACGCGTCGGAATCATTGCCCTGGGCATGGCCTCTTTTTTGAGCCGGGCATGATCTGCTGGAGAACATGCTCCGAGTTGGCAGACAGAGTGGTGTCGTCACGACTTTGACCGGCGGTTTGGCACACATGAAAACGTTGGAACCGCCGCCGTCTTGAAAACTCCTGGGATAGCTTGTGCCCGTTGCCCGTTGTAGAAGCGTGTCGACTGGCCAGGCCGGTGTACTTTGGAGCCCAGCAAGCAGGCAGAGCCAGCGTGAATGTGGAAGTGTCGCGGGTACCGTGGACTGACACGGGTACGTGGTGGCCCAAGAGGTATAGTATACCTTTGGGTATGAGTTTTGTTAAAGTACGGACTCGTTGTGGTCATAGACTCGTCGACAAAGAGCACTTGAGCTCAGTTCCCGCACTGTCACCCGCTGGTGCTGACACCTTCCCTGCAGGCAGGGTCCCAGCCCGGTGGGGCCATGCCTCGCAGATGTGAATTCTTGAGAATCCCATGTTGGCTGGAAATGGCGACATGGTGATTCCCCGTTCGGCGTGGCTTGGCTGTCCCGCAGATGCGCCACGGCAGCCACGGCAGCCACGGCCTTCGCCCTCGCCCTCCATCGAAAGACCCCACGGGGCTCTTGGACTGGCGGTCAGGTTTCCGCTCAGGGTTCGACCGCGATTCCCTGACAAGCTTGGCGCCATGGGAGGGTATCAGGGTATGTGGTTGTGCCATTCCGTGCCGAGCCAGGTTACCCAGACCCATGGTTGGTTCTGGTCGAGGTAGGTTGACGGCTGGGGCAGCAGGTGGGATGTGCGGGTGCGGCTCGGGGCTTGGGTCGATTGACTTTCGGCAAGCCCCACCAGTACCTGGGTACCTAGTAAGTGGGTAGTAGTGTAGCTGGAGCTGGGTCTGGGGGTGGAGGTGGGGGTGGCTGTAGTGGGGCCGTGTTAGCCATTGGCAGTGGTGACGCCGACAGTCTGTCGGCCATAGCATAGACTGACCCCTGGCTGGGTCACGGGTTTTCGCGTCGAGGGGTTTGACGAAGGGCTGGGCTGGGGGGGAAACGCTGCATGGACGGAGCAGGAGCTAAGCTTCAACGATCAAGGTCAAAAAGACGTACCAGTGGTCTTAGCCGTCGAGTGATGATGCATCATTACAAACAGAATGTGAAGTATGAATTGAATACCCAGGTACGAATAAAGAATATCAGGCCAAACGGTGCTAGACATTACGGTAGGGCAGCAGTTTTACCCTAGGAAGGTAGCGTGTAATAAAGGAAGACTGCCCTGAGCACAGCGGTGCTAGCTACCTAGGTACCTAGGTACCCAGGTAAATAGAGCCCCAGCAACCAGGAACCCGCCCGCCCCAGGAATCGACCTCAATTGAGCTCCCCTGCCCCTCACCTTGACACCCATTTGACGCCTGCTCGACCCCAAGTTAGGTGCTCGTTCTGTCTGTGGAATCTGGAGTCTTGGTCGACCTTACGAGCCACAGCAGCCGCAGGACACCAACAAGGTCGCTCTCTTGAAGCCAACGTCTTGTCTCTAGACCTTGAATTTAATTCTAGGACTCAGGCCTACCCTAGGGTAATATTACTACTTCCCCAAAATGAGCACCCTGACCAGCTTTACCGGCAAGGCATATCAGCCGCAGGAGGACAAATATGTTCGTTTATCATCTCCCATCTCTGACTTATTTATATCTCCTCAGCTGGTTGCTGATAAAATTGACACACACAGTTCGACGATGGACGAGAGATCGCCCTCTTGCACTTTATTCACAACCACCCTGATATATCAGACATCCGTGGCAACCCTCAAAGGCTTCTCGACGCCATCGACGAATATGGCAAGACCAAGAAGTACCTCATGAATGTCGGTGAGTACAAGTCAAAGACCGTGGCAGATCTCATCAAGGATGTCAAGCCAAAGGTCATGGTCGAGCTGGGCGGTTACGTAGGCTATTCTGCGATTGCCTTTGGTGCTGCGTTCAGAGACGCCGGCGGCCAGGAATACTACAGCCTCGAGTACAACCCAGAGTTTGGTGCTGTCATTTCCAGCCTGGTCGACCTGGCAGGCCTGCATGATGTCGTGAGGGTTGAGATCGGACCGGCGTCGGCATCAATCAGGCGGCTGTATGCAGAGGGCAGGCTCAAGAAAATCGATCTCATGTTCCTCGACCACGTCAAGCCCATGTACACCCCCGACTTGAAGCTATGCGAGGAGCTCGGTCTGATTGGGATCGGTTCGGTTCTTGCTGCCGATAATGGTGAGTCGTACTTGACATGAGGTCGCTTGCGCGAATGCTGATGCTCGTTCCACCGGACCAGTCGTCAAACCAGGAAACCCTCCGTACCTTGAATATGTCCGGAGTTCAGTACGGCAGAAGAGAGAAAAGTTCAACAAGGACACCGGGCTGAGCTTGGAGAGGTTGTCAGATTGGGAGAAGTCCAGGTACAATATGGCAAAGGGCGGCCAAGTGGACGAAACCGAAGTCCATGGCAACCCAAACCTCATCTACTCCAGCAAATTCATTGAAGGATGGGAACCGAGTGGAGTCCCGGTAAGATTCATTTGATCCGCACCAAGCTTCGCTCACGCAAACATATCCACTCGTATATACGTCCCGATGCTAATTCCCACCGTTCAGGACGCCATAGAGGTATCGTATTGCACAGGGGTTGAAGAATAACAAGACCATCTTCACATTTGTCTCCTCTCCCGATTGCAACGACAGGGTTTCCAAAATTTCGGTCACAACTCTCTCTCTCTCTGCATAGCCTCGTCTTCGGCTGACTGTCCAGGTACTCAGCCGGCGCCTGTGTGTTAAAGGGAAGGATCTAAAGGGTGGTACTGGGTGTCTTGTAGCTTCCATAAATTTAGTGACCAGTATTCAAGTAACTGTCAGAATCACACGTGAATCGTGCATAAAGTCGTTCGTACCTGCTCCCGAAAGGTCGCTTTGACGAAGGTATCGCGCCTTCTGTTGAGGGCTTACCGTGACTACCTTACCGCTTTGTTTTTGTACTCCATCATCAGTCTCCCACAACATTCATTGGGACGCAGAACTCTTTTTCATCATCAGACTATATTCATCCACAGCATCCGATCCGTGACCTGCGTCCCCTAGAACTACTCCAACAACACTTGCGAATATCATCTGTCCACAAACTGCAGAACGAAACATCGCCCAGCCCTCGATAAGACGCCAAGCTCCAAGCAATGTCTGCCGCCGATTCCTGCATGCCGCCCAACACCATCCTCCTGACTGGAGTCACGGGCTTCGTGGGCAAAGTCGTACTCGAGGAACTCATTCGCCGCCGAGACGCACAAGACATACAATTTGATCGGATATTGGTGCTGATCCGGTCATCCCGCAACCTGAGCGCTCCCGAGCGGTTCGTGAATGGAATCGTCAGGTCAAGGTGCTTCTCAAGACTGCAAAAGGGCTGGGACAGAGATATCGAAGTCTTGCCTGGCGACCTCATGGAACCCAACTGCGGACTCGGCGCTCACGAGCTCGACAACCTGGCGACTAGGGTGACACATGTCATCCACTGTGCAGGATGCGTCGCCTTCGATACCTCCCTCAATGTGCTTCTAGCGGAGAACGTCACCGCCAGCCTGAACATCCTCCAGCTATCTCAGAACTGTCAAAATCTCAAGCGCCTCGTCGTCACCTCTACGGCATATGTTACACCCAACAGAAAAGGGCCCATCTGGGAGGAACTGGCTCCTTTGCCGCACCCTGCCCAACAGATCCTGCAAGACTTACACGACGGAAGGAAGGATGCCGAACGAACCCGTAGCGAGACCGGACATCCCAACAATTACACGCTCGCAAAGTGCCTGGCTGAACACTTTGTTGTGCAGAAGAAGAAATCTACTCCATTGACAATCGTCCGTCCAAGCATCATATCCGGGAGCTGGAAGTATCCGTTTCCAGGATGGATTGACAGTTATGCGGCGCTAGGTGGCCCCATATCTGCCTTTGCACTCGGCGGCCTGAAGGTTCTACATGGAGACCCTCATACCATGCTCGATGTTGTGCCGGTGGACGTGGTCGCCGACTGTCTGATCAGAGAAGCTCTCCAGCTCCAGGAGCGAAACATCGACTACGAGACAGCGCCAGCAAAGATTGTGCATTGTGTCTCGACCATCCACGACGGCCAGAGCACTTGGGACGTTGTCACCAGCACTGTCCGGTATTTTGAGCGGCCTGAGAACATTCTTCTCTATCAACCGAAAGGCTGGTACATTGGGACGGACGATCGGTTGTTCTACTTCTACGAGTTCTTTTTCCAGTACTTGCCTGTCAAGATGACAGAGCTCGGATCGCTCATGACGCTCGACTGGGAACGTGCGGCAAAGGCTAGAAAGACGCTGGTCAGGCTCGGACAGGTTGACACCCATTTTCGGTACTTCGTCGAGCACACCTACGACTACCGCTGCTCTACGAAGATCCTTCCGAGCAACTTTGACCGAGAGAACTATATGCAGGTAATCCTTAAGGGTATGAAAGAATATCTCTTGGTGCCGCTTGTGGAAAGGATGAAGGCGAGAAAGACTCGCATGCGGGATGATTCTGGTGTATGAGGTCGACGCCTCTAATGACGCTTGACAGATGTGCTGTTTCAATTTAACTGGCTGGCATCGACAAATCCATGGTGGAAATGAAAAGGTCCAGACCTAAGGATCTATTTCTAACAGCCCATCATGGAAGAGGGCGGGCAAATGCCCTAGACAGACAGTATGATAGCGATCACTCCGAGAATAAATAACAGTCATTGGGTTTCCCCGACTTCCTCGGCCTTGCCGAAGTAGTTCATGCGTCAGTCCAGCGAAAAAAACGGAGCATCTCTTCTCGCTGATCACCATCGCTCGGCGGAATTCTCGCAACGCCCAATAAATGAGTTATCATATACTGATTGGGTGGTTTCGACTCTATTCCGTCTACGTCCGAGGACATATACTGATTAGGAATCAAAACTCGTGTCGGTCATGTTTCGCCCAGCTCCGCCATCGACATTGAATACTAAGCTCAACTCTGCCGCGTATGATAGCTTTAGTGAATAATTTATTTTGCAGCGTCTCTCAGAACTCGTAAAAACATAATGCCTTTTTAGGCACACTCTCTGAGTCTGCTTATTCAGAGACTCAGAAGTCCCCAGCGTAGAGGAGGTCTCCAGGCTGGCCATTCATGCGTTCCCAGACGTCCCGCGGGTCAAGTGCGGATTCGTGCCTCTTCTCGGCTGCAGCAGTGCCGTTGTTCCTGGCAGCTGCAAGCTGGGCCGCGACGTCTTCGCGCGCGAGTTGCACTGGAAGACTGGTTAGTGTTCTGAATAACGGCAAAGAATTGCCCGGAAGCGGGCAGTGATGTGAAAAGCGAGTACTCACCATGTGCGTAGACAGCAGCTCTCTTGCCTGTGTAAATGGCGTGGGGCACATTGGTAACATTATCCGAGTTCGCATCGCCGATGGCGTAGGTGCCCGGGATATTGGTAATGAGACCCTTGTCCTGGTTCGCATACAGGCGGCCGCCGTACAGCGTGACGCCCAGATCGGCGCCGACATTGGACTTTTGCTCGTCTGGGAACGACACGAGGAAAGCCGCCCTCTCGACCGAGGTGCCGTCGTCGAGGTCCACGCGGAAGAGGTCGTACTCAGGCGAGCTGGCCAGGCTCGGGTCCGCGTCGGGGTTGTGTCCGTCCCTGAGGCGTGTGATGGACGTTATGGTCTGATTGTACACGGTCACGTTCGAGATCTTCAAAAACTCCTCCCAGTCGGGGAAGGACGCTTCTGTCGCGGCCCGAGCCTCGGGCGTATCGGTTCCGTTTGCAAATGCCACCACGTCGCTGTTCAGTGTTGCAACCTCTCTGACGAGACCGGGGATATCCTCGAGGGGCCCCAGGAGGCCGAGGGCCTGGTCGGCGTGCTCGTTGCCATCGCACCATGGGCACCAGTAGATGCCCTTGCCCCAGTTCTCCTGCAGGCCCGGGGTTGCAGGGAGGTCGTCTTTCAGACCAGTTCCTAGGACAATCTTCCGCGCGGTGAGGGTCTTCTCGCCTGAGGGCAAGGTCGCCTGAACCGTGAAGGAGGTGACATTGCTACTCCCGGCTTGGATCCCTGTCACTGTACCATTGGTCAAAGTGACGGTTTCGTAATCCGATATTAATTTCCGTGCGAGCCAGCGGTAGTAAGCTGGAGTCACACCTGTGTGTTTGTCAGTATCAGTGAGTTTGATGATACGATTGGTGGTGGAGGTCTTACCGTCCATGCCGATCACGTCGTGCATGTGCCTTGTCGCATCGTTGCGGTACTCCCCAGAATCGATGAGGAGCACATTCCGCCTCACACGGGCGAGCCCACTCACTGCGCTCAGTCCTGATGGACCGCCACCGACGACAATGGCATCGTAGACGGTGGACTCATCAACTTCTGGAGCCGGCGCCCCGTACTCGGGGATGGCCGCGGCCTTGGCCAACGCCACGAGTGGCAGAGCCGACAGGATGTTTGAAATGTACATGCTGGTCGGTGGTTGAATCCCGCCGGCAATGAATAACGGATAAACGAAAAGGCTGTAAATATGAGTGCTGCAATATTGTAACAACCTGGTCGGCCGATAAAGACTGAATCTGAGCTCGAACCCGAAAAAGAACGAAAGGGCACAGCTGCGAGATATAGATCGGTCAGTGATTTCAGCTCCTCCCCGCTTCTTAATTCGCAAGTGGCTGCAGACGAGCTGCGGCCATCTGCACAGGCAGTGTTCTTTGTACTCACGAGCGCAGGAAAAGCGACCAATTGAAAGAGAGTGTGCTGCAGCGATGTCTCACAAGATGTTGTGATCAGACCCTACCAAGGTACGGGCCGCCTCCTCTGTTATATAGATCGACATGATCTCGAGATATTGACTCTCCGAGCATACCGTCTAACCACAAAGAGTGCTCCCAAGGTATTTCTGATGAGACCAAAAATAGGCACCTGAGCGGACAGCCGGTGCCACTTTTGCATGCGGTGCAACTGCAGCGCGGATCGCCGAGTCAGTGTAATCCCAGGATGTAGGGGAGGTTGTACGGACACTACACCTCTTCGGGCACATGCGGGCAGGTGAACCGACTAATGATACTTGGCAGTTCATCCCTGGGTGGTTTCAGCATAATGAGCTCGAAGATCATTGCAGTGCTGCGCTGCTACTTTGGTCATCGCAGCGTTGCCCTGACAAGGTGCAGTCGTGATGGTGTCAAATGGCGTGCTCCCCCTTCCCCTCCCTCTTGCGCCTCTATCGAGTTACATTCTGCTGCATGGACCCGCCCAAAATAACAAACTCGCCCAGGTTGGTTCTATTATTTTCATGATGGCGACGACTGTCTTCGGCCAGTCCGAGCCGCACCGTCCTCGCTGGATTGATACAGGTCATTCGACTCCTCACTAGTACTACTGATGGGGACGAAACTTTCCGCAAGCCCAGCATATTCGATCACCTCAGGCGGGTACATGGAAATATGCGCGTGCCTAAATAATAGACCGAGCAATGACTAGATCGCTCAGGTGTGGGAGTGCAGGTACTTGCTCACTGCACTAAGGCGAGAACCGGCACGGGAAACTCTCTGGTCAAATACTGATAAGTGACCAGGCTTTGTAAGCTTCGTGTGGAGCCTTACAATGCAGCAGTCCAAAGACCCCACATTTGGAACACTAGACGACGATCTCTCAGATCTTGTATAAAAGCAAGGATGATGATGCATAGGTAGGGAGGTGGTTGAGCTAACCACTCTAGTGTGGTTATATTTCTCATCCCCATATATAAGAGACATATATATAGCTACTTCAAACTTTATTCATAAGTTCTAGGGTAGGAGATAAATAAATAAGCAACTTAAGCAAAAGGATAGTCACATAGTAAAAAGGAAAAATATAATGTAGCTAAGTAGCTGAATCTGTAGTACGTGTATTACGGGAAATTAAATATGCTGGGCAACAGAAGGCCTGTAGACAAAAGCTTCTACAGGAAGACGGGTTACGTACAACAGCAAGGTACTCAAGGCTAAGGCATCCCTGGTGCAAACATCTTGGTTATCACAGGCTGACTTTGCGCTTCCAAATCTCCACCTGGAAACTTGTACTGTGCGCGAGAGTCTCCGATTCAGTGCGATGTTTCGCCAGCCCGCGTGTGTCAGCAAAGAAGAGAACTTGAGAAGTACGGGTTCGTCGATAAAGTCATTGAAATGCTCAACATGGGCGATGTACCCACGCTGTCGTCGGTATTCCTGGCGAGGAATTGAACGTCGAACAGCGCAAGCTCTCGACTATCAGTGGCAAACTGGCAGCCAACCCTAAGCTTTTTCTCCTCCTGGACGAGCCTTCCAGTGGTCTTGACGTCCAGAGCTCTTGAACTATTATGGCCTTCCTGCGCAAGCCTCCCGAGCACGCAGTTGTGGAGCCCAGCACAACCCGGCTGAATATATGTTAGAGATGGCTTCGGCCATATTATATTTTTTATTCAACTATATATTTATCTATTTATTATCTTCTTAACTTTTAAACTAACTATTAGCTTATACTTTAAGTATAAAGTTAATAATTACTTAATATATACCTTTAAACTTATCTATATATATAGTTATAGTTTTACTTCTATTTTATATATATTTAAAAATATATATAGCGCCTTTATATAGTAATAAATACTTAAAACTTAGTATTTAAAAAGAATATAATATTAATAATAATAATTATAATATAATAAATATTTATAACTTTAACTTTATAATATATAAATAAGGTTAAGCTTTAATTATACTATATTTTTCCTTTATACTATATAACTATCTTTTAGTTTAGCTACTTGTTTCTTCTCTAATCTAGAGCTTATATATAAAGTCTTTAATGGCTTTATATATATTTTTATAGTCCTTTTAGAGAGGAACTTTAAATCTACTCTTTTCTTTATTTTTATTATACTTTTTTATATTATTAAGGAGTTAATAGTTGTTAATAATAAGAGTATAGACTTAAAGAAAAATAAGCTTATTATACCCTTTTTTTATTTTTTTATAAATTACTTTTAAAATTCTTTTTAAGAGTTTTAATGCTTTATTATAAAAGTTTTAAAGGTAGTATATTATAAATTGTTTTTTTATTTTAAGTTCTTTTAAAGTTAGCTATATACTTAGATAGGGGTTGTAGTGCTTACTTAGTGAGGGTCTTACTAGTATATATATATATATATATATATATGTTTAGAGGGACAATTTTTAGCTAGGCTTCCCTTAGTGCAATTTATTTATATAATAACTATTTTTAGACCTAATCTCACTATATAACTCCTTTATAGCAATTAAACTATAGGCTACTTTTATTTATAATTCTAGTTAATACTATTATTAAGATAATACCTTTTAACTTTATTTATATATTATAAGGCTAAGGCTATAAACACTTATTATATTATAACTATTATTATTAATATTATATTCTTTTTAAGTATTAGGTTTTAAATACTTACTACTATATAAAGGTACTATATATATCTTTAAATATATATAAAATAAAAATAAAACTATATAAATAAGATTAAAAGTATTATTTTAATAATAATATTAATATAGTAGGCTATAATATTAGATATAATAGTATAGGTTAAGGAAGGTTTAAAGATTTATTAAGTTTAAGTTTAATATAAGATTAATTCTTATCTTTTTTAAAGAAAAAGTAAGTAAGTATTATCTACCTTTTAATAAGTTTAAGAAAGAGGTATAGTTAGGTGTTAGGGTGCTTTAAGGGTGCTTTTTTATAACTTTTACCTAATTATTATAATTATACCTTTCTTTAAAAGGCTATTTTTAGCTATTATTATTAGTTAATATAAATTATTTTTATTTATACTTTTTAAAGATTTTCTTTATTTATTATTATTAATTAATTTTAATAATTTTTTAAATTTTTTAATAGTTTTATTATACTTTTATAGAGGTATAAATTAGTTAACCTTTTTTAAGTAGTTATTTTTCTTTTTTATTTTTATTTTTTTCTTTTTTATTTAATAATTAACTTTATTAGATTTTTAATTAATTTTTTTAATTTTAAATTATATTTTTTTATTTTATTATTTCTTTAAGTATTATTATTATATTTTATTATTTAAAGTAATTTAAAATATTTTTATTTTATAGTTATTTTTATTTATTATTATATTATTTATAAATAGTAATTATAAGGTTTATAAATAGTCTTTTTTAAAAGACTTTATATATTATTTTATATATATTATTTTAAGTAGTAAAGGTAGTCTATTTAAAGATTATTTAGGTTTATTAAATTTAACTTTTAAAGGTTTTAATAATAATTATATTAACTTTATTTTTATTAACTTTAATTTCTCTTTTATATTAGATTTATTTATAATTTAATTAAAAATATTAATATTATTAAAGTCTTTAATAATTATTCCTTAAAAATAATAGGTAAATAGTTTAAAACTATTTTATATACCTTTTAAACTTATTAAAAGTAGTTATAAAAGTTACCTTTTATTTTAGGATTTAAATAAAAGAGTTTTTAAAATTTTTAAACTTTTAAAGATTTTTAATTTTAATTTTTATTTATTTAATCTTTAATTAATTTTATAAAGTTAAGAAGTATATTATATCTCTTTTAAAAGTATATAAAGTATTTTTATAGATTTAAATTCTTTTAGGTATATTTTATTAAATTATATTAAAAATATAAAGGAATAAAGTAAGGTAATTAAGTTATAAGCTCTTTATAATATATATATAAAAACCTTTTAAATAAATAAAAATATTTTTCTTTTTATATAAAGATATTTTTATATAATTATTTAATTAAATAGCTTTTATTATAATTAATATATTATAAAGTATTATTTTTTATATTATAATAAGCTTTTTTATTTACTTTTATTATTATTATTAACTTTTAAATTAAAAGATTTTTAATTATTAAATTAATTATTAATTTTTATTTAATAAAGTTTTTTTAAAGGAATTATAAATAATATAGATTTTTATTTTTACTTATTTAAAAATAAATTAATATAGTTTTAAATTTAATTTATTAATATTTTAATAAATATATTTACAAATAATTTTAATAATTATTTAGTTTTTAAAAGAAAGTTAAAAACTTTAAGTTTTAAAATAGTTTATTAAGTAATAAAAAAGTAGTGGATTTTTATATTAAATATAAGTAATTAATTACTATTAAAAGTTTAATATTAATTTTTCTTTAAAAGAAGGAGATTATAAAGGTTAGTATTTTTAATTATAAATTATAGTTAATTTATATACTTTTAATTAATAAAGTTTAGTTTAAGTAAGAATTTAAATAATATTTATAAGAAGATTTTTATAATTTAATTAAAGATTATTATAATATATTATATTTAATTTTAATAAATAATAATTTTTTATTTAATATATTTTAATTTAAAAGTTTTTAAAAAGTAATAAATATAATAAATAAAGCTTTTAGTTTATAGTTTTAAAGTTATTTTTATTTTTCAAAAATAATTTATAAAATATAAATAACTTTTTAAAAGTTAATTAAAATATTATAGATTAATAAATAGAATTATAAGATAAGATTTTAGAGTTTTTAAAGTAGGATAATAATACCCCTTTATATTACTTTTTAAAATAAGTTTTAATTTATTATAGGTTTAAATAGTTTAAAAATAGTTTATTTTTAATATATTTATATTACTTTTTATAATAATTCTTTTAGTTTTAATATTATAAGTATTTAGCTTTTCTTAACTATTAGTTAATAGTATTTATTTCCTTAATATTTATTCTTTAAGTATTTTATTAAGTATTTATAGTTTATTTATTTTACTTTTATTTACTTTATTAACTTTTATTAAATTTATATTTTAACTATATTTTACTTTTATTAGTTTATTATAGG